GGTGTGAAAGTAATATTATTGACAATTAACGTTTTAATAGTCTTAAAACGTAATTGAAACGTGTCACATATTTTAGAAGCACTTGATTCATCATCTTTTTAAAAACACTTGGTAAAGTTTGACACAAAAATAAAGTTCTTCAAAATAATCAGTCGATGAAAATTTGTAAGGAATCGAGTTGACTCCGCCATTCAAAATCGATGAAAATCTCGAGTCTACTTCGAGCTCTGTTTTAAAGTCAGGGATTATTTTTTGGTTCAAGTAGATTTTTTTGAACAACGTGATCCCCAAGAGAATTCAGGTTCATCAAAGAAGTTTTCATTTTTTAGTAAATTGAATTAAAATCCAATTATAACAATTAAGCTTTATTCGAAATTATACGAGGATGAGCTGTGAAGATGGATTCTGTGAAGATGAAAAATTCTCAGATTTTAAATCTTTCTTTCTATAATGAATAACTTTATTGCAAGGGGTGGAAACTCAGGATTAATACTGAAAAATCCCAAAAATCATTAAAAATCCTTTAGCCGATAACCATGAAAATGTGAAATCCTTTTAAATCCCGAAATTATTCACCAAATGCATCAGGTATTTAAAAGAGATTTCACATTTTCATGGTCATTGGCTAAGAAAGATTTGTTAAGATTTTTGCAATTTTTCAGTATTAATCTTGAGTTTCCACGCCTTGCTTAGTTGTTTTGATCAAAACAATATCAAGTTAATTTTTTGTACATTTTTTTGATCCTTTTTTCTCATTCTCAGCTATTCTGGATACAATTTATAAAAACTCCACAGAATCCTCGAAAAAATATTTAAACTTTTGAAAAACATGATTTTTTGGCAATCTGAAATTCAATTAAAAATCTGTTATTACATTAAACATGACCAACAATTGAAAACTACATTGTATGAAATTAATGAAGTGCTAACAATGGTTGCAATATGCCTCCGAGGAATTTTTAATTTCCATTTTACAATAAAACGGAACTTTTTTCAATTCAATTGTATTTTTTTGCATTTTAATCGAAATTATTCTCAACAATCGAATATTTTTTAATTGAAGGCTTCCAACTGACTTTATATGAGCTTTTATAAAGCTTTTCAATATGTACATGCGGCCTTTTTTTGTGTCTGAAAAAATCTTTTGAAAATTTTGATAACAAAATATGTTAAGCGAAAAAAATTTTTGTTTGAGTTTTATGGCAATTAATAAGATTTAAATGACTGTGCAGCTGTGCAAATGTTGATTCAATTAATTGAAAATTTTATAAAGGAAAGTCTATTGCTTGCTGTTTCTTTTCCAGGTTGACTTTTTTTACCTCATTTGAATTTTTTTACTCACTCAACTCTTTAACTTTTTAAAACATTCTAAAAACTATAATAAAATTTTCCATTTTTTTTCTCTCAACAGCTTCCGAATAGACAACAATGACCACGTAATTGACGTCAACAAAGGAAATCTTAATTTTGAGTACGATCAAGTGCACATCATATGTCCGCTGTATGATTCAAATGCAAATGAGAATGAGACCGAAAAATATATAATTTACAATGTATCAAAAGTTGAATATGAAACGTGTCGAATAACTAATCCAAATCCACGGATAATAGCTATATGTGATAAGCCATACAGTGTCAATCTAGTAACAATTTCATTTAGGCCATTCACACCACAACCCGGTGGACTAGAGTTTAAGCCTGGCAAGGATTATTATTTCATATGTAAGTGTGAATCTACTAAGTGTATCTCTAGTTTCTCTTAATTTAAACACTGCCTAACCTAATTCTAGCTTACTCAAACCTTACTAGCCTAAGCCTACCCAACCCTAACATAGCCAATACCATACCTATCCTTTATACATACACACAATATAAATCATTGTCAATTAAAAAATTGCAATCCACAAAAAAAACTAATCAAAAAATATTTTAATTTCCACAGCAACATCATCACGTGACGACATTCACCGTAGAATTGGCGGTCGTTGTCAAAGCCATCATACAAAAGTCATTTTCAAAGTTTTCGGAGGGGATACTGAAGCACAAAAGACCACAACAACAACAACGACAACATCGACAACACCACAGCCGCATACTCGTTCACCGCCACGTATTGATTGGGAATCACCAGTCAATTCGTGGCGAAATCATCACAATGATGAGCCTTATGGCGATCATAGAACAAATTCTGATAATACACAATATAGTAATCGAATAAATCATGCTCATCAGTCGACACAGCGACCGGTCTTTGTAAATAATGCCTACGGTAATGTGGGAACGTCGGGGAGTGGATTTACTGTCAATAAACCTACAAAGAAGACAAGTAAGAACGTGAAATGAGTTTAATGAATTTAAAATGCAATTTTAAAACACTTATTTATTTTTAGATGATTACGATACTAGACAAAATGAAGTCATTAAGACAGAAGAACTGACATACAACAATAATTCAAGTGCTAGCTATCTAGGAAGCCATTTTGTAATTCTTTGTAGTCTAATTGTAGCCGCACTTTCACGACTCTTAAATTTCGAGGCCTAAAATGTTAAAAAAGTTCTTTTCTATCATGCGTGCTATATTTGTATGTGTGTGTGCGTGTATTTCTATATAAATGACACAATCATTATTTCTCATGTATATACAAAAGAATTTAAAAGGATTATTTATTTAAGTCAAATGAGATTTAATAAATTATTTTGCACGCTACAGTCAATAGAATGAAAAGATAACATGAACATGAAAGTTTAATGGAAATTATGAGGAATATTTCATTAGGTTTATTAGGTAAGACTTTATAATTTTAATTTTTTACAATTTTTTTAAGTTTCAAAAAGTTCAATAAAAATTTTAAATTTTCATCTTTTTTATTTTCTTTTCAGATTATTATTCCCCACAACAATCCCTAATTTGAAAATAACTGGATAATGACATCACTTAGGTCACATGGATGGCTTTATGTAAATTTAAAAAATTATGAACGCCTGCAAAAATGTCCTTCTAATCCTTAAAAATTAAGTAAAGAATCAAGAAGTTTGCCTATCAATATTAAGTGCATGTTTCATGTTACATGTGATCATAAAGAATTAGTAATATTAAATAGAATTCCCATAATTTTGTAACTGCTTTATCAAAATTAAAAAATTAAAATTCAAATTATATTCTTTAAATTTCACAATTATATGTTAAATTTAAAATTGAATTCAAATTTGTTAATTTTTTAATTTTGATATTTTTGTTACATAAAATAGTAGATTTGAAATTAAATTTGCAATTTATTTAATCAATTTTTAATGTTTAATAATTTTAATCATTTAAAAATCAAAAAAAGATTAAAAAAATTGCAACTTTAATTACAAAATAAAAACAAAAATGTTAATTTAAAAACCCAAAATATTAAAAAAATCAATGAAAAGTAAACTTAAATCCGACGAATAAAAAAACAACAAAATGGAAAACCGACGATGATTAAAAATATCTAAAACATGAAAAACAGAAAACATTTGAAAATGAAGAAAAAAAAATCCTTTTTGTGATGCAACTCGACTGTGATATTATTTTAAATGTTTACTTTAAATTAATTATTGTAATTATTAAAAATTAGAATTATTATTCTCATAAATTAATGAAAATATTATTATTACGATTAATATGAATCTTAAATACAAATATTAAACGAAATATTAATGGATGACATTGTAAAAAAAAATCGATGATGAAAAATAAAAGTGAAAAACAAAAAGTTTTAAAATTTTCGATTACTGATTTTGTTTCAGATTTAACAAATCAATCAAAAAAAGTGAAACACGTGGAATTTGAAACTAGACATTCTGGACCTGCTTTATCTCTATGCTAACTATGCGTTAACATTGTCAATACCTTTTCTGCTTTATCGACGGCAATAATCATTTTAGAAGAGCAAAACAGAAGATTTATCAGGTTTTTCAGTGTCTAAGGCTTCACTGGTCATCCTGGTCATGTTTTAGTCCGATTTTAGATACACTCGAAAGCGTATTCCATCGATTTTTGACTATATTGTAGAATCTTTTAATTAATTTTGATTAATTCTAATCGATACCAGACCAGAAAGCTCCAGAAAACTAATTTTTTTTTGTCACAATACATTAAACTTTGTGATGCTTAAATTAAATTAAATAAGCAGACGACGGGTTTATCACGAGACAAGTAAGTTTAAAAACAAATGATCTATTCTTTAATTCTAAATCTTCAACGTCAAATTCATAGCTCCTGATGGCATACCTAGTCCTTAAAAATTATGATTTAAATTGAAATGTGTAAATAAATTGAGAAATGACAAATTCGTGTGCTAAATCTGACAGTCAAGAATGATATCAATTACAAGTTTGACATGTCTAGCTATATTTATAGATCCATATAGATATGTCATTTTTGAGACAAAGTAAAACGACCGTCCATGGAAGATCAAATTGTGATAAAATGAGTATTTTTTGTAGTCAATTAGCTTCCAATTTTTCATAAAACTCACCCTGGATATGTAACAATAATCCAAGTTCCGTGGTGCAAAACAAAACGGCCCACAAAAGTAAATTTTTTGACAAAAACTTATAAATATTTCTGTTGGTGAATGTAAATAATTTTTTCTTCTCTAAAACGCATTTATAACTCATTTAAATTCGCAATTTCAATGTCAGCACTCTTGTTTTGCTAGGATTAATTCAAAAATAACGGGAGATTAAGATCATAAGCTATCAACAGATTCAAAATACATAAAACAAAAACAATCAATTATTCATAGAGCCGTGATTGATAACACGTATTTAAGGAACATTTTTTTTTCAAATATTGGAAGTGTATAGCAAGAATAAGAATACAAAGATCATCAATGCTTCATGACAAACGCTCCTGCCTTGGAATCCAATTTCTATGACTCATTTCAATTTATATTAATTAGAAAAATTCATTTTATCATTTTATTTTAAATTTTAAATACAAAATATATTTTGTTAAATTCAATGTGGCAGAACAGATCAAAAAAAATAATCAATCCGTTGGCTAATTTATTCACTATCTGGGAAGAACGTATCAGCTGGTGTGTTAGCTAAAAATCTATTCACTGTATCAATATGTGTCTTGTCCACAATTCTCTCTAAAAGCTTATAAGCAACTTTCGACATAACTTGACCAAACATTTTTACAAAAGTTTTCGATAATGGTCCAAGTTTATATTCAAATCCAACTGGCAGCGTCAGTTTCACATTATCTAATTTTGTGTTATCAATAACAAGTTTGACTGAAACAACTTCCGCATACTCAACACCATCGCGTTTGTAGAACTTAACTCCTGTATCACCATGAACTTTAAAATCTTTCATTGAATAGCTCATATCTCCTGTCAAAGGGATTCGACCCAAAATTGGACTTGTGACTCTGTACTTGAGCTTAAATTTTACTTCTGGGATTTGAACTCGATCTAGGACTCGAAGGTGATTTCCGTTCAGCTCATGTCTGAAATGGTAATGATTAGGATGCATCCATATAAGCCAATATGTAGTTATGGGTCATTTAGCCAAGATAATAATATTTACCATCCACAACACAGACTTATTATGTTTCTTATTAATAATATCAATCCGTTCCCCAACGAAATATCAAAAACTTACTTTATATCCATTAAGTCAAAGTTTGTTGTACCACTCATGTAGATATCATAGACTGTGAATGTAAAAAATTGAGTTTTTGTGATTTCTGTCTCATTCAGGTAGAACGGATCAACTGAGTCAATTATCCAGTCGCGGGATAATCTTCCTGTCGCTAGTCGAGGTCTGATAGTGTTCATCATCTTAATCATACATTGATCAAAATTTTTCGAGCGTCTTCCACATTTTGGGAATACATCAGCTGTAAAATAATTTGCACTTATGAATCATCACAGTTTTTTGTTGACGGGTTTGTTAGATTAGCATTTCTGGTTATTAAGATTTATTTTTATTTTTAAGTGGGATTTGATTTCAGATTCAAGACCATTTAGATTCCATTAAAAAGGTTCTCTTTCCAGGATGCACTTTTGGACATTTTAATTTTTAAAAAACAAGATGATTCATTGAATTGTTCACTGCGAGATTTAGAACTAATTTAGTTTATTTATTCCAGTGTTTCGCAATTTTTTTGAGCCAAGGCAGACTTGAGGGTTATGCAATGACCAAAGTCGTACACAGCATGAGGCTTGTGTCACTTTTCAACAATTTCTACAGTACACTAGTGTGCCGCAGCACACAGTTTGGACAACACTGATAAAGATTAATCGTAAATCTCCAACAAATCACAGTTCTTTATAAATTCATCAAAAGTTATCACTTTGAAACATATAAAAAATAAAATCATCATTCTACTTCTATTTGCACTTACGAGATTCTTGCAAATTAACAAAATTACACACTAAAATCAGGAGCACCAAAAGTTTTAATCCAATATTCATCTTGTCTAGTTGGTTGTGTATCATGAAATAGATTAAAATGAGAACTGAAATTTATTTTGACATTTTATCGTGCTTATATGGAAATTTAAATCCAAAATTGCATTAATACCGTTGCAACCTGTTATATTGAAAATGTCAAATGTCTTAAATGGTGATTTTTTGAATACATTTGGAACTAGACAAACATAAAAAATTGATTATTGGTCCGTAGCTTAATTTCAAAGTTGCAAGTCTTTGGGTAGTCAAAAATCATCATGTTAAAAAGATTGCGCTCTACTTGAAATTCAAGTTCTTGCAAACAATCGTGCATCATAAAGTTTTGGAGATATTCATAAATTGACGTAAATGAGTAAGAATGCCAGCGATTTATGGTCCTGTAAAAGAAGGAGAAGAGTATCGAAGTCTACATAATGTTGAGCTATATCATTAATTGCAAGAAGCTGATATTGTTACTGTTCTGTGTGCAAATCATTTGAGATGGGCTGGACATGTGTTCAGACGCTCACAAAATGACCCAGTATTTAAAGTTACAGTAGCAGACTTTGTGGATGGCAAGAGATCACGAGGAAGACCGAAGATCTCGTGGATTGGATGTGTTTAAAAGGATGCTAGAGTCCTTAATATCTGGCAGAAGGTTTTAAAGGATAGAGCTGTCTTTAGACGATCTCTAAGCGCGGCAATGGCCTCAAGTGGCCAAGGAAGTAAGTAAGTAAGTAATGAATACTAATGGACTTTGACGTCTGGAACAGAAAAGTAATCAAAGGAGATTCTTATGGTTCTATCAATAATGTGAGAGGATTCCAGTCAAGTGATGTGTTACTACACGTTGCGACGAACTGGAGGTACTGCGATCCTGATCGATGGTTGTATCAAAAGATGCACTAAAATTAATTTAATTTTTCTAGCTTTTTTTTGTCTTTTTTCAATCTAAATAGTGGATTTAGAAGCAAGTGTTGAAAACAGCATTTCACTTTATTGGATGTCAAAACATTTAACAGCTCACAATAGACTTAAATTCTCAAAATATATTCAAAATATAATGACTATAAAGTTTTTAATTAAAAATTGATCTTAGAATTTTCTTAATTTTTTTAAAGGATAGATTTTAAAATCTTTAATGCAAGAGATTTAAATTGAAATCCCCCAAAAAATCACTTTGCAATGATTTAAAACAAATTCTACAAAAACATTACTTGGGTAAAAGGATTTAAGTCAAAATCCCTTTTTTCATAATATTGCAAAAATAAATTTTGATTTTGACTTATGATTTAAATCACCCACCCTGCTTATTCCTTTAAAACGCTCATCAATCAGAGAAAAAATAGTTAACAGGAACATTTTCAATAAATCCATTCGCAGTGTCTAAATGAACTTCGTCAATTTTCTTCTCGTAAGCTTTATATAAAAGTTTATACAAAAGTCCATCATACATATTCAAAATTGAACTTATCACTGGATTGACTTCCATAATTCTTCCATTTGGAAGTGAAAATTTTATATTTCCTAACATCATTCTGTCAATTGTCAACTTTGCTTGTTCAATTTTAAAATATTCCATGCCGTCACTCTTTTTGTACATAAGAACACTTCCATTTCCATGAAAACTAGCATCGAGCATTGATACAGAAATTTTTCCATGTTGAGGCATGTCACCAATCCTGTATTTTCCTATTATATCCATTCTGTCAATTTCAATATGTGGAAAGAACTTTAGGTGATCACCAACAAAATATGCACTAAAATTAAAGGATTAATTGGTTTTAAGACATGATACACAAAATTAGATTAAATTCAATTTCACTTACCGAATACTTTTAACATTAAAACGTGTTGCACCAAGAGCAACAACGTCAAATAATGTGATTTTTATTGGACCTCGATCTATTTTAACATCACCGATAATATAAGGATCCCAAGCAGGTATGATAAATGTTGGACTTAGCATTCCGGTTTTAAAACTAGGCCTAAGTTTGTTTAGTGCTTTACGGATACATTCACCAATGTCTGGATATTTTCTGCTGCACAATGGGAAGACATTATCTAGATATTTAACATAATCATTAAATAATCATGGCTTGCTAGTATTTAATAAACTTACTAGACTCCTGTAAGTCAACAAAACTAAAACAAAAAATAATTAGAACTAAGAATTTTCGAGCAGTGTTTTTCATCCTTATCGCTTCTTTACAGCTTGACAACTAAACTGTCTATGGCAAACTGAGAACATTTAGGTCTTAACAGCACCATATTTTTTTACTGGTAAAACACGTTCAGATTTTGGAGCAGATTAAAACAGCGAGTAATAAACTCTACACAAAAAGAGATCTTCAAGGTCATTTCCGAAGATTGAACCGTCAAGATGCTTTTAGGATAAAATTCTGGCATACTTTTTAATATGTTGATTAGAACTTTAATTAACATATTTTTTTTTTTGATTTCCACAAACAAACAATTTAATTTTATACTTTGAATAACCTTGGTCAACAAACGTGATCTGCTTTGACTAGCCTTGACCAAGTTTTATAGAACTTGCAGGTGCTTTGAATACACCAAAGTATAGCTTAGCATGTAGTCAGCACTTAGTACATGGAGAGCATTTGGCTAGATATGAACAAAGCATACATTTAAAATTTTTTAGGTTATTTTTATTACATTTAATTCCAATCGTTCCATTTTCAAGAAAAAAGGAGGTTTTTAATACAAAAATATAGCTATTAAGTCTTAATCCCCATCAATCACTAAAAATATAACTTACTGGCAAGTCCTTAATAAAACTGTTCTTAAAATTAGCATGAGCTTCATCAATTTTACCCTTTGATGCTTTTAACAACATTCTAAATAAAATTCCATCATTAACATTCAAAATTGAGCTCACTATTGGCCCAACTTTCATATTCATTCCATTTGGTAATGTTAACTTAATATTTCCTAATTTTAATCTATCAACAGACAACTTTGCATCCTCAATTTCAAAATATTCTACACCGTCCTTTTTGTAGAGCAATACGCTTCCATTGCCGTGAAATTTTGCATCGAGAACGGAGAATGAAAAATCTCCAGTCATTGGTTTAGGAAGAATACCTTCAATGCTGTATTTTGATTTAATGTCAAATCTGTCGTACTCAACTTGTGGCATGAATCTCAGGCGATTACCGTCAAAATATGCACTGAAAATAAAAATAAGGTATAGATGACATTAGCATAAGGGGTTATTCACATTTGGGAAGATTTATAAACTTTAAAGCGCTCAGGCAGCAACTAGCTTAAGCTTTTACTCCATGGTTCCCATTTGGAGCCGATGCGAGTCACTCAGAGGTGAACGAAGGTGACTTCAGCAACACTTTAAGATACTAACATCGAAAACCAGACAGAAGATAATAAATTTTTTTTTTATTAATGCCACTTTGTATGATCATTTGAACTATTCCAAAGGTTCTGAGAAAGGCACTTTCGTAAAAAAAAAATCCAGATGATTTGGTATGCAAATGTGCCTTAACTTGTTTATTTATGGATGACTTGCGAATAAATATTTTTAAATATCAAAATGCACTTACCGAAAATTTTTAATGATATAATTTGTTCCTCCATAGAAATATAAGTCGTGGATCCTGATTTTAAATAACTTTTGATCTATGTCAAAATCAACTGGTCCATACGGATCTACTGGTGGGATTGTTATATCTGGACTTAATTTTCCTGTTGCTAAGTTTTTTCTGAGTTTGTTGATCGCTGATGTGATGCATTTGCCTATGTCTGGATCTCTTTTGCTGCAGATTGGAAATGAAATTGCTGAAAATAAGATTTGAATAAAAGCAGTGGACATTGACTCCTCAAAGTATAACTTACGAGTATCCTGCAAATCGGCATATTCACAACACGCAACCACGAGTATCAAAATTCCTAGCCAAGAGTCCTTCATGATCAACTTCTTAATAACAAATGATAGCGTTAGAATCTTCAATCTAAATGTTTATTCTTCGTCAAACTTGTTTAATCAGATTGAAAGAAAAAAACCAAACATGAATGGAAAAAGAAAATCACCAAAAAAACGTGCGTCCGTATTGTATTCACACTGAAGAATGCTTTTTGAATAGATTTTATAATATCAAAACTGTGATCCTTGTTCTTAGTTTTTAATAAAGTTTTTCAAGTTTTTTTTCTTCAATCTTGATTGATCCTGAATTTAGCCCTCAAAAAGTGAAACGCAACGCTTTCTTACAATTAGGTCATAAAGATTTTGAAGATGAAGCTGATTTTATTCAAAACGAAACTCTTTTTAATACGTGCGCAGTTGAGCAACCTAGTTTTTATTTGAATAATTTAATATTATTAATTTATGGTCAACAAATGTGATTTTGACGTCATTTTTAAGAGTTATTTGCGTCATGATTAGTTTGCATTAAGAGATGAAGCACAGACAAGCTTGGGTTCTATGCATACTTTCCCGATTTCTCGGCCTCAAAACTTTTCGACACTCATGATCAAAATTAAAACCAAAATTTCCTTGGTAAACAGAAGTAACTGTTAAGCTTTTTGGAATAAAACTTTATTTTAATAAAACTTGCCAGGCAGTCTCAAGAAATTTGAGCTTTAATTTTTGCCTTACTCAAAACTCGATTATTTAGACATCAAACACCGGAAATATGAATTTCAATTTTGTCTAGAAACAAGCAGACAAAAACAAAGTTTACGTTTACGATGTCTAACATATGATCGAATCATATTAAATTTTAAAAGAACATAAAAATTTGCATACTTAATTTAGTATTCTTCTTACGTTTTTATACAAGATAGTTTTATTCTAAATCAAAGATGATGTCTTCAATAAAAACTAGTTTAGAAGTTTTCTATTATTTTAGCATTTAAACGAATTTTTCAATTCCTTTGAGCAGCTCAATGTATTGAGGAACCCACAGTAAACCACTTAATTATTGCAAATTCGCATTTTACGATATATTATTTATTATTATTATTTATTTATTTATTTATTTTTTTTCTTTCAAAGGAAAAGCCATATATCTGAAGATTTTTGGTGTCATAAGTGTGTAGTGGACAGCAGTGTCTAGACTGCGAACAAAATTGAAATCTTAATAAATATAAAATCATTTTGATCTATTTTATTTACGAAAACTTTTGTTTTTTACCATTAAAAAGGTAAAGCATGGATAGGACCCACCTTTTTGAGCTGGAGTCACTACGATTCAAATTAGAACAGAATCTATTGAACCACAGCCTTTAAACCTACAGTTTATGGTGGAATCCGAACCACATGCAAGCTCTGCACATTGCAAAGACACGAGTACGTCATGAGACCGGATGTGCCCTACATTGAACAAAATCACAATTCGTGTGCGCAAGGTGCTGTAATAAAATACAGTATAACCAGCAAAGGAGTCACGTTATGTGCCAAAGACTTTAAAACTGCACCCAACACACGAATCTAGCTTGACAAATAGAACGATGCCATTTCACCGCTTATGTTATTTACCATAAATTACTGAAATTATTAATGCATAAAAATATAAAAAAAAAATTAGAATTTATTTCAACAAATTTATTAAAAAACATTTCAATTTTTTTTCTTTTTCATATTTTCATCATCAACCTTAATATTCTTAATAATATAAACAGGTTGCGGTTCCACAACTTTATACTTGATATTTTCAAGTTTAAAAACTTCTGGCTCCTCAATGTACATATCAACATGATTTTCATCATGCATCATGCGACACCGCTTAATATGATAATAAAGTGATCGAGGCTTGAACTTTTTCTTACAGAACTCACAATTTACAAGGTCACGATGGTTCCACATGTGTATTTTAAGTGCACCAGCATGAGAGAATCCTTTACTGCAGATAGCACACGTAAATGGTGTCGATTCCATGTGGTTCTTCATATGTGTGTCAATGTTACGTTTACTCTTATAAGTTGTGCCACACAAGTCACATGTGAATAATTTTGCTTGCCCAATTCCATGGACATAACTTAAATGAATCTTCAAATTAGCTTTATTTGATATACTTTTGCCGCAAATGTTGCACCAGAAATCGCAGTCATGACTGAGATAACTAGCTTGAAATCGGAACTTTTGTCCACATTTTCTGCACCAAAAGTCAGCTTTTTTATGAATTGCTCGATGAGTTGTCAAGTCACGTCGTTGCTTGAATGATAATGGACATTTTTTGCATTTAAATGGACGTTCTGAAGCATTAAAGCAGTTCGGAACTTCAATTGATGCTGTGTCATGCTTAATATTTGGATTTGGTTTGGATTTACTGACTCTTGTGCCAAGAATTTTGCTTAAATTTATTCTGACACCTCTAAGGTTCATCTTTTTAGGCTGTATTTCTGTGACTAAGTCATCTTCAGGTTCTTCCTTGATTTTTGGCTCTTCTATTTTAATTTTGGTTGCTGGGATAAGTCCTTTGTATGGACTTTTGATGCTAATACTTGGATCATCTGGCTCTTCCTTAACTACAAGCTCAGTTTTGATTTCTGTCTTAATTTTTATTGGTGACATTTTCTTGACTTCTTCGACAAACTCATCAAGCACCTCAATTTCTCCATAATCATCGTCATCATCGTCGTATGGAATTTCTAATTCAAAGTTTTCTTCGTTCTCTTGTTTTATTGTGACTGGAAAGATGTTGCTTTGGATTGTCTGGATGATGACTGATTTGTCTTCAATTTCTTCCTTTTCTTCTTTGATTTCTGTAATTATTTCATCTGTTTTTTGGGATCTGCGAGACATATTTGATGGATTTATGGAAGGAGTTTGGTGGATTTAAGCTGATTATATCCAATTGTTTTAAGGATTAACTGAATTTAGTTCTATCAGATGATGCCTTATTTGCTTCCGGTTTCGTCTCAATCTATTTAATAATCGCTATTTATGTGTTTTTCATTGGATAAAGTAATAAATTCTAGGATGATCAAGCTTTTTGCTTCACTGAGAAATTTTTGTTTGTTGTTGTTTGGAATAATTTGAATTTTAAAGTTAATCTTTGCGGTAAATTCTTGTTTGGATTCGATTATAATGTTGATGATTCTTCAACTTATCTAATAAATCTGAAAGGAAATAAGTTAAATTATTAAAAGAACCGAAAAAACCATCAAATTATATGTTATGGTATGTCAAAAAAATTGAATGTTTGAATGTCATCCTTAGATCAGTGATAATAAATAATTTTGCAAATATAAAAATATTATATTATCCTAAGTTACTATCAACTATTAATTAGCAGCTTCACTTACCATAAAACTTAAAAATAGAAATTAAACTTCCTCCAATTTCATAATAAATGTAAACAAAGTCTTTTGTTTTGTCCAAGAGATGTCGCTGTTTAGTTTTTTCTTTACAACCAATTCTTACTCTTCAGAAAGTTTTCTTATAATAACTTTTATTTCTTGATTTTACGCCTTTATAATTAAATTAATAAATTCTCAGTGAAACAGTTGAGCTGTTGATGACATTACAAACTGATTTGTTTACAACGAATTAGGAAAATATTTTGATTTGTTTATTACCTGCGACCGAATGAGAATTTTCAGTTTTTTCTCCTCTTTGTTTATTTACAATTGAGCAGAGATGCAAAAGTGAAGCAGAAAATGTGCGGGAATAAATTTTGAATAATTTTCTGATGCAAAGATTGGAGGGAATGAGTCTGATTGGTTGAGATAAGAATTGTTGATGATGTGAATAGTTTGCAGACCCTTGTTTACGATTTATTTTCTTATAAGATAAAAATTTGAAAATCGAGACATGAAATAAATTTAAAATTCAGATTTTTGATGAGTCAAGTTTGAAATAAGTTTCAGCATCTACAGTAATTAAAATGTGATCAATATTTGAACTAAAATTTAAGATGATTTGAGATTATAAAATTGAGATAATTAAGGAATTGAAAAATACTTCCTGAAAAATGTGAAAGTTGAATCTTTTGTAATAATTAATTAATATTAAGCAATAAAAATGGAATTGGAAATTCTTGTCATTAATTTTGACTAAAAAGTTGAAACTATTTAAAAATTACACCACAAAGTACATCAATTAAGAATTATTAAGAAGTCAGGAAAAATAAAATAAGTGAAAATAAACAAAAAGTTTCTAAAAAGTTTGTTTAAAAAGTTCTTAAAAAGAAAAATCGAATTTCGAACAAAATTTAAATAATTATAATTTGAAAATTTCCAAAAAGAATTTCATTAAAATCTCCAAACTTACTTAAAAATCCTTAAAAAGACTTCTTCAAAGTTTGTTTCAAAAAAATCAATAAACATCTGAAAAACTCAATATTAAATTTTTAAGGAATTGAAATGTTCAAATCATTAATAAAAGCTCTTCGCTTAGCAACATGCAAATTATCTAGCTCAGTAGTCATTCCGATTATCATTTACATAATATTTATAACATTTATGCTCAATTTGACATTCCCAAATGGAATTGGTAAACAACGAGGACATCACAATAATAATCTTGATATATCCGATGAAGAATCGTCAGACTCTGATGAGCATCCAGGAGAACTGAATCGAGTGTTTCACAGTGACACAATTCGCGATGGAATGTTTCAGGAGCCACAAGTTCTTGGAGATAATTCTGATCCACTGACGATCATTAAATTTGCATATAAAAAGGCTGACGCAAATTCTGATGGACTTGTAACAATTAGGGAACTTGCAAAGTATATTAATTTAAGAATTCGTGACCATATTGACACATCAATCAAAAGAAATCCACAAATATTTGCTGAGATTGATAAATCACCAACTGATGGACTTGTTAGCTGGAATGAGTATCATACGTACTTTTTGAAGAATCTAAAATTAGATCTTGATGAAAGCTACATTACAAGTCACGATGAGACTAAACATGTGAAGCTTGATAGGAAATCTAAAGAGGCTCTTATGAGAGATAAGGTAAGTTTTGTTTTGTCTTAGTTAAGGATGTGGATGTAGTTTGATCGCAGCTTCTTGTTTATACTTGATTGTGACTAAGGTTCACTTGATAGGAAACCTATGGCACCGTTAATAACTACAATACTGCTTAGTAAACTTAAGATTTTTTTAACATTTATTAAGTATCCCAAATTCTAATTTTCCAGGCTCGATGGGCAGAAGTTCTAAGTTCAGATCCATATGCATTGACTCTTGATGAATTCCTAGCATTTATGCATCCTGAAGCTAGTACATCAAACTTACTGAATGTCGTTGAAGATATTCTCAGGCATTTTGACAGCGATGGAGATGATCAGCTTACTGTCGAAGAATTCACAAACACATTCAGTTCCAATGCTGAAAATAAGAAATTATTCATAAGTGATAATTTAGATGAAAGAAAGGCAGAGTTTAAGAAGTTGATTGATAAGAATCGTGATGGAAAGGTGAGGAATTGATTATGTTTGGGGTTTTCTTGAGACGGGATGTATGCTACCCATTAATGAACTGTAAAACTGATACCAAAATGTGCATCAGACCACAAATCATAGCTAGAAAATTTAAAAATTCTTTTAGACTAATTTAACAATTTTTCCAGGCTGATCGAGCAGAACTTCTTCAATTTGTCGATCCACGAAATTCACGATATGCAATTCAAGAGGCAGCTATGCTGATAAGTCTAGCAGACAACAATAAAGACAAGAAGCTAACAATTGATGAGATGATTAATAAGCAAGATTTATTTATGGGATCAAAATTTATAAGTTTAATTGAGAATTTTCATAATGAATTTTAAGCTATTTTAGTGATCTCTTGATTGATATTATTTTATTATTATTTTTATTTTTAACAATTTATTATAAGCAACTGAAGTACTTAAATGTTAATTTAAGAATTTGTTTGATTTATATTCGATTTTTTTTAATTTTACAAAATATAATTTATAGATTTTTCTGTGAAATATATAATTAAAGCTTTAAATGTATCACAAAATTCAGAAATATTGAAAAAATTACTTTTAATAAAATTAGCAACAAAAATTTGAAAAAGTGTCTTGATTGAAATAAAAGAAAAATCCAAGGCATAAAAACGCCTGTTGGAAGTGCGTCGGGCTAACTTCGAATTTCGAGCTAAAACTTTGCCAGTTTAAAGACCCTTTTGCGACACTTTTCGACATCTAATTACTTTTTTTCGACACCCTTTAGTTTTTGAGATATCGGAGCTTCAATTTTAGGCAAAAATCCCGACCAACTTCACGTTTCTAGTCGGGCCAATTTCTGAAAAATAATTTTATTAGACATGTTATATATCGAAATTAAAGTTCTTTTTACGACACTTTTCGACACGCAAAACGTTTTTAAATCTGATCATTTCTTGCTGAGGTATGAGCTGTCAAAGTTTTGCCTGCTGTTTCCATGCACCAAAAAAATCAAGTTTTACTAAAATTGTCAATTTGTTACAAACCTTTTATCAAAATGCATCTCCTTTTCATGACGTATCCAAATACTCGAAAATATTTTCAATTCAGTTATTATCAGTCGACTTATAGCATGTCAAATGACCAGTTATGGATCCGATCTCAAAGGATTTTTTTTCAAATTTTCTCAAAAAACTTTTGTTTTATCTTTTTTTTTGAACTTTCTGATATTTGTTTGAATTAAAAATATAAGTTTCAGAGATTGTTGAGAAAGTAAGATCAATTTTGAGATTCAAATTTCAAAAACTCTTTCCAAGATTTTCTCATGAAGCTACACTTTTGAAAAAATAATTTTTGGAAATTGTAATTTTTCTAAGATTTTTACAAAAATTCAAAAAAAATTGAAAATAATGCATTTCTTTATAATGGAAATTATAAGAAATTTAGAACAAATATTATTTTCCTGCAAAAAAATATTTTTTTTATGATTTTTCGTAGGATTTGATCCTAAGCAGGGTAATACTTCGATGGAACACTTTTGTTACATGTTTGTAAAACAAATATTTCACATATAATAAATAATGAAACATTTAATCTTCCATCGACATCGAAGAAATTAGATGAATAATATCGGGATTTTAAAAGGGAATTCAAATTTTCATGTTTATTGGCTCTAGGATTTTTTAGGATTTTGCAGGATTAATCCTGTATTTCCACGCCATGGGAACAACCCACTGAAAAAAGAAGGAAATGATCTGCTTGCATAACACATAATCAAAAGATAGCTGTAGTCTTAAAAGCAGAGTTGTCACTTGTCTTATCAGTTTCCCATCAAAGGTAAAAATCCACCACAGGCAATACCTTTAAAAAAGTATCAAAATTTACCTTTGTCAAGGCTTGCATTCGGATAGGTATTGTCTTTAACTAGGCACACTTTTTTGCCTTTGGCTGGCCGTACTTATGCATAAGTGTTGGCTGGAACAAAAGCAGAAGCTACCATGCTCCGGTGAAGCACCTTTCTGACAACTCTGTTAAATAGGAGCTTAATGCTTTTAGTAATTCAAGTGCATATTGCAAAACTGGTGCAAAATTGAACGAAATTATTTTACGACTTTGCCGCATAAAACTTTAACGAGTAAGCACAACACTAATGCACAGCTAAAAATTTAATGCTCAATTTTACTCTTCAAATAATCATGAACGTGAGAAATGAGCTTATACTGATCGTCAAAAGTCGACAGTAATTCACTTTTCGCGAGAGTTGCTCCTCAGTTCTATTCAATTTAAGAAGCTAAATACACAGAAAATATTTTTTTGTTTTGTTTGACTTTTATTAAGAATTATCAATAATTCAATAATCGGCTCAATGTAATAAGTTTAAATTATAGTCTTTGGTGAAATGAATGAAATTGTGTTTAGTGAGTAAATTTTTTTTTATTAATTATTTTAAAAAGAGTGGAAAAATTCAAAGTGCATTTTTAGATTCATTTCTGAGAATCAAAATACTGAGAAGGAAAAGAGTGAATTAATGATCAAATTAGAAGTACGTTGCAAAAAAGTAAACAAAGATTAAGAAAATACAAACAAAAAATGAAATTAATTTTTTTCTTATTTTTTCAATCGATCTTCTTAAATTTTTGTATTGATGTTTTTTGAAGAGTTAATTTTTTTTGAACAAATTATTTCAAAAAATCACAAATTTATTCACAGGAGAGTCAATTTGTTATTCATTATCATATTAAAATATGGAAAAACCAGAATAATTCTTATTTTTAATTTATTATTAAAAACTCAATGTTCAATTATTGAAGTATATTTTAATATTAAGAATAAATGTCATTCAGTTCAGTCGTAATCTTTAAGAGATGGTTTAAAGAAGTATAAGATAATAACGAGGAGGGTGATAGGCAACCAAAGATTTGGCTTTGACACCAAAATTAGTAAAAGATAAAAATGCGTAATTTGTTTTTATTTTGTTGTAAAAAAATTAAAAACTTTATTTTTTCCGAATTCAATGATTTCAAACTTTTTTGATCTACGACACAACTGAATTGTCTCTCGGCACACAAAATGTTTTTCATGACCTGACCGAAGTCATTAATCATAAAAACAAATGGTTGATTTTTGGCATGATAAAATTTTCGCGGCAAATAAGTGTTTTAAACTTTAAACTAAAACCCCAAAAGAAAGTGCAGCTTACCCAGTTGGACACAGCTAGTTAAAGTCCATCAATGGAAAAACATTTACCAGTCTTTTAACTTGCCAAAATTTATAAGACATACAGAACTAGACGTTAACTAGTCATATTGAGTCATATGTGCAATACCTTTGTCCAGTTCAATGAAACGTGCAAAATATGTCATTAATCGTCCCTAAGTCTAGTTGAATAGGCATTTCAATGGCAAGCTTTTAACTAGTTCTTTGTCCACTCGGGTTATGGTTACAAACAAAATTTAATCTTCATAATACTTTTTAATCTGATAAACGAATCTGATGAAATTAATGTGAAAAAAATGCATAATTCAATCATCTAAATTTAAACTTGTATTATTTTATTTAAAAAAAAGTCCCAAATTCAAGACATTAAGGTCAATCAATATTATTATCACCATCAATATTATTATTATTATTATTGACTCACAGCACATTTTTTGTGATTGAATAAATACGTTCTTTAAAGTTTTTCATTTTCTTGTGAATTAAAAATAAGACTGACCAACTGCACACTTTTTAGCAGAATACGCCTAGCCAAACTCTGTTTTTTAAACCTTTTTCACCAGAATGATTTAATCTCATAGCTTAGTAGGATTCAAGCAACTGTCAATATAAATTCTATTCGCGAATGCATTAATAAACATCATAATAAAGTACTTTCTCCTACAGTTAAATAACTTGTAATATCTTTTTTACTTTTGTTCCTTATTATTTAGTTCCAATTCCACCCCTTCCGCCAAAAATTTCATCATGTGAGATCTCAATGCATGTAAAATCCCGAAGTAACACTTTCAAATTTAAGGAAATACTTTTTAGGCAGAAAAATGCTGACACATCATTTAAAGATGTTGACGGAATTATTATGAAAAATTGTTTAAATGCTGACGATGCTCTTCAAATGCTTCAAATGCAATGGTTTTTAGAGACATTCAATAAATCAGTTCAAACTTTTATGATAAAAATTGAAATTGATGAATTGATTGATTCTTTAAATACAGCAAGTGTGTCAAAATTGATGAAAAATATGAGAAAGAAATTTTGGATAATTTTGTTTCAAACCTTTTGCGGTAAATGTCAAATATTTTGGAAGTATGACGAAAAATCATTTTGGTTAAAAATGGATACGCAAGTTTCTAACTTTGTGCTGGATTTCTTGGCATCATCAATGACAAATGATCATCCAGGAGTCTCTAATGACATCTTAACAATGACAAGTTCAACACAACAAATTCTAGAGCTTGACCTGCTTTCTTTAATCGATTCTCGAAACTACAACCTCTTAATGCTTGCCGCGGAAGACACCCGGGTGGACACAGCCAGTTAAAGTCCATTATTGGACAATCATTTAACAGTCTTTTAACTTGTCGAAATATATACGATATAGAGAACTATACGTTAACTAGACTTTAACTGGACATTCATGCTAATCAATCAAGTGTTCGAAACTCAAAAATAATTTTCCTTACTTTTTTGACCATATACTTCACAAGCGCTTACAGAAATCACTTATATAAGGTCTACCAAAATTTGTATGAAACTTTTAAGTAAATATAATTGTTTCACGCGCAAGTGTTCGAGACTCAATTTTTACCAGAGATTTTTCATAAGTGATAGTGTACTTTAATTAATGAATTACACTAATACAATAATAAAATTTTACAAAAGAAAAAAATATGGAGCAAAAGACACGTGTTATTTATTTTATTTCGATTTTTTTGTAACTGGACATTAACTAGACATATTTGCAATTCCTATGTCCAGTTAAATGGAAAGCGCAAAATATGTCATTAGTCGTCCCTAAGTCTAGTTGCAAAGGCACGTCAATGGATACTTACTCGCCGTGAAAAGGCAAGTCAATGACAAGCTTTTAACTAGTACTTTGTCCACTCGGGACAGTGATGCAGGTGTGGTCGATTCTCTCATTCAACTAGGATTTGATGTTAATGTCCTAGTAAATGACAATACAGCGATCGATCTTGCATATAATAATCATCACTTTGATATCGTCTTAGCACTGCTGCATGCAAACTCATTGTATCCAAAAAACATTAAAAATTCTCAAATCACTGACGTACTTAAGAACTTCATCAGCATCAGCCGTGAGCTCCACAATTTTATTCGTCTAGGAAGGCTAGATGTAGTCGAAGCAATTCTCAACGATAATCCAAATTTGAGGCATTTTTACAATACAAAGAACTTATCTGCAGCATCACAAGCAGTCATTTGTGGTCAATTTGAGATTTATGATCTTTTACTGTCTAAAAGTGTCTACATTGGTCCTAAAGAAGATTTCAATGCAATTTTGAGAAAAGTCAGTGAAAAATCATGTGAAAGCATGCGAGGGATTCACTTGGAATACATCCAGTCATCATCCGATAAGCACTTAATGATCTTGACTGTGAATTCATTTGTTGGACATGACGTACCTGATGTAGATGAGAAGCTTAAGCACATCACAAAAGCATTTAATTTCCTTAATAAAGTTGATCCTCTTATATCACTGATTTTAAAAGTTGTTGCTGCATCACGTGACTTTAAAATAATTTTTGACTTCCATCGGCAGTCGATTCAGCATTTGGATCCAACATCAACTCAATTCACGAGAGGTGTTTATCATACATCAAGACATATCTACATTGCAGCACAACAGATGCTTAATCCTGAAACTGTTCATGAAATTTATGGAACAATGGCACATGAGCTTTGTCATTATGCTTTACATCTTGTGTATCACAATGACTGCAGACCATACTATGACGATGAACTGGATGTAATTAAACAATTCACTAGAATAGCACTTTTATGTAAATTAAGGCAGGATAAGGAGCCATTGATATCTTGTGTCTACAACATTTATTCAAAAGAATTACAACATGCTGAGCTGATTGTTCGAGTTCCACATATGATTGCTGAGTATTCAAATAATCCAAAAAAATTGCAAGAAATTCGACAAAATTTTCCAGAGCTGTTTCAATTTGCTGAAAACATCTCAGCTGTGGACATGGAAAATTCATTAATGGACATTGAGATTCATGCAGAAGATGAAATTAAGAAATTTGCACATCGAGTGAAGAAACAGGAACGTGAGAATTTTTGGCTGTGGATCTTTTCAGTGTTTTGTATATTGACATTGCCACTGATGGTTTATATTACTTTGTGGATGTCCGACACTTCGAAACCTGTTTATAGCTGTGGAAATCTTACAAATCAAAGGTTTAAAATCCAGGAATCAACTGTGAATTTCCAAGGAGTTCCTGTAATTTTTAAAGACTTATTTGGAAATAGTACAGATTCATGCAAGAACTTGACATCAGATGATCTTGGTACAATGCTGAATATTTATGATTCCAAAAAGTTAATGGATGAAAACGTCTATAAAGATTTAAGCGATAAAAACATAATCCAAAATGACCATGAACCATCCAAAACTGCAAAAATCTTAGACAAATATAAAAATACAACTGTTCGTCAGCCATCACTAAACGTAAGCACAAAGGTAGAACTTAAGGCCCCGTTCTTCATTGGCAGAAGAGTTTATCAAAGACTTAAAGGACATAATAGAAATGTATTTACTTTTAGTGAACTTACAAGGGCCAAAATTATGTTATTATCTGATTCAGCTGGAAATGGAAAATCCACGACTTTTAGACGTGCTGCATGGAAATTGAAGAGAACCTTGCCACTCCATTGGATCAGTTATGTTGATTTGAAGGAACATGTTGAAGCGCTGATTGAAGTTAACTTAAATAACACAAATGCATCTGCTATAATTGACTTTTTAATCGACTACATAATGCAGTTGAAATCAGAAGTGGATCGAGAAATTTTCAATCAAAAGTTTTTAGCTGACAATGTTATAATCCTTTGGGATGGAGTTGATGAAATCAGTCCAATCTGCACAGAAAAAATCTTGGGTTTGATTGACAAAATCTCAAAATTAACCAATAACAGCCAGTGGATCTCAACGAGAGTTCATCTTGAAAGCATAATAGCAAAAAGGTTCAATGTTTATCCTTACGGACTTTACTACTACAATGAGGCGGAGAAACTGAATTTCATTCGGAAATCCCTAGACATTCATAAAATAGTAAATGAAACAGCTTTAATTATTGAAGATCGAATCAATTCAACGATTTTGAGGCTTGAAAGTCCAGGAATATCAAGAAATATTCAAAATAAAGAAATAAAAACACCACTGATGATCAAAATGATCTGTGATTATCAGCTAGACATTTTTAAAGAAGAAGATCGAAATAAGACCATCAGTTCCTCCTCAAATATTTTGAATATTTACAGAATTTATGCATATTTGGTCAAAAAGCATTTTGACATTGCATATGACAATAAAAGTCAGATCGTCAAGGAGGATGTGGAAAAGATTCAAGAAGAGTATCAAACTCATGAAAATATCCATCAATTTTACGCACTAAAAGAGATTCTAGGAGCTGCACAGCTAAGAGATGTTGTCACTGATATAGACATTGAATATAAAAATTTGAGTATAATGCAGTCTATTCAGAATTCAACTGATCATGTGACGAATGAACAAATTACAAGATTTGGAATTATGTATGAAAATTCAGCACGTCAACTTAAATTTGAACACCGGACATTTGCAGAATATTTTGTTGCTAAATACATATTGGATAATTTATGGGATCCTTACATCAATCATGTAGACTCGGGAGAACTAAAGCTACGATTGCAAGTTTTATTGGCAATAATCAAAAATGATCAACATTTTAAAGTGATTTTAGATTTTATTGCTGGATTTATTGAAGTTAAAACACCGAAGAGTAAAACTACGTTTGGTCATAAAGTTCGAAATATCATGACTAACTATTATAGTCAGTTGTTCCACTATCTTGACAATAAAGCCAATTCCATCGACATTGCCACAAAATTCTTTAAAAAAGACAAAGAAATAATCAAAAAATTGTGGAAAATTGACCAAAATTTTACATTTTTCCAAGAAACTTTCAATTTTAACAGCAGTTTGAAAAGTTTTAATGAACTGAAGCAAGTCGTCGAAGACAATTTTGATGAAAATGATCAAAATAACATATTAAATGGAAACAATCAGCAGATCTTCATTTTGTTCAGGATTTGGAGTCATCAATATAACCACACAGCTTATAATGAGACTATTTCGAACTTAGACTTAATTCTTGATAAACTAAGTTCTATAGATGATTTTAAATTTATAAATTTTTTGGAATTCATAGACACCTTAAATTATTCAAAATCAGATTTTCGTGAATTTTTTCGTCAAACTTTCAATGAAATTCTTCAGTATACAGCTAAAGACATTGTTGATTTTACTAAATATTGGAAGTTCATCGATAATAAACTAGACAATAAGGACATCAAACTGATCTTATTTCACAAACAAAATGTGAATCAGCAAACAATTATGTTCCAAATCCGTAAACTACAGTCAAGTTTTGCACAAATCATTTTTGACTTTCTTGAGAATCACCTTAATAGCAGTGACATTATAGAACTGTTATTAAATCGGGATAAGAGTCAAAATGCAACATTAATGTCATATGATATTGAATCAAATGTTGACTTAGAGACTCTCAACCTAACATGGAACTTTATTAAAAATCACACAACAGATGAACTTCAGAAGCAGTTACTGTCATCATCTAATGGAACCATTTGGACCCTGAAAACAGTTTGGACTACAAACAACGTTACAACATTCGAATTTTACAGTCAAATTTTCATTGATTTATTCACAAAACTTGAACTCTGTGACATGATAATGGAATTGATTGAAAGCCTGCAAATTTTTGCAATCAACTTTGAAGAGCATGGAAAAAATGAAAGTTTGGTGTCAACAAAAAGAAAAGACTTTTTGGAGTTTATATTTGAAGGAGAACCGAAAAGATTAGAATATATTTACAGTAGAATTATTGACATTTATATTAGATGAACAATTCGATTATAAGTAATAAATAATAATGTTAAATTTACAAAATTTAATAATTAAATCCTTAAACATCTCATAATATATACAATCAATCCAAGCTTCAGAGAGTACAAGTGGGCATTAGCAGTAGTTTTTACCTGGGTTACTTATTATATGAAATAACTTGCATTAATTATCCACCAATACTTGTGTAATCTTTGTTTATTAATTAAATATTTCATAACTAGGCTTTTCATGTTCATTATTAGGGTTTAATTTTCATTACTGTTTTGTAAATAACTGTAGGACGCATATGACTTTAATGTTTTTAGAGAAAGTCTTCTCTCAAAACTTCATTTGGATTCACAAAATGTACATCCTCCCCCTTCGCACCTGACACCTACCTTGTCAACACCCCCCCACCACGATCCCCTTAAACATGTCCTTAATTATTTTACAGTAACAAGCGTCATCTAATGTTTATTTAAATTCATACCTAAAAACCACTGACATCTAGTGGAGAATCTAAAAAGTTTCCGTCACTTTCCTTTTGTTTATCAACAAAACATTTCAATCAGAAATAAATAAAGTGTTCATTAATTAATAATGCCTCCACCGAAAAGAAGGTTAAAGAAAATTTCAGATCCGCTTGTGTCACCACCATCAGCATCAAAGAGATTAAAACGTGAGAAAGCTGAGGATGTAAGCTTAGATAATGAAGATTCGAGTCCATTGAAACGGGAAAAAAGTTCAGAAATTGAGGAAAGTGATTTGTTGGAAAAAATTCCTGTATCAAGTAGGAAAAAGCAGCCACAACGCGGTCGATATGCAAAGTATGACAAAGAAGATCTGCTTGAAGCTGTCCAAATGGTGCGAACTAAGAAACTTTCACTTCATAATGCCGCAAAGCAGTACAATGTACCAAAAACAACAATACTTAACTATGTCACCAACGGAGATCGTGAGCACAGCAAACGAGGAGTTGAACCAGCACTAAAGCCAGAAGAGGAACAACAAATTTTGACATGGCTCCTTGATGGTTCTGATTTGGGAGTTCCTAGAACCAAAAAAGACTTGATTCAAGCAGCTATTGATGTTTTGAAGATTAACAACCGGCCGAATGTTTTTAAGAACCGAGACCCAACTCATCACTGGATCAAAACTTTCACAAATAGACATAAAAGTTGCGTTCGGCTACGGAATTCGACAAGTCCGATAAATGAGGGAAAATTCTTTCAAAAATTTTATTCATTTTTAGACAAAAGTGATTATTTGGATGTGCTGAAAAGACCAGATGGTTAGTATCTTGAGATTTTTCTTAGGGTTGTCTTTATTTAAGGATTAAAGCCTGCAAAGGCTTTTAGGTGTAGTTTGACTTTGTTATCTGCATATGAGCCAATAGGAGGTTGTTTGTTATTCTGTAGCGACTCTAACGTCCATACCTTAAATTTATTATGACTCTAATCCTCGCCTTGATGTTCTTAACCTTTCAACTAACAGATATGTTCCAATTTTTCAGCATTTTACATCATAGAAGACACAAATCTCGAATTTGATCGTGAAAAAATCAATCCAGAACGAAGAATGCTCCTTAAAAAATGTCTGACAAAGAAGTCCGATGATCCATCATCGTATCGTCTAAAGAACAGTGCAACAGTGATTTATGGATTTGGAGCTGATGGTCGAGGACTCCAACAAGTTGTAATTTTTCGAGATACTTTTAATGAAATGGCAAAAGTCGCACTTGCTGATAGAGATGCAAATGCAAATTTTTTATATCTTAGGACACAAGACGGTGGTAATGTCGAAGCGTCACTTCATTGCTACTTAAAGAGACTTGATGCTCAACTGAAAGATGTTGAAAGGCCAATTTTTGTATTTTGTGGTGAGACACTTCCATCTGTTGGACTTGAACTATCACGATGGTGCAATGAAAAGAAGATTTATGTCATTTCCTTCATTCCCAATAATGTTAGTGTACTGCAAAAATTTGACGATAGAATATTTGGAATTAAAAATACTGGTTGGGGGATAGAACTTGATAATTATCAGGATGAAGAACGCGTTGATAAATTATCGGAAATTGATTTTGTTAAAGTATTGAAAAAAACAAATGATCGAGTTTTTGATGAAGATAAAATATTTCAAGCTTTTGCTGAAGCTGGAGTTTTTCCATTTGATATGACAAAAGTCAATGACTTGCCTAGTGACTATCCTTCAGATGACGAGGATAATGCGGCTGAAAAGAAAATTACAAAAATATCGACAAAAATTCAACAAATGCAGGAATTAAGTAAAGAATTGTCAATTCAGCTAAAGAATAAAAAGCGAGATGATTTAGTATTGAACGTTAAGATCATCACTCAGCAGTTGGACTTTGTTGAATCCTCACTGTAAGGGATTGTTTCCTCATATTCACTAGAATTTTGTATACTGATTCTGAGTGTTAACATCCATCAAGTTTGTTTGGAATTCGTGAAAGGCATGCCAACCAAGAGCAACGACAGTCAAATTTGATATTACTCATTCGATCAAACCTAATACTTTGTAATGTTTTTTAATTAAAAATAAAATCTATATTTCTTAAAAAAAACTACCAAAAAGATTTTTCTTTATAAAAATCATGTGAGAATTTTATTCCAGTAAATCATTTATATTTGTTTTTTTTTGTCATAAAGATCACAAAAATCTATTCATTAATTTATATGTTTTTTGTTCCGTTTTAAATTCCTAACAACAATTGAACTGAAGATCCATTTTTATTTAATAAAGTCTATATATGCAAGTCAGTGTCATGGTCAGTAAATTTAAATTCATATCTATAGTTTGAGATTCTTAGTTAACTTCATCGTCCATGAAGATTGATGAGAATAAAATTTGACAAAATTTCTCAATTCCTTGAGACATTTTTCGATACGCCTTGGGTTTATTTTTCCAGTAAACACAGAGGAAGTAGAATGGAATGCCACTTAATGTAATTAATATGTTGATGCCTAAATTCATTGGCTCTGATATTGATGGAGTAAGAACAAGGACAAGGCATAGGATTAAGAATAACCATGGAATTAGAATGTTGACTTTGATTGGTCGTGGTGCATCGGGTCTGAAATGCAGTAAATATAGAAAATATAATGACTGGAATAGTTTCCTATCAAGCATGATAAAAGACTGACAGACAAATTTATGACATCTTATTTGTAAATTGCTACTTTACCTAGTTTTCCTCATCCATATCAATCCAAAAACGCAAGCAGCAATTGATAACCACAATGCCTGACTGAAATAGTTGACTAACTCGAAAGCATTTCCAAACAAAATCATAACAAGTGAGACAAAGCATGAAAATATAAGTGATGGAATCGGCGTCTGTCTGGAGACATGAAATAATGCAAAAAATGAAGGAAGATGTCCTTGATTAGCACCAAATGCAAATAGGCGTGCACTTGTGAAAATGACTCCGTTAACGCCACCGAATGTAGATCTAATTTGAATGAGATTCAGATTATAATGTCGGAAATTAATTTATTTTAAAAAAACTCACAAAGCGACGAAAATTGGAATCAACCAAGCAAGAGATCCAAATATTTTAGCTCCAAATGTCTGTTTATAAAAAAATTAAAATAGCATGAAGTGAAATTGTTGATAATCTACTTTTTTTGCATGAAATAATTGCTTACCACTGCAACAGCCAAGCTAGCTTTCATCTCAGCACCGCTCAAAACCGCAAAATATGCTACATTTGTAAGGCAATAGATTATTGTAACTATTGGCATGCCAATAAAAATCGCTCGCGGGAGGTTTCTAGGGTTTTGTGGTAAAAAAAGAAGGTTTTTTGGGGTTAGATTTTTTTTAATATTGATTTAATAAGTTTATTTCAGATTAATAATGCCCTTAGTTTTGCATGTAGATGCACACACCTAATAATAAGGCTATTAGAACAGAGTTATACAATCTAAGATATACCTTAGCAAATTCCTCAAAATGCAAAAGGGAAGATCATTCAATAATTCAATACTCACTTGTATGGATCCTGTAGCTCTCCTGTCACAAAATTCAAGTAGTTCCAGCCTAAATTTGATTTATTAATAAAAATAAAGAAAAATTTGAAAATATAGTAAAGTTAAAAATGATCAAATCCTAACCTCCAAATGCAAACAGTCCCTGCATAAATGCATAGCAAATATTCTTAGCATCATAAGTCCCTTCAAATGCATTATCAAAGTTACTTGTACCACTAATAGACATTCCATAAATTCCCATTATAATTATGGTTATCAAAGCTATTAATTTTCCTGCCGTAAAAATGTCTTGGACCTTCATCGATAATTTTGTCGATATGCAATTGATGGCTGTTAACAGACAGAGACAGATTGCTGCAAGCAACTTTACGAGATCTTGTGGAATTTCACAATTTGGAAAGAATGGCTTTGCTGCATATTCTGCAAATGTTAGTGCTACAATTGCCTGTGATAATGAAATAATTGTTGAGTGTTAAAATTGCCTGTAATTATTGTATTAAGTGACGTGACATGGATTTTAAAATAGATATGGAAATGGACATAGAATTTAAATGCTTAGTATAATTTAATTATGTTTGTAAGGGGTCGTTCACTTATAAGGTCCATCATTCTGGGGGAAGAAGGGTCAGTAAGTAAGTTTTGCTTTTTTGTGTCTATGATTGGACGTCACAAGGGGGGGGGGGGGGGGGTTGACATCTGTGACAGTTTTGTGACATAGGGGAGGAGGGAGTCATAAATGAACGGCTTACTGTGTTTTAAATGTCAATTACAATTTAAACAGCTCAATTTAATAAAATCTTTAAAATAAATTTATGGAAAATGCGTTTTAATAATCTCAACAATAAACATTTTTACTTAAGACCACTGCAGTTGACGGAAACATGAAGCAATTAACAACATATAAATTACAAGCTGACACCGCATTTGCATGCATTCATCAACAATCTTTTTGAAATTTTAAACTCGAATTTCGTCAGATTATTGGCGTAAATTAAATCAATTGTGATTTTTTTTTTTTCAATTTTCTCTCATTTAATTTGCGAACAATATAGCTGATTGATGAGAACAAGTCACCAGCATGAGATGTTGATAAAATTATTGAAATATATGATTGTATTGTATTTCAATTAAATGTCAATAAACAATCATTTAATGCGAATCAAATCAAACGAGGTGTCGAGTGGTGCATTTTTTAAAATTTATAAGGTGTCGTTCACTTATGACTTTCGAGATTTAAGGGTCTTGCGTTTTGTGACAGCTCAAATATATTTTTGACGGGCGTAATAAGGGGTCGTTCATTTATGACGTCCAAAATTAACGGTCATTTTATAAAAAAAAACAATAGATTTCCATTGTTCTTTTGTTGCTGACCATCCTCCCTCTGGACGTCACGGTCCCTAAGTGAATGACCCCTTAATTGAATGATACCTTTTTCGATGCTTATTCATTTCAATTTGAAAAATTTTAAAGAACTTTTAGTCTTTATATTTCCATATCCAATTCAATCCTTGCATGAACCTTTAAACTAGCTACTCACCTGAGTTGTAGGACGAATGATGAACAACGCAATCCATAATCTTAAAAATCCAACAAGTGGACCAAAAGCTGCCAGCAAATACGCATAATCTCCACCACTCGATGGAATGAGAACGCCTTTAAATCAGGTCGAGTTCAATGAAAAAATTGCATTTATTAATTATAAAAACTTTAATCTTTAGTTACCAAGTTCAGCATAACAAAGAGCTCCTAACGTTGATAATACACCGGACAGAATCCATACAAGAAGAGAGAATCCCACTGATCTGCATAAGGAAAATTAAAGGTTTTTTGTGATTATTGATGTGGAATATTATTGTAATTTAAGAAGTTATAACATGCAATCTGAGAATGATATGGGTATAGGATGTATTCAATTTATTATTAGGTATATAATTTTTAAATGATGTCTGTCTTTTCACTCAGTTACTGATTATGACTTACTAATGATTTATATTCAGAATGTTCATAACCCTAGTAAACAGGTCAGTCAAGTAAAGATCATTTAACCAGAGAGCACATGATAGTTAAATAATACATTCGTCATTTTCTAAGTCCATTAAAACTAAAAAGCCTAATAATTCCTGCCAAGTAAAGACCAGAAGCTAGCAATTAAAGAACACAATTTTATCATCGTTATGAACGAGCGAGAATTTCAGTTAAAAAGGAATTAAAATTAAGAAACGACGTAATAAAAGAGAATTGCCAAAAAATTGCGAGAATCAAGCACATATATCAAGCAATAAGAAGATCAACTGCTGTGAAAAATTTACTGTTATTTATGAACTTGAATTTTTTTAATTCTCTCAACAATGTCAAGGAATGTCGAAAAGTTGAAAGTGAAATTAAAAGTTTTTAACATGTTGAATTAATTTTATCAATTTATTATTAATAATGTCAATTTAAAGGAGCGTCTTTGAGAAGAAAATTAACTGTTTTCAATGCAGTACTGTTATTTATAGGTTTGAATAATCAGGGTTAACAATTAAGGTAGCATTTACTAAACTGTAATCGAAGTAAAAGAGATTTTTATTAAAATCTACCTAATCCAAGGCTTAAGGCTACAAGTTTAAACCAGAAGTAACTTTATCCATAATTTTCAACCTTAAAGATTCGCAATTAAGTGACTCTAAATCAGTGGTTCGCAAACTTTTCAGAACATGACACATTAAATTATTTAAGAGTGATTTAATACCATTTATTGGTTCCTGCATATACAAAACAATATTTTGCTGTTCTGTCAATCTATTTGCTGGGTACATAGGTCCACTGAACACTATAGCTTCGTATGGCATACTTTGAGAAACACGATTGATTACTTTCTAAGAACTTATTACGAGCAAATTCATCTTATTTAATTATGTGTGATAAATTCCGAGGACAAATCATTTCTGAACTATCGACTTTCATAGATAAAGTAGTTGACTAGTGAATGTAATAACAGGGTCGTTCACTTATGACGTCCAGTATATAGGGGGGTCAGGAAATTTGTGAAAAAATTATATTTTTTGTGTCTATGATTGGACATCAAAAGGGGGGGGGGGGGCAGGGTTGGAGTGGTGGGTATTGATATATGTTACAGTTATTTGACAAAGGGGGAGGGTTTTAAATTTTTTTTTTGATGAACGTCATAAATGAACGGCCTCAAAGAGAATGTGTGAATTATTCAGTAGATCTTTACTACATAAATTGCACCAAATAATATCGATCAAATCAACTTCAATAACTTTTCATCTCTAGTCATCACACACAGGTATAAAGAAATCATTGAAAATATGTTTAATGTAAGATTCACTTCATTTATAATCAGTCAATGCTATCTTTTTCTAATTTCATATATTTTATTCCAAAATAATGCTCATTTGTAGCTAAATAATCAGTATTTATTACAGCAAAGAAAAAATTAAATTGCTTTTAAAAAATCGAACAAATTGTTGCTTCGAAAATAAGAAGTAATGTTCCACGCAGTCAATGAGCAATTCTCGTTCTTTCTTTGTCTACAAAATTTATCAATCTTCTCTTCTTCCTCTCATTATTTCCACAACTCATGTTGGGCTTCATGTGGAACCAGTTTTTTCAACAAAATAATTGATTCGATTGTCTGGTAAAATTAATAATGCAGGGATGGAATGAGGAAGTTAACTTTGAGGCAAATGTTATGCTTTTAAGTATCAATATTCATTTCTTTCTGTCGTATAGAGGATTAATTATCAATCAGAGCCAGTCAATTATTAGGTACCGAGAATCTTAACATCCATGTGCTTATATATGAGAAGGTTAGCTGAAGAAAATGATTGAGACCTAACATTTAGCAATAGCTTCTAAACTGTGCTGTTTTAGTCGTTCAAATAATAAACTATTTTGTCTTTACAAACATCAATAAATCATATCTAAATCATAAAACTACTTACTCAGTATATTTGTAGACACCAGATGGAGATAAGAAGATTCCAGATCCTTTAGATTATTCAGAAATAAATGAAACAAAAGGAAGAGTATTTAAGATTTTTGTCGCCATTTATTAGTTTAGTCAGATAAATTTCTATTAATCATTAAAGTCGAGGGGTTGATATTGTCAAATTTCAATAGAATCATCCCACGGTATCAATTTACATTACTTTATTATTCAAATATGACGTAGCTTAGCGAGATTGATGAATCTGCATAAAACAATGTTTTACGAAACAATTTAAATTCAATAACCATAAAATAGTTTATAGTTGTTATTGTAGAGTGAGTATTTTAATGAGTTTAAATCTATTAAATTGTGTTTTGCATCAAATTTTTTTCTGTCATGTTTATTTGAGTGTTGTTTTAGTTTTTTAGCATAAAAAGTAAATAGAAATGTAATTTGCTTGTTGTTTTTGAATTTCAATTTGTAATTTTAGTTTGAGCAAAGACAGATCATAAGGACAATTAGTGTGCTCGTTATCAGTTATGAATAAGTTATCTTTCTGATCATGTCCTTAATAGGCTTTTGTCACAATATGTTTTAGAATTTTTAATAAATTATTTACAAACTTCAAAACCTTTCATCACCCTTTGAATATAAAATCAGTATTAAATGTCTCATAAATAGGGTGAACATCTGCGTAGTTTTACAACGGACAGTCCTGTATTTTTTTCATTTTAATTGCACTTTATTGCATTTATTGACGACATACTGTCCGGAAAATTTCAAAACCCTGTCCTGTATAAATTTGAAAATTTTGTTCCAGGTCCTGTATTTTCATAAAAATTTGATGGTCACCCTATTCATAAAATCAGAACCTAGTTTCGATTTCTAAACATGGCATCAGAGTTGGATAACTTCATTTCATTAATACTGTAGTTCATTAATTTTTAATCCAAAGATATAACCTCAATTAGTTTTAGAAACCAGCTCTTAAATTCATGGCAACTTAAACGAATTAACTTTTTATATTCACACCGTATTCACGTGTGAATCTATTGGTTTTGTTAAGATTGAGAAATAATTTTTTTTTTAATTTTGTGAAGATGTGGAGCAAGATAGCTTAAAATATCCAAAGATAAAAAGCTTGTGCCTGAAATTTCACATGATTTGCAAAAAACAGATTTCAAATTGGTTGCGGCATTGCTAAGAAAACGAGACATCGTAGAGATTTCTAGTTTTTACATTTGATCCGTGTTGCTCTATAGAAGAGCTGTATTGTTTTTGGGCAAGGTAGGAACATTCTTTGCTCCAAAAAAAGCAAAAAAACTTCCTTTCTTACGAATTTTTCAAAACAAAAGATTGTTATCTTAATAAAATTCAAGTATGAATGGAAAAAATCAAACAAAAAACTTTTAAAGAATGTTTGGAATATTTGTTAAGCTTATAACCTTCAAGCAAGAGTAAGTAAGAGCAGCTTGGTCTATACACAAGAATTTTGATGGAATGTAGTGAATATATCAGCATTGGGTTTCTACCCGATACATTAGTTTTGATAACAATTCAGAAAAGACTTGATTTTAGTTTTTACTAATTTTGGATGTTTTCATCATCAGCAATAATAAGAAAAACCGAAAATGCATCTGGTTTTCAACACGTGCTTATAAGAATAGAATATTAAGAATTTTAAAAAAAATCATGTTGCTCTTGTCTTGTCAAACAAATTTATCAGCAACAACTTTTAAAAACATTAAAAAATTTATTTCAAATTTTTAAAAATCAATAAAACAAACCAAATCGATAAGCTTTAAAATATCTAATACAGATCATAAATCACTTCAATCTCAATGAATCCTAACCACAAAAAGATAAAAATATCCTTCAAGTACCAATAATAGATCCAACAATGATTCCAACTCCATTCAACAAGGTGATTTTTCTCTCCAACACAACTTTATTATTACTATCTTCACCCATATTCACTGCACTATTAAATGTAAATACTGAATTTTGTTATTATTTTTTTTATATTCGGAATGTCGATGAGTATTTTCAATGGAATGACTGACTGTAGCACTTTATACACTAATTTTATGTCCTTTAACTATTTTTCCACTGCTGTTGTCACACAAAAGCCGATTTCATCATCTTTTTTCCCATCGTTTTCTATTTACATTTGGAAAATTGGTCAAATTAGACAAACTCTCGTCTCCAACAACTTTTGCTGCTGTTCAAGCATAATAATCAACACGATGTGAAATTATTGTCAGCACTTAATATTTTCGTGTGTCCACAAAAATGTTGAAAATAAAAAAAAGAGGTTTTTATGTTAAAAAAATGAAAAACTGAACACGTTGAACTGATTGGGAGTTTGGAGAGGAACTGACTCAAAAAATTATTTTTCATTCATTTTTTCCAGTTTCACTTCTTGCATTACTTTTTACTATGAATTTTTTTAGACATTCTCACATGAGATATACAAGTTGTGAGAGAATTCATTTTTGAGTATGCGCAGTCTGGCAATTTCTCATTAATTCTCTCTTTTTTTGTGTATTTGAAAGCATGTGCGTCGGTTTATTAAGATGAGAGAATTCGCAACCCCTTTCATTATGAATTTATGTATTAAGAAAAGGCAGTCGTTTGTTAATTTAGTTCTATTTACGGATACTTTGGCTAGTTTATGTACAATTTTAATTTATGCATATTATTAAAAGCCTTTTGGAGAAATGAGCCAGATGATTACTTCTGATTTATGTATTGTGTATCTTTTGTCAAGATCAAAATACGAGCATCAAGTTTTGACGACTTGTTGTTCATTTGATCATCATTAGAGCAACTTTTGAATAATGTATAGAAACCAAAATTGAACTTTTGTCTCGTTCTTAAGTAAGATGACGATTGATTTTGGATAAAAGAACGCTGGACAGTGCTCTAAAAATCATGAAAAAAATTGACATTCTTTTAAACTTACTTTATCCAATTTTGGCTATTTTTAAATTTAATTTTTCATTTATTTAAATTTTAAACTTAATTATGAACAAAATTTTGATTGCAGCTTTTAATATTTAAGGTTTCAGACATTTAATTTGTTTTTTGTCTCTTAAATTTAGCTTTTATTTGTACCTTAAGTTAAGCTTCCTACTCTGGCTTTGACAGAAAACAATCGGATATTCCGATAAGTGCACTATCGTCAGCGACATTTACTAGACATCATGTATTATTCATTAAAATTAATTTAAAAGTCTATTGATAAGTGTATAGCTAGAAATTGTTCAATCGGATCACGGTTTTAAATGTGTTTTTAGTTTAATAAAACCTTAAAGATAGAGAAGGAGATAAATTTAAAGTCTTGACAGAAAAATCGTGTTTTAGCAAGAAACAAAAAGGTTTTGATGTCCCTGTTCAAAATTCAACATTATTGCATTCTCATAAAAATCAACTGAACCTAATCTTAACACTATTCTAAGGGGCCATTCACTTATAACGTCCATCAAAAAACCTAATTTTTAGACCTCCTCTCCCCCTCGGTCACAAAACTGTCACAGATCTCAATACCTCCATTCCCTTGTGACGTCCAAACCAAGACACAAAAAAAAATTATAATTTCCTGATAAAAAAAAATTAGATGACACAAATTTCCTGGTCCCCCTCCCTCCCCTGTCACAATGTGTCACAGATTTTTTGACCCCCTCTCCCCCTAAATGTTTGACGTCACAAGTAAACGACCCCTAATCTTAATACTCATAATTTATTGAAGTTCAAGGTCACCATTTGTATTGTAATGATATTTTGCACATTTTACAATTCTGTTTTCTTCTTTCTACTCAGTTCATACTCAGTTTGTTCTTACGTCACATTTGTTTACGCTTACAAATGACTCAAACATTCTCAGTGAACTATGAGGTGTCCAATATTTTCTGTAAAAAGAAGATAAGTTGTTTTTTCAAAGGTTGTTTATGTTTCTTACGTGGAAGGCCCAAGAACTCATGAAAAGAGGCTGTTGGTAGAGGCAGTGATACATTTGAAATCGGCAATTTGCAGACGGTAGCCAGCGATAGAGCTAGATTTAGGGGACGGCTAAGGGAGTTCATTATTGGATTGGATGTGTTGAAAAAGATGCTAGAATCCTGAATATCCTCGAACTGGTAGAAGGTTTCTAAAGATAGAGCTGCCTTTAGACGTTCTCTAAGCGCGGCAATGGGAACACGTGGGCCCCAGCCAAGGTAGTAGATAAGTAAGTAAGGAAGGTAATGGATCACAATTGGTCTGTACGACCAGCGAAGTAAGTAATGTTTATCATCAATGCTGATTGCTTGTTTCCAATTTAGATGAATTTTTGATTTTTTTGTTGAATTTTAAATGTAAAATATTCACAAAAATTGAAAATTTTGTGTGAATATGAAAAAAGTAAAAAAAAAACGTAGTAAAAAGGTTAAATTTGTTTACCAATTGTCAAATATTTATCAATTCTTGCAAGTTTTTTGACCTTTTGATCTCAAAAATTGGCAATAAAAATAGATTTCTAAAAAGTTTGTTTACTCTTCCGATCAAATATCAAAATTCACATTCCTACAATTGACATTAATTAATATTAATCGACGTATAATAACAAACATGATAACATATGCCGAACGTCTAGTTTGTATACTTTGTAGCTGATTTATATGCAAATTTATTCATTGAACTTTTAACAGTTTTGTGTAATTATATTGATTTTCATTATATAATAAGGAGGTGCTTATTACTTTCAACAGATTAACTTGATAATTTACTTTCGAACATTTTCTGATTTATTGACTTGATAAGTGATTGAAGAATTTTTTAACATGCTCGATAATTTGTTGTTAAATTATTCATAATAAGCTTCTGTTCATGGTGAAGTTGTCATCAGTTTAGCTCAACTTAATACATCAACTTTTAAGTTTTCCAAGTGGCACAAACTTTCAGCTATTTAATTTTTTTATACCTCATTATCATTTCATTTCCAGCACCAAGAATCTTTCATCAAACAGTTTATCAATGCGAGCCTATTCATCAAAAAGAAATGCGCACTATCTGAAAAATAATCAATACATGCGCACTATATAAAAAAACGTGTTGCGCATTATAGAAAAACAAAAACAATATAGTGCCGAAGACAAAATGAGCACAGTAAACCCGTTTCGAGGTCGTTGTAATTATTTCCTTAAATATAAGTCTAAGCAGAATTGTTTCGCTATTTCATCCAGTTTGAATAAATCTTTTGACCAAGCAGCATCATGACATTAAAGTTTAAACCAGTGACACATGTGCTTTTCGATTTGGATGGACTTTTGTTGAGTAAAAACTTTTGACCACTAAATATTTACATCACGTTTGTTGTGTTTACATTCTTCTTTTTACTGTGACCTTAAAAATTTGATCTACATTTAAAGTGACACAGTTTTTAATTAATTTTAGATACAGAAGCGCTTTACACAATTGGAACTCAGAATGTCTTGGACAAGTTTTTTCAAAATCCAAGAAAACTTTACTCATGGGACTATAAAGTCATTCTAATGGGTTTAAAGACCGAGGAAGTTTGGAAAAAGATTGTTGAACATTTTGAGATTCCAATAACATGGCAAGAATATGAAAAATTGGCAATTGAACAATTTGATGTGCTGATGAAGGATTGTGTCAAGCTACCAGGTGTAGATAGACTCATCAACCATTTACACAAGCACAACATTCCATTTTGTTTAGCTACAAGCAGTTCACAAGAATCTTTTGATATAAAAGCAACGCATCATCAGGAATTTTTTAATAAATTTAATCATATTGTATTAGGATCAAGTGATTCAGGTGTAACAAGAGGCAAACCCTTTCCGGATATTTTTCTGGTTGCTGCTAGTCGATTTTTGAATCCACCAAACCCTGAAAATGTAAGTATATGACTACGACCAAAATTAGATTCTTAATAATTAAGAAATTTATCAATTATCAAAACTCTCGGTTCCGTTGACGACATGCATACAAAAGTCATAGACTAGTAGCTATCTAAGACTCAAGAATTCTTGAACTAACCTTAATTCCGCAATATTCTCAACTAAACTCTCAATTTTTCAGTGTCTCGTCTTTGAAGACTCTCCAAATGGTGTGAAATCAGCCCAAGCAGCAGGCATGCAAGTTGTAATGGTCCCCAATCCACATGTGACTGAAAATCAACGTAAAAATGCTACACAAGTATTAAATTCACTTTTGGATTTTAAACCAGAAGACTTTAATCTTCCACCATTTGATGACTAAAGATAAAAACTCAAGTTGTTTTTAACTTATTTGTTATTATTAATTGCAAACATTCCTAGAAAAATTGGCAAATAAAATCTACATTATAAAAGCCCAATTCACCGATTCACTGACTTTAGAACCGAAGCCATGTTAAGCCATTTGTGAAGCCATGTGAAGCCAAAAATTTTAGGAGTGTTGACAAGGTGGTTGTCAGGTGGAGATGGGGGCCAAGGGGGGTGTCAGGTTATTTTGTGAAGCTAATGATTTGAGGAGTGCTGACAAGGTAGATGTCAGTTGGAAGGGGAGGTGGGGGGGACAAGATGGGTGCGGCTTCGAGGGGGTTTGTGAAGCCATTTATAAAGTTTTTGTGGGATTTTAATTCTATTAAAATTTTAAAATGAAATTTTAACCCAGATAAGAGGCGCCACGAGCGCCTCTGGATAGCCTAGTTTAAAATAAAACATTAAGATACGATTTAAAAAATTTAAAGCATATTTCAGATCAAATAGAATTGAAGTTATTTGAATTTACCATCAATTTAAAGATTCAAATAAGAGAGAAAATGATTTTATATATCAAGATGTAAAAAAAAGGAAGGCAATTATTTACTTAATCACATAGATAACATTTTAAGTAGGACAACGATTAGTTGATTTCTATGCGCTCAATATATTTGATTTGCACAGAATTTCATTCGATAAGCTAAAGACTCTCATTTACGAATTTTTTTAGTAAGAGAGTTCTCATACAATTTTTGGTATTTAAAGTCAATACAATAATTAAAAATTTTAATTAAGTTCAAAAATTAAATTGAAGAAGTAAAAATTATAAATCATGAATTATGTAAATTATTTTACTTTAGTGTTCATCATCTCAGCCACAACATCAATTACTTTTTGTGATGATGTTAATTCACAACTAGATTCATCAGAATCTACAAAAACGGCTGAAAAGTCATTTTATGGATCTTACAGATGGGAAGAGATGCGCATAAATTATGTTCTACCAGAAGACGTGGTTTATGGAGGTCAAAATGCTGGACTTGAACCACTTTTTGTTGTCAGAGGTAAAAGCAATAATTATAATTATTTTGGGAAGTTGCCGATGCCATACAGTACCAGGGATGCTTATTTAACAAATGAAAGTCGAGAATTCGCTACAAAAGATTTTCACGTAAGTACTTTTTTGACTATTCTTAAAAAGATCTGTTAAGCTTATTAAAAACTTAATTTGAAAAATTAACTGATTTTTTTTCAATCCTAGATTTTGACTGCAAAAGGCTATTCATAGTGTAGACCAAATTCTTTTGCCAGCTCTGCAACTATAATCAATCCAATTTGTAGAGCTCGTTATGAAGGTTTCCTCACGCCAGGAACTCTCGCAAATAATAAATGTAGAGTTGGCTGGGGATGGAAAACTAATTTTTATGAAGACTTTGAAGTACTGATTCTTGGTGCTGGATGTTCATAAAAAAGAGTCATTTCAACAAAATAGTTGATGTTTAAGTAGAATGAGATAGAAGAATTTTGATTCCTGCATGCATAGGCTTGGTTTTTCAGGGGACAGTCCTTTATATTTTTTAATTTTTCAATAATAAAATATATTTAATACAGTTTTCTGCTGTTGCAGATTTAAATAAAGTAAGGATCAACAGACAATTATGGGCTTTCTTGTTATAATGTTTAATTCTTTCATATTATGAAGGTGGTGAAATGGCATCAGTGGCCTATGTGGTAGTGCATTGGCCTTAAGCGCCAAAGGTTCCGGGTTCAATCCCAGGGCAAATCAAGTTGTAGAAGCTCTTTTTTCTTTTGAGCGAGAACAAAGAAGATTTACGCAAAGCGTCTAAATTTCCGCCTTACTTGACCTCCGTAGCTTTCAAATGGTATACATATCAATATGATTGACTTCGAGTTGCGTGCTGATTTCGTAATGAATAAAGGTAGGCTTAAAATAAATCCATCGAAATAAAAATTGCAATCGTTGAAGCTACGCAGGTGTTGATGGAAGTGAGGCATGTGCTTATTTTGCAAAAATTGCAGTAATGTTTGATTTTGATTCTAGGCTTCAATTGACCAAGTTTTGGTGCTGAATGCTTCAAATTTTGTGGCTGAATGAAAATTCAATAATTATTGCAAAGGTTGCAGTAATGTTTGATTTTGATTCTAGGCTTTAATTGGCTAAGTTTTGGTGCTGAATAGTTCAAATTTTGTGGCTGAATGAAAATTCAAAAATTATTGCAAAGGTTGCTGTAATATTTGATTTTGATTCTAGGCTTCAATTGGTTAAGTTTTGGAGCTGAATAGTTCAAATTTTGTGGCTGAATGAAAATTCAAAAATTATTGCAAAGGTTGCTACAATGTTTGATTTTGATTCTAGGCTTCAATTGGCTAAGTTTTGGTGCTGAATAGTTCAAATTTTGAGGCTGAATGAAAATTCAATAATTATTGCAAAGGTTGCTACAATGTTTGATTTTGATTCTAGGCTTCAATTGGCTAAGTTTTGGTGCTGAATAGTTCAAATTTTGTGGCTGAATGAAAATTCAATAATTATTGCAAAGGTTGCTGTAATATATGATTTTGATTCTAGGCTTCCATTGGCTAAGTTTTGGAGCTGAATAGTTCAAATTTTGTGGCTGAATGAAAATTCAAAAATTATTGCAAAGGTTGCAGTAATATTCGATTTTGATTCTAGGCTTCCATTGGCTAAGTTTTGGTGCTGAATAGTTCAAATTTTGTGGCTGAATGAAAATTCAATAATTATTGCAAAGGTTGCAGTAATGTTTGATTTTGATTCTAGGCTTCAATTTCTAAGTTTTGGTGCTGAATAGTTCAAATTTTGTGGCTGAATGAAAATTCAAAAATTATTGCAAAGGTTGCAGTAATGTTTGATTTTGATTCTAGGCTTCAATTGGCTAAGTTTTAGTGCTGAATAGTTCAAATTTTGTGGCTGAATGAAAATTCAAAAATTATTGCAAAGGTTGCAGTAATGTTTGATTTTGATTCTAGGCTTCAATTGGCTAAGTTTTGGTGCTGAATAGTTCAAATTTTGTGGCTGAATTAAAATTCAAAAATTATTGCAAAGGTTGCTTTAATATTTGATTTTGATTCCAGATTTCATTTGGTTAAGTTTTAGAGCTAAATTGTTCAAATTTTGTGGCTGAATTAAAATTCAAAAATTATTGCAAAGGTTGCTGTAATATTTGATATTGATTCTAGGCTTCAATTGGCTAAGTTTTGGTGCTGAATAGTTAAAATTTTGTGGCTGAATGAAAATTCAAAAATTATTGCAAAGGTTGCTGTAATATTTGATATTGATTCTAGGCTTCAATTGGCTAAGTTTTGGTGCTGAATAGTTCAAATTTTGTGGCTGAATGAAAATTCAAAAATTATTGCAAAGGTTGCTGTAATGTATGATTTTGATTCTAGGCTTCAATTGCTAAGTTTTGGAGCTGAATAGTTCAAATTTTGTGGCTGAATGAAAATTTAAAAATTATTGCAAAGGTTGCTGTAATGTATGATTTTGATTCTAGGCTTCAATTGGCTAAGTTTTGGTGCTGAATAGTTCAAATTTTGTGGCTGAATGAAAATTCAAAAATTATTGCAAAGGTTGCTGTAATATTTGATTTTGATTCTAGGCTTCAATTGCTAAGTTTTGGTGCTGAATAGTTCAAATTTTGTGGCTGAATGAAAATTTAAAAATTATTGCAAAGGTTGCTGTGATGTATGATTTTGATTCTAGGCTTCCAATGGCTAAGTTTTGGAGCTGAATAGTTCAAATTTTGTGGCTGAATGAAAATTCAAAAATTATTGCAAAGGTTGCTGTAATGTTTGATTTTGATTCTAGGCTTCAATTGGCTAAGTTTTGGTGCTGAATAGTTCAAATTTTGTGGCTGAATGAAAATTCAAAAATTATTGCTAAGGTTGCAGTAATATTCGATTTTGATTCTTGGCTTCAATTGGCTAAGTTTTGGTGCTGAATAGTTCAAATTTTGTGGCTGAATGAAAATTTAAAAATTATTGCAAAGGTTGCTGTAATGTATGATTTTGATTCTAGGCTTCCAATGGCTAAGTTTTGGAGCTGAATAGTTCAAATTTTGTGGCTGAATGAAAATTCAATAATTATTGCAAAGGTTGCAGTAATGTTTGATTTTGATTCTAGGCTTCAATTGGCTAAGTTTTGGTGCTGAATAGTTCAAATTTTGTGGCTGAATGAAAATTTAAAAATTATTGCAAAGGTTGCTGTAATGTTTGATTTTGATTCTAGGCTTCAATTGGCTAAGTTTTGGTGCTGAATAGTTCAAATTTTGTGGCTGAATGAAAATTCAATAATTATTGCTAAGGTTGCAGTAATATTCGATTTTGATTCTTGGCTTCAATTGGCTAAGTTTTGGTGCTGAATAGTTCAAATTTTGTGGCTGAATGAAAATTTAAAAATTATTGCAAAGGTTGCTGTAATGTATGATTTTGATTCTAGGCTTCCAATGGCTAAGTTTTGGAGCTGAATAGTTCAAATTTTGTGGCTGAATGAAAATTCAATAATTATTGCAAAGGTTGCAGTAATGTTTGATTTTGATTCTAGGCTTCAATTGGCTAAGTTTTGGTGCTGAATAGTTCAAATTTTGTGGCTGAATGAAAATTCAAAAATTATTGCAAAGGTAGCTGTAATATTCGATTTTGATTCCAGATTTCAATTGGTTAAGTTTTGGAGCTGAATTGTTCAAATTTTGTGGCTGAACGAAAATTCAATAATTATTGCAAAGGTTGCAGGAATATTTGATATTGATTCTAGGCTTCAATTGACCAAGTTTGGGGGTTGAATTGTTCAAATTTTGTGGGCGAAATAAATAAATGGATAAATTATTACTTTTGGAATCTCCTTCACTATTCTATGGCATTAATTATCACATTTAAATTAATCAAAAGCTTATATGAGTTAAACGTCCAAAAATGTGTGTGTTTCTCCTGATTAATAAGCTCCTATAAATACATTGACAACTTCTAATCATATCTACGCATACAAACACAAACTGTGTTCATGTTATTATTAAAAACTTCCAAAAAAACTTAACAGTTTGACTATAAAATTCATCATGGATAAATGGAATAACAAAACTGCTGTTGTAACCGGTGCATCATCAGGAATTGGAGCTGCAATTATCAAAGAACTAGCAAATAATGGTTTAACAGTCATCGGATTAGCAAGAAGAGTTGAAAATATTGAAGAAATCGCAAAAGAATTTGATGAAAAAATTTTCGCGTACAAATGTGACATTGGAGATTTAAATTCCATTAAAGCAGCCTTCAAGTGGATTGAAGAAAAGTTTGAAAAAATTAATATAATTATCAACAATGCAGGAATGATTGCTGGAGTCAGAATCTTCGATGAAGGTGAAGAAGCAGAACAGAAAATGATTTCAACAATTGATGTCAATTTCACTGGACTCGTCCACTGCACCAGGGAAGCTGTCCGACTGATTAAAAAGTCTGAAGATTATGGAATGATCATTAATGTCAGTTCCATTCGTGATTCTAACATTCCATTTACTTCTTGGCCAACAATTTATCCACCAACTAAACATGCAGTTAAAGCATTCTCAGAAATTGCAAGACAGGAACTAATTGTCAGCGAACATGACAAAATAAAAGTATCAAACATAAGTCCGGGTCTAGTTAAGACAGGAATATTGTCTGACCAAAGTTTTTATGATACACGTCCTCATCTGGCATCGGATGATGTAGCACAAGCTGTTGTTTATTTATTAAGCACTCCATACAATGTCAATGTAACTCAATTGACTATTAAGCCTGTTGGTGAGAAGGAATAAAGTCATTAGGATTCAAAGTTTGGATTGGAAATTTGGTTTTTGAGAAGAATTTTGGAAATAATTTTGAGTAGAATCCTAGATTTATTGTCTTATTAATGATTTGGATGAAGAGTCGATTAATTACATTTTTATGGAACTGCAGAAATGTCATTAGGAAAGTAATAAAAAGGATAATTTTTTAAGAAAAAAAATTAAGTATAGCCTGGAATTACCTTAAACTAAGACTTAGGAAAACTCTTGGTATACTCTAAAGTTACACATTAGTCATATTCTTAAGGCATTCTAAACAACAAAGCGCATGGAAATCCTTTTTTTTTTTGAATATTTCAAACTAAAGTCCAAATTAACCCAAGGATGCGGAACTGTAGAATTACATTTTGATCATTTTTAATCATTTTAATTGATAATTTTTGATCATTTCATCAGAACCACACCCTTGGATTAACCAACAACTAAGGGACTTGTTACAGTTTTTTGACAAAAAGTAGTCATTTTACAAATGAAAATTTGAATTTGAATTTCAATTTAAATTTATATCTTAAAATGTCCAAACTTTTAAGCACTACAATTTAATTCTTAACATCAATTCTTAAATCTTTATTATATACGCTAGCTCATTATGTAGCGCATAATCTTCATTAAGTAGTTGTGTGTCCAGCAGCCAATTAAAAATTGTTTTTAAATCTTAGAAAAAATGCTCATGTCGGCTCTCCTTCCAATTATCAGTAGGTCACAATGTCTTTAGGTCCGTTCCAGTAAAAGCCCTCGATGGTGAATTTACGGATCTCGTATCTTTCTCATTCTAATTCTTAGTTTTACGTCTTAAACTGCTGTAACTAAGAAGGCGAAGTATCTAAACTTCTAATGAATCACCAGGCTGGTGGTGGGATTTGAATTCATCTATCGACTTGACATACTATGCTAGTGTCTAAGATAAAGCTAGTAATCGTTCCCCTTAGTTTAATTCTTGCAACCAGCTTTTAAATTTCAACAAGAACAATATTAATAAAAGAATCAAAAAAAATAACTGCCACCAAAAATTCAAATTTGTTTGTCAACATAAATGTTATAACAGTCGTATGACAGATAATATATTTTTTTATAACAGTAATTATGATTCATAGTGAAAAATTAAAATAGAAAAAAAATTCAAGAAATGAACAATTTACACAAAATTCTTGAACTTTATTGTGAATTACAACTAGATTTAAGTTTTAATGAGCCAAGAATAACAAAGATTTATCCACAAAATTACGGCGACGATGAAGTATTGAAAATTTTAGGGGAATTTGTGTTTCCTTGTTTTAGGTAAGTAGAAAAAAAAAATATTTTTTTTTCAATGACAAATTTTAAGACCAAAAAATAATAATTTTTTTTATTGTAGAACGAACTCACCGACAAAGACAGAAAAGTGAGTTTAAAAATAGAAATTAAAGCTTTATGCCAAAAAAAAATAATATTATTTTATTGATTTCAGGACAACAAATTCCCCAACAAGTTTCTCATTCGTACTCACAAATATAAATAAACAATATAAATATGGATTTTGTAGACAAGACGTAACATCTGGTAATGTAACGAATGCTATAGTTATACTCACACTGCATCCGTGGCATGATATATTCCTCAAATTCCTCAATGTCTTGTCAACATTAAGAAAGAAAGTCACAGATCGTCAATTTGACTCGTATTTAAATTATATTAATAGAAAAAGTCTTCCGGATGAGCATAAAATGATAAATTTCATTTTTTCTGATGGAAATGGAATTATTTTGCAAGAGTTTTGCTTCAAACGACCACTTTCGATTGCACTTCCGTCAATTCCTGAAAATCACAACCTAAACTTGTTCTATAACTACATAGAACCAAAGACAATGATTGAAATTTTTGCTGCACTTTTAACGGAACGTAGAATAATTTTTTTATCGAATAATTATGATAAGTTGTCATCATGTGTACAGGCATCATGCTCACTGCTATATCCAATGTATTGGCAACATATCTTCATTCCATTGTTACCATTCAAATTAAAAGATTATTTACTAGCTCCGATGCCATATTGCATTGGATGTCCAACGAGTGTCTTCAATCTTGTACGTAAAGAAGAAATTGGTGATGTTGTGCTGATTAATTGTGATACAAATGTCATAACATCGCCTTTTAATGACATTAGTGATTTACCACAAGATATTTTGAGCTTTTTGAAGAAAAATTTGACTGGATCGTCGTGTGATTTGCGTGGTGATCGAATTCCGAGAGTTTTTCTCAGTGCTTTAGTTCAGATCATTGGTGGATATCGTGATGCTATCAAATATACAGAAAAAGGATTAAAATTCTCAAATGAAACATTCATTGAATCACAATTGCCGCTATATAAGACATTTGTGCAGAAAATTGTTGAGTTACAAGTTTTCCAGCAGTTCATCGAAGAGAGATTAATGCTCATGCAGAGCAATTCGGAGACTACCGATATTTTTGAGATTGAAGTTGAGTTGCATGAGGCAAAAATGGGCAAGAAAATGAACCAATATAAGGAATTTATAAAGAATATTAAAGGAAAAGCTAATCCAGCTGTTAAGAATGCTGTTAAGTCGGTGAGTAAAATTAATTTAACTTATAGGCATTCCATGATCTCCCTGATGAAATAGTTTATTATGACAAGCATTGTTGTGTTACTTTAAGTCAGACGCGTAACCTTGGGGGGTATTTGTGGGACAAATTCCCCGACGTTAACAGAAATTTCCCTCTGAATTTTCCATATAATATGTATGGATCCCCCCTCTTTAAATTCCTGGCTACGCCCCTGCTTTAAGTACTATGTTTAGCATCATAACAATTTGCGTAAATAGAGATGATGTAAAATTCTCGGAAATAAACGTTGACGAATCTTCTTTTAAAACATTTTGTTGAATAATAGAAACAATGAATGCAGAATTTTTTGATCTGGGTTTTCCCTGAAGTGTGTGGGTTTTAGTTATATTAGAGCCAGATGATGAATGTGCTCTGTGATTTTTAGAGCTTTGGAGAGTTCATTGCAAATAAGACCAAAAGTTTACGCTTATTCCAATCAGTGGGTACAAACGTGGCCCTAGCCTTGAGCATCACAATATAAATAATCCAAAGTGCGATAAAAATTTTGATTTATCCTCAGAAACCAAACACTCTTGTTATGCTTTAAAATTCATTAAAGACAGATATCATAAAGAATGTAGCGAGAGATATTGCTGTAAAATATAAATCTGTTTCACCACTTATATCTCTCGCAATAATAATAATGCTATTGTATATTCAATTGAGATGTTTATTATTTTTTCCGCATTATGACTCAGTTCAAAGTGAAAGTAACGTATATGTTGGCAATTTACGTTGGCAGTAATGATCATAATAAATTAAAATTTGATGTGTACTATACGTGGCTTAGTGATAGCTGGTTACTATGATAGTAAGGCAAGGAAACTATCCCAAACAACCCATTTTTCCTACAACTCCCAAATATCTCAAAGATATCCAAAATAATCTTTGAGCCTGTATGCATACATCCAATACACTAAGGATTCGTTGGGATATCTTTATTATCGTACTTACAGGCACAGGGTAGTTTTGGATATTTTTGGTATATTTAGGATAGTTTCTACGCCTTTTGCGATAGTACACAAAAGCTGTGATATCAATATGAGCTACGATGGTATTAAAATAAAAATATGATATAAAACACAATTTTTACTGTTTGAAATAAATCTAATTAAATTATTATTCAAATGCTATTCTAGGTTAAAGACACATGCAAGGAATTCAAGCAAAAAATGCGCGAGAACTCAAGTCGTGAAAAAGACAAATTCAGACCCGAAAAGACATATATTCGACGTCTCGAGCCAATTGAGTCATTACAAATTTACGAAACTAAATTTTCAAGCACATTTATGGAAAGTCCATCAACCAGCAGTGGATCAAGCTCATCAGATATGAACATATTACAGGAACTTGAGGCTCAAGGAATTCTAAATTCGTCATCATTAACGTCATCGTCTAAGGACAGTGAGACTGTAAAAGAGTGCAATTTAATCGATTTAAGTAGTGACGGTTCGTGTGATAATATTGCCAAATTCAACCAACTAGCACTAAATAACGATAAGACAATGAATAATAGTAAAACAATTGAGAAGGACCCATTTGGAAGTTCTGAATTATTAAGCGATGTAATGAGTGAATTGTATAAAGCGAATAAAAATAATTGGACTACTTTTGAATAACATAGACCAAATAGAAAATTTGTTCTGCATTTTTATTTTTAAATCCTAACCTTAGATCAGTGCTGCTCAAACTTTTTTCAGCCATGCCATACTTTGACTTAAGATATATATTTTTTCACAGAACACCTGTAATTTTTTCTTTAAAAATCATCATTTTTTTATGTCGAAGTTTTTTATTGTAATTCCTTAGCACACCTACGGATAATCTACGGCACACAGATTGGACAACACTGGCTTAGATCAATCCACATTATGAATACAATTTAGACCAAGAATTTCAGCCAAAAACAGAAAAGATCTTTTAATTGCAGGTAAAGTCGAGAAGCTTTAAATATTTTCGCGACACACAGTTTGAGAACTACTGTTCTAATGCCTCGCCAATTGGATCTAATGAAAATGTAACTTTTGAACATAAATTTGTCTACATAAAGCTACATATGGCACACAATAGTGTCGACTAGCATCACACCTGCCAATAATCAGATGTGTCTATCCTGATAATCAAAACTAATTGAGTTTGATATTAAGTACGTTTATCCAAACATCAATAAATAGTCTCTGGTGCTACGTATGCCTCATATTACGCTTGAAAATGGCCATGCCTGACAACAAGACCTTCAAAAAAGAATTTTGTTTTGTTGATTTTAAATTATTAAAACTTTAAAACATTCATTATTATCTTGAGAAGATACTTCATCATCTACAGAATATTAAGATCAACATGGAGCTGTTTATCAAATAATTAAAACATGATTATCAACTCAAGTGTTTAAAAGTAAATAAAAATTGTCTTAAATTTATTTCTTTGTGTCGATTCTGCATGCATTCTTTGTTTTTCAGTAAAAGCATTGCAAGTAAAAGTAGCTTAGCTATAAAAAAGTTTGGTAATTCAGTCAGGAAACTACTTAGGCATTTTGTAGATTCCAAAGATTTCAAGGATGTAGCTAAGTACTTTTTTATGTCAATTGATTCGGTTTCGGGATAAAAACTCATGCTCGATTAATTTTTTTATAGCTAATTAATTTTAAAACCAAAAACTTAACAGCTGTAGCCTCGATACAAAAATATTTTGATTCCTCCGTTCCTGATGTTGATAATCTTGAAATGAATTAAATAAAAGCTTAGGTCTAAAATGTCTGCTTCACTACAACTCACGTGACAAACTAATTTAATAGTGTTCGAGGAACAATTTTTAAAACAGACATTCGTGTAGCTACATCAACTGGAATTTAATTGTTTTTTATTTTAATTTATCATAAGATCTGGTCTTTCATTTGATAACGAGTAGTGAGAATGAGCAGAAGCATCTTTAATAATCGTCCTGTTACCCACTGTATTTTCGATATGGATGGATTGATATTAGGTAAATTGGTGGCATTTTTTATTATGAATTTTTAAAAAATATTTTGAACGACAAAAGTGACATAATAGTGACATCTGTTTAAAAGACGGCATAATATTGATAGTTTTTAAATATTTTGTTGGTGGTGTAATTCGAGGTTTTAAGGTTTTTTGTGCCTCTTCAAACAGTTTAAGTACTGTTTGAGGAGGCTTTTTCTTTTTTGAATGGAGAGAAGAGCGTATTTAAAATAAAAATAAAATAAAATAAATAAAAAAGATAAAAAAAACTAAAAATTCAATTTAATTCCAACTTATATTGCTTTTTAAACAAATTACCTAAGCAAAAAGTCTGAGGTTATGTCAAGATTTAAACCCCATTTCCATTTCTTGAACTTTTAACTTTTCGGTTACATCTGTATTCTGAAGGCTTCCTGAAGGTCAGTTTCAAAAATTTGACTACAAAACCAAGACATAAACTAACCCGAATGGCACAAGTCAGTTAATTGAATCCATCGCCTAGCTGGCAATACCCTGTCATAGTCCTTGCTTTGGTTTAAATCCAGCACCTAAAGATCCACACTGGGTTGGTGCTGGATTTCTGATCGATTACCCGACTTATAACATTCAAGACCAAATTTTCGACCACAACTTAGGCTAGGTTCGAAAGCGAGACTAGTTCCTAAATATGATTTTAGTCTTGGTCTTTATCTCAAAATCGAGAATCTTAGTCTAGACTAAGTTCAAGAGCGAGACTAGTTCCTAAATATGATTTTAATCCTACTCTTAGTCTCAATATCGAGAATCTTATCCTAAGAAATTTCAAAATTCAATCAAAATTGATCAAAACTTAAACTTATATTTTTGTTCTAATTTATCTGATTAGTCTTCGATGTTGAATTGGTAAATATTGCAAATTTTCTATAAATTCATCCTCAGATACTGAACGTCTGGCATTTCAAGTGACCCAGAACATTCTCAACAAGTTATCGAATCCACCAAAAGTACATACTTGGAAGAATAAGGAGAGTTTATTGGGCCTTAAATGTGATGATGTCGCAAAAAAAGTCGTCAAAATCTACGATCTGCCAATTTCATGGCAAACTTACAAAGAAATGGCTCGACACGAAGCAAAAACTTTAATGGAAAACTGCGAAATTTGCGAAGGTTTTTAAAAGCTCATTTTTATTATTAATTCAGGTTTTTTATAAAGAATTATTATTTACTTTATGACAACACAGGTGCTGAACGACTCATTTATCACTTGTACAGCAATAACATTCCAATTTGTGTCGCAACGAGCAGCTCTAAAGAGTCTTTTGCAATAAAAACGACAAACTATAAGGAACTTTTCAGTGCATTTAATCATATTGTGCTTGGTGGAAGTGATTCTGAAGTTAGGAATGGTAAACCATCGCCAGATATTTTCATTGTTGCTGCAAGTAGATTTGATGACATGCCGAATTTCCAGAATGTAAGTAAACCTACCTAAAGTATAGGAGCGTGATGGGATGACTGACACTTTGTCTAATTTGAATTATTGGCCTTGATTGTGTGATCTTATTGATACCTTTTAAACCTTTTTTTAGTGTCTCGTTTTCGAAGACTCACCAAGTGGAGTTCAAGCAGCCATTGCAGCAGATATGCAAGTCGTTGCTATCCCAGATCAGTTAACTTGCAAATCAAAAGTTAAAAATGCAACAGTCATTCTAGACAGCTTGAATGACTTCCGTCCAGAATATTTTGGACTTCCTGCATTCGATGAGAAATAAGTTAAAGTGTTTGCTATGACGGTGGATATTAAAATTTTACAAGGATACATATTTTCGATAGGAATTTGAAGTATCCATCTCAGAAGCACTCAATGAAACCGCGACGAATATTGAGGATTATTTGGTATTCGGGTTATGAAGTTTGTTTTTAAAACAAACTTTGTCAAATGAACTGTAAAAATTGACTAAAAAGAACTAAAGAAGATTTTTACTTGAAGTATAAAAGTTTTTGGATTTTTTATTTTAATTGTATGGAAAGAACAAACTGTTTAGGAGCCGGTTTCTCAGGCTACTGCTAGAATGAACCAATAAACTGAACAACCTGCCAAGTTTTTAATTAAAAACGCGTCTTAAATCGAGTCGTTTAGAATCATCCATGCTCATATCTAAGGGATTTTTATTTTATAAACAGGATTCGGATTCCACTATAAATTGTAGGTCCATATTTGAGTGCAGTGGTTTGGCGCATCCACACTCGTTAAACTCTCATTAGCTGCAAATCGCCCTGGCACACCTCTGGATCACAGTTGATCTGAACTTGTAAAGTTTTTTTTTAATTTCCAAAAAGGTCAAAAAGAAGTGTTTCCAAATTTTTATTTTTTATGTTTTTAAAAGTTGAATGTTTTTCAGCAACATTCATGAGCAATCAATCATTAAAACTACAACAAGCAACTCTTACTACATATTAATGACTATTATGTTACAGTAACATCAACCTCTATGTATGGTGTCCTTACTAAGTGCTAAAACATTGAAAATTTTTAATAAACATCAAATTTCAGTAGATGAGAGCATTCAAAAAGCTCAAAATGACACAGAGAATGAAAAATCAACAAGTTGTTGATGCTGAATCGAAAAACAAATCTCAAATTTTATTTTTGGAGATGAATTTTCATTTTGAAGATGTTATTAAATTTTCGTCAGTTCCCGTGTTGTCTTCATTCGCTGTGGACGCTTTTAAATAGTAACTTCTGAATATTAACTTTGGTTTGAATTTATTGAAGTTAAAATAAAAATTGAGGAAAAAATAAAACAATGAAATTGTGAAAAAAATTTGTTAAAAAAAACATAAAATGTTATTAGGAAGTGCTTTTTTGAAAGCTTAAAAAATATAGTAAAGTGAATTCAACGAAAAATTCAAAAGAAAAAAAACGAATAAAAAAATAAAAAAAATTTTGAATTTCACAAAAATAAGACATTGTGGTCAAAAGTAATTGAAATTTGTTTATAAAAAATTCAGGTGTGTAGTTTTGGGGAAAAAATTAATCAAAATAAAAATTTTCGATAGCTTTAAAATGTTCAAAATTCGTGTTTTATAAGAGCAAACTGAAGTGCTTCCACATCATCGAGGCAATGGTCTAGAAAATCTTTTGTGTTTTTGCACTTTTCAATGTTGACAAGAGATTTTGTTGGACATTCCTAAAAAAATTTAAAAATAGTATTAGATCTTTAAATAGGCTGCCTAATTGTGCATTTTTTAGCAGAATAGTTTCGCTTTCTTGATCAAAGTCCCACCAAGTTTGCGGAACTGATAAATTTCAATTTTTGTTCATTTTTGATCGTTTTTGATCATTTCATCAGTACGACACCCTTAAGTTTTACTTAAAATCCTCAATAGTCCGTTTTTTGAATCTATTTTTCTTTTTAAAAAATGCTTGAAAATTGGCAAAACCGATGGACAGCTATTTTAATAACTGTTGTCAAAATTGTCAGGTTGATGAGTTTTGATCGGTTCTTAGCTACATCAAAGTAGCTTCAGCCTTTGCCAAAGGTCCATCATAGCTAATGCAACTTTTGACACTGCTACAAAGTCAAAAATGACTCCGGGGAAAAAAACCGGGGATTTCTAAGCAACCTAAGTAAGAGTCTTTAAGTAAAAACTTGGTGAAAACCTTAAAAAAATTCAATTCACTAATTTTTCACCTTTCGTGCCACTAAATGCATGCATGTGATATACGCTTGATACCTAATATCACAATCTTCATCTCTCACTTTATGAATCTGCTGTAAAATTTTCTTGTAGTGTGAAAGATTATCAATGCATTGATCAACAGCTTTATTGAAAGCTTCTATCCATTCTGAATCATTAGTTGAGTCCTTAATAAAGTTTTTGAAATCGCTTTTGTCAAATGAAGTTAGGTTTGATTTTTCCATATAAATTTTGGCTTTAGACTTTGAAATGAAAATAAATTAAAAAATATTAAAATAAATTCCATGATTAAGTTAAGATTTGAACTTACACAACGAACAACTTCTTGAGTCATATTACTTAATTCTGGATATTCCATTATTAAATTCGAAATATTTGTTTTTTGTTTTAAATCAGGAAGATTACAACATCTCTGGAAAAGGTTTACATTTATTTAAAATTAATTTAAGGATAGATAAAAAGTGAACATTACCACACCAGTTTCCGTTGAATTTGCAATTGTCAAACAATTATTTTCTGCTTTAACAAATAAATAAAACAAAGATGTGAGTAGAAAAATTTCATGAATGTTGACGTAAATCATGACTAGGTAGCTTAAAGAGCAAAAGAAAACTGATAATTTTTTATTATTTTAGAACGCCAAATTATAGTAAATTTAAAATATTTGTAAAAAGATCTTGTTCGTTTTTTATAAAAACATGTAAAATTATCACAAAATAGACAAGTGTTGACCATTTAATGTGCCACAAATCAAGATTTTTTTTATTTTTAAAATCCGAAATTTGATTTTTTTAAATTATTTAAAATGATGCTTTGAAAGTAAAATTTTCATCATTTAAGCAGCTAAGCACAGCAAGCAATTTCAAGTGTCATGTTATTTAATTCAGATTGTTTAAAGTTTTGTACATTTCTGGAAGTTTACAGAATGCTTTTCAATTGCAATACTAAGTTCAATATTAAAAATTTTGAATCAATAACCAGAGCTCGAAGTCGATGTATGGAGGAAAGTTGTGTGGAGTCGAGTTGACTCCGCCATACAAAATTGATAAAAATCTCAAATCGACTTCGAGCTCTGTCAACAACCATCAAGTTAACAGATTTTTCAAAAATAACATTAGCTTAAAACCAAAGCGTAGAAATTCAGGATTAATCCTTAAAAAATTCTAAAATTCCTGAAAAATTTCTGAGCCAATAAACATAAAAATGTGAAATCCATTTTAAATCCCGAAATTATTCATCAAATGCATCAGAAATTTTACATTTTCATGTTTATTGGCTCAGCGATTTTTTAAGGATTTTTGGGATTTTTCAGAGTATTACTGAGATTCACCGCCTTGCTTAAAACAAAAAAAGGATCAATTACATGATAACTTATCCTCAATAAATTCTACCGTCACAAAAAATATTGAAGTTATAAGCAAGCACTCGAACCAGTCACATTAAAGCTCTTTATAGAAATTCATCTGCAGGTTGTAATAACAGCACTCAAGGATACTTTCACATGACGTTAGTTCAAACACATGCTTGATATCGTACATAACAGGATGTTGAATGGAAATGCGATAAAAACTATTTCAAAGGGAATTGTTTGTGCCACAATGGATAAAAATGTAATATTAAGATTAATGTAGAGCCAATATCAAGCATTGTTGTCCTGAAAAATGGGATTACAGGTTTTTACATTCAATTTAACTCAGGTCGTTGCTAGGGTTTTCAATCCCGGTCCAAATTTTCAATACCGGGATTACGGGATTGAAAATTCTCGATCCCGGGATCCCGGGGAATCCCGGGATCCCGGGGAATCCCGGGATTAAGAGATTATTAAAGAAGCCTTAAAATTTTCAATAAATAAAACATAAAATCTTCGTTTGAGAGAAAAATTCTTGTTTTATATTTGTTCTATGTATGTTTATTGTTAATGATTAAGCAAAAACAAGAAAATTAAGTACTAATAATCTTAAAATAAGGTTTTTATTTTGGAAAGTACACTATGGGGCAAAATTGAAAAAAAAGGGACTTTCACTTTGATTTTGGGACTTTTTCGAATTACAAACTCAGGTATATTTTTTCTTGTATAGGACATAAAAATAGACTTCTATGCCAAATTTCAAGTCATTTGGTGCTGTTCCTGCGATTTTGTGACTGTTTAAAGTTGAAAATGAGTGAAAATTCTGATTTTTTCATGCCCTCTTTAAATCTAAAGTTCCTTATGATTATTAAAGATATTGAAAAACGGTTTTCAGTTCCTAATAGTAATATATGAGAGCTTCATTTTGATATTCCACAAAGATTTTAACTTTGTAGTTTTGGTACCGCTTTGGTAGGATATGTAAGAAAAACAGTGGAAAAATATCTTCAAACGTGCCGCAAGTATTTTAGATCGCAGAATAGTAGGGGGTAGAATCACACCAACATGTAGCCCTTGACTTGTAGTTTTCAGAACTGTATGAACTTTGTCCAATATAGTTCTGCATTAAAAAGTTATAGCGATTTTAGTGAGTCGATGAATATTTAACCAAAAACTAAAATTGCTTATAAAAAATATAAATCAATGAATACAAATAAGTTTTTTCATGTTTTCTAATCAAAAATACTGTTACAAAACAAATGGTGAAGAAATTTTTTCAAAAAGTTCAAAATTTGATGAGATATTGGGTACATTTGATATCTGACGACTTGTATGCTTTTCTCATCACTCAAACCACTAGTACTCTTACAAAACAAACTGTTTTTTAATTTTGTTTCCAGTTTATTATAGCTTAAGTCAGAACCTTTCTAATGATGTATAATACTTGATGGTTGACTTTGATCTTGGTCATGAATATGAGAATCTTGCGAACGAATTTTTTTACAAAATTTAAGAATTTTTTAAAAAATTTTAACTACTTACTCAATCCCGTAATACCGGGATTGAAGCTGTTTTCAATACCGGGATTACGGGACCAAAAAAAAAGCGGGATCACGGGATCCCGGGATTGAAAACCCTAGTCGTTGCTAATAGCGAGACTTATTTCTTGTTTTGATAAGCAATGCTTGTTTGATTGATGCAAATTGCAATTGCCACTGTAGAGAAGATCTCTTAGCTGCAATCCTGACCTCAACTCTATTGAATGTAAGCCATAATCTTCAATTCCATTAAAATCCTGTAACTTTTCATTGACCATATGTTACCAAATTAATTATAAAATAAATAAACCTGATTACAACCTACGTCTATTGCGTCATTTACTTCCGTACAAAAAAAATAATCTTTGCTCCTTTCCCACGTCAATTTTTACCTTCATTAAGCAAATCAAACTCATTGAATTACCTTCTTTTCATTATGTTATCCTAGACAGACTCATTTATATTCACGTAATTCCTTATGGTTGTATGTGCCATTTTACTCATGAATTTATATCGTCTATCAACGCAACATTGCTCTCCGATGATTGTTCTCATCCCAAAATAAAAACATTGTTAAAGTAATGGCAGAAAATTTTTAAAAAAAATTGAAGTCATCTGATTTAATTAAATTAAATTAATGTTGATGGCTTTCAGAATGGTTCTCCCGACAGTTCGGGATGGCTATAATGACACATTTTATTAGTCTCAAAACTGGAATTAAATTAATGCACTTACTTTTTTTGGAAATTTATTTTAAACTTAATTTGAAGCAGAGTTGGAAGCGTGCTGAAAAGCGTCCACAGGCAAAACCTGCAGACGGCATTGTCGGCAGACGCTTTTTGACTGCAGCCGGTAGTTTTTTTTTTGCCGGCAACCGGCAAAAACGGCTACCGACATTGCCGGTCGCCGGCAAAAACGGCGACTGGTATGACGCTGAGCGTCCAAAAAATGAAAATTTTAAAAAAAATTCTATTAACAATGAAAAATGTTGGGAATGTTGATTTAAAATAATAAAAGTAGTTAAATATGATTAAAACTTGTAAAAAATTATTTGAAAAATGGTAAAAAACGAAAATCATAACAAACGATAAAATAATTGCTGCAGATTCTAAATTTTTCTTTTTATTACTATGTTTAAACTATTTTTCTTTTTAAGTGTAAGTTTTTTTTGTTAAGTCGAAATTTTTTTTATTTGTTTTTTAAATTTCTTTCTGTTTTGTTTTTAAGTACGTTTAAGTTGATGATGTTAAAGGTGATTTGTTTGTTTTTTTTTGTGTTTTTTTTTTGTTTTTTTTTTGTTTTTTTTCTGTTTTTTTTTTCTTCTTTAAACTTCTATTTCGTCTTTTTTTCTAAGTGTGTCTAAGTCTAATTTTTTCATTCTCTATTTCCGTTTTGTTGATTTTTTGTTTATGCTTTGACAGTCTAAGTCTAGGTTGTCTTGGTTTTTAAGCTCCTATTTCACGTTTCCTTTTGTAATTTTAGAAAAATTTGATTTTTTGTAACAAGTCTAAGTTGTACTTGCACACCATTATTGCGTTGAGCGTGTTGTCTGCTAATAACGTCCTCAAGTGGTTAAGGACAAGAGCGAAACCACTGAAGTCTCTCTCAACCTTGACCTGTGAAAAAGCAGCCCCGTAGACAACCTGAGACACCTTGTAGATTTCTGGTTCTTTATCACGTTTGTTGTACCAGTACTTTTGCGGGTTTAACTTAGCGCCTGATGATATTCTTATCTCTGCTAGAAACCTGTTGATCTGTTGGCGAATGGTCAATCGCTGGTTTATGTTTTGCCATGATTGATCTTGTCCTCGTCGACCACCTCCTAGTCGTTGATCTAATGCCTCATAAATGACGTTTTGTTGATCTCGATTTTGATCCTCTAGTTGCTCAACTTGTCCTCTGTTGATAAGTACCTGGTGAATTTTTTCGATATGCACCATTCCTCTTTCCAGTAGTTCTGGGCCAAAGAAATCTTCTTGATTATTTGACCAGTTGATGAGAGGATCTAAAAGAAGTGCTGCGATGAAGGCGTCACATTCAAAGAACCTTCTCTTACGTCGTTCCAATGCCTCGAGTAGTCTGTCTTTAATTTCTTCGTCACCAAGTGGAACACCAGAGATTTCGAATTTTAAATTATTGGTTTGTAAGTCTATTTTTTTATTATTTTATATTTGATGGTTTCCAATATGAAAATTGGTAGAAATGTTACATTTTATTATTTCGAATAATACATTAACAAAAAAATATTTTTCAAAAATATTCTCGAACTTCAAGTTATGGATGAGATTAAAAGTTAAAAAAATAATTTTCGTGTTATATATGAAAAAATATAAACTTCAACGATGATTTTAAAAATGAATAAATATAGGAAACCTTAGTCTTAAACTCCTGAATCTCAAAATTTAGTTTAAAACATTGAGCAGGTTTTATTTTTGATTAATGTCATGAGATTTTTTGTTTGAGATTTGAAGCTTTCCTTTATCAAAAGTATAGTTCCTATATTAATTCAGAACTTTTAAAATTATTGTTTGTAATTTTCCAAGGAGTATTATTTCAAACATTTTATTTCCTTTCTATTCATTTAAAAATCATCTTATCTTTTTTTAAAATTATCGTTGAAGTTTATTTTCTTTTGAATGATAAGTTATAAACTCCGATATAATATATAACATAATATATATAATATAACATATATATATAAAAAATAACTTAAACCTATTTCGAAAATTACACAAATATATGTGAAGAAAGAAAAAGAAACAAAAATTAGAACTAGAAGTTTAATAAATGTTTTAAGTAAACTTAAACTTAAAAAAATAGTTTATTCGCAATTTTTTATCATTTTTCATGAATTTCAAATTTTCTTCCATTTTTAAAATAATTTTTCTATTTTCTTTTACAATTTTTAATCATTCAAAACTATTTTCATAATTTTAAATCAATGTTCCCAACATTTTTCATCGTTAATAGAAAATTTTCTAAAATTTTCATTTTTTGGACGCTCAGCGTCTTACCAGTCGCCGTTTTTGCCGGCGACCGGCAATGTCGGTAGCCGTTTTTGCCGGTTGCCGGCAAAAAAAAAACTACCGGCTGCAGTCAAAAAGCGTCCACCGTTTAGCGTTTTTACCGTCCGGGCGCTCAGCGTCGTGCCAACTCTGATTTGAAGTTTACAGAAAGTTTATTGGTTTAAATTTCAGAAGAATATTGCCATAAGAAATCTTCTCCTTAATCCATTTTCTTAGGTTGCTTCTCGTGAACCCAGAGATAAGCTACTAAAGTTTTTTGGGGGCTATAATATGGAACCCAAACAGCCCAAGTAGAGTAGTGATTTGTCGCAAAGCAGCCATGAATCTGGCATAGAGCCAGCTTCGATTTAAATCCAGCACCATGCCAATTCTATAACGGCTTGGTGCTGGATTTCTGATCGATTGACCAATGGTTGTCATTCGAGAAACTTAAATAAATCTTAGAATATCTAGAAAACAAGTTGTTTTTGAAACTACACACAAAATTTTTTGATAGGGCTCGAACCACTTATACCAAGAGCTTCGATTTGTATCGGATACCAAACTATCCCCAAGGTAGACTTTAACGTCTGAAATTAAATTTGCTTTAGTCCCGAAATTTCTTTATCAGCTTATCTTCTGCGGAGAAATCATATTAATTTAATTTACAAAAAAAAAACAATTTAAAAGCATTAAAAAAATTACAAAGTTTCAAATAATTTCTTTGTAAAATCTAAATAATTAACTTATCATATATCCACTTTATCTCAAAGCTTCTTCATACTGACAAATAAAATATGACAAAATTTTCCACAAGAATCTCCTCCTTTGTAGCTGATAATCCTCTTTTATATCTGATAAATTGCCACACCATAAAGTTGCAAAAAAAGACACGAGTTTCAAGTAATGAATTTATGAAAGTTTGTGAACCATGCAAAGACCTTTTGCTCAAAAAAGGATCATATGTGGGATGCTGAAAAAGGTAATTGGTCGTGTATTCTTTTGATGAGCTATAATGTCTCATTAAAAGTGAATTATTGTTGAAAAAAACTTTCATGTTGACGTCTTTTGCTTGTAATATTGCAATTTTGTATGAAGAAGTAAATTTTCAGATAATTTTTTAAGGTGGGACTAAACACCAATTTTCGTGGTTCGGATCCCACTATAAACTGTAGGTCTAAAAGGTGTGGTACAATAGATTCTGTTCTAATTTGAATCGCAGTGCCTCCAGCTGAAAGGCTGGGCCCTTCACACATTATTATACACTAATTTTAGATGCAGAAACTCCCCTTCTGCTTGGTTTCTTAGAGGACTGTCCTCTATTTTTTTTTTAAAATTGGCAAACACGTGGGATATCCTGTAATAAATATGGAAATGAGTTGAGATTTTTTTATAATAGTTTGGGTATATTGACATCCCAATTGACATTAGCTCTCGAAATCGAGACAACTTGAGACTGGCACCTCAGCATGGTTATAAGTGCTTCTATGATTTAATAGCTTAATATTTAAATCTAGGTTTAGGTTCTTTCTTGCCTTTAATTGAAAAAAATCCGAAAATTCACAGCGGATCATTCACATGTTAGATTAACAGATAGCCGATCCTAGTTTTAATGCAATAGAGTACCAATCATTAGTTTAGTTTTATGATACTCGAGTAAAGCGATATTTTAATCCACTTTTGTAATAATTTTTTTCGAATGCATGCTTTTGAATAACTGCTTCACTATCAGAAAAAAATGAAAGTGGTTTTGCAAAATTATTATTTTTTTTATAAAAATCATTCAAGCATGAAACGTTTTTATTGTTAAATGAGCTCTTTCACGATAAAGTAAAACCTGTTTTTAGTCGTTTGCGTTTATTGAGTCTGCAAATTTTATTTTAATATTTTTGAAGCATTTTTGAATTTTTAATATTTAAAATTATATGAAAAATTGACAATTAAGTTTCCCATTTCTAATCTGTACAGAACTAAGTTATTTTAAACTTAAAGTTTAATTCATCATCAAGCAAAATTAAGACGATTCTCCAAGGTGCCTTCAATCACACATGCATTTTTGTTCCTTAATATTCGACGCTCCGAATTATCTCCTAGAGATTTATTAACTCGAATAATGTTAAAATATTGAATGTTATTACCAATTTTTCAAATGAAACATTTTTTACAAATTAAAAATCGATTGCTCGCTTCAAGCTTCCTTTTATTTCTATAAAGTGTCATTGATTCCAATTTTTTTCAACAGTATCACTCATTTCACATTCAGTCAACAGACATGAGTTGGATAATAAATCCTCACAAAAAGGGTTTTCAATATTATTTTTCACAATTCTGTTAGTTTTTTTTGTCATTTTCTGTTTTGTTATTTCTTTTTGGGGTTGCGACTATTTGGTACCATCTGTCCATTTAATGGATCTGATTTTCTACAATTTATTGAGTAAATGATGTAAAAGTTTTGGGCACATTTATGATTCTGTCGATTGTCAGTTTTATCGGATATAAAAACTTGATAAATTAATGGAAATTTATTAAAATGACTTTAATACATTTTATGGAAAAAATTTGATGGATCGATGATGAAAATGGGTTTTGTTGATTTGTCATTGCTTTGGGGTATATAAGGATGATTTATTTAATATTTGTCTGTTTTTGTTAAAGTGAATTACAAACAGACTGACGACCTTATTGAAGTCGTGACTCGCAAACTGACGGACTGACTGATTTACAGTTTAGATCAGTGTTGTCTAAACTTTTTGAGCCACGGCGCACCCTGAGTATACCGAAGTCGCACACAGCATGTGGCTAGTGTCATTTTCAAAAAAAACTTCTACGGCACACCAGTGTGCTGTGGCACACAGTTTAGATTGAAAAAATTTATTAATTTTAGTATTGACACAGAATAAAAGATGGGTTTCCTGACTTATCATAAATCTAGATTTTCAAGGAGGTGTTGTCGTTAAAACTTGCCATTCGATCCTTCATCGTATCAATTTTCTCTCCAATTAAAAACCTGACCATAATAATTTTAATCTCTTTTTGTATCCTTTTTAAAACTTTTCCAATTAATTCGTCTGATTTTTATCAAGTTCAGCAAGAGTAACTTAAAGATCATAATCCTTTAAAAAGAAAATTCAACTTAAGAAACAAGAAATTCTTTACATTCTTAAGCAAACGCTGTCACATTGACAATACAACAACAAGCTATGTTCTCATTTTTTATGGTGAGACATTTTTCATGAAAATATTTCAAGTGTCATTGAAAGCTTGAGAGAAAAGAGAAAACACTATAAATTTTGTACATCTGTTTCAAGGTCAAGGGTTACAAAATTTGTAGCAGTAGTTTGGTCTACTTCCTGTCTCTCAAGCTGACAGAAATAATTTGAATGTTGAAAATTTTAATGTTTTAAATAAAATTCATGAAAACTTTGAAATATTTGAGTTTAAGTTCTAAAATTAAGTTCATCAATTTATTTAACAATTTTGCGTCCAGTTCATCAAAATTTTAATAATATTCTTAATTTTTTCACTTTAAACTCCACAAATCCAAGATCCTCATGTAGTTTTTGTTTCCATATTCTATTCATATTCATAGTTAATTTATAAACTTTTAAAATACAAGTAAATAATATTAATCGTGACTCAGAAAAAAAAACTGATCGATTTTGTTCCAGAAACAAACAACTGAAACGTTAAGCAGCTGTGGCCGAGCGGTTAAGGCGTCTGACTAGAAATCAGATTCCCTCTGGGAGCGTAGGTTCAAGTCCTACCAGCTGCGTTTGTTATCAAAAGGATTTTTTGAATTTTTTTTATTCTGGAAGAAATAAAGTTTTAAGCTGATTTTTTTTTTGTAAAATTGGAAATATAAGTTTAAGTTGTGTAGGACAAGAAACCTAGTAGGTCTGTAATAAAGGAACGTTTTGAAATGTTCAAAGTTAAACAACTATTATAAATTTTTTTTGTTGAAAACTTGGTGTGAAACATTAAAAGTAATAAACCCGAATAGCACAAGTCTGTCAATTAAATAGAAATCTGGCACCTAGCTAGGAAAGTAAGTTTAATCATTTGCTAAAAAAATTGACAAAAAAGATTTCTGCTTAAATTCGCAGTTGGTAGGATTCGAACCTACGCTCCCAAAGGGAATCTGATTTCGAGTCAGACGCCTTAACCACTCGGCCACAACTGCCAAAGTTCTTATGTTTACATTCTCACTTTTTACTTGTGCCTTGGCAGTGTCACAATCGATGTTCTAAAATATTCAGTTTAAGGTTAAGGGAAAGTAGCAGTTGTGTAAACATGACACTTTGAAAATACGAGACAAAACTCATCAGATGTTGTTCCAAACAACTTATAAATTGAGTTTAATTTTTTTTGTCAATACTGCCTCTAATCTATCAGTCAGATTAAATTTAAAAGATTTTACAAAGGGGTCGTTTGTTTATGACAGTATTGTCCAAACTGTGTACCGCGGCACACTGGCACGCCGTAGATATTTTTTGTAAATGACGCGAGCTGCATGCCGTGTGCGACTTTGGTAATGGCTTACACCGCAAAGGTGTAAAAAAATTTTTCCATTCAATTTTTTCCATTCGATTCATGTGACCAAGAGAAAGGGGAAGGGTGTAAATCACGTTTTATGATGGACGCCATAAGTGAATGAACCCAAAGTTATTTAATGAGGAAAATTTGGTAAAGAAGCTTTAAACAAAGTTTAAAGTCAACAGACAATTTTATGAGTTTCACGTGACACGTCCACAATTAGAAATATTAAAGCTTGTTATTCAGCTACCTTAACACTATAAAACTTTAAATGGACCTTCATTATCATTTAAGAACAGAATCTACTTCAATTCATTATCTAGCCTCTTATGGGCAATTAAAGCATAAAATGAAAAGCTTATGGCAAGAAAGTAAATTTATTTTCTTAACTTATTGTTCGTGGTTGAAGTTTGGCATTTTATTGCTGTTTTTTATTGAATTTATATTTCATTGTTTGGAAAAATCCTTCCAACTATTTTTCAATTTCAATCTAATCGACAAGAGGAATATTAAACTTCCAGGTGGATATCCAATAATACTAACTTGAAAATCCTTCTTTTCAAAAAACTTCTTTTGCTGCTCCTGTTTTCATACATTTGAACAGTATATACTCTTTTAATACTTTATTCCATTACATTAATTCATTAAAAAATGCAGAAATTATGCAAAAAGAATAGAGTAAATCCTTATTTATGGAATAAATAATTTTTATTGATCCAATACTTTTAATCAGAGCTCAAAGTCGATTCAAGTTGACTCCAAAAAAACGAATTCGATTCGAAAAAAGTTGAGTCGACTCGGTTTTGAGTGGAGTCATGACAACTTGAGTTAATTTGAACCCTATCGACTGCGAGCTCTGCTTTTTATGTTTTTTTTTTCTCCATATTTTCCAATTCATTACATTTTCAAATGTAATTGCATTCTGAATTCAACTTGCTGAAGCATTCACTACATTGTTTGCGCATATATTGTTTTATGTAAGCTGTTAGTTTTGAATGCTGAGCTTTTATGAGTTTATGATGAATTATTTTTAAAAAAAGAGTGAAATACCATTAAAATATTTCATTGGTATTTTCTGGGTATGTTTGTTTAATGTCGTGAGGTGTGCAAATCCTTGTCATATCGACAACCAAGGTGTGGATACTACGATTAATCCCAATAATCCGCAATAATCCCAATAATCCTGAATAATTCTGAAAAATCCCAGCATAATTTTGAGTGTCCACGTCTTGTCGATGACACTATATTTGATGAATGAGAAATCAGTCTCTTTTGGGAATCGAACCCACGTTCTCACAGAAGCAGATTAAAGACATTTGGTTTATTACCCAATCACTAGCGTCACAGAGGTCTTATTCTTGCACTGGCAGATTCGCTTATGTATGTTTCGATACTACAATGAAGTCATCTTGTTTGCTGCAATGATAGTAAAATACAATGTTTATTAGATTTATTAAAGGTTCCTTACATAAAAATGTTCATTAAATATACAAATGTATCATTAAAGTGTAATAAATGGATCTTTAATAGACGTGGCATATTTCACTCAATATAATTGATACCCAAAATGAATTATCCTTAAATCAAATACTTAAAAAAAGGCACCTAAAATAAGTTGAAATTTCAACAGACCTCCTTATTCAAAAGCCAAAGCCATTTTAATTCCCTTTGAAACATTTGAACATTTGCAACCAAAACTCATTAAACTAGTCAAACTTTTTCTCTTTCAATTCTCTTTTCAGACATTAAATAAAAAGTTTCTACATCAATCCATTCCATTTCATAATTACGGAAGTGAATTTCAAGCAAAATTTCTTCCCTTCCGCTGTCTTTATTATCAATGCTCATTATATCAATCCGCATTTAAACTGTTACATCATCTGGAAGCAAAAAACAAAGTTTTTCCCGTTCTCAAACATTCGTAAAGATAAATAAATAAGAGTCTATAAATTTACAGCAGAACCTTTTTTTTAAAAAACTGAATTTAATGTGCTGAATTAATTCACTTGTGGCTGATGTAATAAATTTTAAAGGTTTGTAAAAATATTTAAAAAAATTTGAAAAAACTTTTGGAACTAAGAACCCAAAAACATAGCAAAAGTTTTCATAAATCTAAAGAATTTTGATTAAAAACTTAATAAACTGCATTAAGATTGTCAAAGTGTGAACAAAAGATTACTACACATAATAATATGCAACCACAAAGTTTACATCTGTTCCTGAAAGCTCTCATAAATGCCACAAAAATTGTTTGAGACGGAAGAAAGTAAATCCCAAAAGACTACACAAAAATTATATCATATTAGTAAGGAGTGAGACAAATCAGCAGCAGAGATGTCGACACTTGATATGACAAACAATACTATTGAGTTCCCATTCTGTCAAAATGATCTTGACGACTTTCACACGTTGTGAGTATGCTGGATGATACTTTTTGAAGGTTTATTGTGTCTGACGCTGGTTAAATTTAATATGTTTAAGATGACAATGAGCGTGGTTCTTTTGAGAATTATTTTCTGTCTTTTATGTGACTCAAATGACCTTTTCTAGTTAAATTAATTTTATAAAATTATAGCATCTAGGTCAGTGTTGTCCACACTTTTTCAAACATCCAAAGTTTATTATAAAATTTTTAATATTTTTCCACGTCAAACCTAACGATTTCCTATGGCACACCAGTGTGCGACGGCACACAGATTGGACAACACTGATCTAGGTCGTTGTTAAAAACTTACAACAGAGTCCAACTCTTAAACTTTAAACATTATTCATCCAAGTGTTCATCCAGTTTTAGGTTATAAAGCTTTGAGAAATCAGGACAGACCAAAATATAAAGCATTTTCCCTTTGAAAAGTTTGTATATAACAAGCTCATGCTCCTTTCTGTACAAAAATGATTCAATTTTCTATTCTATCCCATTTATTACCAAACTCAAATCTCTTATAAGTTCCAACATAGTCATTAGATTTGTAAACATTGAAATGAAATTTTTTCATGAAATCCTTTCTATCAACAATCTCAAAGATTAGTATTTTGTGAGGCTTCTCAAAACGCTTTACTTAATCCAAACATGCTGAGTATAATCTTGTGGGATATTTTAACATGAGAAAAAAGAAGATATTCAATTTTGAAAAACATATGAGGAAAACAGAAGAGTTTGTTTACAATTAAGTTGTTTACTTGTAAATATAATTTTACATATATCCCGAATGGCACAAGTCCGTTAATCGAAAGGAAATCCGGCGCTCAAACGGTATCACTCTGGCATGATGCTGGCTTTGATTCAAATCCAGCAACATGCCAGAGTCTCACGGGATAGATATCGAATTCCTGATCGATTAATCGACTTGTGCTATTCGGATATGTAGAAAAATTTCATCGAGTGACTCTAGACTTTTGTTGAATTCTTTAAAATCTAATGTTTGGTGGAAAATTAGATCCAAAATCATCCTATTGACAAAATGACAGTCTATAGACACTCATATAAAATAAACAAAATTCCCTAAATGAAGCTAATTCCTCTGAAATCTCATGTGCTACTAATCCTGACTACTCTACTTAAAACGTAGAATCTATGTCATGAGAAAATCTTAAAATTTCTCTTTTTTTTTGTCAATCAAATGCTTCTAAAATATAAAAGAATTCATATTCTGACCAAATTAACATTTCAGTTGTAAATATACACAAAACTACAAATGAACCACAAGATAGCAAAGCTGTCATCAAATAAACATACTAAATTTGTATGAAACCCATTTCAGAATACGATAAACAAATGCATGCTGAACCTCAATTCACAAGCATGAATAAATTTTCATTTCTCATTCACAGCTTCAATGCTATTAATTTCAAGCTGAGCCTGTGCATTTGCATATTCGGATGCATCACCAATGTCCTGAACTTTATTGTTCTATCGCAAAAAGATCTCCGAACACATATAAACTACATATTGGCTGGACTCGCGATTTCGGACTTCCTAGTGATGCTTGTTTATTTCCCATATGCACTTGATCATGCATTCAGCATAAATTCGCGACCCGAGAGACTAACATATGGATATGCACATTATATTTATACGCATGCTATGTTTAGTCAAACAGCACATACTGTATCTATATTTTTGACAATAACTTTAGCACTTTGGCGATACATCTCGGTATGTCATCCATCATGTAAGAATGCATTTATGAGACGTACATTTTGGGCAATTATTGCATCATATATTATAAGTCCAATTATATGTTTACCGTACTACATGTCATTGACAATACAATCTAAATCTACTTATGTGTATAAAGGAAATATGACAGAATATAAAGCATCGTCAATTAATGACACTGAATCACAGTTTCTTGCAACAATAGATGAAGATAATGGAGAGATTGAAAAGTACACAAGATATTATGTTTCTGTATCAAGCTTTTATATGTCATATAACCAGGCATTCCTTTGGGTATATTCAGTCATTATTAAACTTTTACCTTGCATGTTGCTGACCTATTTTTCCTTACAACTCGTCCGTACGCTTTATGAAGCTAAAAAAAGAAAGGAAAAGTTGAATGGAAATTTGCAAATGTCTGCAAAGTTATTGAACAAAAAGAAGCAAGCTGATAGAACAACAAAGATGCTGATTGCTGTTTTGTTTCTGTTTTTAATTACTGAAGTTCCGCAAGGCATTTTGGGACTCATGTCAGCTGTCTTACATCAAGATTTTTATCTTCATTGTTACCAGAAATTGGGTATGTTATTCAATGTAATTTATTTAATATGTTTCCTCTTTGTTGCTGGTTTAAGGATAACAGATACAGATATTCATGAATTAGTCAATTGGGTGTAACTGAATATGTTTGATGAATTATTGATTGCAAATAAAATGTTGGTAATGGCTTTGTTGAAGGCAAGATGGCAACAGTAATGTATTTCGTTCGGACCTCCAAATTCCCAATTGCTGCATCAACACTCCGTATTTTACAAAAATTCTACGCCTTTAAGCATTGACAAAATTGTATTTTGTGTTAAATTACCAAAAAAATATGTAAACACATATATGAATTTTTCATTAGGTTGATATGAGAGTATCATGGATGTAGAAGGAAGGCAAGATTTGAATGTCAAACATTCGCTTAATAATTTTCACCGGTTAAATTATAAATTCCTGAATGGCATTAATCTGACTAAAATATTCATGCATTTTTTTCGCACAGCTTTCGTGCTTTCTTTATTGAGAATTTTTATTATATAAAAAAAAAGAACTTGATTTTTTTGAACTAAAATGAATTCATACATAAAATGAAATCAGATTGCATAATCTTTGTCAAATCATCAGGTCCGCTACAGTCTTGTAAACCAGTGGTGTGTTTGTGCCACGGCACACTTAGTGGTAAGCCATGAGCAAAATTGCACGCATCATACGATTATCTCAAAAATTTTCACGGCACACTAGTGCGCCGCAGCACACAGGTTGACATCACTATCTTACTTACTTACTTCGATGACCTTACAGATCAATTTTGATCCATGGCCTCCCTCAGACCTGAAACTGGCTCTATCGCAGGCTACCGCTTGCAATTTTCTATACAAAATGCAATACTGTTCTATCAACAGCCTCTTTCCATGAGTTCTTTGGCTTTCCATGTACTCTTTTCCATCCACAAAGATTGGCTTAAAGACCTTAATTAATGGTTCTCCCACAGGTCTTCTCATAACATGTCCAGCGCATCGTAGCCTGTTTACTATAATACGTTTAATGATATCAGCTTCTGTAAAGAACTGATTCAACTACGCATTGCTCCTGCACTTGTAAAAATCTCCTTCTTTCTTAGGTCTAAAGATGCCTCTGAAGATCCTCCTCTCGAAAACACCAATTGCATGCTCATCTGCTGAAGTCATATTCCATGACCACCATCACTGTCTTAATCCATTAAAATCAGTGATCGACAAAAAAATCCATTAGCTTGCAACTGCAGAAACTTGAATTTGCATATTCATCAATCACTTGCAAAGCCATTCATCTCTTTCTCAATCAAAACATTAACCAATGCTCGTTAGAACTTTAATGCACATGAAGCATCCAAACAAATAGCAAAAAGTCATGAAAATCATTTAAAAGTTTATTTTTACTCTCATCCACAGGTGATTTAATGGATTTTCTCGCCCTCCTGAATTCATCCATAAACTTTATCCTTTACTGCTCAATGTCTCGACAATTTCGTGATACATTCACAAAAATATTTTTACCTCGATGTCTCATACGCACTCAACGACGTGTAGCAAATGGAAATGGATTTGCCGAAGTGGATAGTCATGGACGACATGTTGAGACGATGCACGAGACACAGATGACACAACTTTAACTAACAGTTATCTATCGTATTCTCAAGAACTTTCAAAGAAATGATAATTAAATTAAAGATTTTTGTCTTCTACAAAAAGATTTTAAGCTTTGCATCTTTGTTTTTGGGAATTCCGAAAAAATCAATTTTTTCATTTTTTGAACGCAAGATATAATATTAATGAAAACATTAAATTTAAATTGAGAATATCACAAAAAATACAAAAATAGGTGCTGAAATCAGAGTTGTGATCTGTCACAGGCAATCAGCTGTCATTTACCAATTAACAGGCACGGATTTGTCACCTGTGCCTGTGGCAGGCGATTTATATCGCACCTCTGACTGAAAATTTACGAAAATTCAAGCTTAAATTTATATTTAAAGCACAAATAAAGTGAAAATGACGAATAAAATATATTATTTATTAAATTGCACACTGGGAAAAGAAGATCAATTGATTAGGCTGTTCATGTATTTTTTGCGAGTTTTTGTCCATTTCAGCACTGATAAAGAGAGACAGACCGAATTTTGAAGCATATTCCAATAAAAATGGGTTCAATAGGGCGATTATAATAAAAGGATTATAATAATTCACTTATGACGTCCACGATTTAGAGAGGGGTCAAGGATTTTGTGACAGCTCAAACTTGGCTCAAACAAAAGAATTGTTTTTTATAAATTTTTGACAGTAGCATTATCAGGACATTATTTGCTTAATAAAGGACATTGGAATTCTATCATAGGGGACTTGGGATGGTGCAACAGATAATCGATCGAAGAGCCGCTTTTGCTATAAGCAAAACCCTACATTACATTCTATTCTTTGACTGTAGAAGGGAAGGGAGTCTAAAATCATTTTTTGACGGACGTCATAATTGAATGATCTTAATGAAGACTAATTAATTTGGAAATGATCTATTTTCAAAATAATTTTTACACTCCTTATAATTTAAAATTGCAAATAAAAATACTTAATTAAAATATGTTGCGCAGGTTGTTATGTAAAAATTTAAAAAACTTGAAATAAAATATATTCGCTAAAATGTTTATTTTATTAAAATGTTATAGTTTTCTTGTGTAGTTTTCCATTTTTATCCAGCTAATAGTATTATTACCGTTATATAGGGTGACAATCTGCGTAGTTTTACAACGGACAGCCCTGTATTTCAAAACCCTGTCCTGTATAAATTTGACAATTTTGTTCCAGGTCCTGTATTTTTTTCACGAAAATTTCTGGTAATTTTCAAATTTTCCTTTGTGTCCTGTATTTTTTAAGAAATTTATCAAATGTCCTGTATTTTCATGAAAATTGAATGGTCACCCTACCGTTATACCAATGCAAAAAAAAAATTATTCAACTATTAGTGGTCTATCCTGACAATTCTAAAATAACACATACTCATGCTAAAATCTTCATCTGTTTTGTATTAAGAAACATAAATGCAGGGGCAAAGTCAGACCCTTTTAGACCCCTTTACTAGACCCTTGCATAAATGATAAAACTATCTATATTCCGGTACAAAACAATTGGGTTTTTCCATGTAAATTACATTCTTCAGTCCATTTATATTTTAAGCATAAAATGAGATAAGAAACATTCAATTCATCACAGTATGAAAATCATTCGTCATAACTCAGAGATTCATATTTAATTTAACAATTTTTTTCAGCAGTATCAAGTGAAGAGAGGCGGATAATAAACATTCGAGAGCATTAAAATTTGTAAATTTATTATTAAGTATAATTTCCAAATTTCACAGTTCTGCTCAAATTACTGACTGCTTAAACTTTACGAAAAAAAAATGTGTTAAGAAAATTGATCGTTTTAGTTTGCTCAAGTCATGATTGTAGAGCAGTGTTGTCCAAAGTTTTGAGCCACGGCACACCGACGGGTAAGTAATGACTGAAGTCGCATACAGCATTTGGCTCGTGTCAGTTTCAAAAATCTACGGCACACTAGTGTGCCGCGGCACACAGTTTGGACAACACTGTTAAAGAGACTTGTATTGTTTAGATCATCACATTTAGAGTAGATTTATGAGAATTTCATTTTAATCTCTCTGAGCTTTCATTAAGTATGCACGCAAATTTTGTTTTTGCAGATTTATAAAAATATTTTCTTAATCTTCTAGTAATTTAAGAGAATAAGCCAAGTAGGTAAGTTAAGACAAAAAAAAATCATATTTTTTTTTCTTGTAAAGGTTAGGTTTAAACGTTAATTTTTTTAAAACAAGGGGAATTGAATTTTTTTCTTTAGAGGAATCTATTTAAAAGTATCACAAGTTGAACTTTTGACCCAAATTTTAAAATCATTTTTCAAGAAAAAAGTTCATAAAAGCGGAATTGTAGTTTTTAAAAGTGTGCAGTTGGACAGCCTTACTTCATCACTACTCTTTCTCTTTTATTTGATTAAAAAGAGCCAGTCGCGTTGCTGGGAGGGTCTTTCCTCCCCTTCCCCTACCCCCTTAAGAATTTTGAGCCGTGCTCTCACTGTGAACAAGATCCTCCTGTTGTCCTCCAAGATACGCACCTAAAAAGAGGTAAAGAATCCAGCACAGAAAGAGAAATTATTAAAATTTCCTAAAGCCGGTTAAAGAATATTTGCTAAACTAGATTTACATGCCTTAAAATAATTTTGCAATAATCCTTTTATAATTAGAAAGTAAAAACCCTTTAAAAAGCCTGTAGAAACAAAGTTTTAATGCAATTTCTAAAACCAGAAATTTTAAAAAAAATCCCCTTTTGTAAAACAATATGAATATTTTGATAAAACAATCATAAATCCATGACTAAATTAATATCAACAATATTATAAAGGCTAAAAATAGCATTCTGACATTTTTCATCATTAATGAACCATAAATTATTTCTTTAATCTTTCATTTTTAAATCGGGATTATTTACAACCAAATTTTTGAAGTTACTCAAAATTAATTTGTCATGAAACTTAGATTTTTTTATTACTATGTTTTTTTTTTGAAGTTTGCCGGCAGTGCTGTCATTTGATTATATTTTTTAAAATGACGCTCTTGAACAGTAGTGAAAACATAAATTATAAAGGAAGTTTCCTAAAGTTGAGATTCTAGCTTTAGCCAACGGTGTTTAAAAATAATCAAAATTCAACTAATCAGTTTCAAATCAGTGATGCTTAGGATTATTAGGTTCGGTTAATTCTGAGTCTATAATTTTTTCTAATTTTTTTTCTTGACAAGCCGATTTCTTAAAACAATTTGTTGAAAGCTACAATGTATTCAATAAAGAAAGGACTTCCACAAACCGATCGAATTTATGAAGAAATTATTTATTTGGTCAACAATGACGATAGTAAATTCACCAACAGTTCAACATCTGAGTTTAATGAACATCAAATACCAATTTTAAGACAAAATGCTCTTGATTACATTGAACAAGCATTTAAGGTATCAGATAATCAGCACATTGAGGTGTCCAAAGATGTTGCTACAAAAAAATTCTCAAATAATACTGAAACATTTAATGAGAATGCAATTGAGATGAAAGCTTTTAGTGACAACCCGTACAACCTTTCACCAGGCGCATCTATGGTTGGAAACATTGTTGGACATGCTTCTCTAGTTCGCACACTTCTTAAACATGAATTGCATCGATTGAATGTGCCAAACTTACAATGGACTAAGTTTGAACTTTTACCAAAAGTTCTAATTTCAATTCATGCAGAATATTATAAAATTAATGAGATTAATGCTTGTTTTGCCAAGTGGAATGCTTACTCTGACATCAACATAAGCCATTCAATAAGTTTTGATGCATTTAACAAGTTGCTTGACATTTTAGTCGAAGAAAATGAGAACGACGAAAAGGATAAGAAAAATGGCAAAGGAAAATTTAAAAAAGCATTCCAGAAAATCAATCCATTCAAGAAGAAGAAAAAAACTGACGCAACGGATGGGATTGTTGGTGATCAGCTAAACACAAATGACGTTGAAATTGAGAAACTTTTTTGCGAATCCAAACGAATTTTGCTTAATTCGTTTCTTCAGTTCATGAAGAATATTCACGATAGCGATGCTGATACAGGACAAAAACAAGGTGAATTTGTTGAAGCACAAAATGGTATCAAAGTAAACAGTTTCAACAAAATGTTACAAATCATCAATCGGCTTGAGAGAATCTACTTAACTGATGGAGTCTCGAAGGTGCTGTCCAATAAAATTGAGTTTTACAAGCTTATGATTAAGAATTTTGAGATTGGAATTGTCGAGCATTTGGACAAAAATATTAACAAAGATCTGTTAAATCAGTTTGATGTCAATGAGCAAAAGTTGAGTGAACTAATTCGAGTAGTCAAACTGGCTATTGAGCATCGTGAAAAGTTTGTGGCTTGCTTTGACCAAAACTTTGACAGGTATGAGTTTTTGCGTTTCACCACAAAAGATCACTTACAAAAATGATAAATTTTTAACTGATCTTGTTTGGTGCCACTCGATAGATGAGTTTCAAGGCAGCAACTCTTCCTACCATTTTACCCAAATAGCATAAGTCCGTTAATCGAATATAAATCTGGCACCAAGCCAGTGTGATTCTGGAATGGTACTGAACTTGAATCGAATCCAGCACCATGACGGAGCTACGTCAGGGTAATGCCGATTTTCTATTCGATTAGCCAACTTATGCTGTTCGTGTAAGTTCAAGCTTTAGAAATTAGATTAATAAAGTTCCAATTTTCATTCAGTTTCTCAGACATATCAATATCCAAAAGGATGTATGAGATTTACGACATCCAATTTACAGCATTAATAAAGCCAATTGTCCTTGAAATCTGCAAATCAAAATGCTGCAATGATAGCGATGATGACTTTATTCAGAAAGAAGAAGCTGTAATCAAAAAACTTTTTGAACTTTATCGTGAGCTTGAAATGTTTGTAAATTATGGAAAGCAGCACTTTGTTGACAACAAATTTGGAACATCTCAATTCTATAGCTGGTTTGCACCTGGAGTTGACAAGTTTTTCAAATTCTTTGCATTTCATGCTAAGACGAGGTAGGTTCATAGATTTATAGACTGCCTTAAGGCTCATGTTATTAATACTTTCATGTTATCATACTAGAATAATAAAATCCATCGAGTCTGATCTTTTAAAACCTGATTCTGATACTGGAAAAATGTCATCATCAGTCATCGACACAATGCAGACGATATTTTCAATCAAGCGTAATTGGGATGTACTTATAGGGCTAACAAAGACGAAGGAAGCCAACATGTTGAAGAGAATTGTAGAACAATTTTGTTCATTTTCTAAGATTTACCTTGAGACTTTTCTGGATAAAAGTAGGAAAAGTTTGGAATCTAAAAATCTTGAGTCACTTCAAGTTCCAACAGAATTGTCAATTTTAGTTGCCAATTTTAACTATTTTGTCGTTAATTTTAAGGAATTGATTGATGAGCTTACAAAAGATAAAGCAATAGATCAAAATATCATCAACAAACAAATCGACAATACTCAACTAAACCTCAAAATCATGATTCACAAATTTATCGACTTTGCTATTCAAAAATTGAGTCCAATGATTAAGGAGGCAATATATGAGGATATAGACGAAAATCAAACGACCCTTGGAAGATCATTGTTTAATAGAATCGAGCAAATGCTTATGATTTTCTTGGATGAATTTAAAGAACGAGAATTCAAAAAATCGAGGTTAATTTTATGGCAAAATGTAGTTAAAGCTCTCGAACAAAGTGCTCAAAATGGGCTGAAAACCAAAATGTCTTCAAAATTCTTTACAAATTTACAAAAAGTTTTTGAAGACTCAAAAGCCGCTTTTAAGTACAATAGTGATACCAACTTTATTGAAGACATACAAACAACAAGGAAGGTCAAAAATCTTGATCGCTTGCTGCAACGCAACAGGTTCAGTATATCTGAACTGATCTGTCAATACTACGCAAGTCGACATGAAAGCCAGCAAAAGTTTAAAGACGACGGAGTGAATCTTTATGGAAATTTGACAGTCAAATGCTTTATTTACCAAAATGTATTGACTATTGAGATCAAAAAGCCTGAAAACCTTGCTCCGATTGATGATGATGGCATCAGAAATCCGTATGTGAAAATTCTTATGATTCCAAAAGATAAATTTCCAAATCCTCGCAAAATTAAATGGCAAAATAAGAACAATGGAAATATAATGTCAAGCAGAAGAAATATAACATTGAAAAAGGATGTAAACATAAATGAATCTTACATCCACTTTAAAGTCAAAGACGAGGAATCACTACTATTAATGTTTAGGTCATTTTGTGCCTCATTGAATTGTTTCGAATGCAGAAGTCCAGAAGAAAGAAACAGCAGATTTTTAGGAGAAGCATTCATATCATTTAAGGATATTCCAGAAGTTAATCAAGGCAATGACACTCAAGATATTGAATTGACGCTAACGAAACTACAAAGTTGCGGTAAGATAGAACTCACTTTATTTCTAGTAGAATGCTATACTTAAAGGCTAGTATATATGAAGGCGTACGGTCGATTAATGATTAATTCTTCGGAGTTTGTAAATACCAATCGTACGTCTAGTTAGGAACTAGAAATGATATTTAGTGTTCCTCTAAAATTTAACAATTTTTATTGAATATTCTAGATCTAGAGCCATTAAAAGCCATCAATCAATCAGCCAAAGCTGGAAATAAGCAAGCCATCAAGTTTTTAAAAAGCTTAGAAAATAATTCGCATATAAAGCTTAAGTTTGAAGATGATCCTAATAACGAAAACGTTCATTCTTAATCATTTTAAAACTGCTGTATAAGTGCGACGAGAAACTTATGTATTTCATCTGAAAATTCTCAAATTTTACTACGGATTTCGAAACATTAACCTTATATTTTAAAGAAAAAGTGAAACTTATAGTACTCGTAATAAGTATACTAGTAATACTTATAGTATATAAAAATATTCAATAAATATCACAATTTTACCATCGAAAAATACACAAAAATGTCTACATCCTTTAACATCTACCATTTTGAACCTAATTAAAAATAAAATTCGTGTTTCTATTTATATCCATTATTTATCTGAATTGTACACCCAGCATTTAATTCTAAACCATGATGCGCGTCAATTTATTTCAATGCAACCCTTTTCATTTTTAACCGTCTCGTTCAATTGCAGAAGGAAAGGAAATTATTAAAGGTTAGTGATGTTAAATGTCTAAAGCGCAATTTTTGAGATGCAGCTGATAGGAAGGTGTTGGTCGAAATCGTTTGAATTTTGTGATGCAAGGGTGGAGGATGGATTCTTTGTCAAAAGTGGAACGTCAGAAGTGTTACCAAAAACAAGCGATTTGATTATTTTTGTCCTCAACGGACAATTGGTTTTTGTATTTTAACAGTCAGATTTTGTCCTCAATGGACGGTTGTGTATTTGCAACTCTGCACAATTGTATTGACACAGGGTATATCAATGCAAAGTACCTAGCCACAGTTTGCAAAGGCTAAATTGGACAAACCGAGTTGCCATGACTAGAACAGCGATAGGGCACCCAAAATTTGACTAGACATTATCTGGGATCGAACTCGGGTCGTTAACGTTGGTTGGCCAACACTTAATTTTAATAAAAGATCAAGCTTTCTTTTGATTTAATTCTAGCTCGAAAGATTATCTAAACATTAGTTTAGTTTTATGACTAAGTTTCACAAACCTTAATCCAAGTCAACCTCATCAAAATAAGCCTTATAAATTATTATGATGGACACCATGTCGTAGATACTTCAAACCCATCTCATATCCTCAAAAATGCCGCGAAAAGCGTAAAATTAAAGACGATGAAAATTTACTCAATAGAAAAAAATTGTGTCGCTTCTCGCAATTCTGTTTGTTTTGTTTCCCATCTTTCTTCATAAAAAATAAAGATAATGAGAACAAAACAAAACAAAAGAAGCATTGACTCATTTTAAATTAAGAACGGAAATGTAGAAATGTACACAGTCAAGATGAACTTTAAGCATTTTATTATCTCTGTACTTAGAGCTTTTAGGAGACAAAAAAATAAGTTTTGCAATTCTTTGTGTCAATGAACTTTGATTTGAGGATTAAAAGGAGAGAATATGCTTTGTGTTGTGATTTTATTGGGTCAGTGAAGTTTGTTGTTAATTGAAAGATACAGATTTTAATAAAACCTGATCTGAGTTAACAGATTGACTGTAATAACATGTTTGAACCAGAACTGAAGCTAGTTTTAAGTTACCCTCCCTAGTAACCAAAAGGTAGATCAATGTATTCCATGAGAATCTTCCATGGATGATACATATGTATTATCCATGTATTATCCATCGGAAGATGATGTCCTATGAAAATGGAAGATAAATGGACAATGCAATTAGACATCAATGTAATACATCAAAGGATTACAAATGGAAAACAAATGGATTACTTTTTTTTGAATAAAACACGTGTTAAATTCCACGTGTTATTTTGTATTTTTCATTAATTTGTGTAATTTTTTGTAAAAGTATTAGTGTGTACTTAATTAAAGTACACTAACACTACGAAAAAGAACAAAAGGACTTAATTTAATTAAGTCGCATACTGATGAACGACCAAGACTCGCACATAAACATGAGGAAGATAAATAATTAATTGAAAGCCCCATACAAATTTAGAGAGAACTTATAATAGTGATTTCTTCGAGCAATTGTGAAGTATATGGCAAATGCCAAATTTAGAACAAATATTATTTTTCTGCAAAAAAATATTTTTTTGATGATATTTCATAGGATTTGATCCTAAGCAGGTTCGGGTAATACTTCGATGGAACACTTCTGTTACATATTTGTAAAACAAATATTTTCCATATAATAAATAATGATACATTTGATCTTCCATCGACGTCGAAGGAAGATTATATGGATCATTTTGGTTACTAGGGCTAGTGGAAGTCAAATTTCATTCACATTTGAGAGCGGAAAAAATTTATTTTTGATTTTAAGATATTTATGGTATCTGATCATCTCAAGTTTATTTTAAGCAAATGACCAGCAACTGTAAGACGTAAATGACCGTAATGCTTTCAAGGTCAATCCTATCACAAAACTTCACATGCACGGCTTCACAAACCCCCTCAAACTTGGCCCCCACCGGACACCCACCTTGTCATATCTCCTCAAATTATTGGCTTCACATGATTTCAAAATTGGCTTCAAACGGCTTCCATTTTTAGAGCCATGTTGTGAATTGAGTGTTTATATTAAAGATGGACAAAACATGAAGAAGTAAAATGTAAACCGGCTGATAATTTTTGCTTTATTGTAATAGAATATATAAATATTGACAAACTGACATCGATTTTAAGGCTACAAAATAAGCACATTGGTGTTCTAAAGGGCCAAAATTATTAATTATTTATTTTCGTGACCAAAAAGTTTTGTTCTCATCCATGTCTTTAAACTTTTGCCTTCACTTTTTAATTTTTTTTCTTTTGGGACTTTTTTGTTGTTGTTGTCTTCTTCTTATTCTTCCTTGCATTCACTTTTTGAGCTTTTCCATTTTCCAATCGCTTCTTAATTTTATTCTTCTTCTTTTTATTATTTTTCTTTTTGGTTTTTGTCAATTTTTCTTCGTTGGCTTTGCCTTTGGTTGTCCTTACATAACTGCCAGATTTCTTTGTGGTTGTGTTGGTTTTAAAGGTAGAAGCTGGTCGAAAAGTCGGTTTATTTGGAGAAGCAGTGGAACTTTGAATATTTTGTGACTTTACTGTCGTTTTCGTACTCACCGTGACAATGGGTTTGGATGTGCTTGAAACTGTTTTAAATGCTGTTGATGTGGACGTTGAAATTAATTTAGTTGTCGTAGGAATTGTTTTTGTGGTTGTTGAGGCTCTCGTTGTTGGTTTTGTTGTCGTGGTTGTTGAGGCTGTTGACGTCGATGTTAAGGTTGTTGTTGAAGAAGTCGAAGCCGTTGTAGTAGAAATTTTTGTACTTTCTGTAGCAATTACAGGTACAAGTGGAAATCCAACAATTGGCATTCCAACTTTACTCGTGGTTGTTGCTGAATTTACTCCCGACTTTGTGGTACTTGTTGTAGTTGAAATGACTGTAGACGTGTTAGATGCTCCATAATCATAATTGTAATAATCATTGGAAGCATATCCACCATAATTGTAATCGCTGCTATATGTGTCATCGGAATTGTAAGCGTAGTCTGGTTTCAATAATAGAATTCAAGAATATAGGATTCAACTTTTTCTTAGTCTTAAATTTTATAATTTTACCTTGACTAGCTGATTGTACTATTTGCTGAAAATTTAAACAAAAATTTCTATACTTTTACAATTTTTGGGGGAAAAAAATCATTTTCTAACCGTTGTGAAAATAATGAAAAATATCAAAGTAATTTTTTTAATCTTTCTCATCGCTTGATGCCTTTTATTCACTTCACATTATCCATTCAAATATGATTACAAATTGGTAAATTCATTCAATTAACAACTTAATTTATATCAAAATTTTGAAGTACCTCAAAAGTCATTAGCAAATATGATAACTTTAATGCGAAATAAATTGACCATTTTCTAAGTTAATTTCTATTTAATGATTGAATTTTGCAAATTAACAGTTTAAATGAATTATTTGCAATTGAATAATTTTCAAGTTGAATTGTTTTGCAATTCTTGCAAAAGAATTAGAACATAGATTTTAAATATGAGTAATTTTACATTCACATAGAAGCATGTAAAGTTGAACATTGGGAGTTATGTGAAACCATCACCAAAGCATACATTTATAAATTAAAAAGCGTTTTTTGTCATTCAACGATTTTCTAAAATTCAAAGTTTATAAGTGTATAAAAAAATTCGAATTTCTAAACGCACTCATCACGTGTTTATCATTTGAAATAAAAAAGTCATTAATTATAGTACAAAAACACTATTTCTAGACTTTTAAATGCAATTGCCCGAAATAAAACAATGGACCAGAGATAATAAAACTGACTAGAACTCTCTACAATGTCTGGTTAAAAAGTTTTTTTCGTCCTGACCGGCTGATCATAGTGCATTATTAAGCTACCTTTTCGAAACAAGATTCAAAAATGCGCTAAAAACAGTCACACAGAAATCAATGTGTTTATAATAATTCGCTAAAAAGCATAATGTTTTTGAATACAGAATTCCACTAGATTGTTTAATCATTGTGTTTTCAGGTCGCACTTTGCAATTTAAAAGCTATTAAAAATTGTATTAAAGCTAATAAAGATCTTTCTTAGCATTGCTTCTGAATAATCACTTGCATCATGTGAGAAAATGTGATTTTGCAATTAATTTGCATCAATAAATAAACTATTAAAAATTCTAATAAGAGGCTATTCAATTATGACGTCCAGGAGGGGGGGAGGTGGGAAGGGATTAAGCAAGAAATAAACAATAGAACTTCCAGGAAATCCATTGTTCTTTTTGAAAATGACCGCTAATTTTGGACGTCATAAGTAAACGACCCCTAAAGTTTAGAATGAAAACTATTGCTTAATTTGTTGTTGTAAATATGAATTGTCATGCACGGCTTTAAAATTTTGTGCCTTAGAATTCTTTCAATGAAATTATGATCATCACTCCATGCACATCCGACCAACACACGCATCCAAACAAAAAAACAGCAAATTGCGCCATCAATTTAGGAATTCTCTTTTATGCTTTCGTCACAATAGCCACACGAAATTAAATGACATAAAAAATCATCTGCTAAAGCAAGCAACCAAAAAACGCAAGATATAAACCGGTTGTGTGTGTGTTTTTTTTTTCTCCATGCAGATTCGATAGAAAAATATATTTAAATTATGTTATTGATATCGCGTCACACATTTTTTCATTATTATTTGTTAGTCGTTGTTTGAGAGCCGTCCGTGTAGGTTGTCAAAATTAAAATTGTTCGGAATTTAAAAAAAAATAGTGATTGAAAATGCAGAAAAAGACAATTTTTGCGGTGTCAATTTTCACAATAGCTGTAATATTAGTAGCATCAATTGCTGTTTATTGCTATATTCTTGCAAATCATACAAGTCTGTTGAAAATTGACGACGAAAAAGAAGAATCAAAAAATGTGTATGGAATTGTGATTGATGCGGGCTCCACGGGCACTCGATTACATGCGTTTGAGTTTGAAAGAAATGGAACTGAATTAAATTTACTGTATGAATATTTTAAACAGGAAAAACCAGGTTTATCATCATTGACACCGCAAGAAGCTAAAGAACAAATTAAAAAATTATTGCGTGATGTTGAGGAATTTATTCCTGAAGAATTTAGGAAATCTACTCCTTTAAAATTAAAAGCTACAGCTGGTTTCAGACTTATGAATCCTGAAAGGTCTGAAGAAGTTCTTGAGGCTGTCCGTGATGTTTTTAAATCCTCACAATATTCGTCATTAAAAAATGCAGTCGAAATTATTGATGAAAATGAAGAGGCAATAACTTCGTGGTTTTCAATTAATTATTTAAGGAATTTATTGACATCCGATGATAAAGTTACTGCACTTGACCTTGGTGGCGGTTCCACACAAGTTGCATTCGAGATAGTTGACGAAATTCCTGATCACTTAACAGAACATATCCATAAAGTTCTTAATTTTGACAGTGAAAGTGAACTTTTTGTTAAAAGTTATCTTGGATTAGGTTTGATGGCACTCAGGCATGCTGTAATTACAGAAGAAGCTTCAGAAAATCAAGAAAACGTCGACACTTATTGCATTAATGCAGAAGCTCATCCATTTGAGTGGACATACCAAAATATTGTCTATAAAATCACACCAAAATTCACTGACAACTCTACATTCGATGATTGCCTCATAGCTATAAGAAAAATTGTGTCGAAATTGCTAACGCCAAAGATCCCAAGTCTACAAGATCAAATTATCAATGGATTTTCATATTTTTATGATCGGTCAGTGGACGCTCGACTGATAAAAAAGAACGACGAAGGTGATGAGATTGAAGTTGAGAAGTTCCGATTGAAAGCTTTAGAATATTGTGAAAATAAACCAAACAAAGATCCTTGGCTGTGTCTTGATTTGACATTTATATCTGTGCTACTTCAAGATGGATATGGATTGAAGGATGATAAGAAAATAAAGGTGAGTAAATGTTTTATGTTCTTTTCTTCTAGCCTTTTCGTAAGGTAAAAACTACACATTTGTATTGTATCTTGCTGCCAGTTATGCAGTTGATGACATTCTCGAGTATATATGTTGATCTAAATCAGTGCTGTACAAACTGTGTTCCGCACAAATTCTTTGAAAATGTCACTTACCGCATTCTGTGTGAGATTTTAATCATGGCGTCCTCTTAAGGTGAGCCGTGGCTCAAAACGTTTGGACAACACTGATCTATAGTGATACAGTCAACCAGAGCTCGAAGTTGACTCAAGATTTGAGACATCGACTTTGAGCTCTGCAGTCAAGTAGCAATGTACAGTAATATATTTGGACTCCAAAAAACACACATGCTCTATTAACAATAACTGCCTTTAAAAATCCTGTAAACTATACAATTTGAATGCCACTCCTACATAATACCCCGTCTCATAACTTACAAATTTAAATCTTTGTAACATAAAATTCGAAAAAATATCAACCGCTATAGTTGACATAATATGTAAATGATCCACATAACCCTGGCACTATAATAAACTTTTTTTTATCGCAAAACATAGATTTGCTAATAAAATGACATCCAAAAAATATGCCGCTACAGTTATGACCAAACAAATTAAAATATATAAATTTTAATGAGCTTCTCTAACGTGTCTGCTAATAGTAAACAAATGCTTTGGATGTGGAATTTTTTTGGAATTTTTTTGCAGAGGTTTTCTTTTAATAATTATTTTTGAGATATAATACTTATTGAAAATTGCTTATTAAAATTTAATGCATTTTAATTTTATATTATTTAAAAAAATTCTTTTATTTTATTTGTAGCTTTTTTCAAAAATTGATGGCCATGAAGCAAGTTGGGCACTTGGAAGCTTCTTACAAGATTATTTATCACAAAAGAAGAGACACTGATGACAGCAGCTTAGTAAATTATAGTTTAGGTTATTAAATATTGTTTTCAGAGCCATAAGTCGATAAAATTTTCGACTCGGAGTCGACTTCGCCATACAAAATCTATAAAAATCTCGAGCTCTGATTATTTTAGCAATTCAATTCTGTTCAATTATCATTCATTTTGGTCTATGCAACCAGCCGAAGTAACCAAAAAAAAAAATGAGATTTTAGTTAGCTTTAAAACTGGTTCCAAACTAGCTCTCGGGCAGTTCAAAAATTATGTTCATTTAAAGCAGTGTTGTCAAACCTTTTTTGAGCCACGGCACACCTTAGGTGTAAGCTATTACCGAAGTCGCACACAGCATGCGGCTCGCGTCATTAAAAAAAATTCTACGGCACACCAGTGTGCCGCGGTACACAGTTTAAACAACACTGATTTAAAGTCTACTATATTGTGACATTTTTAACAAAATACATCTCAAATTAATATAGGGTAATTTAAACACTTTTAAGCTAGATCTGACTCTCATCCCTGAAAGAAAATAACGTTTACAAGTATGCTGAAATATAAAATTAATTATGATCTTGTGCCATATAAAATATATTTTATAAAACTTTTCAAATCATGTTCAGTAAAATTCCCTTTTTAGGGTTTGTCATTAATTAGGGCTCCTTTTGTTACATATAAGGAGGAAACGATCTAAACTTGTCTAAAATTATTCAAATTTATATTTCCAATTCGTTCATTAATTGAAGAACAATCCAAAGCTAATCTCTGAAAAAAATTATTCTGACTTCTCAAGCTACAGAAATTTACTTATACGCATAATTTTGATTGTTGATTCTAAGGTAGGTCCAGAATATCCACAAAATCTCAAGGTTTGTCTTGAAACCATCTCATGGCTAAGCTATTGATCGTGCTAGTAAGATTTTGGAAATTTCGCACTAAAGACACATATAAAGGTGCCTTAATTTTTGATTTGATAGCTGGCACAATAATATAATAATAATATTGTGTAAAGGGCCTAGCCTTTCAGCTGGAGGCACTGCGATTTAATTTGTAAAGAACCTATTGGACAATACACTTTATATCTACAGTTTATAGTGGGATCCGAACCACATGCAAGCCCTGCACATTGCAAAGACACGATTACGTCATAAGACCTGATATCCCATGCAATGTACCTAGTCACAATTCGTGTGCAAACGCTCTACCATTCAGGCCACTGATGCCATTTTACCGCTAGCACAAAAATTATTTGCTATCCTGTGGTGGTTATATCCATGATCAGATCAATATGTCCATTAAAACAGTTTTCAATTTCGCTTCAAAGTTGCTTCTGCTTGACATTTTTAATAAAATTATACCCTAAAAACCTTTGAACCTAGATGTAAGAAACTTAAAAGTTATTCTACAAGCACATGCAGACTGAACTTGTCAAATAAAATGGAATTTAAAATTCCAAGTCAATAAATAAATTGCAATAAATTTAAATTATTGTTAAAGAATTAAGTCAAATGTTTTATTATTTCTGTGAACTTAATATCCATGCTTACATGTCAACATTCAATAAGTTGATTCCTCTCAAATGGTTTGTCCAAAAGACTGGATCAGTTTCCAAGACATCAGAATGATCAATATGAATTAAAAGTGGAATTTTTAGGGTTCGACTGCATCGGATTTCATAATCAAACATTTTAAATCCACGTCCATCAAACTCATCGACTGAAGCTTTGTTGATGAAATTTGCAAATCCAAAATTACGTGACTTCTTCAACTTTGCATTATGGCAAATTCTGATTCCTGTAATAGTAAATTGTGACTCAAAAAGCTTCGCAAGTTCCCGCAAATAAAAAGTCGTCTCAGTCATTCGCTTTTCTAGATTTGTAAGGAATAAACTTTGTGGTGCACCTGGAACTTCTGAGTTGGTTGGTTCCATAACTGCACTTCCGTTCATAAGTTTTACACTGGATATTCTGACATAACTACCGTCCATGTAAATTTCTTGCAAAGCTTCCATCATTTCGATTTCTTTCTCGTCCATAAGAATTATGTAGACAATTTTGGATGTCATTTTAGCAACATAATCTGTGGCACGGAAGCATCCAACAATGCCACGCAATTTACCCATGAAAAAATCGAGAATTTCTGGAATTCTCATTGTCAATGGGACATTTTCGAGCTGAATTGTTGGAAGCATGTGATTCAAGAGCTTCTCAATGTTTGCCTTCTTCTTTTTAGCTATGGTATTATGATCAGCCATGAATCTTGGATTATTCGATGGACCATCCTGCCTCATTGGATACTTTTGATTTGGTTGATTTTGCATCATACCTGAATTCATTGACTGCATGCTTTGATTCTGAAAATTTTGACTCTGAAAATTTAAGTTTTGACTTTGTTGTCCTGAAAACTGATCACGATTATCAAATGATGTCTGCCTGAATTTTGAATGATCCATAAATTCTTCTTGTGGTCCTGGCTGATCAAATCTTGACCTCTTAGTTTTCATCTGCATGTCTGGTGGTCCTTGCATTCTCCATGGTGGAATTGGATCATTGTCTGTACCAAAATCACCTTGATCAAACTGTCTTGGCTGCTCATAATCATGTTGGCTACTTCCTTGGAATACCATTGACCGACGATTGTCTGGCTCATGTCTGTTAGGTCCTGGACGATCATAATGCTTATAATCATCATCGTCGCTATCCTTTTTGGAATCAATCAATCCACTTCTTTCAACACTTTTTGTTCGTGCTTTCTTCGGTGGTGGATAGTCGTTATTGGTGACTCCAAACTTCCTACGAACTTGATCAATCTTCCATCTTATTTCTTCATCATGCAACTCACGCATTCTGTCCACAAAGAACTCACACCATTCATCATGAAAGTCATAGTCTGATGGATCTTCTCCACGCTTAGCTAAGTCATCAGCCTTTCGGTTCCAAAATAGTTGCCACTCTTTTTCATAGAATGGATGAGATTCTGGATCACGGAGATGATCCTTAAACTTTTCTTCTAGCTTCTTAATTTCTTCATCAATAGCTGACTTGTAACCTGAATTAATGCTGCTCTGTGGCAGCTCATCACGATTTACATCCGAGAACTTTGGTGGTTCTGGAGGATTTATTGGTCGCTTCCTCTGCATTGGCATTTGCTGTTGCATCTGCTGACTTCCTGAAGCTCTTGGAGCTTGAAAGTTTTGCTGCATAGGACGATTCCTTGGTGGCTCATTCGAGCTGAATCTTGTCATGTTTACATTAGAAATCATGCTTTGAAATTGTGGATTTGATGGATGAAAGCTTCGAGGTGGAGGTTGAAAATTGCGAGGATTAAAGTAATTTCGTGGCTAAAATGTGGAAGAGACAATAAATGATTATAGATTGTTAATGAAATGATGATGCATGTTGCTTCTGTGAGATTCAGAAAAATAGGAGTTTTGTTGAAATTATGACTAGGGATTGATACTTTTTAATTATACAGTCAATATCGTTTATGAACATTAAGTAAGATTTAGACTTGGTCTTTAAAATATTTCAATTTTAAGGTCGTGAATTATTTTCGTTATTTTTTTTTTGGTAAAAATGTAAATGAAGCTATAGATTTATTATAAATTGATCTATTTAACTAGATTTAAATTAAAAGAATTGCGTGATTACTTTATTATCTAGCATGTTTGCAAAAGAAAGTCAAATTTCAATTCTTAAATCTTTGAAAAGATTAAAATCTTAAAAAACAATATTAAAAAATATTTTTTTTAAAAAACTTGATTAATTAATATTAAAAAGGAATTTTATTAATTCCAGGAGGTTATTACGAAAGTTACCCAAAACTCTCATGATTTTATACTTACATTCATGTCTAATGGCTCGAAATTAAAATAAAATGTTCAATATTCAAAAATTCTGTCACTTTTGTTCTTGTATTTCTTACTAAATAGATGATTTTTCAATTGCTTAATATTTACGTCTGTTCCTTGATTTGTTCAACTCCAAAGTGATCAAATAAATTACCAAAAAACTGTTCTGCAAACTTCGAAAAGTTTTAAATTTTAGAAAGTATCTTGAAATCTTATTTGGTGTAAATAAAAAATAGGAAGATGTGTTTTGCTGTCGACAGTGAAAGATGCGAAAGTTTTGCATCATTTTTGAATTCTAACGGAAAATAAACCTAATTTATTTATTTTTTATTTTTTATTTTTCGATAAAAAAGTACTTTTGGGATTGTAACGGAAGATTGAGATTTAAATAATATCTCAGGGAGCTTTTTTTTATCTTCAAACAAAGAAACATCGTTTTTTTTAATGTGATTTAAAATATAATTAAGGCGATATAAACTGGCGAAACTTATAATTAAACAATTATTAAAGAGACAGGCCATTTATACAATTCAATTTAAACTAATTATTCATCGAATTACAGAGATATTGACAAAAATATATATTTAAAGGTTTAATCACCTAAGGAGTTAAATTATCATCCATCATAAAAAATAAAATCATATCATATCATAACATATCATAAAAACACGCTTTTAACAAAAAGACTAAAAACCAAAAAGATGAAAATAAAATAAGTTCACACTTTTAGCGAATCAGAATTTTAAAAGTTTTCTTGTGACATCTAGAAATGTAACATAAATTTTTTTCAAAATATTGTGATTAAGTCCAAGAACACAATGACTCTAAAAGCGTTGGGCGTAATTTAAGGATGAATTTCTTAGTTCAACTAAGTTCTTAAGTAAGAAAAGCGTCAAATCTCAAAGCCCCACGCTTTTAGAGTCATTGTGTTCTTGGACTTAATCACAATATTTTGAAAAAAATTTATGTTACATTTCTAGATGTCACAAGAAAACTTTTAAAATCCTGATTCGCTAAAACTGTGATCTTATTTTATTTTCATCTTTTTGGTTTTTAGTCTTTTTGTTAAAAGCGTGTTTTTTAAAAAGTTTTTTAACATTTTTTTATTTGCTACTTTTTTGTCTCAATCTTTTAATCGAATATCGATCACAACAATTCAAATTCAACTCCACTTCGTTTTACCCCGTTTCGTTCAACTGTTTATAGATTACATTTGTTCATTCATTTGTTTTATAGAATTTAAGTCATACCTGGAAACAGATGAAACTTCTTAAAAAATATCCTGAACTTCAATTATGTGCGCTTTCTGTGTTTTTTAAAGCATTCATTAGTACATTAAAAATGAATCTTGGAGATTTTGTGTTTATCTGTACCATTCCTACTACATAACGTGTGGATTCTTAACATAAAGATGCAACTCACATCTATATGTAACGTATTTATAACGGATTTTTCAAATTTAATTCAATGAATGTCATTTGTTTGTTATGCAAATATACTTCAAGCCGTTAATAAATAGCAAAGTAAATTTAATTAAGTTGGTGAAGTTTTATAAATAATGTAATACATTAAAAACTACATAAATTTATGCTCAAACTTTGTGTGCTAAATACACATCGCATATTAATAGTTATTTTGCATTAATTCGTAACGGACTTGTGCTTAACGGTTTTTTTGAAAATTCAAATTTTCACTTGCGAACATTCATGAAAAAATTACATGTCAATTTTTTTGTCTTACCAGAATATCTTTAGATGCTCAAATTTATAGTATAATTAATATTTAGTAATATGAATTAAACTATAATGAATCATATAAATGACTTTTGAGCATTTCAAGTATAATATTTTAAACAAATCAAAATTTTATATCATTGACATTGGATTTTTTTCCCATATAAAAAAGTTTTACTTAAATTGTTCTATAATTAAGCATTTTTGTAGTTCCAAAATGTTAAAATATTGTATTGTCACCGGGAATACGTGTGCATTAAAAATTTGAGCTCTATTGGAGCAGTAGAATTGGTCGAAAAATTGATTACAAGATTTGACCTCGACAGATAAACAGACAGATAAGAAAGCAAGTTAAGAAAAACGTAGTAATAAAAAGCGTGTAATAATAAAAAAGCGTGTAAAAAATATAAATTAAGTAAAAAAATTATTTATTTAAATGTTATTTATTGGTTAAATCATTGTTGAACATTGAATGTCCATCATTGAGCCATAACAATCGTTAATCAAGTTTTATCACACATGCAGTAACGCATGGAGTCTTGATTTGGGTCGAAACAAGCATTTTAATCCTGTACTACGACTGGATTTTACTCCATTTACATGATTAGATCCAGTGAGTCATCGAATCATCCCATCTTTCAAGTTTAAAGTCAAATTGGATGATCCTTTGGAGATAGCATCGCTTGATTTTATCAATTCGTTTGCAGAGTCATTTGAGATATCTCTAAATAGTACAGTGTTGCAAGTTCATCCATTAATTAATGTAGCCAAGTGGAAATTTAGTCGAGACACAAACCGAAATCAAATTCAAAAGTTTCCGTTACAGATTGATCACGTGTTAAGATTATTAAGATCTAAATTTCGTGCTATAGGATGTCTTAAAAAACAATAATTCTTTATTATATTCAAAATCTCATTTTTATTTATTTCAATTAAATCATTATTTTTAAAATCTATTAATTATTTTTTAAAACTTTCCTTTGCCTTAGCTTCCATTTCTCTTTCCCTTTGTTTTGCTCTCCGTCTTTGTCTTCTACCTATATATTCGTCGTTCCCTTCCGTAGAACCCTTATCATTCTTCTTCATAAACATGACTTTTAACATTTCAATTTCTTCGGGTGCAGCTTCATCCTTTCCCATTTCTTTCAATGTCTTCTTAATGTTTATCATCATTTCATGCTGTCCAATGAGCTTTGTGATTTCATTGACTGCTTGTTCAACAGCTTTTGTTCTGCTTTGTGATATCAAATGTGCCATTTGCATTCCGATTATTTTCTCCTTTACAGTTTCGATTAAGATTAGGTTTTCATTTTCAAATAAAAGTTCATCAGACGGTTTTGAATGTTCGCGTTCGAATGCGATGGATTTTGAGAGGAGGTCGAGGACCTTTTGAGCTAAAAGACCTAATTCTTGCTCAAGTGAAGTGAGAAGTCTGCATGTTGTGATTAAAGTTGTTGGTTCATTCGATCTTGGTGGGGATCTTTGAGGCAATGTTCGATCAACTGGTTCCCGTCGTTCTACTAAAATTGGTTGAGGTTTTGGGCGCTTATTCTGGTCAATTCCAACTTCATGTAGGAATTTGCTAAAAATTTTCTTTTCTTTTTTATAAAGAACATCCTTTGGAATTCTTGGAGCAAGTTCTCTGAAATCTTCATCGAGTGAGCCTTCATCATCGCCGTTATTAGCATATCTTCCTCTACGTTCACCTAAAGGTCTATCTTTATCCTGATTATCATGTCTGTTCCTCTTTGGTTCTGGATTGTCTGATTTTCCACCAAGATCCTCCATCGTCAATCCTAAGTTTCTTCTAATTTGATCAACTTTCGATTTAATTTCATTTTCGTGAAGTTCACGCATTCGCCTGACAAAGAATGAACACCATTCATCATGAAAGCTGTGAGTTGTTGAGTCCTCCCCACGTCTTGACATGTCATCAATCTTCTTATTCCAGAACAATTCCCATTCAACCTTATATTTAGGATGTGAATCTGGATCTTTCTCATATTCTCTCAACTTTTCTTCCATTGTCCTCTTTGCATAGTCAACAGTTGATTTGAACTCTTCGAGAACATTTTCAGGAACTTTTCGCTTCCTTTTCATACTGAAAGGAATTTCGAGTGACTCTCTTGGCGGTTTTGGAGCATTTTCACTTTCCCATTTCGGATCATGCAATTTGATTCCTTCAAGCAGTTTCTCTTCAGCATTCGGAATGTCATCAATTGTGACATGCTTTTTTAAGTTGATGTTGTCACAAATATCTGCTTTTGTATCAAGAAAGTCATGACCTTCATAGACAAATGCTGATGATCTTCCAAATTTAACCTCAATTCGTGAGCAAACTATGAATAAAACCTTTTGACGGAACTCCAAATCTTCATTGAATCGACGAAAAGCTTGAATTTGTTCAATGATTGGTGCAAAGTGCTTTGTCTGTAGGAAATGGGAAAATTAAGGGATTTATTAATAAATTTTCAACAATATACGGTTTCAAAGAATTTATAATCGTTAAGGGTCTATCTAGTGGAGTGTTGTCCAAACTGTGGGATATGACGCGAGCCGCATGCTGTGTCCGACTTTGGTCATAGCTTACCCTTAAGGTGTGCCTTGACTCAAAAAGTTTGGACAACACTGATCTAGCGTACACTCTAGATCCAACCATATCTCAAGGAGGATACTAAAGCATCCTTCCACAGAGAAATTCTTCATAGGTCTTAAGCTAAACCTAGTATAGATGCTATTCAATAATTAAAAAAATATCTCACCAAATAGCTGATCCTATGTGTCTGAGATATAAGGTGCTTTTCAATGGTTCTTGGATCACATCGCTTCTCGCATAGTACACAATAGTAACAAGGCTCTTTTACTTTCGAATCTAATACTTCAACAATATATTCTAATGCTATTAATGGCTGTTTAATCGATGCGATGATTACCTCGAACATTGGTTTGTGATCGTAGTTCTTCTTGTTTCTTGATATTTCTGTGAATTAAGTATAATTTGGTTAAAAAATTTGGGAAATAAATTTTCTACATTATTTTGGATATGCTAGAATTCAGAAGTCGGGACATTGAGCGTAACCTATAAGATAATTACTATAAACTTAGCTTATCTTCACGATAAGGTTTATCTTAGTGTTATCTAATCTATGGATTTATGTGTACAATAGGGCATGAATCTAGTGAAACACGAGGACTATACATTAGGGTCCTCAATTGGCTACATCATAGGCCATACTCAGGACAATACGACCATGTTTTACTTTTAGTCTGTATTGGATTATACAGCGCTGATTAAAAGAATATATACAATCAATAGCACTGCAGATTCCAGAAAAAATACCAACTTACCTCTCAAATGCTTCTCCTTCTGAAACTTTGTTTTTCCAGGCAGAGAGTCTTCAAACAATTTCAAAAAATATCTATGCTTTTTGCCAGCTAAATGTGTTGGAACATTCTTATCAGGCAGACAATCAATTTTACAGACTTTACAACTATAGACACAAGTTCCATTGTCTTCTTTTTTCACCAAATCAAACACGTCCTCAAATCTAGGATTAATTTTAGGTTCACCAATGTCTGGGAACTTTTCAACCCTAGCCTTTTGCTCAATAATAGAACGAATTTCTGGTTCACGTCCTGAAGTTCTAGGTTTCAGTTTTGAACTATCTGAACTGACTTTAGGAGCGCTTTTAAAACTGCCTGCATCTTGTCTTGAATTGTAATCTCTTCTTCCTTCATCTCGACTTCTCTCACTTCTCTTTAAAACCCGATCATCAAATGCATTTTGTTCACTTTCCCAAACAGAATTGTAGTTACGACTGCTTGAACCTACATTTGATTTCTGTTGACTTGATGATCCGTATTCGGACCTTGGCTGATTTGATGATCCGTATTCTGATCTTTGTTGGTCCGAAGAGCCATAGTCAGATCGTTTTAGGTCTGATGATCTATAATCCGATCTTTGTGGATCCGATGATCTATGATCCGATCTTTGTGGATCCAATGATCTAAAATCCGATCTTTGTTGATCTGATGACCTATAATCCGATCTTTGTGGATCCGATGATCTATAATCCGATGATCTATAATTCGATCTTTGTGGATCTAGTGATCTATAATTTGAATCTAGTTGACCATCCGATGATCTAAAGCTTAAATCTAGTTGACGATCTGACGATCTATAATTTAAATCTGATCGAAGATCTGTTCTACGATCCAATCCATCTGACGGTCGTAAGTTTGAAGATTGAAATCTTGCATCTGAATTGAAAGGCATAAGATCTTGAGCAGCATTGATTGATGTGAAATTTCCAATAATATTTGATAGTTGTGTGCTGAGTGATGAGTTTGTGAAGTTTTGATTGCTTTTTGAATCTAAAATGGATATTAGGTTAGTATTTTATTGTGTATCAGATATATTATATAATTATATGTCAAGTAGAAGAGGTGCTGAGTCAGTGAAGTAGGACCTGATGTCTCAAAAATATGTTTGTGAGCTAGTCTTATATTATTGGGTTTCTATTGCAGTCGTGTTACTTAAACTATATTTGTGTCAACAAACTGTTCAGGTGTGGCACAAAATATATGACAACACGTCAAGGTCCAGTTCTTCTAATCTGACTAGAACTAAAAACTAAATTCCTGTGAAAAACTCACCATATCCCGAATAACTACCTCTTGTATTTTGACTATTTACTTGATCGTTTCTTCTACTTTCTGTCTCATTCCTAAACCACCCACTGTCAAAATCATTCTGATTTTGTTGATTATTTGAGTTGTCGATGTCTCTGCCTTGATCACTTTGGAGCTGATAGAATGCTTGTTGATATCTACTTGATGAATTGTCAAATGGATCAATTTGTTGGTTTCTATTTGATGATGAATAGCTATTGGAACTCATCATTCGCTGAGGAGAGAATGCTCTCTCATTATATGGCAGTCGAGTCTGAAAATTGAAGTAAATTTTGGTTTAGCAATGAGACTAAGCAATTTGGGATGAATACAGCTAAACTTATAAAATTGAGCACAAATATTTTGCAAAATTTCAACTTACATTTCGATTGCTCATTTTTGAATTTAATTTTTGACAATTTTTACTGTATTTCAATAATTTTGCTGCTTAACGACTTGTTGATTACAAACTTTATCCTAATATTCTCCTTAATATTCCTTAATTCCTCACAAAATCATCCTTTAAATAATCAAAAATCTCAAAAAATATTCGAAAACTTTTTTCATCAATAAAATACTTTCAAAATATTTCACAAACCGCATGAAAAGATGCAAAAAAGTTTCGAGAGTCGACATAAAAATTATTTCCATCAACTGTATTCCCCTTCAGCTGTTCCTATCCAATTATTTTTTTCATACACTAAAAAAACTGTAAACAATCGAAACAAAACTTTTCAAAAAAAAAATTAAAAAATCTCAAAAACTTAATAAAAAAGTTGCAAAATCATCGAAAAAATGAACGGAATTGACTCAAGTGACGAGAATGAGAAGATGGAAAATGAAGTTTGCTGTCTAATTGACGACGGTGTGAAGTGCAATCGTATAGCTGGAAATGCATCGTTTTCAAAACGTATCCAGAAAGGAATCAGTCAAAGAAAAATGAAGCTTTCACTTGACGCACTAGCACGAAGTCAATTCATTTGTGATTATCACAAGTCAAAGATCCAAAGTGCACGGTCAATGAAAAGACATCAGCGGACCACAATCAGTCGAGATTCTGATTCTGGAAGTGATTCGGAGTCTCCAGAAGTTGACTTTTACTCATTGCAAGTCCAGACACTAAGGAGGTATAAGAAGTACTATAAAGTCAGCACACGTCCAGGTCTCAATAAGGCACAACTTGCTGACATCATTTCAAAGCATTTCATGACAATTCCAGTAAAAGAAAAGGAAGTTTTGGCTTACTTTATTTACACGGTGAAGCATTCAGGACAGGTTCAGAATAATACAAAAGGATTGGACTAGATTGAACTACCTGAAAGTGACCTCAAACATTTCTCATTAAGAAAATAAAGATTTAGTAGAGAAAATAAGAATTATATGTTTATAAGTTTGCCTCAAAATGAAGAAAAACAAGCAAAAATAGAATTTTTAAGTTGCACATTTTGTGCTTAAAAATTTATTATCAGAAAAGAAAAATTCATAAATGTTTATTATTTTAAGTTAATTATTATTATTTGTTGGTGTGAATCGACAGTTTAATAATAAATGTGAAGAATTATTTGAGAAAGATAACAACAATTGTTTGATTAAGTTGGTTGTTTGGGAGGGTGTTGGATATGAGATGACGCTGATGTTTAACATCTGGACAGTCAACTAGGCTCCATTCAGTATATGGTTCTGTTCCGTCTGTTCAGTACTTTTTAAGCAAATCCACATTAATATTATTCTATTCTGTGATTCAACTGGACAGCCTCACAGGTTTGAAATCCCCACCATGACTTCCCTTAACATGCTTTGTTGCATTTGCATAGTCAAAGAAAGTCAATTCACAACATGGACATCCGTAAGGCTTCTCCATCGTATGAGCTGATCTGACATGATACTGAAAACCACTAGTGTACCTGAATGCCTTATCACAATGAGGACATTGATATCTAGATGAGTTCTGATCATGAGAATATAGATGGCATTTGAGCTGATAATTGGTTCTAAACTTCTTGCTGCAAAATGAGCATTCAAAGTTGTGAGGAATCATGTGTTTTTCATGAACAACTTTCTTGTGTTTCCTTAATCTTTCAAAATTTTTAAAGGATTTACCGCAGTGACATTTAGCAAGAACATCTTTGTCTTTATGGATGTGATTGACATGTGACTCAAGAACTGCACGTCTATTAAAAATTGCACCACATTGTTCACATATTAGTCTTGTTGATGTTGTGTGGCTCTTCATGTGTGCAATCATGTTATTCTTAGTTTTAGTGCTCAAATTACAAATATCACAGATGTGAACATCCCGATTATCAATATGATGATGATTTTGGATCAAATGAGTCTTGAGGACATGAGTTGTATTGAAATGTAAGCCACAGTAGAGGCACATTAAGATCCTTTGAGTATGATCAGCTTTGTAGTGCTTGAATAAGTCATTTAAGTTCCAGAAGATTGTTGAGCATATTATGCAGCTGAATCTAGCATTTGTGTTGTGATATTTAATTGTGTGAGTCACAAAACTTGGGAAGTTTGAGCAGGTGATTCCACATTGATTGCAAAAGTTTTTGTATCTTGATTTGTGGACTGTCTTCAAATGTAAGTTAAGGTCTACAATATTTTCGAAATTTTCAACACATTTTCCATCATTTTCTGTACACTTCCATTGATAATTTGTCCATCTTAGTGCTGAGTATTTTGACTCAGCTTCCAGTACTATCCGACCATTGCTCAGCATTTCATTAGAATCAATGTTAAGTTGCAGAAAATTGTCGGAAAATTTGTTGTTATTTTCATTTTTGTAGATCAAATCAAGAAAATCTTCTTTTGTAACCGAATGTGGTTTATCTTCTTGCTTGATGGATGATTTTGATGCGGTTGATGTCTTTTTTGATTTTGTGCTGGTTTTTGTGGATTTTCTGAGTTTTGGTTTTGTAGATTTCTTTTTGGTTGATGTTCGCTTAAGCGATTTTTGCGGGATCTAGAAAGAAATTAGAATTTATTGAATAATTTGATATATTTTGCTGCATTTCGAAGTATGAATCTCGTCATATTTAGTGGATAATTTAAGTTACAAAAAGATAAAATTGATTCTTATATTTTAATGAAAAACCTTTATTTTCTTCAATACTTAATAATCTTAATTAATACTTTTAAATCTTAATTGTAACTTGACTGCTATTCTTGAGATAATTCTAAGGAATCTCTTTTGATCAGGGTTGGACACTCCAGAAGTTCCTAAGAATTAGCTCAAAACCTACAAAACTTGGGTACCTAGTTTAAAAAATAATTCAATAGTGTTTTAACACTAGCATTTAAATCTTCCGAGCTGTCATAAATTTTAGCCATCAAGAACTTAAAAACATTCCTATTCGGAGGAGGTAAAGTGAGATTAAAGTACACAAACATATTCAATAAAACTTCAAGTGCCTTATAAATATTATTAAATTGATAGAAATTTCCATCGAAGCAGACTAAAAATTTATCTTTAAAATTCTCAAAATTAACTCCATAAGCTATGATTGTTGGTAGGAAGTTGTAATTTGAGTCTTTAAGCTTCTGTTTCCATTCATTCATCTCAGATTCTTGACAACTTTCATTCTTCACAAGTAGGACCATGAATCTAAATGACTCTAATATTGACGGTCGCCATTTTCCACTTTCATAAAGGAACACATGCAGTCCAAGAAGCAAAGCAACAACTTTTGCTGTTTCTGATAAATCTCTGTATTGAGTAAGCTTTGATTTTACAAATTGATTTGATATGTTTGCTAATAAAATTTCGAGCAGCATTGGTGCCATGAATTGCCATTTTTCTTTAAAATTATTGGTTGAGTGACAAAGCTGGAAGTCGGTGTTGAGCTGGAATGGAAAAGAGAGTTTGTAAGTCATAGCTGAGTTAGGTATTAGTGATCTGAATATACTTACCAGCATGTATCCATCAGTCCTAGTATAAGCACTATATTCACTCAATATCTCTGACAAGTTTGATTCCATTCCAATAATTTTATGCTTCCTGTATTTTGAACTTATTTTCCAATGTAGATTCAACTTATCAAATTTCCCATTTGGATTGGTCCTCACATAATCTTCTGAATAAATTTCCTCTTGACTGAATGTCACTTCTTCCTTTTCATCTTCATTTGACACTTCCTGTTCTAGTTTCCTCTTTTTTGTCATACATTCCATTTGATCATTCTTCCTGAACGTTCTCAATGTGTTGTGATATTTTGAGTACAACATTCCAGATGGCTTAACATCATCACAAAAGTATGTCTCGCTTAGTTCCTGCGGGAATAGATTCCTAATTTCATCTGCTAATCTTTTAAAATCTGGTTTTGTCAATTTTGTCTTGCGTGTGATAAAATAGTTGACGATAATTTCAATCAGCTTTCTTTTTTCCTTTTTCAGGAGACTTGATTGACTGTTGCAATGTTTTTTGAATGAGATTCCAGCTTCTGTGCAGTTGATGATGTACTCTATGGTCAAAGTTTCAGGCTGGAATTGATAAATGATTTAATTAAAACTATAAAGTATATAAAAATTTGTATATTACTCCTTCTTTTGACGATGACTGTGTATTTTGAGAAGCTTCTGAGGCGAAATCACTTTGAGCAATGACTCTGGATTCAGGATGATTGTCCTCAGTTAAGTAATTCTTTTGCCATACTTCATAGCTTTGACATACTTTCTTTTTGATTCCGAGTGGATAATCTTTTAAAATTTCATAAATATCTGCTTGATTGAGGACCTTAAAGACTTCAAAATCCACTTTTTGGTCTGCAAAATGTAAAGAATTAAATATTAGTTCAATGATTATAGTAATCAAGACTAAGGATAAGCTCATCATGTATGTACGGTTTTGCGAACTGGTTGTATAGTATACTCTAAAAAACAATAGTTTTTGGCTAGCTTGCTTTAGCTTGGAAGTGATTTAGATCCTACTGGATCTTTGTTTTTTGTTTCGGATGTGACTTGGATCCTACTGGATCTTTATGTTGTCTTCAACACGTAAAATTGTATGATTCTTATATTGACTTTTCCGGATATTAATATTAAAGATTAAAAAAACTGAAAGTTTTATGTATACCACTGTTCTAAACAGGCGCGTAGCCAGGAGGATCTTGTCCCCCCCTTAAACGTTTTGAACCGCAGCAAGAGCACGACCTAAAACGCTTAAGAGAGGGATAAGACCTTTCTGGCTACGCGCCTGGTTCAAGACATCAAAACTACTTCTTACCTTCAAATAATAGTTTTAAGCAATTAAATCCCATTTCACTTAATGCTGAGTTTACTTGTGATAACTCAAACTCATTATACAAATAATTCAAGTTGATAAGTTGAGTGGCTATAAACGATAAGTGCGTCACAATATTACTGAGTATACTATTTGCCTGTTAACTCATGCTTACCTGAAGACATTTTCAACGAGCTTTGATTCCTTTCCTCAACAGCTACCATAAATTCAGACTATAACAAAATTTCTGTATTAGAGCCTCACATAATCACTTTAAATTTAATGCATTTTGAAAACTTTGAATTAATCATGACTAATAATTATTATACAAGGCAAGGACACTGGAATTAGTACCAATAATCCCAAATAATCTCAAATAATCTCAGTAGTTCCAGCATAATTTTGAGTGTCCTCGCCTTGTTATTATCTTTAAACCAACACTGTATTAAGTATAAATCTAAATTTTTGAAATATCAATGTTTTAAATGGAAATCAATCTGGACTGACTGAGCCAATTGATTGAGACAATTGATTCATATTGATTCCCATCCAAAAAATATTACAATGACTAACACTCACCTCTTCATCATCATTTTCATCGTCCTCCTTAAAATCATTTGAAAAATCATCATTAAATGTTCCAGCATCATAAGAATCTCCAAAGTCCTCCTCAATATTCTCCTCTTTTTCGACCTTAATATCTCCGCAAATATTTAAACTTTTATCATCGAATTTCTCAACTTTAACCATAACTGTATTGATCTCAAAATTAGCTGACTCAAATTTCTTTTGATTTTCAACAATTTGTTGGTAAAATGAATGCGAATTGTTTAACTTTTTAATGCAAATTCGACAACAAAAGTTATTTGACAAATCATGATTGGAAGTTAACTCAAATTTGAAAGTTTCTTGTAGTTTCTTTTGGATTTCAAGTTTCTTGTCATTAATTTTTGATAAATCTTTGAGATTTCTGGATGTTGCACAGAGTCTACAGGTGTCCATCATAGATGTTTTTTTTTATAAACTGAACTATGTCATAAAATACTGGAATTTAACAAATAAGTTTAAACTACTAGAAGTATTGAAATCTAAGTGATTAAATTCTAAAATAAAGAATTATTAAATTACCAAATTAAATATTTTATTATTTTTACTTAAAAACTTGATTTATTTGGTTATATTAGATATCAAAGAAAAAAAAATAAAATTTCTCAGCAATTTCATTAAGTCAACAACATTAATTTGAAGAATAAACCAATATTTATCAACTGTTTTAAAGAATAAACTTATTTTTAATAAAAATTTTCTTTTTGTCAATAAAAACTTCTCTGTTTATGTTTAATAAAAGTTTTAGCAACTGAGAGAGTAAAAGCTTGAGAGCAATTTTATCTCATATTTAATTCTCTCTGTTAATCTTCAAGATTTCTAGATTGATGAAACCAATAATAATATGAGAGCTAAGCAATGTTTCCTCACGGTGCAACAAGCTGGAGCAACTGCGATCCTGATCGATGATAGAATCTATTGTACCAAACCTGATGTAACAAAACGGTTAAATATTTAGGAATATCTAAATCAACCTAGAGCAGTGTTGTCATCCAAACTTTTTTCAGCGATGGCACACCTATAAACTTTCTCCATTTTATCTAGTGTTAATTCTACGGCACACAGTTTGGACAACACTGACCTAGAGTGACATTCATCGATAGCTGATGCCTCGATGCTATTACTTTCCAATATATTGTCAGCAATGAAATTGTCCTTAAGTAAACAGCTTATAGTTTCACTTTAAACTATTCCTTTAATGTATCGATGGAGTCGAATCTTCTTCCGGCTTTGATGTTTAATCGTAATTCCAAAATTTTAAGAGAGATTTAAATGCTGTGCCTTCATTAGCAAGTTTTTATGCACTTGATCTTCTTGCTTTAAATTCTTGAATAAGGAAGTTGAAAAGCATGTTTGTTTTACCTTAATCAACACCAGTTGAACAAAAATCGTCATAAACAGGAAATTCCTAAAACACTTGTGCTCCTTGACTTTAAGAATTTAATTGAAATGCGACCAAAAATAAAGGTTTTAACCAAAGCTAGTGAACAGTTTAAATTCTCACGATTTTCCTCAATTGCAATCATGTTTTCTGCTTATCATAAATTTTTTTAAATCCAACGTAAATCTTAACATAGTATTTTGTACGTAAGAACATTTCTAAGTAAGATTTTGATTTTTGTATGGAACATGATACAAGTTGAATCGCCGTTCCTATGTTTTAAAATAATTGTAAAATTTTCATTTTAATTTTTAAATATTTTTATTATTTTTTTTTCTTATTTTCACAAATTCCGAATTTAACTCGTCCGCTGTAGAGCAAAAATAGTATCAACAATTGCCGAGTTCGCAATGATTCCGAATTCTGCAATATTTTTATACAAAACCTTCATCGGATTCGGATCTGACAAGCATTTATGCTCAATTCCAAGTAAAACTGTGTTTAGACTTCCAGCAAGAATTTTCATTGCCTTCTTAAATTCAACATTTTCAGTCGCTGCTGGATCATAAGAAATGACTTTACGTGGTTCCAAATTTTCTTTTTTTTCATTTTTTTCATGTCCAGAACAAAGTTTGCATTCAACTTTCCATCTCATCGTTAATGGACTTCCAAATTGATGTTCAAATGCCACAAAACTGACTGGCATTTTATATCGGTGATCACAAAATACATAACAAACTTTATTCTTCTTTCCAGATGCCTTGAAGCCTTCACTGACCTTAAATATTGATTTTGTTGCTGATGCATCTTTGAGCTTATCACAAAGATATCTAAGATAAGGAGTTTTTCCTTGAGTGTTGAAGTGACGTTTCTGAAGGAATTTGATGTGTCCATCTTCAACTATTGTGCAGTCATCAATTTCATTGGCTGTAAATTGAATCAGCTTGATGCAATCTCCTGTTGATGAACCTAATGGGATGATTAAAGAATGTCAGTAGAGTTTTGGGTGTCAAGAATCAGTAGTGTTGGAACTAGTTTTGTGCTGTTTTGTGTTATTTTCTAAGGAGCTGGTTGCTTTGCTTATTCTTGGGCATGTACTCCTCTAAGGCTCACCTTCTAGGTCTATATGGTGCATAAAACGTTATTCTCAGAAAAACTTTGTTCCTTCACTAGAGCGCCCTGAGTAGCCATCAAAATATATTCTTAAATGACTCTTCGGTCCCGTACCTAAAGCATTCATAACTCTATACTCCCTAATCGCTAGGATTGGTTTTCGGCTCATCTTTAACACTAGTTTTAACTTCAAATCTAGTTCCAAGTTACTTCTTAACTTTATAATGCTTACCATCTATTTGGTCAAATTTTCTCTTTTTCGGATTTTTGCTTAGTAATTTTTCTGCTGTAAATGAAGAAAGAATTGTTAAAGAAAATTAAATCTACATCTGCATAAAACACTTACCCTTTGGAGTCGATTGCTGACTCTCAGATGAAGTCTTCTTTTTTAAACTACTTGAAGTGCCACTTTCACACCAATCTTCATCTCCATCATCATCATCATCATCATCATATGTCTCCTCATAATCACCATAATCCTCGTCAATAACTTCTTCAGCTTCAGATTTAACAATCGTGATCAATGGATCAAAGTTCAGACCATCGAATTTCTTCTGATTTTCCACAACTTGTTGATAAAAATCATGAGATGTGTCCAATTTTTTGACACAAGTACGGCAACAGAAGTTATGTGCTGGATTTTGGCTCGTTGTGAGCTCAATGCTAAATGCTTCACGGAGCTTCTTTGTTATTTCTCTCGTGCTGTCATCGAGACTTGTTAAATCTCTTTGTGGTTTGGATATGTTGCAGAGACGGCAGACTTCCATGGTGATTTTTATTGAGATTATTGGTGCTGAAAAGTTGTTAATTAATAAAAACTTAATTTTAATATTGTTAAATTGCAAATTTTAAATTGATGAGAATTAAAATGCAAAATATGTAGAAATATGCTAATTAGCGACGAAAATATAACTTTGTTCAGGATTATGGTCAATATTCTTATACTTTGACTCAATAATTCATAAGAATTCTTTATAGGCACTATACTTAATCCACAAATTTAAAATAAAAACACCGCAAATAAATTCTCAAACCTAAAATGTTTTTAAATCTTTATTTATTCTTACCAATTAAGACAGTTTCTTTTTAGTTTAAAAGACTTTAATGGTTTTTCTTAACCCTTAGCTAAAAGTATAACTTATTAATCTTAAAGATTATATATAACTAATTTAATAAATCTTAATAAAGACTAAAATAACAGTTGGCAGTTGAAGAACTTTCGCAATTTTGAGATCAACAGATACAAAAAAAAAGTTTGTTTTTGTTTACAATTTTTGTAAGAGAGGATTTATGAGAGGAGAGAAACTTTTGAGCAAACAATTTTTATATTAAAGGTAGTTTTTGAATTCTGAAAGATCCATCTGATTTTAAAACTTATAGACTAGTTAAAATGTAAATTATATTGCCAACTTTTAAAATAATTTGAATATTTTAATTTGATATTTTACACAGGATCTTAAGATGAAGAAGTTTTACTTTCATCCTTGGCTGTGGCGCACGTAAACCCATTACCGTGCTTTGAGGTCGTCTCAAGACAGCTCTATCTTTAGATACCTTCTGGCAGTTCAAGATATTAAGAACCTAAGATCTTATTAAACATGGCAATTGTCTGTATACCTAAATCATGTTTCTCAGTTTGTCCAAGACCAGCATAAGGGGTTATTCAATTTTGATGTCTTGCTGACGTTACTCCCCCCCCCCCTCCTGGACGTCATATGTGAACTATTCCTATATGAAAATGAATTGATAAATCAAATAAAACTTTTTAACTCATTTTCTTTACAAGAAATGACGCTTTTGTCCGCACTTTTTTCGTCCGTACGTTCGTCCTTCTGCCTGTTTGTACAGCTATCTCTTCCTCTAGTTTAAGTTTTTTTGACGCAAATTTTGGCTTATAATATATGTATTGTGTCTGGCAAAAGCTGGCCAAAAAATCAGAATTATTGGAGCACAGGAAGGTTAATTAAATTAACTCTTTCTTAAATTTTGGATTACGTTGTACGTAAGTTTATCGACTTACAAGTAATGCTTACAAAAATTCAAGCGCAAACTGTAATTAATCCAGTTAAAACCAGACAATGTTCTGTTTCTTGACATCATCATACAATGAACTTTAAATATTAATTTTATTATTAAACTGTTTTTCAATTTTGCTGATTTTTATTGATAAATTTGCAATTTGTTTATACCAAACAATGTCAGTTTACTTAAAATATTCCATTGACAATTGCAATCTTTATGAATTAATATCGTCTGCAGTATTGTTTTTGAAAAAAAAAGTTTCATGATTCAGTAAAAGAGTAAAGAAGTCAGCAGTTTTGGAATTTACAAAATATTAGCCTAGGGTATGGTTAGCACCAATTAATGGAGGTTTGGTTAAACCTTTAGACTGACCTGATCAGTCTATCCCTGATTTTATCAAACCAAATACAAAGTCCCATCACAAAACCTATCAAATTCAATCAAATATCCTCAGGAAATCCTTAGATTGTCATCATAAATCGAACATTCTAATCAATGATCATTCCAGATTCATAATTGTACATGTTAATAAAGCTAATAATCAGTCACGTTGTACAAACATCTGACTTCAAATCAAGTAATTTTCTTCCAACTCAACAAACTGTAAAAAATAATTCAAAATACGAAAAAAATGAGAATTTATCTCTCAAAACCTTAAAATCCTCTCGAATGTACTAGATTCCTCTCATATTCAGCATAGATTCTTCTGAGATTTTCTCGTTCTTTCCGCCTTTATTGCTCACGTAGCGTGTTGGGTCGACAGAGACATTGCGACTTTCATACAAAATCATCTCTCACAATATTGTTATTGTACTAGAACCTCTGTCTGCCCAGTCTCGAACATTCGATGTTTATATATAAGCAAAACACTGCAAACGTGAGCGAGTCATTTTAAAAAGAGATTTTATAAGAAGTGCAAGACAAAAAATAATTTCTAAAGCTAAAAAGAAAGTTAAAAGTTAATTAACAAATTAAATAACCGGAATTAAATTTGAGAATTAAAAACAAAAATTAAAAAGTAAGCAAATTTGTGGATAAAAAGTGAAGAAAAAAAAAATTAAAAATATTTTTTGTAAACGCGTCAGAATTTTTTCCTTCGGTGGTGATTTAATAAATTGGTAAAATCTCACGTAGGCACAACAGGCTTACTTATAGCATCAAAATTCTAATGTCAATGATTTTAAAATTAGATTACAAAATCCAAAAACCAAAAAAAATAATTGTCAAGTTCAAAGGAGAACAAAAGATTAACTAGAATAATCCAGTAGTTTATTTTACGAGGAAGTTGCATAGCCGTTCTAAAAATAATTTCCTCGATAAAATTCTTGATGATTCTTGTGCTGAATGGCAGGTTGATGCAAATACAAAATCATGAATTATTCGTAGATTTAATTAGCATAGGCTTATATAAATGAATATCACGATAGTGTAATATATAAATGATAAAATGATGCCATGTGACTAGTGAACGCGGGAATGTCAAAAAAAAGGAAAGAAAAAGGAGAGTTCGAGAAAATTTTAAATTGATTGACGATGCCGTTGGGTTCAATATGGAACAAGAAGATTCCAGATGACCTTTTTGTAATCATTGTTTGATATTATGCTCTAGAAAAAGCTATGATGTTCCAATATTTTGTCTTTTACAATTAAGTGGTCCTCCCTCTAAAAGATACAAAATTTATAGTTTAATCCATAGGCTCGATTTCTGGGGCTACAAAGAGCACTTACACCAGTAGCAATTAAATTTCATTTCTATTCTTTTTGGGGGCTAGTCAATTAATACGTTTCGCTGTTTAATGGATTAAATTTTGTGACAGTTCAAACTAAAGAAACTATTGTTTTTGCAAAAATTTGTATCATATTGGGATGGAAGTCTAAAAAGTCGTGTTTAAGTAGTATGAAGTATCATTGAAGACCGGATCAAAATGCCAAAAACTCATCTTCTTTGAATACATTTTACATATCCTTATTTTGAGAAACTCTTCAAATGAAGTAAAATCAGAAACCACAAATTGGTGAACTTTCAGTAGTTCATTTTTTTTTTGCAAACCAGATGAACTATTGTAATCTAGTATAAAGACTGTTTTTATAGATAATGATAGATTCTATCATGGATCAGGATCGCAGTGCCTCCGGCTCGTCGCAACGTGTAGTAACACATTGCTTGGCTGGAACCCTCTCACATTAATGATAATAAACTCCATTTAAAATATAGAACAGAATCAATAGTCAAATAATGATGTTAAAAAAAAGTCGTAAGAGCCCGAAAATCTATTTTTGTAAATGCCAATCTTCTTCCATGACCTACATAACAATACCTAAATTTGTAGGAACTATCATTTTATTTAAAAATAATTCATCTAAAATTGAAATCACATTCATACAGTCAGTTACTTTGTATCAAGTTTTTACACAATCTGATTTCACCTCCTCGATTCTATCTAGGATTAATTCTAGAATTTGATTTTTAACAAGTTTTATTTTAATGTTTATTAAATGCTATTTATTTTTAAATAATAAAAGAAACATTGCACTGTAATTGTTGATATTATCAAATTTCTTCTGCATTTTGTAATTTGATAATTTGTCGATAAAATTCTACAAATTTTTCTAATTCTTCTGTATTTTTTTAAGTTTTTAACGTAGCTTTTTGAGTCAATTATAAATAATAATATAAACTTAAATCCCTAGCAATATCCTTAACTATTTCATATTCTAAACTTTGTCATCAATCAACTGCAATATCCCTAGACTTTAATACAATAAATCCATTCCCAGTGCCTACATCACACTATAAACAATAAAAACTAAAAAAAAAACTCTCATAATAATCCGAATGATCGAGAACGAAAGTTTTACATCATCACAAACAGACACGGCGAGAGAGAAAAAAAACTGCAAAGAAATAATAGAAAATGCTGGCACGTGTCAGCATAGTTAGACCAAAGAGTATGAATTGAAAGCGTGAAGCAAGAAAAGTCGGTTTATTGATTTGTTTAGAAAATCAATATTAGCTTTTGTGCATGGGAAAATTTATAAAGTTCTGAACTAAAGACTTATTAATGATGAATGGCATAATTTTGGGTGCTGTAATTAGGTTAAATGTGAATGGAATGTAATTAGGCGAAGGAGATGAATAGATTTGGATTAGAATTAGAGATGAAATGTCTAATATGAAATGGATATCCAGTATAATTTGTTGTATGAATTATTTGCTCTAGTTTGGAAAATGTGTCGAGAAATTCTTTAATCTTTGACAGTTGACTTTAACGACTTCTTTTCTAGAAATGAGGTCAAAGACCTGTTTTAATTGTCATGTTTTACCAGATTTATTGGTCCAATTTATAGTAAGCATACCACTCTTGCTTGTTTCTAATTAAGAGTCTTGTCTATCAATTTGTTTTCAAAAATTCCTGTGTCTTGTCAAATTAAATTTTCTAGCTGCAATTTTTTGATTTTGGTAATGTTTTGAAAATAGTCTAGAGCAGTGATTGCTAACCTAAGTGCTGCGGCACACCCATATGCCCTGAAGAAATTGTCTCAAACCGTATGTTGTGTGCGGTTTTACTCATGGCTTACCATCAAGTGTTCCGTGGCACAAGAGAGGTTGGTCATCACTGGTTTAGAGCAGTGCCACGGCACATCTTAGGGGTAACCCATGACCGAAATCGCTTGCAGCATGTGGCATGTGTCAGTTTAAAAAAAAATCTACAGCACACAGTTTGGACAACACTGGTCCAACGATTCTTCCAAAAGCAACGATTCTTAATAACCCCATAAAAACATTTTTACTGATCCTGTGCGTCTCACTTAATATTACTAGCCTTAAATTTGTTTCCTTAGGAATCTGAATAGCATAAATTAAAGGCTTAGATCTGGATGTTTCTAGACCAAGCATTTTAAACTCAGATTATGTAACATATAATCTTATTACTCTCAAATTTACGTGATTGTTGCGAACTTATGCAAATGACTGTTTTCTTAGAACATTCGTCAGTCTTCTCCAATCATAAAAGATGAGCTTGAGCCATGAAGAATAAGACATAATGTACAGATTACGACTGTGTACTTGAAATTAAAGAAGTAATGAAAATAAATCAGTGTTGATACTTTAATTTGTAATTAATGAAACTTCCTGAGAAAATTTTGTTTAAATTTCACCCCAGAAAGTTCCAAACATACAGACACCACCTTTCATTTTCACATGACTCACATACTCTTAAAAAATCATGTGCTTATTAAAATTCGCGAATATTCCTTCCTAACAAAAATAACAGACCGTAGTGAAATACAAAGCGGAATATTTCAGTTTTATTTTATCAATTCAACTTAAGCTATATTTACAATGTATTGAATCACAATCTTTTTTCGCATGTATGCATGAAACAACTTGTCAGCGCGTGTTGAAGACCACAAAAGAAAAGAATTTCTGGTTTGTTTATTTCTTGCTAATGTTTTAAAAAAAGTAAAAGAAATTTCTGAACTAATGTTTTGGTTTAATATTCAAAATATTTTGCATTTTCGATAGAAATAAGGTTTCTTGAAGTCTGTACCCTCTTTTGGAATAGTAGTGGCATTGATCCTCTTCCCTTTTGGCTTTGCGCCAAAATGCGTCACTAGAAGTTTTTGTCTTTTGTAGCTATCAGCTTCATAACTCTGTTTTTCTATACTTGCATTTGTTTCAAATATTTACAAACATTGACATTTACTTTAATTCAATATTTACTTTTTTCTTCAATTTAATTCAAATTTTTAATTAAAATACAAAACAATATCATCACCCAAAGTAATGAATTACCTTTAAAATGAGTTCAAGCACCGAACTGAAATAAAATCTTTTTATATTTTACAAAAAAAAACAAAATTAATATTTTCTCATCTCATCTCTATTTTTAGGATCTTTCAAGATAACAATACAAGTGGGTTGCTCGCATTCAATTTAATTGGAACAGTAATCGCAGTCGAGGTCATCACTTGGAATATCTATTAAAAAAATAAGCATTATCCCTAATCAATTAAGATACAAAAATGGGAAAAGACTTTTACAAAATCCTTGGAGTCGCTAAAGGCTCATCAGATGACGAGATCAAAAAGGCTTACCGTAAATTAGCACTTAAATATCATCCAGACAAGAATAAGACACCAGGTGCTGAAGAGAAATTCAAAGAAGTTGCAGAAGCTTACGAAATCCTCTCAGATAAAAAGAAACGTGACATTTATGATCAATTTGGAGAGGAAGGATTGAAAGGAGATCCAGGTACAGGTCCAGGAGGTGCAGGTGCTGGTCAAGGATTCACATATCAATTCCATGGTGATCCACGAGCAACATTTGCTCAATTCTTCGGCACAAATGATCCATTCTCAATATTCTTTGGAGACGATCGAGGTGGATTTGGTGGAATGGACTTTGGACATGATGGTGACGACATATTTGCACAAATGGGCGGTCGACATGGTGGTGCTTTTAGATCTCAATCATTTAACATGCAGGGAACACCACAAGCAAAGAAAATGAAAGTTGATCCACCTGTTGAGCACGATTTGTTTGTGTCACTTGAAGACATCAACACAGGATGTAGTAAAAAGATGAAAATTTCAAAAATGGTTGTGCAGCCTGACGGATCAGCCAGAAAAGAGGAGAAAATACTACAAATTAATATTAAACCAGGATGGAAAGCAGGCACAAAGATCACATTTCCTAAAGAAGGTGACCAAATTCCTGGAAAAGTTCCTGCCGACATTGTCTTTATCATCCGCGATAAGCCACATGGGCATTTCAAGAGAGAAGGCAGTGACATTAAATATACAACAAAAATCACCCTTAAACAAGCTCTGTGTTGTGCTGGAAGTTGGCAACTTCGGATTCCAACATTAACTGGAGAAGCAGTTCCAATTAACATCAGTAATGAAGTCATTAAACCAAATTCAGTCAAAAGATTACAAGGACGTGGTTTGCCGTTTCCCAAAGAGCCAACAAAGCGTGGTGACATAATCGTCAATTTTGAAATTCAGTTCCCTGACAATCTATCAAAGAATGCACGAGAAATACTGAATGATGTGTTACCTTAAAATGTGATCTGTGAGAATGTGAATGTGTGGATGAATGACGAATGACTTTAGATTGTAAGATGATATTAGTTTGTAAGGAAATAAAAGTTTGACTATGGAAATATTTTCAGAATATTTTGATGAAGTTGATCAGTCAGCTGACTAGGCATCCGTTAAGTAGCTTAAAGTACATCCATAAGATTCATTAATTAACAAAAGACTGTTAAACAATTTTAAATTATAAATAAATAAACTAAAACAACCTTGACAACTGCTTAAGGTTGTGAAATATGACAAATCTAAAACCAAGCATATTTTGTTTTTGTATTTAATAGCTTGGATTTGCTAAAGTCTAGCTAACATTATAACTTCAACAAATAATCATGAAAATATTTTCTCAAAATAAAACAAAATAATCTTGTAAATATTATTTTGAAATTTCACAAATTTATGAAACTTATAATTTGCTGAATGTAAATCCTATTAGTTAAGTTAACTTTTGTTGCTGAATGTCTATTGCAATAGAAAGGCTTTCTTGGCTTATTTTCGTTGATATGAGTAAACTGTAAGCAATATTCAATAAAAATGAATATTTATTATAAAAAAATTAATTTATTTCCAGTTTCAATTGTTTATTTTTGAATATTTTTATGATTTTCAGAAAGATTAGGCTGTTCATTATTGACATCCATCAAAAACGAGACTTTGTTTTACTGTTTCACAAAGTTTGCATAAAGAAATTACTTTTGTTTAAAGTAGTTCTGTCCAAATTCTTTGAGCTACGGCACACCTAAAGGGTAAGTCATGAGTCAGGTTGGGCACAGCATGCGGCTCGTGCCGTTTCCAAAAAAATTCCAAGGCATACTAGTGTGCCGCGACAAACAGTTTGGACAACACTGGTTTAAATTATCGCCAAATTTCACATATCTCCCGACCACCCTAATAAAAATTTTGCTGTTCCTTAAAAACTGTACTAAAATATTATAAAAACATTGCTGATTAATTTACACATATAGTTTGAAGTAGTGGTGAAATGGCATCAGTGGCCTGAGTGATAGAGCGTTGGCATTATTTTCCAAAGGTTCTGGGTTCAATACTAAGCCAAGACAAGTTTTAGAAGCTCTTTTTCTATTTCACCGTTCTAGTTACGAAGCTCGATTTGTGTGTTGAGTGTAGTTTTGAGGTCTTCGGAACATAACATGCCTCCTTTGCTGGATAGGACATACTAGCATCTAGATGATTTCATTACATGAATTCTACGATAAACTGTAGATCTAAAGGATGTGGTACAATACTTAATGTTCTATTTTGAATCGCAGTGCCTCCAGCTCAAAGGGTTGGACGCTCTCCATGCTTTTTTGGAGTAAATCTAGGCATTTTTTAAAAAAGTTGGATTTTGCTTGCATTTAAATTTTTAAAGATTTGCGGATCATTTTAAATCCACTTATCCTCTCTGACTCCATCTGAATTCATTTACACTTAAAAGCTGCTTGTAAACCAACCATCTACAAATGTGTTGGATCTAATAGTTAAGTACAGTGATTGCCAGCCCGTATGCAGCGCCACACTAGCTGTGTACCGTGAAAATTTTTGTGATATCCAACGAACCGTATGCTGTGCGTTGTTTTGACTACCAAGTGTGTTGAGGCAAAAAAAAAGGTTTGACACCACTGGTTTTGTAGATAAATAAAGTTGCATCCTAATAATGCGCCAAAGGTGAATAGTACAGCTTAGTTTAAGGGTAGTGCTTAAGGGCTTACGAACAATTATTCAGCTTAAGCTATTTTAAAGCAACATTAGACTTAAGCTCGTATTGTTCACTTTTTTGACATTCAGGTTAACAGAGCAAAAAGATCCAAAATATTTTAAAAAATATAAAACTATAGTAAAAGTCCTTTTAAAAGCATTTAAATGTGCATTCCTATCTTTAACAGTTTTTTAAATCGTAGAAATTAGTAAACGACAAACCAACGAAAACAAAGTCACAAGTCACTGAAAGTGGAATAAATTATTTAAAAAACCTTTTTTTTCTTTCCCCATCAATTAGTTTGTCGTTGTATAATTATGTAAAATTTGGACAAAGAACTTCGCTAGTCATGACAAAAAAATTCTTTTCAGAATTAGATTTCCATGGGCTAACACATTAAATTTTAGCTTATTGAGTTACAAATTAGCTCTAGAACTTGTGCGTGACTGACGTTAATATTACTTAAAATTCAAATTTCAAGGCTACGATTAAAATTTTTTGCATTAAATCGTTTTGATTGCCATTGCAAAAAAAGGGTCAGTAAAACAAATTGTCAATAAATTTACTATAAATTGATTGGAAAGTACATAAATATCTATTTCATTAGTAAAATGGCAGTCGAAGAGTTAACATCAATAAAGAAATTTTTCGATGGTTGTGAAGTTTTCATCACCGGTGGAACTGGGTTTGTTGGTCGTGTGTTGATTGAGAAGCTGTTAAGAAGCTGTCCTGGTGTAAAAAAGATTTATGTGATTATAAGATCTAGAAAAGGTTTAACCTCATCAGAAAGAATTGGTGCAATAACTGATTGTAAATTATTCGATGGATTAAAAGCTTCAAATCCAACTGCAACTAATAAGATTCATGCATTGGATGGAGATGTTCAGAAACTTCAATTAGGTCTTTCTGATGCAGATTTAGAAAAGATAAAAAACTGCTCAATAATCTTCCACTGTGCTGCATCTGTGAGATTTGATGATCCACTTAGTTCAGCTATTTTAATGAACACTCGAGGAACTTTAGAAGTTTGTAAAATTGCTGAGCAGATTCCAAATTTAAAGGCACTGGTTCATGTTTCGACTTCATTTATTCAACCCAAAAAGTATGGATCTGATGAAATTTTCTATCCAGCTGATGTCGATTGGAGGCAGTTTATTAAATTAGCTGAAACTGTTGACGATGGAATGTTGGATTCTCTCGAAAAGAAGTAAGAATCCAAAACTTAAATTAGCAAACTTTTTAAAAAATATCCAGTTGTTGACAGTTTCAGAGTTCATTTAGGGTCAATAATTAATTTCACTTTTTCAATATAATTTGATGAAAGTCCAAAAAGTAGATTGATTAATTGATTTTTTCCCCAAGGTTAACGGACAATGCGCCAAATACTTACACATTTACGAAGCACTTATCAGAACAAATCTGCAAACACTACAGGGACACAAAGAATCTTCCAATCGTCATTTATCGACCATCAATTATTGCTGGTAAATAGTTAACTTAGTCGTAATTTGATTCCAACAATTAATTCTAATAATTTTCAGGTAGTGAAAGTGAACCACTTCCAGGTTGGCTTGACAACTTAAATGGTCCCTTTTCATACTGTTTTACAGCAATCTTAGGTATTCTACACGTATCAATGGTTGATGGATATAGAAAACTTGATTACGTTCCTGTCGACTTGTGTGTTAAAGGAATGATAGTTGCAGCATGGAAGACTTGGAATGAACGTCAATTAACACAAACTATTCCAATTTACAATGCAACAAGTACGAAAAAGCCCTCATTCTATTCCATGAGCTGGCAGAAGCTTCATCTTGTCTATCCATCTAAAAATTCAATAATGTATATGGAAATGACTCATACTAGCTGTGTATTCCTATTCTGGATGATCAAAATTGTTGAGCAAATTATTCCAGCGCTCTTATATGATGGATTGTTAAGGCTTAGTGGAAGAAAACCTAAGTATGTTAATTATTGGAAGCATACATAACACAACTCTTTGTAATAATTGGAAAATTGGTCATTAATGGCAATCGAACCCAGGTCTTCACAAATGGGACATTTTAAACTTGACGACTCTGCCACAAAATTCTTATTCTTGCCGTATTACGATTCCTTGGGTATAAAGGGCAGTGGACTAAGAACTTCACAAAGCTTAACACATTCAGTCGAGGACTGTTTTGTGAATAACAATTTAAGTAGCACTGCCGCAAGGTTGTAATCAAGGGTAGGGTTTCTAGAATTTTCGTTCGCATTTTTATTTTGTTCTCGGGAACGGGAATATTCCTATTCTCAAGAACAAAAATTCTCAATACCGGGAATTCTAGAAACCCTAATCAAAAAGTTACTTTGAAGTTTCTCTCAGAAGACCTCCAACATGTGAGATGTTAATACAAATTCTACCGTATTCTGCTACCATACCAAGCAGAGTTAGAATTCAAGTCATTTTCTTATTCTGATTATCAAAAATCACCCTAATCATGGATCGACTTGAAGCCTGGCTCGGAAAATAGACGGTATACCGCCAAATACCCCCAAATATCCCCAAACACCGGCTTTTTATGTGAAATACCACCAAATACCGCCTAGTTTCCGAACCTAGACCTAAAGCTTTATATCCAAATTAATAAGCAACATTTAAAATTTCTCTTTTTTTTCTTCATTTTAGACTCTTGAAGTTTCAACGCATCATCATGGAATCTGAAAAGGCAATGCTTCATTTTACTCTAAAAGACTTCAAATTCACAAACACAAAATTCCTCGATCTAGATCGAGTCATTCCACCGCACGAGTTCAAAGAATTTCAAGTCAGTTCCAAACTTTCAGACGAAGTCACAATCATTAGGTCAATTTGCTTGAACTTTATACAAAACATGTTGAAAGAAGACGTCAGTGACTTTAGTAAGGCATTCCGAAGACAAAGACTTGTAACTTATATTTGGAGAACTTATCAAGTTGCAGCCTATTCTTATCTTATTTATATAACATGTTTGCTATTTCAAAAAGTTTTTGGTGATTTTAGTTCTCATGGAATGTTCATTGCTGAGTAAATTAAAATACTTTTTGTATTTTTCTTAAAAAAGTGAGAAATAAAATAATTAAACAAATAAAACAAAAATTTGTTCCTTCTTTCGCTTATATTTATTTAAATTTCGATATTTATATATTCTTAAAATTCGCAAATAAATGATTCAATAAATTCCATACATAAATATGATTATTCGATTAAAATAATTAAAATAAAAATGAATTTCTTCTTTTTTCCTGTTAATAATTTTGAGAGTCGCTTTTAAATTCAACAATTAAAAATGAAAGTGGAATAGTTTTTGTTATGGATAAGTTGTCATAATTTTTTTGTAATATATATTCTGTATATGGAGATTAGTGTTGCACAATATTATTTATAATAATACGCTATTTATGATTTTTTTATGATGTGGTATTTGTGGGGACTAAGGTTGGTTTTAGTGTTTGCGTGAATTTGGTCGAAAATTTTCATATTTTCTTAGGTTTTTTGTCAATGATAAAGGCTAAGTGCTTGAGCTTTGCTAAAATTATGGTCTCTAGCTACATAAGATAAAGTCTAGGAGGATACAGGACAGGGGCGTAGCCAGGGGGGGGCCATAGGGGGCCCGGGCCCCCCCTACAAAAATCTGATAATTGTTTTATTAAGTATTTATAGAGAAGAACCAGTTAATGTAGAGAAAGTGATGAAAGAAATGTCAAAATCAGCACGAAAAATTAAATTTAATGTATGAACAATGAATTAAATATTTAAACTTATGAAGAATGAATATAGATTTAAGGATACAAAATAACGGTTTTTTAATTTTCGAAAATGGGCCCCCCCCTTAAAAATTTTCTGGCTACGCCCCTGATACAGGATCCAGAGTATGGCTTTAGGGTACCTTAGGTTTAGAAAAGGGGTTTTCAGAGTTGCACCAAGTCTAAGCTTTCACAAAAGCCTAAGTTATATAAAAATCAGATTCAATCTACACGTCTATAATCCTCAATTGTATTAGATTATCAAACAATTGATCAAAATTTCTGATATCTAAAACTAATCAATTGATGCAAAACTCAAACACAAATCGAGTACAAAAGTCCATACTAGTTCCCACAATTAAAATTCCACATCACTAAAGTACTACGTCTAAGCACAAAAATTGTCATATTCATTAAACATACAATCAATTAACAAACTTTAATGTAGCACATCACGTTAATAGAACTTTAATTTACTTGTCATTGAATTTCAATAAGTAGTTCTTATGAACTTCTGGTTTGATGTCATAGACCAACTGAAGGATCTCTTGAATGACCAAATTCTTGTTAACACTTATTGCCTTGGTCATTTCGCCAATTCTCAATACTGTATCAGCATCGATCTTAGCAGCAACACCCTCACGTGAGCCCATATGCTTCGATTCAAACTCTTTAAATTGTCTTTCTCGTTCCTGACGATATTTTTCAATTTCATCTTGAGCCTCTTCCTTTGCTTGCTTCAAACGCTTCTGTTTGCGCTTCCTAGCCTCTGAAACCTTTTCAGCTGCACGCTTCTCAGCAGCCAACAATTGCTGAATTCCTTGAGTTTGACTTGCCATGACGAATTTCAGAGACTTTCAATTTTTATCGATCTACAAAAGATGAAGGAAAATTTATTGTGTCTACTTGGAGTTTTTTTTTCGTTCTGAGTAGATGGAATGTGCTTATCAATGACTGTTGTGTATTGTAGAGTTTAGAAACTTTTTTTTTGTAGAGTTTTAAATCACAACAATTGACTACTGAGCTGAATAATTTTTGTCATAACAAACGGATTACTGAGATCAAAAGAGAAATTTTTTGTCAATTTTTGAAGAAAAGTTTATAATTCTCAAGATAAGGAGCAGTTCATATATCCACAATGTCACAGCTATGTCGACTGTGCCTAACAGAAAGCTATGAAGCTACAGATTTGAATGAATATCGAGAAGGACTTCCAATTTCTGTATTAGCAATGATTATATTACCTATAAAAATCTACGATGGTGAGGATTTCAATCTACCTCAAAAGATTTGTAGTTCCTGCCTGGAAATAATTGTTAATGCTTATAAGCTACGAGATATAAGCTTAACTAGTGAAAAAGTCCTAAAATCTAGTATTGAAGAATCTACTTGTAATATAAGAATTAAGAATGAACTACAAGACTACGATACAATTTTTGTCGAGTCTAATGCTTACGATTCTGACCTTCGGCCACCACAAAAAAAGGTTCGAAAGGAACCAACAAAAAAGAATACAATTTGCAATTATTGTGCACTTGAATTTGACACTTCTGAGGAACTTGAAGATCACGTATTAGAAGAACATTTCAATAGTTCAACTAATCAAGGAGCTAGTGATGAATGTCAAGAAGGAATGCACATTGACTGCTTCAAAAAGGATAGAACTCCAAAAACTTCAATGGTTTGGCGACATTTTGGAAGACTTAATAATGCAAACGATGAGCACATCAACACATCATTCAATTATTGCAGCATCTGCTTTAGTCGAAAGCTTATTACTAAGTACAAAACCACAACATCAACATCAACTTTGATTTTTCATCTCAATACTGTTCATGGAATCGCTAAAGATGATAGTGTAGCTGAAAAATCTTTTGTTAAGGAAAAATATACACAAAGAAAAGAACGAGCTACTACATCTGGACCAGCAGTATCAGCGACTATATGCAGTGAATGTGGAAAAGGCTTTGCGAATCATCATATCATGAAGAAGCATATGAAGATACATTCTGGGCAGTTCTTTCCATGTGATAGGTGAGTCAAAGTGAGTTTCTCGACTGAAATTTAAAGTTCAGACTATTAGTGCGGCCAAGATAATTCTGCTCTTGGCACTGATGTGTAGAAAAATGCCATCAAATCCACTTTAAAGGAGCTCATTATTAACAGAACTTTCCATTTATTTCAAATATTTCAGCTGTCCAGCTAAATTTTCCTACATTGAGAACCTCCATCGCCACAAAAGATGCCATGATCCCAACCATCTTTCACGTTACGTCTGTGACATTTGTGGAAATCGATTTGCTGAAATAAAGTCACTAAGAAACCACATTATGAGAGTTCATCTGAAAATTACACCACAAAAGAAATATGCTTGCCCGTATGATGACTGTTCACTGCGGTTTGCTGCTGCATTTAATTTGAAAAAGCATATGCTTACACATACAGATCTAAAACCTCATGAGTGTCAGTTTTGTCCAAACGCGTATACGTCAAAAGGTGAGTGATGCATGCTATATCTGTAGTATATAAGCCTGGGCATAGGGCTCGCGTTGAACTGGTTGTATGTGTATGACGGATAGCCAAGGTGAGATAAGTACCTCGGTTGCCGAGTGGCAGAGATCTCTGATCGAGTGGTGAGATCGCCTCTTTTGAGGTCGTGGATTCGATTCCCATCAAATCCGACTTGTTTTACATTAGTATATACATATAGCAGTTATAGGGAGATCTACAGCTCTTGCTCAATTTTGTATCATAATGTAGCTTTGAATCCTAATCAACCTATTATTACTTTGCTCAATCCTAAATCATCAACTATTTAAATCTTTCAACAGGTGATCTCATCAAGCATCTTCAAAAGAATCATGTTGGCGATTCCATTTATCACTGTGAACATTGTTCAGAATCATTTAGGTTTAAAATTCAACTTCGAGAGCACTACAAAGTTCACTATCAAGGTATCACAAAAGAAGAGAGAAGTGAGGAGTTTAGCAGTTACTGACCCGATAGCTATGTTTATTATTAAATTCATTCCCAGTTAGGTTTAGATTAAATTAATCATTCGACTCAATTGGATGTTCCGTATTTTTCAATCCTAAATGTTTGTAAATATACCATAAATATAGACACTGAAAATAAAGTAAGTGTAAAAATTTATAAAATAAGATAAAAGATATAAGTAATAAAAAGCAATTAAGCACGATTAAATTTGATTTTTTAAATTTTTTTAATAATAAATTTCTTTGGTATGGTCTCTAAAATTTACAAAGCTACCTCTCGAAAGCTAGTCTATTCCCAACCTATCCATCAGTACAAAATTATCCTTTACAATGGCTTTTCGTATGCCTCCTTAGTCCACTGGTACTTTGAAAGCTCCTCTGACACAAATCACATTGGTACGTGATCCCAAGATGCACACTCTCCTGATGTTCCCTCAAATTCTTCTTAATGTAAAACATTTTGTCACAGGAATTGCACTTGAGTGTTGGTGATAAATGATAAATTGAGTGTGTTTGGAGGTTCCTAAGTGAATTGAAAACTTTACCGCATTTATCACAAGGAATCTCCTGTTTGTGTCCATGTGTGTTATTGATATGATCAGTCAGCCGTGGATTAGAATTGAATCCTTTATTACAAGTTGGACATTTGTATTTTCGCTCACCATTGTGGACATTTCTAATATGTGATTTTAAAGTTTCCTTTAATGCATAACTTTTATTGCAGAATATGCAGATGTGGGGTTTAAGTCCTGAATGTTTATGCTGCTTGTGAGTTTTAAGACTCATTGCTGTTGTTAGAATGGACGGACACAAGTCACATTTGTATTCCTTCCTTAGTTCCAGTGGTAAATGATGGATAAGGATGTGAGATCTAATTTCGTACTTTCCATAACTTCGGAAGCCACAAAGATCACATTGGTACTTAGTAAGCTTCAAATGCTTCGTTTTTATATGAAAATTTAAATGATTATTGCCTTTCAAGATCTTTCCACAGTCTGGGCATATCCGTACATCCGAAGTTGAATTGTTTTCTTTTAAATGATTAGATTTGACATGCCTAAGCAGTTCACTCTTACTGTTGGCATTAAAGTCACAATATTCGCATGTTCTGGTCTTTTTTTCGTGAAATTTTTCGATATGAATTTTAAGTTTCCTTTTATCGACAAAAGTTTTGTAGCAGTGAGGACATGAAGGTGGTTGGTTCTTGTATTTTGGATCTAGTTTTATCGGGTCAGAGGTTTCTAACTTCACAATATGTATGGTTGGAGACTCTTCTGGATTTATATCTGAATCATCTAATTGATCAATTTCTTCAATAAATTCTTCCTCAATATGAGATTCATCTTGTGATGCTAACTGTATGCTGACTTCTAGTTCATTTTTTGGGAGTGTTTTGATTGAATTTGGTATTTGATCGTCTAAACTTAATAAGGATAATAGCTTTTCCTGCTTTTCAATTAGCTCTTGTTTATATTGGTAATAGCTGCTTATTTTTGTGATGCAATTCGTACATAATGTGTTGGATAGCTTAACCGATGACACTAGCTGATGAATAAAATTGTTAAAAATTTTAGTTCTTCAATAAGTCAGACTTAATATCTTACCTGTTTACTAGTGATAAATTCATATTGTCTTGACGTTTGATCATCAATTTGTTCACAGTCTTGACTTGATATTTCTAACCAGCAAAATCTACATTTACTCAAATAATAATCTATATCAAACATATTTTCAGTCTGTCTCGATGAAATATTGAATCAACAATTTCTTTTGTTTATTTTTGAGACTGAATGGAATAAAAACAAAACTTGTTGTAAATTTGAAATATTTTAGACCGTTCCGACACAAAAATAATATTTCAAAAATTTAAACAATTTTTTTTCAATTTTTGATTTTTTTTAATTAAATTATTTTAAAGCTAAAGTTGTAAATTTAAAATTTGGTATAAATATGACATTAACAGCATTTCACACTTTAAATTAAAATTTTAACGGCCAAAGCATCTCTCCAATTACAAAATATTCTATCCCATCAGTCAACATCTGTTAGAACATATCCCAAAATAGTTCCAAGTTCCTCAAAATCTAGACTCAAGTAGAAATTTCGATAAAATTACAAAAAATAACATTCAAAAAAAGTAATTTTAAAAAAAATTCTAGTAAATTCATAAACAATAGCTATAATTTGTGCTTTTGCTTTTCTCACATTTTCTCACATAGATCTTAATAAAGGTTGTTTTCGATCTTCATTTAATGTCCTTGTTTAAACGATTCAAGTTAGTTCAAAGACTCATTTTTATGTTTTTAGTTCGCAATTTGCATAAACTTTTACTTTTGTGTTTTGTTGCTAATTTGTAATTCAATTGAAATTTTATGTTATAATTTTTAGGACAATGGAAGGAGCTGCGATGGATATGGACATTGATGCTATTGAAAAGCAGGATTTTGGTTCCGATTTGATGCACGGTGGTCGAATTGGAAGGTAAATATTGGTAAAATTGTGCAATTTTTAATAGATTTTAGGGTGTGTGAAGTGATTGGGTTTATTGGGTCATATTAAGTTCTGAGATAAGATTCAATTTTAACTGATGAAAGCGTCACTATTCGATCGTATAATGTAGGATAGTCCAATAATGACTAGGAATTCAGACAAAAAAAAAATTTTGAATTTTCAAATGTTTACTTTTTTAAAAAAATAACAATGTTACTAAAATTTCCATGAAGGTTTTTCAACAAAAATCATGTCCTTAAATTTACAGCAAAAATCAACAAATATATTTTTCATAAAGAAACTCAAATTTTTTGATAAAATGTCAATCATTGCTAGTTTTTGGACCTTGAACAAGTCGAGAAAGCGCTTGACTGTGGGATCCTTATAATCCAGATTGTGATTAAAATTAATGATCTTACCAATTTATTCAAAATTGACCTGACATCTCACTAATCCTTAAATCCTCTATTCCCACAGAGATCACCTTATGTCAATCCTCGATGGAATCGATCGTGAAGTTGAAGGACTTCGAAAACACGCCAGAAAGCTCCAAGAGAAGCGTGATGAACTTAATACACGCATAGATATGCTAAGGACTGACTTCCTTGTACCACAAATTGATGACATGGACCAAGAAGAGATGCATTTTCATCTAAAACGTGTCAACGATCGCCTTCAAACTGTCAACATTAATGTCCATACAATCCGTGATGATTCACAAGTCGAATCTGTTCATGTAATTAATAATTTAATTGATGAAGTCATCAAATTTGGTGATCCAATTGAAAAGAGAAAAAAGTGTCAACAATATTTAAATTCATGCTCATCTTCGGAAATAATTTTTAATGATGACGGAAGTTCGACAGTTTTAATTGATAAAAGATTCGAGACTCATTTGCTGTCGTGTAATTTGGATGACCAGAAAATGATACGAAAACGTTTGGAAGCCTTGATGATGTACATGATGAAGCAAATGGTGTCTGAGTGAGGAAGTAGTAAAGAACTAGAAGTGGATAAAATTATTGATAAAATGAGGTCACTTTCTGGTTCTTAAATGATTTAAAATGATTTTTATGTTAATTTTTTAAACAATTAAAAATAAAATCCAAAGATATAGAAAATGGGGAATTGAGATATTAATTGAGAGTGTGGAACTGATCAAAAGTGATGAAAATGTAATTTATAAGTTTAACACCTTCAATATTGATGCGAAAAATTTTTTCAGTCTAGTTCAGTGTTGTCCATACTTTTTTGAGCCACAGCACACTTTAGGGGTAAGCCATTACCAAAGTCGCACACAGCACGCAGCTCTCGTCATTTACAAAAAAATTCTGCGGCATACCAGGGTGCCGTGGCACACAATTAGGACAATACTGGTCTAGTTTAATTGCATTCTAGAGCAAATGAGATACTTAGAGATAAAGATTACTATTAGTTGGATTTAAACCTAACCATTAAGAAGGTATAAAGGTAAAGAAGTGGGATTGGAAACTTATTTAGACACATTTGGACATATATAGCTAAAACACACCTAGGAAAATATTCACTTTATTTTAAGGCTTATTTTGGTATAAAAAAACCCTTTAACCTATTCAGATCAATTGTGATCGAGATTTTATGAGCTATGGCTAATGAGAGTTTAACGAGTGAGGATGCGTCAAACCACTGCACTCAAAATACTTATTTTGGTATGCTGTATTTATTTAATCAGTCAAATATGTTTTTTTTTGCATTAAAATAAATCAATTGTAGTTTAACAAATAATAAAAAGAATTTTATTTAAAATAAGAGCGAGTAATTTTCTCTTACATTAATTTTACTCCTAAAGACTCTTTTTGGAACTGACCGTATTGATTTGCAGGAACAAATAGATTTTTAATCATCAAGAACAAAACTCATTCCAAAAAATGATTTTAAAAATTCCGAAAAATTATACAATTTGCTATAAATAAATAAACATTAGGATTCAGACCTTTAGATCCATAGCTGCGCATTTTATGCGTTACAAGGCTAATGATAGTTTAACCAGAAAGAGGTTCGTCAGACCTCCTGCTCAAACCTAGACTTACAGTTTATAGTGGGATCCGAACCACTCCTCTAGCCTACAAAGGAAGGCTGTGAGCCTTATTTCCAGTACATATGATTCGAAAAAAGACAAGTGAAACTTTTTCCATGCCGAGTATCGAACCCATGATCGCTGTGTCATTATTGCAATAATTAGGCACCGAAGTATTAAACCATTCCGCTACCGAGCCACTTCAGCTCACAATTTGCTTTAAAAGTTATAAATTGCGCTGTCGTCGTTTGTGAATGATCGCGTTTTACTTTCTTTGTATTGATGATCATGTTATACATACGATATAAATAAAAAAATAAACAACATTCAATATATCTCAATATTTGTTACAAAGACAAGAAAATAATTCAAATTTTAAAGTATTTTTCAATTTATCAGTTATTGATTATAAAATTTGAAGATAATGTGAGTATTGGGAAGCGCTAAATCATATGTTAACAACAATAAAATTAGACAAGTGAGAATTAATCAAAACACATAAATTTGAAAATAAAATTTCCGGCATATTAACTTTTTTTGTTGATTGTAAAGGTTAATATAAGGAACTTAGAATTGGTTTAACAAAGTAAAGATTGTTAATTTATATTTAAATTTTCACAATTGTATGAATCTACAAATGTTATAAGTTTATTGTAAACTATGATTAGCGTTCATGATTACGTCAAGTTATTTTTAATATTGACCAGGCCAGCCTACTTAATCTTCATTTTTTGACTCAAAACTGCATTTAAACAACTGTGCTTCCAAATATTCTGTTAACAGTTTAAAGAAGATAAATTTTGATGTAAATATGTCAGATTATTAATTATATTAAAGCGTTAATTTGTCATTCTGTCATTTCGCTCATAAATTTCTTAAATTGAAAATGGCGGAATTCAAAATGGCGATTTGTTTGTTTGTTGTAATCTCCATATAAACCCAAATGATCCAAATAGATAACCTTTATTTCACGGAGGTTTTAAAAGCTGTCCGTTAATTACGGAATATCATACTAGCTAATTAATAAAATAAATCAATTTTAACAGAACTTATTAGCCATGAGATGCTCAGCTTGTGAAAATGGTGATTGTGATGGATTGTATCAGAACAGGAATAGATGTGTTGGAAGAAAAGAGGGCATTTCGTGTGCCTGCAAATGCAGAATAACTGCAGCAGCTGACGTTTTAACAAAAGGAGCATCATTCGTTGGAGGAGCTGCTTGTATTGGAGGTAGCAACCTGTACCTGTAGTTTGAATCAATTTTGAAAAAAAACTTTCTTTTTAGGTGGAATATTAGCTGCTGGATTAGCTCCACCAATTCAAGGTTTTCTCATTGGAACTGGCACCAGCTTAGTTTCAAAACCAATTCGCAAGGAAATGAGTGGAGAACATTTAGAGTTTGATGATTCTGTGTCAGAAGCGTTAACGTTTGGTGCTATAGGAGCTAGTATTGGGTCAGGAATTAGTCTTGTAAATGGGGCGGTAACTGCTGCTGAGATGAGTTCCGCTGTTGTGGTTCTGACTGGAGCAGCAGTTGCTGGTGCTGGCGTTTTAAGAAATAATAAAACATGAATTTTATTTTTTGTAAAAAATGTGATCTTTAATGTTATAAGTCTTAAAAGTCGCTTTTATTGGCAGTAATTGATGATGTTTGCAGTTTTTTTTATGATCATGTTATATCTTTGATCATGTTATATCGCTGATCGTGTTATATCGCTGATCGTGTTATATCTTTGATATAAGTTTTATAACATTGTTCTCCGATAAGATTGAATATTAAGTTTTACTCGAACATTCTTCCGTCTTTTCTGCGGAATTCTTACTTTATTGCTCATTTAATTTGAAGATTTCAAGGTAAGTCTTAAAAAAATAACATATTTATTACGATTTACCATGGAGACTGGTAAATATTATCAATTTCATTTTGTTCTTAAAATTGAAAGTTAACTAGTTTTTCAATTCTACAGCAATTATTACTATTATAAGCCTTTTATACAACCATGAAATGTTCAGCTTGTGATGATGAACTTTGCGGCAGGTTATACGAAAATCGTAATAAATGTACTGGAAAGAAGGAAGGTATTACTAGGGTGACCATCTAATTTTTATGAAATTACAGGACATTTGATAAATTTCCTTAAAAAATACAGGACACAAAGGAAAATTTGAAATTTAACGGAAATTTTCGTGAAAAAAATACAGGACCTGGAACAAAATTTTCAAATTTATACAGGACAGGGTTTTGAAATACAGGACTGTCCGTTGTAAAACTACGCAGATGGTCACCCTAGGTATTACCTGTACCTGCAAATGCAGAGTAACTGAGTTTGCTGATGCATTTACAAAAACTGCATCATTTGTTGGCGGTGCAGCTTGTATTGGAGGTATATTAAATTTGTGTTCTTACAACATAGTTATTGAAATTTCGAATCTTAGGTGGAATTTTTGTCGGTGCACTGGTTCCTCCTGTTCGAGGATTTTGCATTGGAGCTGGATCAAGTTTGATGTCAAAACCGTTCAGGAAAGAAATGAATGGTGAACATTTGGAGTTTGATGATTCTGTAGGAGAAGCGTTGACATTTGGTGCTATCGGAGCGAGTATTGGCTCTGGAATTGCTCTTGCTAATGGAGCGGTTACTGCAACTGAAATATCAACTGCTGTTGTGACTTTGACTGGTGCAGTTTTAGCTGGAGCTCAGAGCATTAAATGTAATAAAACATGAGTTTCAAAATGTTTTGAGAAATAAAAAGCAATTTATTTAAAATTTTTAAATTTTTAAGACAAAAACGAGTTTGATTTTGTATGAATTAGTCAAAAACTGAAGTCGATTGACGATCGAATTTTTCTTCCATCGTCTCAAAGATAATACAATTTTAATAAATATCAAGATTAACATCGTGACCAAAGAGATGCTTCCAGCTTATTGGAATTTTTAAATCAGCTCTTCCTTCTTTCTCAATTATTGGCGTATCCAGCAACTTGTTAAACTTTTCAGCAAATTGCATAGAATCAAACATATTATCACCTTCACTGACATATTTATAAACTATTAATGATGGAATTTGATTTATTATGGCTAAATTATGCAACTTCATAGCTATTCCACATCCTGGAATCTGTGAATTTGACGATTTGTTGAAATTAGCTGTAAGATTCTCATCAATTTTATAGCTGTCGCTGGCAACAAACTCAAATGGGTTGTTCTGGATAAAATGCTGCTCATAACTGAATGCTGAAGACAGTTGAATAATCTCATTGATTTTTTCAGACTTGACAAAATCGATAATTTCTTCACACAAACTTTCGAGGTAAAATGCCGTAATTGGACTTCTTATTTGTAATATTAAAATCTTATTGCTTTCAGAAACGAAAAATTCACTAGATATAGAGAGCTCCTTTTCATCCTCACTAAATGCCGACGGTCCAATTATTGGAATAATTGCTGTATGATAGAACTGAAAAAACACAAATAAATGAAAAAATCTGTTTTTGATGAAATTTAAGTAATTTAACTTACCAAAGCATATTTTTCCATTTTCAATGAATTAATCAAGAGATCTGCTGTAAGTTGACCAACATTTCCAGTCGATACACTTGCTATTATCAGCTTGAAATCCTTTAAATTATTATTTTGCAATTTTTTGATAGTCATTTTTAAGCCGTCTTTACAAAATTACAAGGAGTTTGTATCTTTACGTTTTTTAAAAACTATTGAATTTCATATTCACACCGAATTTTCAATTTTGGTCAGAATCAACGCAAATAGGTGAAAGTCAAGACTTTAAGCTTTGTTTTGGGGCTGATTTGTGTAAGAGATTGGCTGCAACATTAATATTACAACCTGAAGCATGATTTGCTTCATTTCCAGTTTAATGACTTTAACTGCACGCAAACAAAATCAAAATCTACCAAAAGAAACTGTTACAGCACAATTCAAAAATCTCTTCAACTTAACGAAAAGTCTACAATTGTCATTCCGACAAAATATTTCACATCCCATCATTCAACAAGTAAACTTCATAATCATCGGCTTGTCTTCTTCTTATTATCACGAAATCTTCGATTTAATTTTTTTTTTATTTTCACATCAAAATAATCATCAAATCAGTTTTAAATGACATTCGATTGGACTAAGATGGATTTCATCGGATTCGCATATTCTGCTTTAGTCGCAAGTGGTGGAATTATGGGCTATGTTAAGGCCCAATCAGTTCCATCGTTAGCTGCTGGACTTACATTTGGTGTTGTTCTTGGTGTCGGTGCTTATTTAAATTCATTTTCTGAGCCACCAAAGCCCACTTTACAATTTGTTACGGCTTCTGCTTTGGGTGGATTAATGGGATACAGGTGAGTTGTTGAAATTGGGCTATGAATAGTTTTTGTAGTTGTTAGATGAATTGGAATTTTAAGGGAATATAAATATTTTTGAGGATGTCAACAAATCATTCAAAATGTCGATTTTAGAGATTTAGAATATTCTAGAAATTAGGAAATTTTCAAAATTGTTCTGAAGCTTCAGATGTTCAAAATGTGCTAATTAAGAGCCTTTAACGGTGAAGTTTTTTTTTGTTTTGAGATATTCAGGTATAAAAATTAAAAACATGCAAATTTGTGGATTTTATTCTTATCGTACAGGGTGACTCGAATAATTTTAGTTGTGATAAATGTGAACAATTGCTGAGAATTGCACTTTGGCTTGTAAGGCATTATAAAACATGTCAAACAGCATGACAAATCTAACGACAAATCTCAAATATTTTTGATGCTATCCGTGGTACTTTACTCTAGCCTAAGATAAGCTCTTTATTGAGGTCCATGAGTGGAGTTCTAGAAACCGATCAAAGTTGTGTGCTTTCAAATGAATTTTAATATAACGCATAGCAATAGAGTTTTAGGTTTTTAAGGCCTCCTCAAACAATAATCAAAATTGCAATTTTGAAAACTATTCTACAATTTATTAAAACTTATCAACTGGACTACCAGAAAATAAACTTAAATCTCAAATTTTAATCCACAGATTCCTGAATTCCGGAAAAATCATGCCCGCCGGTGTTGTCTTCTTATTCTCACTAGGTGTCGTTGTAAGAGATCTTATCGTCTATCGTCAATACTTGCCTTTAATAGGAAAGTAAATTAATTCCAAAAAGTCATTTCCATTCATTTAATTGAAAGTTGAAAGACATTTACTTGAATTTTCTATCAGTTTTTTGATGGAAAGTTGATAACATTTAGGATGTCACACTATCTCAGCCCCAAAATTTATGATTGTCAAAGTTTTTAAAAAAACGTATCGAGGTACAAAGTGGAACCATAAAATTATTATTGATATTTGTATTTCTCATATTCCTCAACAATTCTTTTGTAAACTTTATAAGGAAAAAAACAAATAAAATAAATTGTTTAAGGAAAAGAAGAAGTAGAAAAGTTTTGACTGATAAGAAGTTTCTTTCAGAAAGTGATCATGTGGATTAGTTTATATACTTTTCACTAGTGAAATTGTTTTGGCTTTATGTGTCTGCTTATCTTTAAATAGATTGAATGAACAAAATAATTTGAGAATTATCAAATATTTCTACAACTAACCTTTGACCTGCATTTGAGTTATTCTTTCATACACCTATGGCTTCCTTAATAATTATATCAGTTGGCAGACGACTTAAAAAAGTCCTAAAACACTATCATCAGGCTCACATGAAGCTTCATGCTGAACTTATGTGAAGAGGGTGTTATCTTAATTTTAATAAAAAGCAAAGTCATGAATGAATAAATGTGTATCCTAAAGAGCAGAAGTACCTCAGTACCTAATTATTATGATTCAACACCGCAAAAATGGTGCCAGAGAGAATGTCATTACTGGGACAGAAACACAAGTTTGTTGCACCGTCCTTGGTTGGAATCATCAAGAGAAAATACGCCCTGGCGCAGAACAGAGATGAAAGAATATCAGCTGAATGTGCGGACAGAGAATATATACAAACTAGGTGACAAGGCCAACAACAGAGTCAGATTGAAAACCTTTTGTTGTAACCTAAGCTCCACATAGGAACATGGTTACAGCAAACATGTGTTTGAGACTGGGTATGGGAAATTTTTCAGTTGTCCTTTTTCGAATCGTATGTACTGGAAATGAGGCTCTCAGCCTTTTTTGTGGGCTACAGGCAGAAATGTCATCAAAGGAGTGGTTTGGATCCCACACTAAATTGTAGATCTTGGTTTGAGTGCATTGGTTTGGCGCATTCTCATCAGTTTATACTCTCATTAGCTGCAAAACGCCCTAGTGAATCTTTGAATCAAAATTGATGGATTGTTACTGGATCTATAGGCTTATTTCACCAAAGAAGCCTAAAAGACATCATTTTAAACTTGAAATAATGACAATATTAATAAATCAAACAAAGTGTTGAGTAAAGTTGACAGTATTTTTGAAAGGAATTGAAATTTTTTTGGAAATTTTCAGAATCTTTCTAGCTCAACCCCTGGAAATATTTAATTTCCATTCGCTTCATTTTCATAAATGCCAAATGTCATCAAAAGCCTGAAATTCAAATGTCAGCGAAATGAATTTTAGAATGAGAATTAGTATGCAGCAAACAGGTAATATTCATTTATCCTTTTATTAATAACGGAATTTGATAATTCATATTCACAACTTACTGGCAGCACAGCCAACGCTCAGCTAGTAAAAAAAATTTAAAAATATAAATAAAAGAAAAAATTTAAACTTTCAAAAAAATTAATCAAATAGTCCCAAAATGATTGCAGATAAAGTTGTATTTGGCTTTAATCTCATTGACACTGGAGCAGTTCTGTTTCTTCTCATTTATTTCGTGAGTTTTCATTGAAAATTTTTTTTTTAAAATTGCACAAGAATAAAAAAATTAAACAAAAAATTCCCAAATTTCAGGTACTTACCTTATCAGATCTCGAATGTGACTACATAAATGCACAACAATGCTGCTCAAAGCTCAATATTTGGAGTATTCCAAAAATTACCGCACACACACTAATTATGCTGTTACTGCTGTTTACCGGACATTGGGTTCTATTTCTAGTCAATCTGCCATTCGCTGGATACTTAATCTATGAATTCTTGACAATCCCGAAAGGAAATATTGGACTTTTTGATCCAGCTGAGATTCATGTAAGTTGAATGGTGGAAAAATGGGCGTAATTTTTTTTATTTCACAAAGCAGTTCTTTAAAAAAAATTTACGAGATTTTTAAAATCATTTTTTGTTCAATTTTAGAACCGAGGTCAAATCAAGAAGCACATGAGCTTATGTTTGGTTTATTTGGGATTCTATCTCATTATTTTCTTTATATATCTTTACAAGTGAGTCTTTTGTCAATTTTTTTTACTAATCTGATTCAGTTGATGCCTAAAAGCCAACATTAATGCTAATAATCAATGTTTGTTTTTAAATCTTCGCAGTTTCATCCGTGCTCTCTTACGTGAAGATCCAATCAAGCGTCAGGACGATGACGAAATTATAACTGATCTCTAGTCTTTAAAGTATCTCATCAATTCATCATAATGCAGAAAAAGTTTTAATTTTTGTCAAATTATAACAAAAATAATTCTTTTTAACTCTTTTTTTTAAAAAAATTTGAACCAAAATTATTAAATCCATGCTATATGTGAAAATTATTATTTTTAAAAACTTTTTATTTCTTAACTGTTTAAATTGTGAATTGATGAATTAAAATGAGGATCTAAAATCTATGAAAATTTGATATGAAAATTTAAATTGATAATTGAGAAATTAAAAAAAGTGACTGTGTGAAAAATTTAAGAATTCAATGTAAATTCTGAAAATGTGTAGACATGTAAGAACCTTTTTAATTTCGATTAATTAATGTCAAAAGAGGTTATTTTTAAAAGAAAATTAGTCATTTGTCTAGAGTTTGTTGAATGAACTTCGTTTGTGCTATGAACAAGAATTAACAAGTGTTGTAGCGAATGAGAAGGCTTTAAAAGCTCCAGCTTGAGGGATCAAACGTGAACAGTGTTGCATTCTGGCCATTTGTCTGGATCAGATAAATTCTGAGACAGAAATTTCTTCATAAAGATCGATTCTACATGAAGATAGAAAATCTAATCTACACAAAGATTATTTCTACATAAAGAATCTGTCTACATAAAGATTCGATGTAGATGTCTACAATTCTACATTCTTCTCTGATGTAGACCTGGAAAAAATGTAGAATTATGTAGCAGTATCTGTACCTGGAATTATAAACTGCAGGTGAGGTTTTTAAGTCCAGGTGCAATTTGTATCTGGACTTATAAACCTTTATTGACTTTGATTTTCTGGACTTATAATTTTCTGTGCACGATTTTTGTACCTGGACTTATAATCTCTGGACTTATAACCCAGCATCCTTACGTCACGTTTAATTTCTATTCAAATTATCTCATAGAATGATGAAATAGTAAATTGAGAGTTAATTAAACCTTTAAAGCTTTTTAAACATTAATATTAATAAAAACTAGTAAGGAAAAATAGAATAAAATAAATGAAGGAAGCAAGAGTGGATAAGTGATGATAAGTCCAAGCCAGAGAAGAGAGATTATTCAAATCTCAATATATCGTTACACCTTCAAGCACATTTACGTACGGTCGCATGATTTTTTCAGAACACCCAAATATGGCCAATTATTCCATAAATGCTCCAAAAAATAATTTTAAAAATTTCATGTTTTTTTAACAAAATTTTTTCAATATTTTTTACAATTTTTTATTTTATCATTTGCTTTAGTGGGCAAATAAATCAGTGGGCAAATAAACTTGTGGCCATATGATTAGTGGCAAAAAAAGCAGTGGCGAAAAAAACAGGTGGGCAAATAAATAGTGACCAAATAAAAGGTGGCGAAAAAAGCAGTGGCGAAAAAAACAGGTGGGCAAATAAATAGGGTTACCATCTAGTTTTTATGAAAATACAGGACATTTGGTAAATTTTTTCGAAAAAAACAGGACATAGAGTAAAATTCGAAAATTAACGGAAATTTTCATGAAAAAAATACAGGACCAGGAACAAAATTGTCAAATCTATACAGGACACGGTTTTGAAATACAGGACTGTCCGTTGTAAAACTACGCAGATGGTCACCCTACAAATAAATAGTGGGCAAATAAATAGTGGCAAAATGTACAGGTGGCAAAATGTAGTGGTGGTGAAATGTCAGTGGCCAAATGTAAAGTGGCGAAATTACAGTGGGGAATTGTCGGTAACCCTCTCTGATCTAGTGGTCAGAGATCGTCTCTTTTGAGGTTGTGGGTTCAAATCCGACTTGTATTACATTAGTTTACACATATGGCAGTTATAGGGAGATCTACAACTTTCAACACAACAAGAAAACTTAATACGATCTAAAACAGGGAACTCTAAACCACTTTTTGCAAGATTTTTCCAGTATGCCCAAATATGACCAAATTGTTTCATTCATCCTTCAAAAAAGGTCGTTAAATGATCTAAAACAGTGTTGTCTAAAATCTACAAATTTCTGAAAAACTATCTATTTTTGAGATTTTTATTATTTTTCCACTAAACACCCAAGGATGTCTTACGGCACATAGTTTAGACAACATTGATCTAAGATAAAACTCCTTATTTGATAACTCGGATTTTCTTGCCTAAAACTACAATCAACTTAATACACAGCTTAATTTATTGAAGTTGACATGATTAAAATTAAATTAAGACAAAATATGAATCAAGGAACTGAAAGAGTCAAGCGAGATATAAGATTAATGAAAATACTCAAAATACTTTAAACATAATTTATTAAATACATTCTTCAAGGCAGAGATACATTTTCTAAAAGTTAAAACAAAATAAGTTGAAAATGCAAGTCTTTTCCACCGTGGTTGAGTCATGTAGGATATGATTGATCTGATACATAATTTGATCCAAAAAATTAATTAAAACTGCAAGGATTTTTCAATAAAAACAAACTTCAATCTCAAGGGGATGCAGATATTTTGAATCCTTCTTGGTAACAGTTAGGCTCTGTCAGTGTTGTCCAAACTTTTTTGAGCCATGACACCCCTGAGGAGTATGCCATGACCAAAGTCGCACACAGCATACGGTTCGTGTCATTTCCAAAAAATTTCTAAGGCACACTTGTGTGCTGCGGCACACAGTTTGGACAACACTACTTCATGTGATCCAAGACTCTAAATAAATCTTAAATTTTCAATAATTTTGAGTACAACTTCAGCAGTACCTTCTGCTTTGATCAATGAAATAAATAAAAAAATTGATGTAATAAAAAATACGAAACCAAAAAGTTTAATTTAAAGAATTCGATAAAATTAATCAATAAAAAAATGTTTTATTAAAAAAATCTTTTTAAATGTCTTTAAATTAAAAGTGGCCAGCATGTACAACAGCAAAAGAAAAGGACAAGTTGACACGATAGAGATTCATTATTACTACCCTGCAGCAAACATTTCACGTCTGCTAAATGTGCAGATTGAGTGATGAACAAGACCAACAACAATTCTAAGCCACAGAGAGTTGAATTCTACTGTCTCTTAAGTGTTCAGAGTTGATTTTGTAGAAACTTCTTATCAAAGCAGGAGGTTTGCATCAAAAGCCAAATTCTGGCTTTGTCTTTGAATCAATTCATTATCTTTAGCACTTATGAATAATCTTATCTTATCAACTTATTTAATGAATGTTTATTGACTCATAAGATATGTAAAGGGCTTGTTAATTATCACTGTGATTAGTTGTTTCATAATTCTTTCAGTTCGAAGTGATGATTTTTTGCGGTTGAAAAAAACTGTATTCAGTTGTAGTTTAAGTTTTGAATAAGTTCATATATTCTATCATTGCTGTCTAGACATCTATTCAACCTTATTTTTTAAACAACTCATTTACAATTTATTAAAACTAAGAAAATAACGGCAAAAAATTCAAAAACTTTCGCTTCATTTCCCTCCTTTGCATCCCAAAGTTTGTTTACAAACAAAGTCCCAACATCTGATATCCCAAAAGTATTCTTTTTCTTCAGGTTTTATGTAAAAAGTTTTATACTCAAAATTATTTTTTAGTTCAATACCAAAAAACTCGTAGTCAATATCTAATATAGTGAACATAATAACCTGGAGGACACAATAATTTAGTCAAATTAATCAAATTCAGATGTCAGATGAGGAAATTAAAGTTCATCCGCTAACAAACAATGCGACTGAGGCATGGGAGCAGATTTCTAAGACACAACGACAGATCAAAATACAATACAAGGCACCAAAGACAGAGAATGCTGATCCTAATAAGTAAGTGTGAAGATTTTTGAGGTTTATCAAAAATGTGTAAATTTGCATAAATATCAAGAGGATGTGATTCACAAATCATAACTGTTGATATACTATGGACGTAAATGAGTTTTTGTGTAAACTTATTCATTTTTGAGAATCTGGCATTAATGCGTCATTAATCAACATCCAATAAGATAAAGCTACACAAAAGATGTAATATTTGGGAGTTGTTTGTGAGTGATGTTGATAGTATTTGGATATGATCGTGTAAGAATGTACAGTAAAAGTATACTTTAATGGTAGCTCAAGGATGCATTCTTGACTATACTAAGCTACCGACCCTGCAAGACAACAATACATCACTTAGGAACAAACCCAATCCACAAACGTTAATAACAAACTTCATTTCTATCTTCTAGAGTCCGCGTTGTCTGCATGAGCGACACCCATTCCCTCAATCATTATTTTAAATTCCCAATACCAAATGGTGACATATTTATCCATGCCGGTGACTTTACAGCATGTGGAAAGCTAGACGAAGTAATTTCATTCAACAATTGGCTGGAAAATTTACCGCACAAACATAAACTAGTCATAGCTGGAAATCATGAGCTTTCATTTGATCCAGCATTTAATGATCCATTGACGGCTGAAAAGGGTGTATCAAGAAGTAATGGATTACTTGATGAGATTCCGACACTCGGACATTCAAGAGAGGTGCTGAAAAAAGCAGCAACGACGGAGCATGTTAGGAAATATTTGACAAATTGTACATACCTTGAAGACAGTGGCGTAGAACTTTATGGAATTAAATTTTGGGGAACACCGTGGCAACCGGAATTCTGTCGATGGGCATTCAATCTTCCCAGAGGACAAGAAATTTTAGATAAATGGAAATTAATTCCATCAGATACTGACATACTTATTACACACACTCCCCCTGTTGGATATGGCGACATGACAGCTTCGAAGATTCGTGCTGGATGTGTGGAATTGCTGTCGACAATTCAAAAGAGAGTCAAGCCAAAATATGTCATTTACGGACACATTCATGAAGCTTATGGAGTCAGATCTGATGGACGAAGTGTTTTTATTAACGCATCAACTTGTGACATTAATTACAAACCTGACAATTTACCCATAGTATTCGATATAACAATCAAAAAACCTTAGAGATGTAAATCACTTTTTATTACAAAGTTTTTTTAAAAACTTTTTTCAATCTTTTTAAAATTATTATTTAAATGCTTTAATTAAACAAAGATTTTTTTAAAAAAATTGGATACTTCTTAAAAAAAAATGAAAATAAAAAAGAAAAAAGCAAACTCGTGTAATGTACTTCAAACAAAATAAATTAAATCAATAAAAAAATAACAATTAAAAACGATTGTAGTGGTTTGAATCCTGTTTTTCGCTGACAATATTAAGTATATTTCAATTAGGTTGATCCCCCATATAACATCGTATAACATTGCGATGATTTATCTACTTTCGAAAATATAACACGTTATATTCATTTTTAAGGCGTCAGTGAAGTGAAGAATTGTGAAAAATTAAAAAATTTAAAAAAATTGTTTATTATTAAAAAGTCAATTTAACGATATGTAAGCAAAATTAATAATCATACAAGAACTTTGATAGTAAATCCTATGATGCAGTTATTAGTAATTTTTAAGCCTTTTTCAAAATTTTGACATTTCATTTCTGAGAATTTGGATCTTATTTTAGATCTCATTTGTGAACAAAGCTTTTAAAAAATTTATCAGGAAATTTCCAAATTAAAATGTCACATTAGAACATGTTATACATTCATTACTAGTACATATATTGTTATAATATTTTATACATTGTTATCTACATTTCACTTTTGTAGCACACATTAGCTTCAAAAAATATTTCTGAGGTTTAAAAAAATACTTTTTTACTTTAAAACGCATTTGTATTAAAATTTTATTTAATTTATAAACATTGCAGATTAAACAACTGTTGATAAAATGGATGATCTTCATTACAATCCCGATTTTCTGGTCAATCACACAAAAGATGGAATAAACTCTGAAAAAGCATCGAAAAGGTTGTGCAAAGTATTAAAATTCTCTTCAGAATTTAGCTTAATTGAAAATTTAAATTATATTTCGATGCTAAATCCGACATTATTTCCATGTTTATTTGTTTTTGTTATCGAGATAAAATCGTTGAATGAATTTCAAGAAATTCAAATTGAAGATCATTTTTTCTACCGTTTTGACAAAACGCGGCCAATAGTATTACAAATTAAAGCAGGAAATGACTCGAAATGGTTTTATAGCGAGGAAAATAAAACTCAATTTGTTTGTATTAATGAAGGACATGATGACTATATGCACTTGTCGATACTTTTATGGAAATTTTCAAAAAACAATAATAAGCAAGATATTGAAGAGTTTATAGACGTGCTGATTGATGAATTTTCCGATATTAAAAATACCTCAACAGTTTTGAGATTTCTAACAAATTTGACAATTTCTGACGAAACTCTTTTTTCAATCATGTTACAATGTGCATTAAATGGTTCTCAGGATGAATTCTCATCGTTCCTGAATGATTCATTTGACAAAGAACATAGAATATTTAATGCTAATACACAAAAACTAATGAGTTACTATCAAATAGATGAGGCAACACAAAATAAAATTTCAGTACTGCTTCAAGCAGTTGAAAACCCAAGAGGTGACGTTATTGACTATTTGATTTCCAATTGTACACATCTGATTCAAGAACTCCCATACCATCATCGGGTCAAGGTTTCAGAATATGCAATGACAATTAATAAGTTTGGAATTTTATGTGACTTATTAGAGTTTTCAGATTTTCCTTTTCCACACGTCATTAATGACTTTTTAATTCTAAATGAAAGATTTTCTAAAATATCAAATGATAGAAAATTATTTCATAAATCAATCTGCGATGACAACATAGATCAAATTCAAAGTTTTATTAATAAAAATCAAAATTTAAAATTTGCTTTCAACATTGACAATAAATCAGCACTTGCTTGCGCTATGGAACTGAAAAAATTTAAAACTTATACTGATCTTAAATCAAAAGGCTTTAAAATAAACGATGGTGAAATTAAAGATTATGAAAAAGACCTAAAAAAGAAGGAATTGATGGAATGGAAGAAACAAATATGGATACAGACACAAAAAAATGTAGCAGAAGCTAAATTGGATCCTAAAAAGCTTATTTACCACTTTAAATCCAGATCACTCATTCATAAAAGAATGATTACAAAAGAAGCTGAAGCTAAGAATCGGACGAAAATAGAAGAAATGTTTGAAAACATTAATAAAATTCCAATTTGCTCAAAATTTCTTCTTGTGGCATCTCAATGTGAAGATTTAAAGTTTATTTTTGACTTTGACAGCGAATCGGTAAGTAGCACAACTTAGGTTTCTCATAAAATTATGTTTTTAAGAAATATGTCTAAAAAGCAGTTCATTTATGACGTCAAGGAGGGGGAAGGGGAGGCGGTGGGTTCAGCATGAAAAAAATTATAGAAATTCTTGAATCCATTGTTCTTTTTAGCGCATTTTCTTTTCAAGAAATGATGCTATTGTCTGCGTTTTGTACGTCTGTCTGTTAGGTTCTTTTAAATATTTTTCGAGCGTTGTTTTTCAAATATTTTTTGACTGTTATTTTACAAATGCTTTTCGTTTTTGGTTTGTTTTTCTACTCGAATTCTGTCCGGGGAAAATGCACTTCGGTCGGTCACGAGTGACCACCTCTTTACTAGATTAAAAATGACCGCTAATCTTAGACGTCATAAATTGAACGACCCCAAACCTTGATTGATGATTTTTGTTCAATTCTTTTTTTTTTCTTAACGCGCGCAGGTTGAAAATGTAGATATGAAAAGTGGTTCTCAAACAGTAGGTGTCACATATCCTATCAAAAAATGGATCTTCATTGGAGCTAAAGAAACAGTTGAAAATCACAGTAAAATAATAGAAGGAGTTTTAATGCATGAAATCAGTCATTACGTTATGCGGTTGACTTTTGAAAATGCTGAAAAGCCTTATTTTAAAAATGACAAAAAAGCAGAAACAAAATTTGATAAAATCTGTACAGCAGTAAATAAGTGGTCAGAAAATATAGAAAATGAAGTTGAAAATTTTGAAAATTCTTCAGTCAGTTCAATCGATGAAGATGATGACTGTGAAGGGATCATATCATCAGTATTTACAGACTATGAGGAAAAAGATTATCATCCGGAATTGATAGTTCGACCACTTCAAATAGTTGCTCAATTTAATGAAAATGGAAGTAGATTAGTCGTTTTAAAAAACAAATATAAATTATTATTTGACTATATTGATAAGTTTGTCTTACCAGAGCTTGAAAATTGTAACATTCAGATACGAAAAAGTACAAGATATTTCAATAGAATGATTGGAGATTGGTTGACAATTGAAAATGAAAATTTTCAACTCAAAAGCACAAAAATCATTAGAAAACATCTGAAATATAATTTATTAATTATTATTTCAAACATCCCAAAATTAGCCATAAGAAGTATATTTCAATGTATTCAGACGAATAATTTACCAGATGTGTCAAATTTATTCATCTCGTCTGAAAGTTTCCAAAAAAGTGAAATATTTGAAAATTTCAAATCTATTACATGCGAGAATCAAAATATTAAAGTAATTATTGACTGCTCAAGAGGTTCAAATAATTATTTCAAACAGCTTAATGATCTGAATTTGAAATTAATTGTTGTGCTAGGAAATAAAAATCAACTTATTGAGTTAGAGGAAATGCTTACAAGTCAGCACTTTAGCCAAAGCAAAGCAGTTAAAGAACTATATTTTACGTTTGAAGACTTAACAGTTGAATGTCAACTTTCTTTGGTCCAAAAGAAAATCAAATTTCAAAACAACTCAAACTTGACACTTGAAGAAATACTTACAAATAATGTAGCTGAGTCATTTGACGATGGACTTTATAAAAAAATTATTGATGATGAGCTTTTAAAGTTACTTGTGGAAAATCCTCTTGTCTCTATCAATACGAATTCTAAAACTGGAGATGATGACAAATTTTTTGATATTCTTTTTCAACCTCGGAATTTAGTCAATACAAAATCTGGCTTAAACGAAGTGGTGTCTGAGGATAGTCTATTTGCTAATGTAAATAGTATGAAGAATATTCTTATTTCTGATCTTGGTGGAACTGGAAAAAGTTGGATGTTGAAAAAAATTACACAAATTTTAAACAAAAAAGTTCCAAAAACTTGGGTCTCATATATTGATTTGAAACAGCATATACAGGCATTTAAGAAAATGCATACGAAATCTTATTTTCCACATTTTTTGGGTGAAGAAATAATAAAGCTTGAAAGCAATTATGAGAAGCAAATTTTCAATTGTCTATTCGAAAATGGAAGAACAACCCTTCTTTTTGATGGATTTGATGAAATTTCTCAAGATTGTGCAAAAAATCTTTTGAATCTGCTTAAATCATTTGAAAGTAATAATGGCAATCAATTATGGATTGCAACAAGGAATTATTGTGAGGAATACTTGCAGAATGAAATCAATTTTGATGCTACTTTCAATCTTGAAGAAATCACTGAAGAAAATGGAATTGATCTAGTGATTCATACTTGGTTGCTGGAAGAAACACCAAACATAGAAAATGATCTAAAATCACATCATAACTATGCAAAATACAAGAAAATGGTAGAAAATCTTGGATCAAAATTACCAAAGAAAAAAGGTCGCCCAATTGGATTTCCTTTGTTCTATAAAATGATTGCAAATGTTTACAGTAATGAAAAAGATTCAATCGATATACTGACAGTTTTTGTAATAGTTCATGGCTTTGTGACACAACAGTGTAGAAGATGGATGTCTGAAAAAGGTGAATGTGGAATTGAAGCAGCCATCAAAAGTCAAAATAAAAATTATGGATACTTTCTAATTCATCAGTTACTTGCACTAAGAAGTATGTTTCCAGAAAAGAAAAAAATTTGTAGTCTTGATTATGATAAACACAAATGGTCGGACAAATGCATCAACAATTGTGGATTAGCAACAAAAAACGGTGGCTTAGTATATTTTCAGCATGAAATTATTCGTGAGTTTTTTGTTGCCATGTTTATTTTGGATATTTTGAGACAATCACCAGATTCTATTGATGAAGATTTTATTTCATTATTAAAAGATTTGTTCACAAACTATAAGTTTAATGTCATCAGGATATTCATTAATGATGGTATAATTCAAGATACAGAAACAATTGATTCAAATCATCAGGCAAATGTTTCTTTAGAAAATATCACAGAACAACTGATATGTGAGAGAGTTTTGTTAAAATTATTTAAAGAAGGACACGTTAATTTAATGAAAATATTTATGCCATTAACTCCCAGTTCTGATCATTATGAAATGGTTGAAGGAACGCTAAATCAAACTATTAAAGAAATCATTGAAATAACTCAAAGCAACGAAAAAATAATAGAAATATTAAAACTTATCATAAATTTTTTGACAGACGATGATTTAAAAAATCTTTTTTGGGAACAGGAAATATTTCAAAATATTATGAAATTGCGATCAGATATAACAATCTTGGAAACAATTGCTGCGATGCTTGAAATCAAGACAGGAAAGCTTTTTGTCGAGAAACTGCTTGAAAAGAAATGCCTGGATAATAGAAATTGCTTTTATTTCCTATACAAGTCCGATTATTGTGATGAAAAAAATTTTAAAATTCTATTTTTATTTTTACAAAAATACTTAAGCAAATGTGTAATTGTAAAAATGATTAAACAGTGCGACAACAACACAAATAATATTTTACATATTTGTGTCAAAATGATGAATGTAGAAAAATTAAAAATAATGTGGAAAGAGATTCAAAATGTTTGCGACAGTTTAAAATCTTTACTTTGTTTTAAAGAGCTTATTATTCAAAATGAGTCAATATTACATGTGGCTGCGTCCTGTGACAATGAACATTTTCATGAAACTTTATGGACTTTAATACATCAAACGTATCCCGAGATGAATGAACTAAGCAAATTAATAATTCATAAAGATAAAAGTGGATCCAGTTTTCTTGACTTACTTGTTAAAAATAAGAATCATAAAATACTTGAATGTTCATTAAATTTCATTATTAGAATCCCTTTCAAAGATATTTTAAATTTAAAGAATAAGGATGGCAAAAATTTGCTTCATTTTAGCATTTGTACATGCAAAACTGATACACGGATACATAATATTTTGTGGAATCATTTAAAACATCAAATTGTTTCATCCAACATAGTAAAAGAAATTCTACTACAAACTGACAATGAAGATAATACTATTTTTGAATTAATGGCAATCCATTCATCCAAAAAGGTTTTCACTTTTATAATTCAAAATATAATTAGTATATTGGAAGAAGAATTCATCACGATACTAAAATGTTTAAATAATCAGAAAAAAAACTTGATTCAAATTGCAGTCAAGAATAATTTTGACTTAGAATTTCATGAGCAGCTATGGAAAGTTCTCAACAAATATCTAGATTCCAATGATATTTTAAAGATAATACAATCAATTGATACATCTGGAAATACATTGCTTATGTTAGCAGTTCTTTATAACAATCAAAGTTGTGTCGAACTAACATGGAATGAAATAGCAAATCATGTGAAAGGAAAGATCGAAAGACACGAGTATTTAAACATTGTTGGGCTGGAAGGAATATCATTATTAGATTTATCCAGGAAAAATAGATTTAAAGGTGTAAATTTGTTTGTTGGAGAGTTATTAAGTAAGTAGTGTTTGCAGATTTTAATTAAATTCTAATTTTTGATTCAACTTCGAATACTTTCAGACAAAATAACAATAAATGGTCATCCATACGGCGAAGCACTAAACTTGTTAAAATTTGAAAAAGATAATAAAGTCGTTGTTGATATCAAAAAACTTCAATCAATACTTGAGCAAAAAGACGTTCGTAATCGTAAAATTGTGGCTTTTTCAATCATTGGAGCTATGAGGAAAGGAAAAAGTTACTTTTTAAATTACTGCTTAAGATTTCTTTATGCAAATGTAAGTAATACTTCAATCTTCAACTGATTATTGGAATTTTTGTTGCTTAATACCAATTGTTGAGCTGAAGTGGCTCGGTGGCGGAATGGTTTAGGACTTCGGTGACTAATTATTGCAATACTGACACAGCAATCAAGGGTTCGAGACTCGGCATGGCGAATTTTTCAGTTGCCATTTTTCGAATCATATGTACTGGAAATGAGGCTCACTGCCTTCCTTTGTAGGCTACAGGCAGTAATGTCATCGGAGGAATGATTCGGATCTCACTATAAACTGTAGGTCTAGGTTTAAGCAGGAGGTATAGCAACCCCTTCTCTCGTTAAACTATCATTAGCCTCGTAACGCATAAAACAAGCTGCTATGGATCTTAAGATCTGAATGCTAAAGTTTATTTTATTTAATACCGATTGTTAATGTTTAAATAAAATTATAAAATCTATAAATTTCTTTTTAGTATCGCTCAACAAACTTTAAAAATAATCCAGTTTCTAAGCCAGATGAATGGATTGGAAATGAAAATGAACCACTTAAAGGATTTTCATGGCGTTCTGGATCAAAACGTGATACTGTTGGAATTACGATATGGGACGATGTTTTCCTTCATACAGATGAGTTTGGTCAAGAAATTGCAATTGTAGTAATGGATTTACAAGGACTTTTTGATCACGACACATCGCAAGAAAACAATTCAAAGATGTTCGCTATTGGAACATTAATTTCATCAATTCAAGTGTTTAATATTTCAACACAAATTCAAAAAGATCAGCTTCAGCATTTACAATTTGTAGCTGATTATGCAAGATACCCGAAAAATTATTTGGCAGAAAACAATTTTAAATGCTTCCAAAACTTGATGATTCTTGTAAGAGATTGGGTGAGTTGCAATTTAAAACAATTTTTAAAGCAGATACTTAAATTGGAAATTTTTTAAACATAATAGATGACATTATTTTTATCAATTTACTAGCCTCATCAAAACGATTACGACTATGGGATGGGAGGCGGTGAGAAATATATCAATGAGTTATTCAGAATAGCCAAACAACACAATAATGAACTTGATCACGTTGACGCATATATTCATGATTCTTTCGAAAGTGTAGGTTGCTGCCTGCTTCCTCCTCCAGGTAATGTCCATACTCAAATAGCAGAAGTCGTTTAATCGAATTAACTCTGGCATGGTTCTGGAATCAAATCTAATCCAGCAACATGCCAGAGTTATACTTGCTGGTGTCGGATTCGTATTCGGCATATTATTATTTATTTCATTGGATAACATTTGCTAATATATTTTAAATGTAGGAACTAACGTAATCATGGGGAAGAAAAATGGACCTGACTACGATGGAAACCATAAAGAGATGAATTTAGAATTTAAATCAGAACTAATTAAAATAATTGAATTTCTTTTATGTCCAAAAATTCTCGCGATTAAGAAAATTAATAACGAAGCATTGACATCAAAAAAATACTTACAGTATGTTGATCTTTATTTTAAAATGTTTTATTCTGAACAACTTCCAAAAGCCCAAGCAGTGTATATGTCCACTATTGAACAGCATTTTGAAATAATGGTCAATTTTTGTTTTGAAGAATATAAAAGTGAAGTTAAATCAAAGCAATTTTTTATCAACAATGTTGACCAAATTCCAATTTTTCAAGATATGTTAGTACTTAAACCTATGCTAAAATATAACGAAACAGTTAAAATGAACAACAAAGATTTTTATTTGAAATATAAAGAAGTTTTAAGATTAAGAATCAAGGAGGATTATGAAAGTTGGAGTAATTCATTAGCGAAAAAACTTACATTGGACAATATGAAAAGTCAAAATAATTTTGAAATTGTAAATGCAAAACTATCTAAATTGAGAAAGGAACATAGTGAACTTCAGAAAAGTCATGAAGCTGAATCACGAAAGTTTCAAAAAGTTTGCCAAGAACTTGAGAAAAAAGATTTGGAACTTAAGGAGAAGAATCGTGAAATTCAAACACTTAAGAAAAAATTAAATCAAAATTTATGATTAAAAGAAAACTTGGATGATTTACTATCCTCTTGCTTCCTTGCATTTTTATGTTAATTTAAGTATAACTGAAATTTGTTGCTAATTCTGTAATAATATTGAGGAGTGTTGAATGTTTTTTGTGCTAACAAAAAGTTGATGAATTGAATTAATCAACTAACATAATATCTCATGCTCAAGAAAGCCGGCTCTTTAATCATTTATTTTCAAAATCCTAAATTTAAGCAATACTTGTGAGTTCGAGATTTGGCAAGGAAAACTCTTTTTTCTTTTTTTTAATCACTTTTATTTAAAAGTAAACTCACAACATTACTTTAGGCAGATTTATCGAATAATAGTTTGAATCCTATTTGTAATTTTAGACTAGGTTTGAGAGGAAGTTTTTCTATAAACCTTGTGTAGATAAGAGGAAAAAAGAGACTTTTGAGAGCCAGAAGTTTATTAACATAGAAGATTTTTATAAATAATTGAAATTTTATTAATTTACTAGTTTTTAAGTATTATTATTATTGTTAATTAAAGTAAGATAAAATAAAACATCAAGCTCACGTATTAATCGCTAGAAATTCTATAATAAATGTGAATAAAACACAATTTACTTTGCTAACCTTATTTTGGCCATTATAATAATAATAATAAAATCCTTTATTCAATACATAATATATGGCGGAACAGCTATAAAAAAATTGTTGTTAACCTTTATCGGTTTTAAATCAATTTTGGTTTTGTGAAACAGCTAAGAGTAATTGCTTGAGGTGATAAGTATATAAAATTACAATGAAGTTGAGGCACAAAAAATGTTAAAAAAGTGCCAAAAATTTTTTTAAGAAAAGTTTAAATAGAAAATCATTAATAAGTAATTAATTTAAGCGTATAGACTTAATTCAAAGCTCTTGGTGGTCTATGTTTTACTTTAGAGCCCAGAGAATCGTAATTATATTGACCGAGAGAAGATATGAGATCATTTAGATGGTGTGTAATTTTGCCATAGAAGTTATTAGTGACATTTGTAATAAAAGCTTTGATTGAAGGTAGATTTGATAGCTTATGTAACATTTCGTTCGATTGGAAGTCAGAACAGTGAACATCATTCTTAGAATTTAATTTTGAAATAATTGCAGCTTATTCAAATGGCAAGCTGCAGCATTCGAGAAAAAAGGACAACCATATGTTAAAATTAGTCTGATGTAAGACTTATAAATTCTAAGTTTAGAGTCTGTAGAGGCAACGGAATTCCTGCTCAATAAGCATTAGAGGCTCAAGAAACTGGCAGCACTGGCTTTGTTAATGGATGAGTCAATATGATCAAGAACATTCCTGAGATACTTCACTGCCTCTTTCCAAGCAAACAATTAACCATTGAAGCTAATAAAATCATGTGCATATGGAAAACATAATAAATTCGGTTTTTGACTCATTGATTTGAATTTTTCAATCCTGAAAGTAAGACAAACCTTGCAAACAACTCACCGTTTTGAGAAGTTCAACCTTAATAACTTTCAAATTTTTCCATACCTTCTGAACAGAACGGAATAGGGATATCATTTAAGAATAAATTAAACAAGTGTGGAGCAATAATCGAACCTTGGAGGACGCCAGAAGTTCAAACACAAAAAAGAAGGAATCTGCTGATTGACAAGTGACAAAAACAGTACGTCCTTTCAAATATGATTGTATGATTTTAATTAAATAGACAGGATAGTTGTATTGTAGAAGCCACTACACTAGACCGTCATGCCAAACACTATCGAATGCTTTTCCCAAGTAAAGTAGAACCATGCTTGGTCATTAAATAACCGATTACAACACCCAATTAGTGAATTCATTCCAGTTGTGATTCCCTCCTTTGATGCTCGCATAAACAGATTATTAAGTTCTAAAAAGCACATTGTAGGTCTCGATTTTGAAAAAGATACAGATAAGGTACAGTCGTTCGTTTGAAATCAACTAATTCAGCTCTACTATCTATGGTTAAGTTTGAAAAGTTTATTCTGGGAAGTCGTTCTCCATTAATTCAGACAAGATACTGTCTAAATCAGATGTGGGAATTTGTCTAGGGTCCATTTAAAGCCAGTATTAAATCATTCTGGATTTTCCAGAGTACGGATCAGCTTAAAAACTTAATTTGCGAAGAGAACATTGGTTGAATCCATACTTTGGAGCTTGAATATCTACACATACTATCTAAGTCGCTGAATTAGATCATAAAGTTCTGACATTTCATTGTTCTGTCAAAATAAATGATCCATTGTTTGGAACATAAAAGAACTTTGATGACAATCTATCCCCGAGTGGACAAAGTACTAGTTAAAAGCTTGCCATTGACTTGCCTGTTCATGGCGAGTAAGTATCCATTGACGTGCCTTTGCAACTAAACTTAGGGACGACTAATGACATATTTTGCGCATTCCATTTAACTGGACATAGAAATTGCACATATGTCTAGTTAATGTCCAGTTACAAAAAAATCGAAATAAAATAAATAACACGTGTCTTTTTCTCCATATTTTTTACTTTTGTAAAATTTTATTATTGTATTAGTGTAATAAATTAATTAAAGTACACTAACACTTATCAAAAATCTCTAGTAAAAATTGAGTCTCGAATACTTGCGCGTGAAACATTTATATTCACTTAAAAGTTTCATACAAATTAAGCGCTTGTAAAGTATATGGTCAAAAAAGTAAGGAAATTTTTTTTTGAGTTTCGAGCACTTGATTGATTAGCATGAATGTCCAGTTAAAGTCTAGTTAACGTCTAGTTCTCTATGTCGTATATATTTCGGCAAGTTAAAAGACTGTTAAATGATTGTCCACCCGGGATCTTGAAACTTCACTCTTCGAATTGGCAATACACTTGCTAAAAACAAATTAACACATTTTATTTAACACGAAACTTTTTATTTGGGACAAATTCATTTAATTTTACATTTCACAACATTGAAATTGCAATAAATATCAAATAATCAATAATTTTTTATTTTGATAAAAATTTAAAATTTATCTTTCTTTAATATTCTAAGTTGTCCTGACTAGGTAATCAAATGTCCGCAATACTACTTCCTTTTTTTTATATGGAACTGTTATGAAATTTTGATTTTGAATAACCTAAAATGGGATTTAAATAAATTAAATTTTGCTTTTAAGATTTCGCTAATAAATTATAAAATAAGGTAAAGTTTACCTTTCCTACAATCCAGCTATTATTTTGCTTTGCACGCGCAACATAAATGAAATCATTTTCTTCTGTATATCCACTCCATACAGCTCTATCTGGAACTGTTCCATCTGTTGATCTCTTCCAAGAATAGCAATCTCCACACAGGACATAATATTCATCTCTAGAGTATTCTTTACCATCATTTGAAATGAAACATAAACTTTTATCTGGAATAACATTAGCTGGATATTGAGTATCACCACAGATTGCCCTTTTAAAAATAATTCAGAATTATAATTCATGGAAATTAAAAAAAAAAACAAGGATTTGAAAAACTTACATTCCCACATATACAGGATATTCATCCGAATCGTGTCCTGCAAGAACGGCTGTAGGAGCAGGAAGTTCTGAGTAAATGTTTGAAGATCGCCAATCTTAAAAAAATGAAATTAAAACATTCATAAAGTTAATACACGTGTTTAGAATTGTATATAGTAAAATATTACATGGTTTTTTTGCTTCTTCAGCATAAAGCTTTTCAAACTTATCTCTATCAATTTCAGCTTGCATTTTTTTCTTTATTGCATCTTGTCTTTCTTGTTCTGCTTCCTTCGCAGCTATTCTATTGTTTTGTTCTTTTGTTCTTAATGCGAGAACCTCTCTATCCTTTGAAATCTTTACATTGTCAATTTGTCTTCCTTTTTCAGCTAATTGAACTTCTGCATTTGTTTTAAGAATTTCTAATTCCTGCTCGAGTCTATGTTTTTCTTCATAAAGCTTTTTAGTTGTTGTTGTCTTTTCTTTTTCAATTGAAATTTTACAGTTTTCCATCTCAATTTCAAGTTCTTTAATAGCTTTCTTAATTCTGCTTTCGACTTTTAATTTTTCTTTCTCTATCTTTTCTTTATAAAGCTTTTCTTCTCGTTCAATAATTGATTTATTTTCTGATTCCATTTCTTTTAGCATTTCCTCTAAGGCTGCTTTCTCATCATCTATCATCTGCAGTTGATATTCATGCTTTTCTTGAAACAGTTTACGAGTCTTTTCTTTTTGCTCTTCAATTTCTTTTAAGTTTGTTTCCGACGTATTTAACCAGCTTTTGTAATATTCTTCAATCTTTAGACTCAAAATATCTTTAAATTTTAAATCATGGTTTTTATTTCCCATTTTTTTCGATGTTTTATAAAGTAATAGCGCATCATTTTTGCTCATTCTGTGGACTATTACAATTTGATCAGATGTTTCGATTAATTCCTCGTTTTGAAAAATGTTCTGGACATATTGGTCATAGCATGAGTCAATAAGAGTATTCATATTTTTATCTACTGTTATTTCGTAAATTGTTTTTGCCTCAGGAATTTCTTCAGATTGAAATAAATGAAAATACTCATCAAGGTAACCAAAATATTCAGCTGCTTGAAGTTTATTTTGATTTACTTTTTTCAAAACTAATCTTTCAGGTTTCAAAAGATGATCTATGAGAATAGCAAGTTCTTTGACGAATTCTTCATCCATCTCACCCCAGTTTCCATCATACATTTGCTGATTTTTCTTATTACCAATAACTCTGTCTCCTTTTTCGGAATAAAATGTTTAAAATTATTTCTGCTGAATATGCTTCACAACCCGAGCATTACAGTATTACTTAAGTACGCAAGCTAATTGCAAACATAAGTCATAAAAGTACCTGGATGAGGAAGGAGGCTGCAGGTTAACTCCTCGAAAGATTCTTTGATAAACTGCCGAACAGACTTCAATTCATCTTTTTGGTGTGGCTTTATTTCAAGAAAAGTATTCAAATAGGTTGATCCTCCCTCTAGACCATAATCGTGGTCTTTCCAGTTGACCTACAAAAAAAAAAATAAAAAGACTCATTTAGTTATATATTTGTCTCTTTGAATGCTGCACTTACCCAGTCTCTAACAAGAAACATCAAATTCTGAAATGGTTTTGCGTTTAATTCATTTTTGTCTGCGGCTGCAAATTTCGCAAATTCCGTTGCAAACTGTAAGTATTGCAATTGGTCCTCTTGAACGACACCTGATAAATTTAAAACTTGTATTGAAGAAATAAGAGTTCCTAAAGCGAAAATTCTTGAATTGCCAGTTGCGGTTGTTAAGGTATCAAAAAGTCCTTGAGTATCCATCACAATAATTGCAATTTTTTCTCCCGTCATTTCACAATTATGAAGAAATACGTCACTCCATACAATGATTCCGGTTGTGTCACGTGTTGCTCCTGAACGCCATGAAAATCCCCTTAAAGGTTCATCCTTTGCGCCCATCCAATTATCGGGATTTATTAAATTAGGACAATTAATTGAAGGGTACTGCAAAAATTAAAAATGATTTTTTTAAATTTTATAATGACGAGTTTTTTCAGTAGCGGAGCCAGAATTTTGAATCCTTTCCCTTAAAATCCATCTTTACAAAATTTTGGCTACATCACAGGCGTTTGTAATTGCTTTACATGTGCATAAAGGTATCTTAAGCAATAATCCAAAAGAAAGCTTTTTCCTTTCCTGTAAGCTCCAATAATTGAAAATGGCACAATTTTTCGGAATTTAACTTTTGGATGCTGCAACATTTCCTTCAGCTCTTCATTTTGAATTATAATCTTGTCATCGTCGGAAAATTTTAACACATTTAAAGGGTATCCATTCATACAATGAGGCTTATCTAATATTTAAGAAAATGTATATTCATATCTTAATTATGCTGAAAATTTCTTTATTTTACAAACCTTTGTATGCAGGTTCCATTATGTATTCCTATTACGTGACAGTAGAAAATTTAAAAAGAATTTTTTTTAAAATACAGACAAAAAAGACATAAAGTAAAATATAAAACTTTGAAGCTCGACAAAACAATTCAAACTAGTAAAGAGGTGATCACACGTGATCTACCGAAGCGCATTTTCTCCGCACAGAATTCGAGTAGAAAATAAAATCCAAAAACTTAAAACATTTGTAAAATAACGGTCAAAAAATATTTGAAAAGCAACGGAAACGTTCAAAACAAAAGCTAAATCAACTTTTACATGGGTTTTCAATCCTTGCAATCAAAAATGGCGTCGGTTTCATACTAAGGAACTGCCACTGGGCCTACATGTCAAATTTCAAAAGGACAAAATATGCAAAAGTTATGACAAAAATGTATACATGAAAAATTTATGGAAAAAATAATAAAACTCCGTGAAAAACTCGGAAAATGCATTGAAAAATTTGAAAATGGAAAAATTTCACCATAAAACATCATTATCTATCAAAAAAGTGTAAAAAAGAATGAAATAAGTTGCTCATTGTGAGATTTGAACCAGCGACCTGAGATTTTTAAAAAAAATTCACCTTTTTAAGGGCTGCGTAAAATATGCGTACATAAAACATAAGGCAAAATTTTAGAAAAAGTTGATTTAACTAACCTTTCTGTGCTCCAATCGTTCTGGATTTTTGGCCAGCTCTTGCCAGACACAATACAAATATTAAAATAGTTATAATAGTTGAGATTCAAATTTTTGCTCAAATAATATTTTAATTATTTTAGATTTTTTATTTATTTTTTTTTAAATTATTTTCTACCTCAATAATTTTAATCTTTTCAATCGTGATAAAAATAAAGTTTTTAATACCTAGAATTTGCCATTACTGATAAAACAAAATACGCATAAATTTTCAAGCAAACGAATGAAAAAAAAAATATTTGAACACCCTCTTGATGTTTTGTAAATTGTGAAAGAAATAAATAAATTCATAAATAAACTCTGTCTGATTTATATTAGTTTAACCTCACATTCATTTAGAAAAAAACCATTATCTTGAAAATGTAATTTAAAATTAATAAAATAGCTTAAAAAGTATCACGTCATTTTAAAACATTTCAATTTCAATTACTAGTCAACATATTTAGAACTTAAATAATCTGATAGACTTTGGCCTAAAGTACTTAATGACACTAGAAAATGAATAACATTTGTTACTTTTTTTCTTTTCTCAATCAAATTTTCTTTAAAAAATTACAAATTATTATGAAAAGATAAATATAATGAAAGATTACCAATGATTAAAATATTTGTATAGGATTATTTAAAGATTATAATTTGCTAAAGCCTTGTTTTTAAGTATTTTAAGTGAGGTATTGTATAGTTTACATCATAGTAATAGCAAGACAGTACGTATATTAAAATATAGGCTTGATTGGCGCAATGCATGAATTAGTAAGTCAAAATATATCACAGAGCAGCATTTTTTTAATCATACTGGACAATTAGTGCTACTATGGATATATTTATTTCATATTTGATGATCAAATGTATACAAAAATAGAAATGTGAACAACAAGAAGATTTGATTATCAGTTTAGTTATATTCGTTATTCGAGAATATAACATTTAGTAAAGTATAACATTGTTGGAACATTTAAATTATTTTCTCACAATAAAATATAAAATAGCTGCTTCACATATTTTAATGCTTATTTCTACATTGACATTTGTTCAGTGAAGTTCAAATTATTGTTAAATAAATTTGTGAAAACTAAAACTGGGTAATTAATTTTGACTTTTAATAAAGATAAAAAATGTTTTAAAATGACGTGATACTTTTTAAGCTATTTTATTAATTTTAATGAAAAATTCTTCTAGAAAAAGTTTTTATTAAATGGATGTGAGGTTAAATTAATATTAATTCGACAGAATTTTTTAAAAACTTGCTTATTTGTTTCTTGCACACTTTATAAATTATATAAATTCCCACATAATATGTGCCTATATGATTTATTTTTTTATATTCTAAAGTTTGATTCAAGAAGTTTTGAACATTTAAAATTAATGGCTGGCTTTCTTCACCCTTGTTTAAATTAAACAAGGAATAACAATTTATATGCTGTTTATCGGTTGTTAGCAGCTCTTAATGAAAAAGTGGGACAGAACAGAATTCAAATCATTTTCTTACATATAGAAGTTTAAAAAACGGAATTTTTTTCGAATAAAGAAGGTTAAAGTGACTAAAAAGTGCACAGTTGAACAGCCTAAGAATATTAAATTATATTCGAATTTTAATTTTACTTATATGATATCCCGTAATAACTTACGGGCAGCATATGAAACTCCCGTGGCAAAATGTTTTCTATTCTGCCATTTAAAATATTAATTAAAACAATTTAATTTAATTTATTAATCTCCCTCCTTCATTGTTACTATAAGATACTAATTAAAAGATTAAATAATCTAAAGAAACAACTGGAAAAATCTTACGTTATCAAATTCAATACAACTACTATGATCCTCTTAATATTTCTATGGGCACTCGTTTTGGTATTATTTAAAAATGTTATGTTTTATATTCACAAAAAATTATAGAAAATCATCTAATAAAACTTTATTCACTTACAGTTTGACGTTTCATCAAAAAAAGTTTATATCATGTCGTCTGAAGATATTAATTCTATTGAAAATGATAGTAAGTACAATATTACTTTTCTAATAAGAACCTATTTATAATTTTTTAAATTTTAAATATTTTAAAATTTAAACTTTAATATTTTTAAACAAAATTACTGACAACTTTTTCAAATATTTTATTTATTTATTTTTTTTAAACCTGTTTCATTGAAACTTGATTGAAACATTAATGATTAAAAAAATTCCTAATTTTAACAGATTATATTCTGTAAAAAATTGATTGCAATGCGTTTGTCATTATCAACATGTGTTAAGCACAAAGTATTAATATTTTTCTTGCCCTAAATTCACTAAATTATTGAAAATCGAGTAAAATCTTATCTCAAATATTTAAAAACAAAGATACAAGAGGATTTAAGTCATGCCTGGGAATTTGAAAATTAAAATTTTCATGGAACTTTTTAAGGGTTCTAAATAAACGGCGTTTTGAAATTTAAACTCATTAGTTAATTTAATATTATACATGTAATGCATATAAAGTCATAAATATTATCATCCAGTAGCTATCTAGTGCAATAAGCTAGATATATCCAAGTATTTCCACTTCCTAGATTTTGAGGAAGCCAGCCAGCCAGCAAAAGCGACTGAAACCTCTCAAGCAAGCATGATAACTTTTGTTATTTTTCAAATGTATTTGCGCTTAATTAGAGATATTGCTGTGATAAACGTATAACGAATTCATTTAGAGTTGATCATTAGAATTTGCAAGCTTCAAGCTATTGTTAGCATTCTAAAATTGAATGTTAAATCTGCAGTATTTTACTTAAGGACTGCATTTTTAGTTGTACATGGAAAACTCATGGGATTTTAATAGGTCAGATTTGAATTATTTTCTTTTTATGAAAAAGTTGAGGAAGTTAATCATCCTTATGGAAAACCAGAAACAATCGCAACGTTTTTGAATGAAGGTATAAATGCAAATTATAAAAAACTTTTACAAATGTTTTTAAATGATGAAGTCAAGAACCGTAAAATTGTTGTACTTTCAATTGTTGGTGCATTCAGAAGAGGAAAAAGTTTCTTTCTGAATTATTGCTTAAGGTATTTGTACGCCAATGTAAGTGAAAAAAATTATTTATTTAAAATTTATATTTAATAAATTACAAGATGATACTTTTAGTATAAATCTATAAATTATCCTGAAAATTCACCAATTAATTCGAAAAATTGGATGGGAGACCAAAATGAGCCTTTAATTGGATTTTCTTCAAGACCTGGTATTACTCGCGATACAACTGGAATGATATTTTGGGATGACATTTTTCTTTACAATAACGAGAAAACGGGTGAAAAGCTTGCAATAGTTGTCATGGATACTCAAGGACTTTTCGATAATGACACTTCAACACAAGATAATTCAAGAATTTTTGCTCTTTCAACTTTAATATCATCAATTCAGATATTAAACTTGACTGGTGTTATTCAAGAAGATCAATTGCAGTATTTGCAATTTGCAACTGAATTTGCCAAATTTGCAACCATGAATTCAAGCTTTGGCAAAGCATTTCAGAAGCTTATATTTCTTATTCGAGATTGGGTAAGTTAATTGAAAAATAAGAATTCCTTTTACAAATTTTAAATGGTTTTTTTTATATTTTGATTAGGACAACTGTAGCGAACACGATTATGGATTTAAAGGTGGAATGCAGTATTTAAATTCAATATTAGAAACAAAACAGAACCAAAATGACGAATTAAAGTCAATTCGACAATTTATTAAAGAATCTTTTAGTGATCTTTCCTGCTTTTTGCATCCCGACCCAGGTAAAAAAATATGAAGCGTTTAAAATTATTTTTATTATAAAGGAAATGTTATTTTTAAAACCTAAAACGTGCGGAACTGTTCAAAATGATCAAAAAATTATTAAAATCTAATTTCACAGTTCCACACTCTTTTAAAAAATAAATAACATTAACATTTATATGAATCAATGGTTTATGCTCACTACGAAATCAAACACTTTCCTGACAATTTGTTTGACATGCTACGGACATATCAGTGTCGCAAAAGTCGGCATGTTCAAATTTAGTCTATTTAGCGTTTGAATATTTTAAAACCGTTAAAAATTTGTCAATTTTAGGATTTTAAGCATTAATATTTAAGTTCTAGTAATTTGCCACTTTTTCAAGAAATATTCATGAAAATTTAACGTTTTTTTGAAGTTCAATCCAAAAAGTAACGATTTTTTCGATATTAAAAACCAGCTCATTTAATAATAAAGTTTACATTAAAAATATTATATTCTTTTTTAGGGGATAGAGTAGCGAATCGAAGAAAATACAAAACGGATTATAATGGTAATTGGGGTGAAATGTCGGAAGATTTTAGGAGTCAGCTCATTCAACTGATTGAGAATATTTTGCGACCAGAAAATTTAATTGTTAAGAAATTTGCTGAAAATGATTTAAAAGGACAAGATTTTTATGAGTACATTGAAGATTACTTTAATCTCTTCCAATCTGATAATCTGCCACAAGCTCAAACAATTTATCAATCGGCAATTGAAAAGTACATGAAGAAGATTATTGATCAATGTGTAGCAAGGTATAAAGAAATTGTATATTCAAATCATGATATACTCACAAATGTTGATCAAATCCCGGTTCTTCACAAACTTGGAAAAGATCAAGCATTAATAGAATATGAAGACTCAAAGAAAATGGGTGATCTTATATTGCAAGATAAATACAGAAATACTCTTGATCAGCAAATTGATAAGATTTGTCAAAATGAATGGGGAAATCAATCAGAAAAGAATGTTAAAAAAATTAATGAAGAAAAAGAGAAAACAAAATTGATTATGGAGGAAAAGAAAAAACTTGAGATTGAGCACAAAGAAAATGAGAGAAAAAATGTAGAATATATAAAAGAATTAAGGAGAATTGATCATGAAAAACAAAGGGAATTTGAAAAGACAATTAAGGAGCAAGAACTAGAACAAATTAATCTATTAGCCGAACAAGAGGTAATTAGACAGGAAAAACTTAAAGAATTAGAGCAACTTAATGCACAAAAAAAGATTGATAAAGAAAAATTTGAATGTGAAAAAGCACTGGCAGAAGAAAATCATAAAGCTGAAATCAAGCGCATTCAACAAGAAAAAGAATTTGAAACAAAAATGATTCAAGAAGAACGAAAATTACAAAAAGAAGAACACGAGAAAGCGATGGCACTTGCTGAAGCTAATGTTGCTAATGAAAGAGCCGAATTAGAAAAATTAAAAGCACAAGATAAAGCCAACAAGGAAATTATTGCAAAGTTAAAGGTTGAAAATGAAAAAGATAAATACCAACATTATTATGAAAAAGAAAAAAATCAAATGTGTAAGTTTTATTTTATTTAGTTTATTATATTTTAAATAACAAAATTTAAATTTTAACTTCCATAGTATATACATCGGAATCAATTTATAATTTATTTAACATTGACAATGCTATTATTACTGGACAAGACTCTGATGGTAATGATATTTACGTTGGCAGGTAAGTGATATTTCAATCATCCCAAAATATTAAAAACAATTGACAAATATTTTTAACACTGGTTGTCCAAACTGTGTGACGCGGCGCACTAGTGTGCCATAGAACTTTTTTTGAAAATGACACGAACTGCATGCTGTGTCCGTTTTTGGTCATGGCTTATTTTTAAGGTGATCCGTGGTGTAATAAGTTTCGACAACACTGCTTTAAACAACAATTAGAGAGAAATCGTTATTGTTTTTTTTCTTGGCCCCTTGGGGGGAGGGGGCTTGTCCCTCTGGACGTCATAAGTGACTAATTTTTACTTTTTTTAGAGCTCTGCATAACGAAAATTTTTACCCGGCTAAAATTATTTCGAGCACAAATAAAAAAATGTGTTCGATCGCATTTAATGGCCAAGAAATTGAAAAGAAACGTTTTGGAGTCCTGTCAGGCGCTCACGAATGGAAAACATTTAAAGATGGAATTCCAGAAAGAGCAACATCCGTTGGAAAAAACGAAAAAAATGAAAGTATGTACATCGGAAGATCAATGCACAATGGATATTATATTCCTGGAACGGTGAGGATTTTAATTATTTTAAATTAATAAAAAACTTATTTAATTACAATATTTTATATATTTTAGATTGTTAAAGGAACCAACTACATATCTATTCCATACTGTGGAAGCGAAATTAAAAAAGAAGAATTTGAATTTCTCTTATGGAAATAGAAGACTTAAAAAGTGAAATTAATTTATTCAAATGTCAATCCATTCTTATATATCTTATATATCCAATATTAACCCTGTCTTTTAAGATTATGCATAATCTTTAACAATATTTTCACCCATTCTAAGCAATAAGCATTGTACAAATTATAGCTTCGAAATAACAAAGGCATTTTTAGTTGATAATTTTATTTTTGTAAAATTAAATTTATTTTTGAATCTTTATTTCTGAAAAAAAATAAGTTTTTAATTTCTAAAATATTGAAATCATTTTTGAAATTTAAAAAAAATATCCAACAACTCTTGAAATTTGAAATAAAAGTTATAACAAAACTAAAAATGCCTTTGCTTTTAATTTCTCTTTAATAATATGGAAGATTAAACTTTTCAGCAATCGTCATAAACATTAGGGTTCGTTCATATATTAGATCCTGCTTCAATATATAAAAATACATTTTTTGCATGAGCATTTCAAGTAGTTTATAAATTTTGGTAATAAGCAAAGTTCAAAATCGATAGAGTTATTATTAGTTTATTCTTCAATATTCTATTCGTCAACTTGAGTTGACTTAAAACTAGGGTTACCATCTAGTTTTCATGAAAATACAGGACATTTGGTAAATTTTTTCGAAAAAAACAGGACATAGAGTAAAATTCGAAAATTAACGGAAATTTTCATGAAAAAAATACAGGACCAGGAACAAAATTTAAAAATTTATACAGGACAGGGTTCCGAAATACAGGACTGTCCGTTGTAAAACTACGCAGATGGTCACCCTACTTAAAACCGAGTCGATTCATTTTTTTTGAGTCGACTCGAAGTCAATTCTCCACTCAAAAAAAGACTCGATGTTGACCCGGAAAAAATTGGCTCGACACAAGTCAACACGCCTCGATTTCGAGCTCTAGCAATATGGAGATGGGCGTACTTTACATAAATCCATACGAAAATGAATTAAAATAATAAAAAAAAATTAATTTTAGCATTCAGACCTTAAGATTTATAGCTGCGCGTTCAAGGCTAATAATAGTTTAACGAGAGAAGGTTTGCAAGAACTCATGCTCAAACCTAGACTTCCAGTTTATAGTAGGATCCGAACTACTCCTCGAAAAATGAATTAACCGCTTTAATTTCAATAATCGTACTTTTTACATAAAATATACACTAAACATTACTAATTTTTTTCAAAACTTTCAAAACTTATAAATAGGTTCTTTTTTTTTGTAAATCCATGTCCATATTTTAAAATTGTATTTTTTTTATCCTTTATTGTTAAGGTAAATCTATTTCTAAGCCCAAAACTGTGTTAAGATTTTCAACAGAAGAAAAAATCGAGATTGAAGATGAATATTTAAATAGCTTGTTTGAGCATCCAGAAGTTGCTCAACGTAAAATCGTCGTATTTTCAATTATTGGAGCTTATAGACAAGGAAAGAGTTTCTTTATGAATTATTGTCTCCGATATTTGTACGCTAATGTAAGTATATTCACTTCAAACTATGTTTTATAAAAGTTAATTGTTTTTTTTTCTATTTTAGTATCAATCAATTAAGAATCTTGACAACAATTTTTCAAATAGCGAAAAGTGGATGGGTGACAAAAACGAACCTTTAATAGGATTTTCTTGGCGTGACGGTTTATATCGTGAAACAACAGGAATTGTTATCTGGGATGATATCTTTCTTCATACTTATTTGGATGGTGAAAAGATTGCAATCATTGTCATGGACACTCATGGACTATTTGACAATGAAACAACCCCATTGAATAATTCAAGAATTTTTGCACTTGGCACATTGCTTTCATCAATTCAGGTCTTTAACATTGCAAATGTAATTCAAGAGGATCAGTTGCAATATCTTCAATATGCCATTGAATTTGCTAATTTTTCTTTTTCACAAAATGAGTGCAGTAGAGAAAAGAACTTTCAAAGATTGATTTTTCTATTAAGAAATTGGGTGAGCTTACATTTTAACTGTTAACTTTTTACGTAATGCTTTTAGGGGGGCAGGGGGTGATGAGAATTCAAGTTTTTTTTGCAATTAGGTGCTTAGGATTCAAGGGTGACTCAAGATTTTTACCGATTTTATATGGTGGAGTCGGAGCGGTGAAATGACATCAGCAGTGGCTTAAATGGTAGATTGTTGGCCTTACGTTTTAAAGGTTTTGGGTTCATTCTTAAGCCAAGTCAAGTTTTAGAAGCTCTTTTTCCATTTCATCGTTCTAGTTACAAAGCTCGGTTCGTGTGTTGGGTGTAGTTTTGAGATCTTCGGCACATAATGTTGCATGCCAGGTTTTTGTTGGGTACATCAGGTCTTTAAACGAACTAAATGGTGTGGTTCAATAGATTATGTTCTAATTTGAATCGCCGTGTCCAAAAGGCTGGGTTTTTTCCCCTTTTATGGTGGAGTCAATTCGACTTTATACACATTTTCATCGACTTTGAGTTCAAGTCACTTCAAACAAAAAACATAATTTTCTGTGTTACGTAACATAATTTGTTTAATTGTCAAAGCTAAAACAAAAGTAATCACTAATATTGTATATCTACAGACAAACGATGATGACTATGCGTTCGGAATTGATGGTGGTGCCAAATACTTGAAATACTTTCTCGAGTCTAATCCCGATGGAGAAGATAAACTAAGATCATCTTGTCAAGATATCAGTGATGCGTTCGAGATCCTTTCTTGTTGTCTGTTACCTCCTCCAGGTTAATATTTCATCAAGAATTGCTTACGTAACGCAAATCTAAAAATATTTTGTTTACAGGTGATAGAATTCGAATTCAGAGAAAATACGAAACAGTTTACAATGGAAACTGGGGTGAAATGAATTCAGCTTTCAGTATTGAGCTGTTTAAGATTATCGATGAACTTTTAAAACCTGATAACTTAAAAATTAAGAAAGTTGAAGGTCGTGAGCTTTCAGGATTGGAATACTTACAATATGCTAGAAAGTGCTTCAAACAATTCAATTCAGATAGGCTTCCAGAAACACCATCGATTTATCAAGCATCTATAGAAACTCACATGAGAAAACTTGTTGATTTATGCTTCGGAGAATACAAGCAAAATTTTGAATCAATTGTTCAGATTGACAGGGAAAAGGTTGCTGACCAGCATTCGGACCTCATTTTAAAAGCTCTGCAGATATATAAAAACTCAAAGAAGATGGGCGATGATAAGATCGATGCTTTATTTCGTAATAAATTAGAGCAGAAAATAATAGATTCTTATAAATCATGGTGCGTAAGGATTGAAGACAATAAAAAGAAGATTGAAATAGTTGTTGATAATATGCAAAAAAAGCTCAAAATGGAACATCAAGTACAGTTAAAAATTAAAATGGAAGCAAAAAAAGAAGCTGAAGAAAGGATTGAAATAAAACAACAAAAAAGAAGAGAATACGAAATTGAAAGAATAAAAAGATACAGACAAATTCCATCGCGTAAGTAAACTCCATTTTTAAGCAAATATTTTTTTGATCTAGATATAAGTAGTGTTCATATCCTTTGCAAAGGCACGACATCGCTAGATCAAAGGCAACTTTGTATTACAACAATTCTTAAACCATGTTTTTTAAAATAGTTCTAATAGACAGAAAACTTGAAGAGATCATCCGGATTCCTTTGGACAGTAATAGTGATGTTACTGAAGGGCAATTAAAACTACTGCTTGAAAATCCAAATGTTTCATCATGTAAAATTGTTCCTATTTCAATTGTTGGTGCGCTTAAAAGCAATGGAAGTTATATACTAAACTATTGTTTGAGGTATTTATATGCTCATGTAAGTTTGCCATATTAAAATTTCAAAATGTTAGCCTGAATTTACTTCATTTCTTTAAGCATCCTTCATTAAGTTATCCTGATTATCCAGTGCTTGATTCAGAAAACTGGTTTGCAAAAAAAGGCGATTCTCTTGAAGACATTACTTGTAAGCCAAAACTGAAGTTAGATAGCACCGGCATTGTTTTCTGGAATGATGTATTTTTTCATACCACGAGTTATGAAAAAATTGCAATTGTGTTACTAGATACTCATGCAATCTATGACAATGACAAACCCTCATTGGATGTTTTGAGAATTCTTGAATTCGGCACTATGCTGTCATCTGTTCAAATTTTTCCATTGGAGCATTTAAATCAGGCAATTGATTTAGCAATGTTATGCAATCAAGTTGATCACAAATCAAAACCATTTCAAAATATTGGACTGCTTGTCAATAAATCAGTGAGTTGAAAAAATCAGTATTTGAATGTATTGGGAGTTATCAGTTTGCACATGATTTCAGAAGCTAGTGCAAATGGAGAACCTCCTGTCAGTAGCTCCTTTATAACATTTCATTTAATTTAGGCAACCAGCTTAAAGTTTTCTCCTAGCATGGATATTCTAAAGCAACATCTAATTCAAATCATTCAGGACAACCAAATTGATTCATATGCTACATCTATACATGAATCCTTTCAAAACTTCAAATGTTACGAGCTTTATTTGCCAGGTAATGTAATAATGTGTATGTGCGGATTATTGATTACACAAGTTGATTGAAATTAAACTGAGCCTAGATCAAATTTTTCAAAATTAATCACAAAATTAGCTTAAATGTTTTTTATACTTTACTCTTTAATTGTTAACAATTCTATAACTTGCTGTAACCATGTTCTTTTGTGGAGCTTAGGTTACAGCAAAAGGATTTCCATCTGACTCAGTTGCTGGACTTGTCACATGGTTTGTACAAATTCTCAGTCTGCACATTAAGCTGACATTCCTTCATCACTGTTCTGCTCTAAATAGCTTTTGGAGCCCTTGTTCGTCTATTCCCTTGCGGATTCCATCCAAATGCGAGGTAAAAAACTTGTGTTTCTGTACCAGCAATGACAGTCGTTTTCTTTCGAAGTGTATGTCCAATCCAGCCGTACATCCACATCTGTATCTACTTATTGATGTCTTGTTGACCTGCTTTTTTTGAAGCTTCTCATTAAACAATTTTATTAGTCACAATTTACACTCGACTTGAGTCAACTTGGAGTTGACTTATTCATACAAAAAAAATTACTGAGTCAACTCGAGTCGACTTGAACCCTATGGACTTCGAGCTCTGAAATTAATGTTTCTTGTTAAACAAGCATTTCTAAAATTTAAAGTCAAAATTGTTTTCTAGATAAAATCAATATTTCTGCTAGAAATTTTGAGATCCTAAAACTGAATATTAATGAAAATCATTAGATAAAAATAAAACCTTATTTTATTTGTTTTATAGGTTGTAGAGGAAAAACTTATTCTGAAGATTCTAATGAAGAAGAAGACCAATTTAAAAATATGCTAATCTCTGTTATTGAAGCAATAATGAGATCAGAAAGTTTAAAGGCAAAAATCAGCAATGACAAAGAATTAAATGGAATTGAATATTTAGAATATGTTAAACAGTGCTTTCAAAAGTTCAAGTCACAAACTTCATCAGCAACTCCATCAAACTTTAATGCAGTTGTTAAAAAATATTTGTCAAATTCTGCAAACTTAAGTTTTAAATTTTATAAAGAAAAAATTGCGATTCAAATTGATAACCATGATGAATTGAAGGAACAAGCATGTGAAAGGTACATGCTTTCATATAAGATAGGTTCTGAACTACAAATAAATAAATATAAAGAAATGTTGATCAATGAAATTGAGGATTACTACAACAACAGTATACAACTAGTGAAACCATATCTAAAAGAAATCGAAATGTTAAAAGGAGATTTGAAGAATATTCAGTTGAGATATGATAATATGGCGAAGGAAATGGACGAAACAATTCATCAAAATGAAGTACATTATAAAAGTCAGTTAAAATCAAAAGAATTAGAGATCGAGAACTTAAAAAATAAGAGTGAAATTGAGAATTTATGTTTAAAAGACCAGATTGAAAATCAAAAGTCAAATAATTCAAAATTGTTGCGGGAAAATGAAGAATTAAAGTCAAAATTCAAAACTGAAATATTAGAGTTGAAAAATGAGAAAACAAAAATGGAGAGTAATTTTGCTAAAAGACATGACAATTTGATGGCAACAATGAATGACTTGAATGTGGAAATAAATAGTATACTAGGCAAAAGTAGAAAAGTGGAATTTGAAAAACAACAAGAAATTAACTCTCTGACAATCAAATTACAAAATTATGATGAAGAATTCACAAAAGTATGCCAAACTGCTGAAGATAAAATTGGTTATTTAACACAGGACCTTGAGAGTGCTAATGCAAAAATTAAAAGATTAGAGGAAGAGAAAGTCTTAAATCAGCAAGCTACCACATCAAGAGAACGAAACGAGAATCAGAGTAAGCAACTTTGTTGTCTAATTTCTTAATTATATGATTTCTTAATTTTAAAAGCATTTAAAAGCTCAAACAATGCATACTCGGGTTTCCGTAGATATGTTTTCATGCATAAACCTCGATTTATACTTATGTATGTAAAAATTAGTTTAAAAAACTATAAATTTTAAAAAATGCTGAAATATCATTGAGCTTGAAATTGGACAAAATCGTGAAGAATATTTTGGGAATCAACTGGGAGATAGAAGATGAAAAAAATTATCCAAAAAAATTTAAAAGTTTTTGCATTTTCCAATTTTGACTTTCGTATTTTTACGGGTTCTACGCTTAAGTGATAATCTTGGTACATAAATCAATATTGATTCATACCAAACATAACATTTTCGCGTTTTGTCTATCCATCCTTCACGGAATCTACTCTTGGCAAGAAGTTTTAGAATCTAGTATTAAAATGCAGGTGTTTGCAAAAGATTACGAGCAGGGTGGTTGAATATAGAAACTTTTCAAAAATATACTTTATTGCCAATGAAAAAAAAATGGTAAATAAATATGTCGTGACTCTAGCGCTTAAAAAAGAAATTATTTTTAATGTTTGCTGTGTGAATTTCATTTAAAATGCTTAAGTTTCCAGTAAACTTTTTTGTTTTCATCGTTACAGCCAAAGACAATGAATTATTGAATTTTCCGATTATGATAAAATTTCAACCAAGGCAAAGATACAGAGGAATAGAAAACTCTCAGAAATCTCAAAGGAAAAAAGCGGATTGTCATAAAAATATTGGAAAATTACTTTCTAGTGAATTCGGGATTCGAAGAAAACTTTTCATAAGAAGATCAATTATTTTGTATAAATGGCGTTCCTCATACGATAAAACGATATTAAGTTCTAGCTCAGGATTAAAATTGATTTAAACTTTAGGATTAAACCTGAGTTATAGTTAAATTTAATCATTGGATCAAACCTTTACAATAAAACAAAAAAGGAGTCTGCGTCTTTTTTACAGTGCAGATAAATAAGTTTTGTGGCAAAGTCGTGAAGGATGGTTTTAAAATTTGTGTGTGTAAATAACAAAGATCGAAGCCGATTTTTTCGGCTTAACTCAATTTTTGATTTTTTTGATAGAAAAAAGCCATTTAACGCCCATTGCAAGTATTTAAATTGAACTTTACATACTTTACTATGATTTTGTGTAATATTTTGTCAGCACGTAGCTATAGTTAGCTCAGAATTTCAAGTTAGCCGATGCTAAGCCGATAAGCTTGCAATGGGCTTTAAATGGCTTTTTTCTATCAAAAAAATCAAAAATTGAGTTAAGCCGAAAAAATCGACTTCGATCTCTGGTAAATATTTTGTGTTACATAATAACTGAACGAAAACAAAAACAATTTTTTTTTGATATTTTATAAAATGTTAAAGCTAATCTTAAATTTAAATAAATTCAAAAACTAAAATTCAAAATTTATTTTTAATTTTTTTTATATCGTTTTAGCTATCATAAATGAACATGTTGGAAAATTCCAAGAAATTAACAGAAATTTTTATGTCCGAAACTTTCTGGAAGCTTTAAAAACGAAAGCAAATAAAAATACTAAGGATATGTTGACTATTTCAACGATTTTTATAAAAGCAAATCAATATGACACTCACTACGAGCTTTATATCAGCTTTAAAAATGAAAAGTTGTTAAAAACTTTTATAAAAGAAGAAAAATATAGCATGGATAAAAAAAAGTATTTTGATTTCAACGGGAGTTTTGTGTCATTTTTTTATCCAAATGAAAACATGGTTAAAGTTCGGAATACTAGTGCTTATTACAAACCAAATAGTTGTTTTCAATTCATCACAACCAAAGAATTGTCAGTTTTAGATTGTCTTAAATTTATTGATGATGAAGATTCTAAGCAAGTCGAATGCATTTCTGTAACAACTTATACAGTTTATATATCATTTTTCGATGAAAACATTGCACAGAAATATGTTCAAACATTGAAATCAATAGGTTTTAATACAAGTAAAACAAATATTTATTTTAAGTTTGACAAATTGTCACAAATTAAAAAAAAATATTAAAAAAGGCTTTTAAAATGTAATTATCTTATTCATTTAAGAAATTTAAAACAGTTTGCATGTCAACAAGTCCTACCTGCAAGAAAGAAGTATTTATAGATCTGTCATATCTATTCATGACGTTTGAAATTAACGGTCATTTTCAAAAAAAAAACAATATATTTCCAGGAATTTCTATTGTTCTATTTTTCCTGACTCCGCCCCTTGGACGTTATAAGTGAATGTCCCCAAAGATCTGTGAGGAATCTGTGCCTTAAGACAGATATACAATTATTTACTGCTGTAGGTAATGCCTGTTGACTGTTGAGTAACCTGTGGCAAATCACAATTTTGGACTAAAATTAAATTCCATTTGTGTAACAATCTCACTTGTAATATTGAATTTTATAACTTAAATAATTTTTTTAAATTAATAAAAATAAATAAAATTTGAAATTATAGAGCTATTATTGAAATTATAAAGGCAGAGAAGAAATTTGAACAGGTTGCACTGTATTGAAATAAAAAAAAAAAACTTTAATTATAGCATAAATCCATTGTTTTAATCTTTCCTAATGGTCAGCACCGTAATAACTTGATAAAACTGAGCTAATAACAAAAAACTCGAGCTCTCTACGATGCATGGTTAACGAGATCTCAGCTTGCCTCGAGCAGTCTTCCGATCAAAGTGAATTATTAAGCTACCTTTTCGAAACAAGTTTCAAAAATGCGCTAAAAATAAAAAAAAATCAAAAATTCAGAAAACTGAAATTTTAGCAAAAAGTCTATAAAAGTCCATCGATGTAGCTGCAAAATTCATTTAAATTAAAACGTTTTTGATTTCATCCAATAAAGTTCATCGGCAAAAATAAATTGTGGATTTAAAATGAATTTGTTTAATGTTTTGTGTGATCTGTTTTAGACTTATAGACCAACTTATAGCTCAGTTCTTAAAGTGATCGTAACTGTTTGATTAATGTATGATGCTCTGTAGCCACAACCAGAATATAAGCCACCTAATGGTCTATACACAGATAATATCCCACACAAATTTCATTGACTGCAACCTCCAGACAATAAAGCACACTTAGATTCTCGTAAACTTTTAATATCAACTCTTGGAAGAAATGCAAGCAGCAAATTAGAGACAACAATAAAACAAGAATCAGCAACACATAAGGTTTGGCGTTTAGGCCTACTTGGGGTACCTTCCAGAATGGCACGGTTATAGGTCGGTTAATCGAATAAAAATTCGGCACCAATCAGGTGCGACTCTGACATGGTGCTGGATTTTAGTTTTTAGAAGGCATATCAAAGGTAAGACATAAACAATTCCAACAGAGAAGGACCTCCTCCCCTTTCCTAACAAACTAGGTGTCTTCCTTGTTATTCCTATATTGTAACCAAACAATCGACTTTTTGTAATGAACTGAAATTGGGTTATATTGAATTCACGATTAAAAAACCCATCAAATAGCTAGCACATAGTATTAATTCTGGGATTTTCCAGTACTTTATCAAGCTTGACTAACAAACTGTTATTAAAGTAATTCATAATCTGAGCGGGAAGAGAGCAAAATTGAGAATTATTTTTAAAACAGTCATAAAAATATGCAAAATATTCAAATTCTCTCCGCTCATTTTCTCAATGATGATGAACTCAGCTTGTGTTTCACACGAGCATCTCAGTCTCTGTTTAATAATCAACAAGTTTAAAAGAAGTAAACAACTTATTCCGTCTTATTTATTTGAAAAACAAACAAAGAAGATAAAAAAGAAGTTTAATAAAAAAAAAAATGAATAGATTTGCAGCAATTTTGTTAATTCTTGGATCATTGGCTGTTCTTGTAACATCCAAAATAGGAAATCTTGACATTTCGCCTAAAGGTGATGGTTAGTAGGAATAAAATGTAGATCAGTGACTCAATTTTTTTTATTGAATTTTAAAACTATGAGTCAAGTTTTTGTATGCTGTTGGTTTAAACAATTGGTTCATGTTTTTGTAAACAAGTACTTGATAGCTTAAGTTAGTCACTAAATATATAAATGAGTTCATTTGATTCAGTTGAATAATTAAAAAAATGTTTTTTTTTCCTATTAGGTAGCAAAGGATCTTCAAGAGTTTCAGAGAATGACAATTTAAACTCAGGTAAATATAATTTGTTCAAATATTTTCATTTTACCATCGAATATGAGGTTGCAAAGGAGTAAGGTGGCTATTATTTGGGCTTATGTAAATTTACTTGGTTTGATACAGAAGAGAAGGGGGTAAGGGAGAAAAGTGCTAGATGACATGGGATAGGGGGAAGGAAAATAGCCAGAGTTACGATGTGTCACAAGCAAGCACTTGTCACAGGCTCAGATCTATAGGCAGGTTTGATCTGTCACCTGTACCTGAGACAGACGACCTGTTGCGCAACTTTGAAAAAACCAACACAGAAATAAATTGGTACAAAGAAAGAGAAACAGAAGATCGAATAAGCAAGGATGGTGGGACAGAGAGCCGGGAAGTAAAAGATTCATGCTAATACACAAAGTTTGTAAAGATTATGAACAATTTCCTATTTATAAAATAGGTCAATGCAGAGTTCAAACTCGATGAAGTGTACTTTTTTTTATTTTTAATTGCACTTTATTGCATTTATTGACGACATCCTGTCCAGTAATAATTCATACGTTACACTTTTGTGTTTGTATACATATAAATTAATATTAAGTAGGATCAAAACTTCCAATCTTCGAATCTAGGTTTCAAATAAATTAAGGCTCTCGTTTCGATTTTCTGTGAGCGTGACGTGATTGTTTCAGGTTCTTTGTAAGAATATTCCATTCGTAGGTAATATTGTTGCTCTCGTTCCTATTTTTCCCGATTCACTTCAAGTTCCTGAACCATTCCTTAATCCAACGTTGCCCAAATGCTCAATTATGGCTTGATCTCGTACATTAAGCAGTCGAAGTATCTAAACTTCCGAAAAAGAACAAATTTGGAAATGGCTGGATTCGAACCGACAACCTTCGAGTTACCATCCCAAATTTAATCCAAGCGCCTTCCCTAATCGACCAACAAGACACTTAATTGCTTCTCAACTCAGTTCATTTTTCTTAAAAGTGAATCGTGAAGTCGATGACTGACTTCGACCTTTGGATCAAAGTGATAGCAATTGAGAGTTTACGGAATGCCTGATGTATTACATTAGGTTTTGCTCAGATTATAGAATAATTCCTTAACAGAATATATTCGTCTTATTATAAAAACACAACAAAGATTCTAAGAGCCATCAAAAACACGTTTTTAAGATAAATATAAAATTTTATTGCCTTTTAAATTTTTAAATATTCACAATAAAATATTGAATGAAAATCTAGTTTTTAAAGCAAACTCATCTTTGCAATACAATAAATGGAGATGACGACAAGCTATTGCATTTTTACGTCACAACTTAGTTGAAAAGAGTCAAAGAGAATTGTTTTTAAAGATTGTGCTCTCAATGAGAGATTTAAAGAATAAACAAGAATCATTGACTAAACATAGCTTTCAGAAGTCAAAATCAAGCGGTCCTTCCTAAACTTGAATAGACAAAAAAATAATCCAAAAATAATCTATTTTTAAATTTTAGAACAAGAATGTCCAGCAGGTATGCATTTCACCGACAAACCTCATCTTTGTGAATTCACATGCACAGACAAAGGAGTCAACATTTCATGCAAAAGCTTAGATCAACCTGGATGCGTCTGTCCATTTGAAAAATACTACAACACTGAAACTAAGGCTTGCTCATATGTTGATTGTAAGAACCTTGACTGTGTCGGACGTCAAAATGAAGCATTTTATCATTGTGAAAGTGGAAGCAGAGAGTCATGTTTATGCTCAAATTTCATCACACTTGATTGTAGAACTGGTTGTCAGTGTAAAAATGGATTCTGCAGGGAAGGTGACAAATGTGTCGCACGTAAATGCAAGGGATCTCCATTCTCATAAGGAGGTGCTGTTTTATTTTAAAAAAATGTCGCAACTTGTGGAACTAAGTTCAATAAGTACTTAAACTCGAGTGATAAAAAATTTGTGTTGACATGTGGGCGATGAAAAGGCAACAGCATGTTGAATTTCTCCGTCCATATATCTGTTTTGTGACTCGTGTTGATGTGGTGTTGCCTTGACGTTATCATAAGTCATTAGGCAGTCTTCCGAACGGAGAAATACAGCAAGAGGCGCCTTTAAGTAACCACCATGTCATTATAAGCTATTGTCGCTCGGGAAAAGATTGAAAATTTGAAATAAAATGAAATTTCTCACAAATTTCTTATAAATTAAAAATATTTTGATGTTTTATAACACTTTATCTAGAAAAATGATGGTACAGACCCTTCAGTTAAAAGATTCCAGATGTTTTTTCAGTCTAGGCTTTGAAAAGTCTTTAAATAATGCAAGCCCTTTCCCAAAATTTTGTTGAATCTAAATTATTTTCATGATATTAAATTTTTATTTCCATCAAAAAATAATCAAATTAATTTTTGTAATTTATAGCTTCAAATTTACAAAGTTCAAATAGTTCAATTAATTTTTATTATAAACAGGATGTTGACAAGATCTAGGAACACAAGGACTTGTTCGATCCTTTCTGCAATATCCGTCTTTACACATGCATCCAACTCTACAATCTCTATTCAAAGCAGCTGAGCATGAGCAATCATTACGTGAACTTGATTCACAGTTTTTGAAAATAACTTCATTATCACCACATTCGTCGACTGCATGAATTAAAGGTTAAAAGTTACTTTTGTTTATATTTTTTTAAATTTTCTTTTTATTTACCTGGTGTTAATATACGATATTAACATATTTATTTATCTATGATATACTTTTATACTTTCTATAAATTTCACTAGATGTCACTTTAGTATATCCAAATTATGCTTTAGATTTGAATTATTTCATGTCGTTAATGAATTTGATAATCATTATGTATTTCATAATTTATTGTAATGTATAACTTTAGAATGACGTTATGCTAAAGTTGACTATACTTTCATTCAAGGGCATAATAATTGCAGTGCCGTGTGCAATTTGGTGTGCACATTCCTTTGTAAGGCCTTGAAGCAATTAGTATAAAAGAAGATAGCATAGCATGAATAAAGGAGTCTATTTTTTATTATCAATAGGTCCAGACCTTCTTGTTTTAAATATTTATCAACTTCACCATTTGCAGTTGTGCAACATTGGTCCTTCGGTTCGTTGAAACATTGATAGAGAGTGTTGTTAAGAATCGGAAATAATTTGTAAGTCTTTGAAAAAACTTTGAAAAAATTGAGTTTTTAATAAGCACTTAGAAATATTTTGCGGTCACACAGATAGTGTTGTGATGAGAAAAAGTTTATTCGGTGAATAAATCTTGAGCAAGTTTGTAAACCATTAAAGTCGTTTCTGGCCAGAACGCATCAGGTGAGTGAAGTGAATTTTTCAAAAGGATTAATTCATTTATTGTACTATAATTAATTCTAACAAGTGTGTGGTTAAATTAATATTATAGTTTTTGAGATCTTGTTGAGATTTGGTGAGAGAAATTTGTGGATTTTTTTCTTGTTTTGTGACATTAATTTAAAAATAATTAATTGTTCGGCATTAAGTGCATTTGCAAATTTAATTTTAATACAAAAGGTATAAAGGAAATTAGAATTTCGCAATATTACAAGTTTCTATCGGTAATTGGGAAATTGTGTGGAATAAAATTAATTATTTTATTCTTGGTTCTATCAAGGGTACAAAAGTTACCAAGGATTAGAACATTTTTTAAAATAAATCTTGTACAAGTTGAAAATCACATATTTGTGTGTCTAATTTTGAGGGTACCTAAGTTGCGAGCAAAATTAGTGAGCAAGGTCAATTAAAGCATTGTCTTTCTCTGGGCTTTACATATTAGTGTAGGTGACACATAATTGTAGAGACGTTTTTTTTATTGTATTTTCTTTTCTCTATACATTTGGGAAAAAAAAAAAAAATTGCTTTTGTTCTCTCCGTGTGAGAGTTTTTTTTGTGTGCATAAGGTGCATTAGAATTATTTCATTTACCCAGTAAGAAATTTTTTTTTTAAAAAAATTCCGGTCTCAACAAGAGGTTCGAGCGGGATGGGTGACAAAAATGAAGATAATAAGATTGACGAAGAAACGTACAAAAAGTATGGAGAATTGCGTGATAAACAGCAAGGTTTTCAATTACTGGTTTCGGGTTTGTTTACAAGAGTTCAAAGTTTTTCTAAAAATACTCGTACTGAAGCAGAGGAAGTTCTAGGAAAACTTGTGACTGCTTGGCCAGAAGTCAAATCTTTACATGCTCAACTAAAAGAATTAAATAAAGAGGGTGTTCTTAATAATTTGAGTTATTTTAAAGAAAGTCGTTTTGACATAGTGAAGTCAATGGTTGATGTTTCAAAAAAGCGCATTTTTAAGTTGTTTCCTGATGAGCAGGATTTTCTTAATTTGTCTTCTTCATCTCAAGACTTTGAAGATGATTTTGAAGCGGGATCTGATATAGATGATTCAGCTGATAGTGAGCGCATGCAATCCATGCAAAAAGAGCTTAGTGAGCTTAAGAAAGTTGTCACTAGGGGAAGCTCTAGCAATAATCGAGAGGAACTATTGCTCCGTTATTTGCAGCATGTTGATGCTGACAATAATTTTCCTGAATTTCCAGCACTTGAGTCAGAGTATCGAGTCTGGCGTAAAAAAGTTAGGACTTGGGAGGCTAGGTCTCCAAATATTCCTTCAGAAATCAAGATTGATTTTCTGTTGAAAGCAATTAATAAGAATTCAAACGCTCGTTCTATCGTGAAATGTTTTGATAGTAGTGTAGGTTCGAATTATGATCAAATGCTTAAAGCTTTGGATGAGCAATTTTTTACAGCTCGTCAAACGGTTTATAATCATTTTATGGGACTTGTTAATCCAAATATTAAGGCTACCAAGGGTAGTGAATACCTTCAAGAGGTTTTTAATAAGTTTTCCTTTGAATGGAAAAATTTTGAGTCATTTACATCTGAGCTGATGAGCGAAGATCAACATGACAATGAGCTTGAAAAGCTAAAGTTTCAAATTAATGTTATTAAGAATGCATTGTTGTTTAATTTGTTGGATGAAGGCACTAAAAATAAAGTTGTGCTTCATTTAAAAATTACTCCTGATAAAATTCCAGATTTTGAAGATGTTTTGGAATATGTCAAGATTATGTTTCTCAATGTGCGTGGCACTAGGGAGCTTATATTACCTGCGGGAAGTAAGGTTAGGGAACCTACAAAAGCTTCAAATTGCAAGAAGATTGATATTCGCAATAAAAAAGCAATTTCCTGTACAATATGTCCAGAGGGGCATAAGACAGTTAAGTGTCCAAAATTTTTGGCAATGACGCCTCAACAGCGTCAAAATGCAATCAAGAAAAAAGGTCAGTGCTTTGTTTGCCTGTATAGAAAGTATAGGGATTGTAATTGTGCGACAAAGGATGATTGTAGAAAATGTAAAGAATGTGGATCTAAGCACCATATTTTATTGCATATGATAAATGAAAACTCAGAAACCTCCTCGAATAAGAAAGTTCAGGTTGAGCAAAAGGGAGTTTATTTTAACCCAGAAACATTTGACTGGGCTGAAGAAGCAATTAATGCTCCAGAGTTTAGTGTAGGAACTAAAAAGTTAGATGCATCTCATGCGGTTGCTGTTTTGCCAACTGCTGTAGTAAAATGTACTTCAGAAGATGGGATGAAATCAGTTGAAGCTAGGGTTCTTTTTGATACGGGAGCGGATCAACCGTTGATTACTTATGAGTTTGCAAAGCGTTTGGGACTTAAGTTGAAGCCAACGTTTATTAAAACATATGATTATCAGGGAAAAGAAACAATGCCAGTTCGTCATGAAACTAATGTTACAATGAATTCACTGCATGAGAAATATTCTCTTAATATAACTGCTTATTTGAGAAAATCTTTGGGAGGTGTAAAGCCAATTCCAGAAAAGCTTAGGCAAATAGTTAAAGCTCCTCTAGCTGATACCTCAAACAAGTTGACAGGAGGGAGAATTGACATTATCATGCCAGTTAAATATGTGGCTAAAATCAGAAAAGATGGTATGATTCGCATATCTGAAGATTTAATTTTGGAAAATACTAGATTTGGATATATGGCTTTAGGTTGTCTAGAAAATTCAGTAAATGTTCGTAGTTTGCATACTAGGATGGTTTCTGTGGGAGATCCAGAATTTAGAGCCATAGGAAGATTTTTCGATCAAGATACTTCTGAGCCTTGCGGTGATGAAGAGCTCGCGGAGCAAATGTTTATGAAATACTTTTCTCGGCTCAGAAATGGAAAAATGGTAGTAGGGATGCCATTATTAGAAGATCAGGGTTTAGGAGAAAGTAAAAGAGTGTGTATTTTTAGAACACACAGAGTAATGAATCAATTATCTCCAGAAATGAGAGTTGAGTACATAAGGCAATTTGAGGATCTTATGGTCAAAAGTTATATCAGACCAGCTGATACATCGGTACCAGGAAAATATTATGTGTCTCATTTACCAGTTATTAATAAAGATTCTCTTACACATCCTTTGAGAATAGTTTTTGACTCCTCACAGAAGACGAGTAATGGAAAAAGCTTAAATGACATACAGCTTAAAGGAAAGAAGTTGCAGAATTCATTACAACTGGTGCTGATCGGCAGTAGAATTTTCGAGGGCATGAATTCAACGGATTTGTCAAAGATGTATTTGTCTATGGATATGATTGATAAGCATATTCCATATCAAAGAACATTTATGCCAACCAAGGATGGGAAGTTAATGGAGGTAGAGATGCCAACAATAATTTTTGGGAATACGTCTAGTCCATTTTTAGCAATTCGAGCAATGCAGGAATTAGCTAGTCTTGAAAATAGAAGATTTCCATTAGCGGCAGACATCATTCGAGATGCTATGTACGTAGATGATGTCTTGTATAGTTTACCAGTGGGTGAACTTATGAAAGAAGCTTCGAGACAGCTGCAAGGAATTGCTGAGAGCGCTCAGTTGAAATTCAGAAAATGGGCGTCAAATGTTCCAGAAGCTATCGAGATGATTCCTGAAGAGGACAAATTGATAGCGATTGAGAAGGAAATTCGTGATGATGAAGTGTCAGGAAAGGCAGGAATTTTAGGACTTTCTTGGTTGATAGATTCGGATGAGTTATCTATTAAAATGAATAAATTTCGGCAGCTTAAAGAGGGAGAACCATTGACATTGAGGTTTGCACTGTCCCAAATTGCAACTGTTTATGATGCAATTGGGTTGTTGAGTCCATTATTTTTGACTGGAAGATTAATAATCAAAGAGATTTACAAAGAATTGCTCGACAACAAGCCGTTGAAAAAAAGAGACAAAAGATTAGACATTTCACTTTCAGAGGAATTGAGAAAGTTATGGTGTGTCTGGAGTGAAGATTTATGTGCCATCAATGATTTGAAAACTTCAAGATGGATTAGACATGTTCCAGGCAACAGACTGTCTATTATAGCTTTTGCTGATGCATCATTGGATGGTACGGGATCAACAATTTACTCTCACTCAGAAGGGGAGGGTGAAATACATGTCAATTTACTAATGGCTAAGTCCAATATAAAGCCAAGTGGGGGAAATTGGACAATTCCAAAATTGGAACTGAAAGCTATGGAGAAAACTGTTGAGTTAGCCATGGATGTAAAGAATGCAGTTCAAAAAACGCTCAAACGAGGTAATTGCGATCAAGAAGTTGAGGTTTATTTCTTTTCAGATTCGGAAATTACGCTTGCATGGTTGCAAGGTAATCCAAATGATAGAGCTACATTTGTGAGAAATCGACTCAACAACATTAAAAAAGTATGTTCAAAAGGAAATTACTACTACATCGATACAAAATTAAATCCAGCAGATTTGGCAAGTCGCAAATGCAAAGCGGGAGATTTAATTGATAATCCATTATGGTGGCATGGACCATCATTTTTGACTGAAAAGGGGGCATTAGGAAAGCTTGAAGAGCGCCTCTACGAGACCATTGTAGAAAATAGGTCAAAACCAAAAGAAACAGAGGCTCGAGTAGCTAAGGTCAGCCATGAGATATCTGTGGATGCCATCATTGAGATTGCTAACAAGATATCAGGTTGGGTTGGTACTTTAAAAAGGATTGGGTGGCTACGTAGAACCGTCGTATGCTTTAAAACTCCGGGGACTCGTCACAAAGATTTGTCTGGGATGGAGTTAGAGGAAGCTAAGTGGGCCATCATCAGAGCTTATCAACGTCAGGCATATAACACAGAGCTTGATACGCTGTCAAACGGAAAAGACATCAAGACAGGACTATTGGTGGGTAAGTGCGCATTTATTGATGATAATGGTGTGCTTCGAATTCGTTCTAGGTTACAAAACGTAAAACCCTTGGAATGGTCGCAAGTTTGTCCAATCGTATTGCCAAAACTCAACATTGATCCAAAAACAAGCGATGAAGACTTTAATAAAGTATGTCCTTTAACAATGAAGCTGATTCTGTATTTTCATTTGGAAGTAATGCATGGAGGAGTCGACAAAGTTCTGGCTGCTTTAAATCAAGAATTTTACTTGCCAAATGGAACGAGAACGGTCAAGAGTATGATTTACAGATGTGTAAAATGTAGAATGCACAAGAAGCAGGTTCAACATCAACTCATGGGGAGCATACCAATGGAGAATGTTACACCATCACCACCATTCTATCATGTGTCGTGTGATACTTTCGGACCACTCCAGATCAAGCACCAACCTGGAAAACGCACGCGTCGAAATGCTGATGGTGAGGAAAGACCAGGGGGCAAGGCATGGGGTATCATATTTGTGTGTAGAGCTACCCGTGGAGTTCACATTGAGGTTGCATCAAGCTTGTCTGCTGAGGAATTTCTAATGTGTTTTAGAAATTTTGTAGCGACACGTGGTTTACCTAGGTCTGTATTGACAGATAATGGTACGAATTTCAAAAAAGGCGGCGATATGTGTGTAAGTTTGACATCAGCAGAGCTCACAAAGCAACTTAGAGCAGCATGTAAGTCAAAAAAGGCTAATGCTAATGCAGCAAAGGTAATAAATAAGTATCTCAGACGTGATTCTGAGATGGAGTCAATGCAAGAGGCTATTGACTATGTAGAGAGTAAGTACAAGGGGCAACAGGTAATTTTCTTAAAAGGAAAAGGTGATTTGTTAAAATTTAGTTTGTCACCATGTTACAGTCCTTGGTTTAATGGTTTAGCAGAATCGGAAGTAAAAGTTGTGAAATCACATTTAGTTAAAATCATTAGAACAGTTTTGCTTAATGCAGCTGGGCTTCATTCAGTTTTGAAGAGAATTGAAGCTGTGATTAACAGCAAACCGATAGCTGTCACGAAATCTGATGACAATTCACGTCCGTTGGTCATTACTCCAGCTCATTTTTGGGCTTCGCGTCCTTTAGTGGCATTGCCATCAGGACCTATTCCAAAAACAAATGGTCAGGCTGTGGAACTGACCAAACGAGCCATTATGATGGATCAACTTGTTGAAAAGTGTTGGGAAGTTGTCCAGAATAAGCATTTCAATGAGTTGAAGTCCAGGCATAAATGGTTTAAGAGAGTTGAAAATCCTCAAGTAGGGGAAGTCGTGCTGTTAAAAGACAAAAACAGCAGCGTTAATTGTTGGCCTAAGGCAGTTATTACCAAGATACATCCTGGCAAGGATAAGATTGTTAGAGTAGTCACTGTAAAGAATTCATTAGGTCATACACATGAAAGAGCAATGACGGAAGTAGTCACTTTGCCTATCATTGCTAATATACAGTCCAACAAAAATAATGAGGCTACTGATAAAATTGATCAGAAGTTGATAAAAAAGCAAGAAAATAAAGTTGAACAGCCTAAAAGACAAAGTGCTAGATTAGCAGCTAGAAATTCTAGCAAAACGTTAACATTTAGTTTGTTAAAATTCATTGTATTAATTAGTTTCGTACCAATTGTTTTAGGCAGGGTGTTAATACCGCAAAAAGCGTTTGGTGGAGCTATGGTGTTCGATATTGCGACAACATGGAGGAAAGCAGGTGACATTAAGTGGGAAGTCAGCACTGGAATGTATCCACAACAAGATCACGAAACTATTAAACGAGCAATGAATAGTTATGAAGTCCAATGCAATCGTGCAAGCGGATTTTCAAAGTCTATATGTACAGCAAATCTTGATGTATTGAGAGCTTCATCTGATAATGTTAAACGACTCATTGGAGAATTTAAACAACCAGAAAAATCAGAAAGACGCAGTAGGTCTAAGAGAAGCACTGATAATGAGGGAATTGTTACACATCTATGGAGACTTTTGTTTGGTTATCATCAGAATAAGCCTAGTTATGAGGCAATTCAACATCTGTCAAAAGCACAAGAGTTAGCAAACAAACATCAAAAAAGCATTGAAGAGAAGGTAAACAGCCAACTGTTAATATTGACGGATGCAGTAAATGAGTACGAAGCGACGTGGGACAATAGAGATGCAGAATTGAAACAGGCTTTGCAGTTCCAACACGCTCATAGTCTCATCAATGAGCATTTTGAGTATATTTTTGAGAAGTATACTGAGGCAATAATCACAAACGAAGAAATTCAAACAATGATTGGAAAATTAAAAGCAGATCAGATCCATGTTCCAAACATAAGATTAGAACAGTGGAGAGAAATGTTTGACATAAAGATCGTCCTAAAGAACAGTCAAATAATTTACGAAGTAGTGTGGCCGATTCTACATGAAGATACATTAAAAGTATTCAAAGTAATTCCAACGCCAACGGTTGATGGACAAATTTTAGATTTTGAACCACAAATCGTGATTATGAATCCCGTCACAAGTATGTACGTGAAGGAGTTTCGATTGATAAACCAGATTAACGTCACACATCAAGTGATTGAAGCTTCAAGATTAATGAAATTGTCTAAAAAGTCAGCGTGTCCAGTGGCAATTACAATGAATGAGATGTCAATATCATGCGTTTATAAAAAACTACCTGAAGAATATGATTATTGGGTTAAGGTTATTCCAAACGTCTATTGCTTCGATAGTAATGTTCAAAAGGAGAAAATATGTCATCCAAATTCGAGAACAAAAATTGATGGAATTACTGGTACAGTGATTTTAGAACAGAAATGCTTCATATCCACAACCTTTAATCAGATTGATTATTTAGAAGATCATCAGGAATCTGGAAATGTTTCATCATTCCACATTCCAGAATTAAGTTGGAACGTATCAGAAAGTACAACTCCACACAAGACAATTCTAATTGACAGTTTAGTCAATCAAGATGCAAAGGAGATTCAAGAGGAAATCGATCTTGGAATAGAAGCAAATATCCCAGAACGAAAAGAAGATGATTTAACCACTTTGCTGTTTGCTGTGTTGGGAACCATCGTTGCGATCGTGCTAATCACGTTAATAGGAATCTGTTGTTGGAAGCGCAGGGAAGCGGTAACTGCAGTCAACATCAAGATGGAGCCCGTTGCACCGAATACGGATCATCCACCTATCAGAACACCAAAGCCATCACCTAAACGCAAATAATAGGGTTTATTAAATTCGTGAGGGGGGAGTAATGTTAATATACGATATTAACATATTTATTTATCTATGATATACTTTTATACTTTCTATAAATTTCACTAGATGTCACTTTAGTATATCCAAATTATGCTTTAGATTTGAATTATTTCATGTCGTTAATGAATTTGATAATCATTATGTATTTCATAATTTATTGTAATGTATAACTTTAGAATGACGTTATGCTAAAGTTGACTATACTTTCATTCAAGGGCATAATAATTGCAGTGCCGTGTGCAATTTGGTGTGCACATTCCTTTGTAAGGCCTTGAAGCAATTAGTATAAAAGAAGATAGCATAGCATGAATAAAGGAGTCTATTTTTTATTATCAATAGGTCCAGACCTTCTTGTTTTAAATATTTATCAACTTCACCATTTGCAGTTGTGCAACACCTGGTTTTGGTTTAGCAGCAAAAGCTACTGATAAGATGACAAAAATTAAAATCAGTGTGACTTGCTTCATCGTTGATGATTTAATGAGACTAGAAATTATTAATTCGTGTGTTTTATAATCTCTCAATGGAGATGTTCAAAATTGAACTGATTCAGCAGTGCTATAACTAAGCATTACTTATTGCATTGGGGGTAAACTGTCTGTAAACACAAATTGAGCATAGACATGAATTATGAATTACTTCATTAATCAGAGAGTTTTGACTTTTTGATGAGAAATTTCATCACAGTCAGGCGAAAGTCACTAGCTGTGCATATACTTGCTTTTTTTACTCAAATCGAAACAACAGTGCTAATACAGTAGTCAATTCAACAATACTTATCCTAGTTTTTAATCAACTTTATTGATAATCTTCAATAAAAAAAAAACATTCAGTTTCATGCAAAATAAGGATGTTGACAGGATCGTTGAACACATGAGCTTGAGAAGTCTTTCCTGCAGTATCCAATATTACACATGCATCCAAGTCTACAGTCTCTTCTCAAAGTATCCGAGCAGTCACAACTATTTCGTGTACTTGATTGACATTGATTGAAAAAGCTTTCATTATTGCCGCATTCGACATCTGCTAATGGAAGTTCAATATTATGTGCAAGTAAAATAAAAAATTAATTTTGAATTACCTTGCTGTGCAGCAACAGTTTTTGATAAGACGACAGTAACCAAAACCAATGTGATGAGTTTCATGGCTTGTGGATTAATGAAATGACTTTTTCGATGCACAAATTTTAAGAGTAAATGTCATTATCAATGGATTTAAATTTTACATGATAACTTACAAGTATGTGAATGAATTTTGCTGCAATTGAAGCATTGTTGCATCACTAGAAATATGGCAAATTAGATTTAAGAGTTTTATTAGAATCTCGCATAAAATTTCACAAATTTCTTGATATTAGACACACTTGATACTTTTCATGATTTTTAAATAACAGGTCATGAACTCATTAAAGAAAACTAATGCAAGCCGAAACCAAGACCTTTAGTTTAAAGTGGGATCCGAACCACTCCTTTGATTACACTTCTGCCTGTATCTTACAAAGCAAGACTGTGCCAGTACATATGATTCGAGAAAAGTCAAGTGAAACATTTCCCATGCCGAGTCTCGAATTTAAGATCGCTGTGTCGGTTTTACAATAATTAGCTACCTAATCCATTCCACCACCGAGCAGCTTCAGCTCATCACACAGTGATGAAATCAACTTTAAAAACTATAAATGAGAGGCTATGAATAATAATTATTTATCCGGTCACAGGTCCTGTCCGGTGATCAAAGTATTAATTAATAATGTGTTGTAAAGGCTGGGCCCTTTCAAAGAGCTTCGAAAATTAGGTATGGCCTAAGATCTTTGGCATGGAAGGTCAACGCTCTAGTTTTTAGGCCTCTGATGCCATTTCACCGCTCAAAGTATTAAATCTTAAAAAATTAATTCTTAATCACAAAAAAGTATAAAATAAAATTTATTAAATAAATTTATAAATGACAACAAAAACATTATCCAAATTTAAGCTCATGGGAAATGAGGATGTATACAAGTTCTAGGCACACATTTGCCATTAACACGACAAAATCCATTTTTACATTGACATCCTTGTCTGCAGTCATAAAGCAGGAAATCGTTGCATTCACAAAACTCTCTGCTGCTTGATTCACATTCGAAGTATGCTTCGTTCTCTCCACAATTGTGTTCTGGTGGGTAAGAAATATAAGAACAAATTAAAAAGCTTTAAATATGCTCGACATCAAAACCTAATGAGGAAGAAGCAATGACAATTTAAAGAATCCTTATTAACATTCACTAAATTACAGTTAAATTTCCAGCAATTTCTTCACATTTTTGCTCTAAAGTAACTTTAACTTAAATATCTCACCTTCTTGAGGAGTCGCGTTGACAACAGCAATTACAAAACAAACAAAAAGTCCAACAACAAACTTCATTTTTGCTTCTTTTCTCTGTTCTTTCTGATTTGACAATTGAGTTAAAACTGAATGTAAATTTAGGCTCGTGTACTGAATTTAAACCGCTCGTATTTATAACGAGAATTAAAATTATTTGCTTAGAAAGTTTGCTCTTAAATGGACTTTGTGTGTTATTTTTTGTGTTTGTTTGAGAATTTTTCTGAAGAATTATTTTGACGACTGAATTGAGCGGTATTTCCTGATAATTTTGTTTTTGAGAATGTTTTCGTTATGATCAAAAATCACCATTTTTTAAAAACATTTAGTTAAGATGTTTTTTAAGGTATTGCTTTCCCATGACTCAACTAAGGATAACCCTTACTTGCTTACTTCCTTGGATAGAGCGCACGTGGGCTCTTTGCCACGCTTAAAGATCGTCTGAAGACAACTCAATCCTTAGAAACCTTCTGCCAGTTCGGGATATTAAGGACTCTAGCGTCTTTATCAACACATCCAATCCACGAGATCTTAAGTATTCCTCGTGATCTCTTGCCATCCATACAGTCTGCTGCTGTCACTTTTAGTACTGGGGCATCTTGTGAACGTCTGAACATATATCCAGCCCATTTTAAGCGATTTGCACGGAGAACTGTTGAAATAGTATTCGTCTTTTGAAGACACCAAGTGCTTCGCACCAACACTAAGGACAACCCTAGTAATATATATTAATCGATTAGTCAATGAACATATAGCCTAGATTATATTATGAGGGTCTCTCGATTGACTATAAAGCAGTTGTCCTAAGGAACTCATAGCCACCAGTCTGGATTTAAAAAAGAATTTATTTTCCTGTACTTGCATGCCATCCCATTACAATAATATTTATTAATCCATAAATCGAGTAAAAGTGAACGCGAGAGAAGTAAACAATTACACAACACAAAACAAGTTCTTTTTCGCTTTTATTTATGTCCAGCACTCTCATTATTATTTACATCTCTACCTAATCCACATTCCTCTTTACATAGTTCTATTCTTCTTCTCATCTTATCTCACGATTTGTTTACCATCAATCGCATAAATCATTTACAGTTACATCATCAGCACAAGTGTCTCACTCACTTTCGCAATTTTAGTCATTAAATAACATTCATGCGAGACGCACAAATCATGTGGCTTCTTATCAATATTATTTTTATTCTTAATGTGAGCACTAGAGTCAATGTTAATGGATATGATGTAAATGAGGTTCATGGTGAGTTGATAGTGAAAGTTATGATTTAATGCTGATTAAAATGCTAGAAAACTTTAATAGCTTGTGGACAAAATGAATTCTGGTCCGAACGACCTTACTTATGTGGCTTCAAATGCACACCAAATGGAATTGATATAAAATGTGACGATACTCGAAAACATCCAGGTTGTGACTGTCTTTTTAGCTTCTACCTCAACATGGACACAATGAAGTGCGAAAAAATAAAATGCAAAAATATGAACTGCATCGGACGTGCAAATGAGCAGCTTTTTGAGTGCGAATCAAGTCGACGTGATCGATGTGAATGTACCGAGAGGATTACGATGGACTGTAATCATGGATGCATGTGTATGAATGGATATTGTCGAGTTAATGGAACATGTGTCAAGCGAAGCTGTCATCATTCAGTTTATAGCTGAAGATTGGTATAAATTATAGAATGTGTGTACATAATTAGCTTGGTCTAGGTATTATCAGAATGTAAACAAAACACTGAAATAAATTAACTTTAATTTAATTTGAATTTAACATTACAACATCAATTGTTTAATTTGGCACTTAAAGTGGTTTCAGGAGCTTTGATTTAAGACTGTAAATACTATGAATGCTATCATGACTTTTGTTCACACCTACTGCTAAATACAATTTGTGACTCGTTGATGCTGGAAAAAAATTTTTTTTAAGTCGCAATAAATTGAAAAGTTTACGGCCGATATGGTTTAAATAATGTTCAATTCTGAAGTTTGTTTGCTAAGTTGTAGTATATATGAATTATGTCAGATAAACAACGTCACTAGTGACTATACTTTGGTGGCTTAAATCATTTTTCTCCCATAGCGTTACATTCTGCTTAATATCAGCCAGAACTCGAAGTCGACTTCATTTTCTCGGAGTGAACTCCGAGTCGACTCGACTTGAGTCGACTTCTCCATACAAAAAAATAATTATCGAGTCTATCGACTTTGAGTTTTGATACCAGCTCCATAAATATATTAAATTAAACGCATTCTTAAATTTTAACAAATTTGACATTTTATTCGAAACTTTAAACATTATAAATCAACAATAGTTTGACATTATACGACCTATAATCCTTATGCTCAGTCATAATATGGATGCTTACACTGTCGACGTACACAAGGACCATTTCGATCAAATTTACAATATCCATTCTTACACATGCATCCAGTATTGCAGTCTGGTTTCACGACGTTTAAGCATTTGCAAGAATTTCTTGAATTTGATTCACATGTAAAGAACTCTTCATTTTCACCGCATTTTGGTTGTTCTAAATAAAGATTGAGATTGGAACTAAAGCTATTTAAAAAAATTCAGAACTAGAAACAAACTTGAAATTTTCATTTAATTGCCAAAATTGTTCTATTTAAAACAATGGAATATTCAAGTCAACTTTAAATCCTGTCAAAAAAGCTCAAACAACGATTATTAAATGTTCACATACCTTGTTGCGAGGTCACGAAGATAATCGAAAAAATTAGGAGCGAAAATAAAATAAACCTCATTTTTAAAGTAAACAAAGTAGCTGACTGAGAAAAAAGAACTGCCTGTTTTAATTTTGGTTTTGATGACTTTTAAAGGACTTGGAATCAAAAATTCGAGAGAAGAGACATTAAAATTCTCAGTTGACTGATTTTTGGAATGTGATTATTTGTTGTACTTTTATGATGATAATATTAAAGCTCTACAAATTTCTGCTGAGATTGAACTATTTTTTATGAAATTTCGTCAAATAAAATCCTGCTTAGTTTTGATTAGCGAGAGAAGCAAAAGTACCTATGAGATGTAGAAACGGGTCAAGAATTATTTAAACAGAATGAGAAAGATACGAGAGCCGTAAATTCACTAACGAGGGATTTTACTGGAACGGACCTGTAGACATTGTGACCTACTGAAAATTGGAACGAAAGTCGACATGAACGTGTGACTGAAGTACGACGGCATGAAGTGTCCAATCAATTTGAAACTTTACCAGAATTAAGTCCATATTACGTCCAATTGCGTCCAACAAAAAAATAATTGTGTCCTACTTCCTGTGGCTGGATATAGCAGGTTCCATTTTTGGTAATTATGCCGTCGTACTTCAGGTTTTAAAACGGCATCATTTCCAAATATTAACTTTATTAGACATATTATACATCAAAATTGATCTCTTAATTACGTCCAATTGCGTCCTGCAAAAATTTTTGGAATCGGATATAACCAGCAAGAGTTATGGACTGTCAAAGTTTTGGACAGTCCTACTTGTGGATCAAAATTTATTTTTGCTCAAATCCTATCATGTTACATATCAAAACACGTCTACTTTTCCTCAGCAGCTTAAATCTGATGGAATTATTTAAGTCCAATTCATTTTGGACCTATGGCAGTTCCAGTTCCATCTCGTACTTGAATATCACCAAGTGTTCAAAAGTTGACTAGCGGCATGTTGTATATCAAAAAATATATTTTTTTTGTCAGTGTTTCTAATCTGACGGAATTATCTTAGTCCAACCTGTAGTTTTGGACATATGGCAGTTTCAGTGTATTTTAACCTGTACCTGTATGTATCGAAAGTTTTACTTTTACCTGTCAAATATATATTTTGACAGAGATTGTTATTACTCCATCAACAAATTTGGAAATTATGGCTAAGGTTATGTGCTACAAAACTACATCTTTAGATTTTCAAATGTTATCATAGTTTTCCAAAAAAACAAGAAAATGTGAAAATCAGTAATTTTTTCAGTTTTGGTTCAAATCAATTTTCCGGAAAAACCAGTTGACAAAAAATTATGAAAATAGTGGCAAATTTTAGCTTATTGTGATATCTATAGATATCAATCATCAGAAAATTTTCCGTATTGGGAAAATTCTTGGGAAAATTGCAATGAATAAAAGGGAGAATAAAATATTAATTTTTCTCTACATTCAAATTGATTTTCTGAGTTTCCATAAGAAAATTATCTTGCAAAAACCATTTGAAAAACTTTTCACTATGTTAGCAATTTTTATACTTTTTACTTTATTTTGATAACTATTTTACTTTCTGAGTTATTAAATCACAAAATAGGACTAGTAATATCGGAAATTTTTTAGAAAACTCCAGAAAAAAAAATTATAAGATTGTAATTGAGATTATAAAGTAATAACAATCTCTGTCAAAATATATATTAACCAGGTAAAAGTAAAACTTTCGATATGTGCAGGTACAGGTTTGAATACACTGGAACTGCCATATGTCCAAAACTACAGGTTGGACTAAGATAATTCCGTCAGATTAGAAACACTGACAAAAAAAAAGATATTTTTTGATATACAACATGCCGCTAGTCAACTTTTGAACACTTGGTGATATTCAAGTACGAGATGGAACTGGAACTGCCATAGGTCCAAAATGAATTGGACTTAAATAATTCCATCAGATTTAAGCTGTTGAGGAGAAGTAGACGTGTTTTGATATGTAACATGATAGGATTTGAGCAAAAATAAATTTTGATCCACAAGCAGGACTGTCCAAAACTTTGACAGTCCATAACTCTTGCTGGTTATATCCGATTCCAAAAATTTTTGCAGGACGCAATTGGACGTAATTAAGAGATCAATTTTGATGTATAATATGTCTAATAAAGTTAATATTTGGAAATGATGCCGTTTTAAAACCTGAAGTACGACGGCATAATTACCAAAAATGGAACCTGCTATATCCAGCCACAGGAAGTAGGACACAATTATTTTTTTGTTGGACGCAATTGGACGTAATATGGACTTAATTCTGGTAAAGTTTCAAATTGATTGGACACTTCATGCCGTCGTACTTCAGTCACACACATGAACACTAGTTCTAAGATCTAAAACAGTTTTCAATTTGCTGCTGAACACACGTATGCTTAGTGAAGATTATGCGCTACATACTGAGCTAGGGTTATAATATAGATTTAAGAATTTTTAATGTTAAGAATGAAATTGTAGCGCTTAAAGATTTTAGTATTTCTCTAGATATCTTGCCATCTATAAAGTCTGCAACGGTTACTCTTAGTTCTTAGGCATCTTGTGGACGTTTAAATAAAGCCTTAACATATTATTAATCCAGTCTGGTGTCTAAATTTAAGTGAAACGCAGAAGCCAAATATCACATGTAGATACTAGGTTAAAAAATAAGAGATACCAAACAGTAACACCTGGCAAAACTCCTAAATCATCAAAATAAACATCAAATATTGAACAACAGTTTAAAGCTTCAAGAATATAAAAATATTTTGTCAGCAAATCAGTTTAATGTGACTCAAAATTGAGCGATAAAGTGGAATAATCACAATTTATTTTATTTTGATCATGACCTACCGCTCAATTATTATGAAATATATAATAAAAATAGATTTGTGTGATAGTTGACAGTTCGGAGTAATGAAAAAGATTTAATGTGTTGATGTAAAATTGGCAGTTGTAAAAAATTGGCCTGGCTGAAAATTAACGAGAAAGTGTGAAGTAAAAGAAGCATGAACGAAGTAATCAGATCATCCAATTTAACTACTTAATATAAAGTTTCATCACAAATATTCAATTTTATTTACGATACGATTAAAACAACAAAAACCAATATATTCCACCAAATTAAAACCTCAACAAAAAAGGATTTAAATATTTATGAGTAGTAAGGATGTTGACAGCTTCTTTTTTCACATGGTTCGTTGTAAGATTTTCTGCAATATCCATTTTTGCACATGCATCCAGTAACACAGTCAGCTTTTGCAATCATTGAACATCCACAATCATTACGTGATGATGATTGGCAGTCAAAGACATCTTCATTTGGTCCGCATTCTGTGAATATGGAAAATTATTTTGTAGGTTCAGCTTTTGTTGTTTATGTCCCATTTTTGTGATAAATGGATTTTTTTAAGGATGTTGATTTCAACAAGTTTGTGAGGTTTTACCTTTATCACAATTCGATAGCCAGGAATTTGAAAAGGGGGTCAAAAAAAATTTATAAGGAAAATTTAGGGGTTGGAGGAATTTAAGTTGTTTTTAAAATAACCCCAGGAAAATGAAGAATTTCACCGAATTTCCTCTCTGGCTACGCGCCTGCAATTCGTTAATCCACTCAACAATCATCTTTCACTAAATTCACTTAAAACTTGACCTACCTGATGATACCAACACTACTGATAATGAAACAAATAAGAAGAAGAAGAGCAGCTTCATTTTAACTTGAATAATTTTTCTAAACTGAAATAAATTTTGACGATTCTCTGTGATTTTATACAGCAATAATGAGATGTTGTTTGTTTTTACTGAGATGTTCTCACTTAAAAAACAGACTTTTTTGAAGGGGATTCTTTTTTATTTCGAGAGAATGCCAATAAATGAGTGGAAAATCCAGAATAATTTTTAATTGTTAAATAATGTTAGTAGTACTGAGGAGCTGCATTGAACACAAAATTAAAGAAATATAATTTATGTTTTTTTTAAAAATATGTTTATTTTTTATTTGCAGTTTCAAAAAGTAAGTAAATTTGTAAATTATTGTATATATATATAAACTTTATAAACTTTGAAACTTAAGTGTAACCAAAACCTTCGAAGAATGCCTAGATCATTAGACAAGGGCGTTTAAGAGGTGCCAGGATTTTTTTAAATAAGTTGAGGGTGCCCAAAAAATATTTTTAATCAATAATCAATAAAACCTTCTCTTTTCGCTTTTTAAAAGCTGATTTCATTGTTATTGCTTTGAACTAATTCACTTTTGTTAATTTACTGCGAATTAAAAAAAAAGAAAAAAATTATATTAAATTTCAATCTCAAGGGAGGTGCCCGGTCACCTTAGGACCCCTTCCCACTTGCTACGGCCCTGCCGTTAGACTTTGTATTAGTTATTGCATCGATTGTTTTGCTAGGAATATATTTTTTGCATTCGATTGAGATCGTTGCCGATTTTCTCTAGGAATTTTATGATGGCTTTCAGCCTGACTAAAATCAAGATTGTGTTGGCTGGAGTGGGTAACTGGATGATTGCTGCTTACATTCGATTGACGGCGACTTAACGCTTGTTGATTATGAACTGGATTTTGGTTTTGATATTGAAATTGTTGATCAAAAAATTGTGGTTGTTTCAAATTCCTTGCAACAAATTGATTTTGATTGGAAACATTAAAAAAACTATAATTTGGATTTTTAAATTGTCCATGATCTAAATGTTGCTGAGGATAAACTTCATATTGATTATGTTCTGCATTCTGTGGTTGTACATCTGCAATATTAGATTGAATATTGTTTGAAGAATCATGCCATGATTCTTTAGTTGGTTACTTCGAAACCCCTGTTGGCTTATTTTTCTTTTTCGGTTTATTTGTTGATGTGGTTTGCTTTATTGCTTTTTCACACACATCCTGCATTCTGATCTTTTCATTTTGTTCGTCAGACGAACGACTGGGGGCAGGTTTTATTGGTGCTTTATTTGCTATATTTTTCGACTGCTCGTTAGTTTTTTCAGCATCATCTGTTTTATTCTTCGATTCATCTAATTTGATTTCAGTAAGAATATCATTAAACCTACTTTGCGGGTCATCAAACAAAAACGAGTCAATATAGAATCTTCTGATATTTGGATTAAAAGCAAGAATCCGGACACTATTAAACAAATCATAAATGAAATTTTCATCTACTTCTAGGTGAAGATTAATTGCACCGCCTTTCTTTAGAAGAATTTTAGAAAATATTTTCCATTTTTCTGGATCTTTTTTATGAGCTTTAGGTTTTTTTTTACAATCATTGCTATTTTCAGTTTGCCTACTTTTGTCACAACTTGTGATATTAAATTCACTTTCAAATTCTACAGCTTGAATGGAATTGGTTGCAGCTTCTCCATTCTTGTCGGAATCTTCAGCTTCAATTTCACATTCACTATCTGTATCGTCTTCAAGATGGACCTCCTAAAAAATAAAAAAATATGTTTCAGAATGTTACAGAAGTGAATATTCCAACATTAAGTCCACTTGGTGTCAGCTTGAAGCTGAATTTGAGCGTAAATTTGACTCCAAGCTAACATCATACTAGCCCATGCCAGAATATCAATTCAGGTTCAAAAAGTTATCATAAGAACCTTATTCCTCGCTTCTCTACATCGTTCAGCTAAAGTAGCATCTTTTGGCTCAAATCCTCCAAAATAGTCTACAAGTTTTTTGCATACTTCCAAGTTGTTTGGCAATATTTTGTTTAAAACGTCTTTCCTGTTCTTAACATCATCGGCTTTTTTTGAGTTTTTACTCCTTTCATCTTGACTTAGATTAAGACGTCCATTAACAGCACTTAGATATTCTAAAGTTTTCTCGCGGTTGTAAAAGAAGGCGTGATTCTTAAATTCTGCGAGACTATTTGAAGGTTTAACATTTAATAAGCAGGCAATTAGATCTGCAAATATTTTGATATTAGTCCTTGGAATCCATGAGACATTCTTTACCTTCTCATAAATTAGGTTAAATTTCTCATCTCGAGTATCAACGTTTTGAAATTTTTTTGCAATTGCTCGAGCGTCTTCGTCACCAACAATAATAGAAAGTATCAGAATTCCAACATCTCTTTTGTCTTTTGTGTACATTTCTTGATCTGCTGAGGATTCTGCCATCGATAAATTAAATATTTTTGGTTTGAGCTTATTATTCTCATTTACAATTGCAATATTATCAAGTAAAATATTTCCAATAATGATCTCCTTATTATGGATCGAGTCGACAGCCTTGAACAATTTTTTCAGCAAGTACTTGAAGTTTTTACTGGCACTTTCCCCTTGTATATAGTTTCTAAAGGTGAAGTTGTAAAATTTGTAAAATATATGCACATGATTGTCCCCAATCTTATGACTACGAATTTCTAAGACACTTGTGATGCATTGAGAAATTAAATGGTAGCTTTGCTTTAAATTATTTTTGATTTGGCTTGCATCAGTTTGGTTTGTGAATGGTTTTAGAGAAATAACAAATTTTTCTTTTGTGACAGTTTCAATTCCTGAGTAGTAATTTGACCCATAGTTGCTCTCATCTTCCTTAGAATTTGTGTTAAATTTTACTCCTCGAACAATTTGACAATCTTCATGATCCTGCTGAAGATATAAACATTATTATGTCAAAAAACTGAATAAAAGATCAAAACTAATCATGTGATTAAAAAAAGGCGGATGCTTAAAGATGATAAATTCTATGGGGTAAAAATGACAAAATATGAATGTGGCAACAGGTTGTGAATAGTTAGGGTGACCAGATGTTTTTTTAAAAAATAGAGAACCTATATGTCAGTGAAATGTTGGATCAATGAAATGGTTTTAAGGGTCATAAGGGTTGTAATCCACGTAAAGCACAGTTAGGAATTTTAAGGTCTGCATTTTCAAATTCACACCAATTTAAATCTTTTTATAAGTTGCAAAAAGTTCAATACTAAAGAGGTAAATTAAGATCTTGCTGAGGACGAAATAAACTTAAGGTTTATCGCTGATTTCAATGTACAGTAGCAATAAACTGCATTTATGTTAATTTCTTTTAGCTGATATCATTAAACGAATTATAGTAAATAGGCTCCGATGGGCTGGACATGTTATGAGAAGGCCTGTGGAAGCACGTGAAAGGCCAAAGAATTCATGGAAAGAGGCTGTTGTTAGAGACAACTTTGAGTTTGAAATTGGCAAGCGGTAGGCAGCGATAGAGTCAATTATAAACGTCATCTGAGGGAGATCATTGAGCACAATTGATCTGTAAGGTCATCGTAGCAAGTAAGTATGTTAATTTCTGGAGAAAAACGAGTATAAAAAATATGATCATGATCATTTAATCTATAAAGTTGAATAATAATCTTACGAGACTTCGAAGATCACTTCCTGTATATTCTGGATAAACATCATTCCAATCGATCTGAACATCATTCATGATTTGCAAAGTTTATTAACATTTTTATTTATTTTAGCACTATTGAAGAAATTTTATCACAGATCTTGTTTAATAATGTTAATGTCAATGAAATTGGTAATTATGGCACTGAATTTTAACTATTTCGTAGGCAAAACAGAACTCAAATAGTTGTTTTTTTTTATCATTTCAATTTATATATTATATTTAAGAAAATTTGATCTGCAATGAGCTTCGTTTTGCTCATAGCATGTAGTTTGGATAGATAAATTAACTTTACATCAGAACAAAAGAAATTAAAAACATAAAACCGGCAAAAACTATAAACAGAAATAAAAGAAAAAGCTCAAAAATTGTGCAAAAGTTTTTGTTTACTTTTTAACTCATTTCTCGAATAAGAAGCAATGCGATTAAATGCTCACTTTTGCTGGCTGGCTTGCAGTTATATGAAAAGTTATGTTCATGAATTTATTTCTTTGTTCTTGCATCTTGAACATGACTTTCATCCTGGATTTTAGGTTTATTCAGAACCATCCCCGTATAGCACAAAACGGTTAATCAAATAGATATCCTGTACCTAGTCGGCATAACTTTTGGATGGTGTAGGACTTAAATCGAATCAAGGACTATGCCAAAGTCCTCTAGCTTGACTGACTTGTAGTTTTCGAGATGCTGAAATATTATATATCAAAGTGAAGAAAATGCGCTTAATTCGTCCGTTTAATCTGTAACGACAACTTCTATACTAATTGATGATAACGTATTATTGCATAGCTTATTTTTTAAAATAATTAACTGTTAATTTGCAACCAATTTTATTTTTTAAAAGTCTTTTATAAAAGTCAAGAAAATGTTTTAAATTTTTGTATAAAAGTGTTTTCAATTTTCTGCAACAAGTTAGAAACATCTGATAATTTTTTTAATTTTTGATCATTTTTGATCATTTATTATTATTATTATTATTTTTATTTATATTGTATGCCAGAGACAAAAAAATTTGTTATCATTTAATGAGTTCCGCACCCTTATTAAGACATCAATTATCCATAATCATTACATATCAATCCTGAATGGCACAAGTCGGCTAATCGAATAAAAATCCCGCATTAAGCTGGTATGACTCTGGCATAGTGCTGGCTTCAATTTAAATCTAGCATCCATTCCAGAGTCTCACTGGCTTGGTGCCGGATTTCTGATCTATTAATAAACTTGTGCCATTCGGGAATTATAAATAATCCCCAGGCTCAAAAACTAGGCGGTATTTAATTAAGAGGCGGTATTTGAGGGTATTTGGAGGTATTTGTATGGAAGTTGGGGGTATTTGGCGGGATACTACCTAGTTTCCGAGCCTGGCATAATCTTGCAAACACCATATATGAATGGAAGATCAACATAGTGGAAAATGGTTTAGCATGAATTCTCTTAATTTATTCAAACCACAGTATTTTACAAATGATGTGCAATATTAAGGTTAAGAGGGCAACTGAATCGTCACAACAGATTCAAAAAAAAGCAAAATTTGTGTGAACAAGAAAACTGTTTCCCATCATGTTGTTTTCCCATTGATCTAAAGTCGTTTATTGATTCTTGGCTCATATAATCTTGTTTTGATTAATTAAAAATAAATTTCCTATTAAATATTTTTTTTGTTTATTGAAACACTTTGAAAGCGTGAAGTTTTTCTGATTGCATGTGATGAGATTGAAATTTATTAACAATTTATGTTTAAAAATATTATAGATGACCTAATAGTAACGATGGTAATAGCCATAAACTGCAAAGCCAGATGCCATTAAAACTTGAAGACACATTAGCAGAATTATGACAACATAAATGTTACTGACTTTTGAGAGCAATTCAATGTTGATATCTTGCAGCTCATTACTTTTCTTTTCAAGTTCATCCTCGAGGACATTTGAATCTTTTTCTATCAGACTTGTAACTCGCATGACAATTTCCATTTGATTCTTCGCTGATGCTTGCAATTTATCAAGTCTATTTAGCGTCGATCTAAGCTCATTTGTGATATTTATTCTATCTTGAATGTAGCTGTTTTGAAGACTTGATAGTTTATTCCAGTTAAGCTTAAAATTGATTGTTTGAAACTCTTCAAATAATGTCATAATCTTGTCACGATGATCCTTAGCCTGCTCGTCAATAATTCTACTTTTGATTGCATCATATGACATAAATTTTGTCTCTGTCTCGTTAGTTCTGTTACTGCATTTTTCATACACTTTCTGAGCGAATGCTGATAAAGTCATTGCATCAGTCATAATTGATATATAATGTCCATTAACACATAAATTATTCGTAATTGAGAGATACGTAATTGTTGGTGGAAATTCAGTTTCGATGATTTTAAAGTTGTTTGTCCTCAAAACAACCCATTTCAGTTTTTGATTATTTTTGAAGAAGTTTTTCTTTAAAACTTCAACTTTTGTGTATGACAGAGAAAACTTCTCAATTGATGGAGCTTCGGCAAGTAAATCTTCATCTAATTCCTTTAAATCAATGTTCTCAATAGAAATATGATTCAGTTTTGGACATCCAAAAAAGATATTCTTATTAATTTCCACCAAAAAGTATCCATTGATATTCATGATGTTAATATTGTACAAGAAGCTGCAAACTTTCGTTGGAACATATTTTGTCAAACTTTCTCTTTTTACATAAAATGCTTTTACGTCTGGAATACCTTTGCCATTAACATGCTCACCAGCCACAGATGTGATTTCTTGAGTTGAATTAAAGACATTTGACATTTCGCACATGTAGTTCTGATATATTCCAAAATATTTACACTTGAGCTCTTCAGCTGAAATTGAACTTGTGAAGAACAGTAAAAGTATTAAAATTCTTGATTCCTTATGCATCTTTATCACAATGAAAAGAAGCTACGACTGAGTATTCTTTTTAGAATTGTAATAAACTATATGAACTTTTTCAATGAGGATTATTGTTATCAATATTGCATATTGTTGTAATTTTATTCAATTATTAGACATGATTAAATGATTTAATAAATAACTTATACAGACAAGTTTGTTATATTCACACCTTTGAGGTGACATGAAATTCAGCCAATCTAGTTTTAAAAAAATGAATTAGACTTAATCAGGTAAATAATCAAAAGAGAAAGCCAATAAAGCTGTTTTTACTAAGGTGATCTATGACATGCAAAATGGGTTTATTTGATAACTATCCCCCTCGTGTGAGACTTTAGCAACTTACATTCAAAAGTTATTGTAGAGCCAAACCAATAAAATGAAGAAACACGATAAAATAAAGTCGATTTTCGTCTGTCAAAGATTAAAGAGGTGCAGCAACGCTGACAGAAGTAACTTGATGACAATGTTTTATTTTTAAAAGCAAGTGACATTGACAACAGCTACTACTATCAGAATTGCAGCATTTTACTGCTATCGCAATCTAGGTTTAATGCTTCATTTCAGGATCAAACTTTATTTCTTTTCGCTATATTGTCAGTCGAGTTTCACAGCAATTCATAAAAATTTATTGCAAAAACACTGTTTTTTGGCTGAAGCTGCAGATAAAAGGTTGCTTAACCTCATTTTTGATAAAATATATTAAACTTGGAAGCAAGCTTCAGAGTACTTCTTGGATAATGTTTGTTGCTTTAGGAGGGGTTTGGTTTGAGTTTCTTTATATTTAAGTTAAGATCAAATCAAATACACTATCCCGATCGGTACATATTGAAATGTTTGCAACCCGACAGCCGGGTTAATAGTATAATTAGAACCAAACGAATGAACTTCAATATGTGCCGATGGGGTATGTAAATTGATAACTTTCATTACAGTTATTAATTATCTAGGACAGAAATAATTTTAACTGCTTTATTAACGTGTTTCTAGTTAATTGTTTTATTATATATAAAGCTAACAAAATTCAACCAAAAGGATGAAATTTACAGCGTCCTTTTTCAAACTTGAATTTCATAATTAAAATTGTTTGGCAATCAAAGTTCGTTAATTTAATGGCAAAAATGAATATTTACAGTTTTAAGCACAGATATTGGTCGTTTACTTTATATTAAGTTTTTAAATATTTCTTACTAATCTAGTTTATTGCTTAGTTTTTTTAAAAACAAGTTGCTCGTCAGCATTAAAAACCAAAAAAAATGTTTTCAGATAAAATAAACGGTTAATTACTGGTATCCTGTAAGAATCAAAAAAATAGTCAATGATTTAAAAGAATAAACAAACGATCGTCTTACATTCACATGCTGGCTTCAATGAGGCTTCATTTACAGTTGACAACAAACAAATTCATTATTCTTAAATAAATTACTCTGAAATAAATAAAAATAACAAAAGTAATGAACAATATCAAGTCACTAAATCAGAATTGTTTATGATTGTACAGAATCTATCTCAGATTTCATATTCTTCTGAATTTATGCTGTGTTTTTAAAAAAAATTGGATTTTTATTTAGTTAAGTGTCGCTTCAATAAATGAGAAAATTGTCTTAAAGATGAACTAACCTGTAAAATATGACGGGACGGTTAGCATTGCAGTGCTGTCGGTTCATATAATTATTATGTTTAATACTATTTTTCAATCATCAATGTTGAGCAAGGTCGTAGCCAGGAATTGAATAGACAAAATTTATGGGAGGGGAGGGGTGTTAGGATTTTTTCACAAGAACCCTAGCAAAATGAAAAAAATTTCTGTCAATGTAGGAGGATTTGTCACTCAATTCCCTATCAATACCCAGCTGCGCGTCTGATGTTAAGTTTTAAGCTATTCTAGTAATCTCAGATTAGAATTTGATCCTATAAAATACAGGACATAATAAAACAACAGCATGTGCACACTTTTTGGCATTTGCTCTTCTTATTTTTTGGCTTTGTCATCTTTTTTGCTGGTTTTGATGGCTTTGGGTAATTGTCTGGTAATTTTATGTTTGTTGAAGGTGCCTACACATTTTTCAAATTTTAATTAAAATAAAAAATTATTTAAAATTAATTAAATATGTAACAAAAATTCATTAGGAAGGAATTTTTAAATTTTAAAAGAAATGAATTTTCAAAAAATGAATTTATTAAAATTTTAAAGAAAACAACAGATTTGAAAAAAATGATTTTTTTTTGAATATTAAATTTTTGATCATAAAATGAAAATGTAAATTTTTATCAAAAGAAATTAAACAAAGCTGATTCCTTGATCAAAATTTACTCACAATTTTGAATTTCTCTCCACAATCTTTTCTGCCATTTAAAGTCTCAATTGACTCAAAATGAGTTAAATCGTGCAACTCTTCCCTAGAATTATTCAGTTTGATGTTGACTTCATACGAAAATCCTTGGATATTAAAGTCATTTGAACTAGTTGATTTAATATTTTCAACAATTTTCACTTGATTTGATTCAATCTTCTCAGCAACTTTAGTCAATATTTCATCTATTTTAGCAGGATTGGCATTTTCAGTATTGTCAAACACAGGAGTTATTGTGAAAATTGACTTAAAGATTGGCTTGTCTTCAAAGCTTTTAGGGAAAAAAGTTTAAAATATAATTTTTATCCAAAAAGGGGGTCCACGTTTTGCATAAAGTTTGAAAAACTTTCTCAATAAATTATGCAAATCCAGGAACTCCTGGAGTTATATATCATTCATTTGTTATCCTTACCTGCCAGTAAGTGTCTGGTCTTCGCTTAATTCGTTGATTTTTGACATTTCTTTTGAACCTTGTTGAAGATGCTTGTCTTCCTTAAATTATCCCAGCAAATTTAAAACATTAATTTCCTTGATTTTTAAACAACACTTGAAAACACAAATGATTTCCAAGCAACTTTATTTTTTATGAACTTAATAATAATGTTGATATTAAGAATTTAAATTATTGTTTTATTTTCTCACTCACCCAATACTTAAACTGCATAAATAAACCTTTATTATTTGATTATAATTTTTTCCTTTTTGTTCTACTAAACTAGAGAAACAAGAGATCAAAATTAATTTTTAAAATACTTTCATTGTTAATTTTTAAGTTTAAGTTTTATTAAAAAATTTCAAAATCTGAATAAAGTTTTGATTTATTTCAAATAAAAATTGCTGATTTAAAATAAGAATTAAAAATGAACATTATGTAAATTCGAGAACTTTTTAAATTTTGATCCGAATTTCTCACTTTTTACGAAAAGTTTACAATTGATTAGCACTTTTTTAAAGACTTGATGTCATTTGACTTAATTTTTTCTTATTTTATGTACATTACTTGCCCTTGGTTACTCTAATTTTGTAACCGTCCGCGATAAAGAGCACAACACTTATGGAAAAAATCTCTGAAAATTCAATTTCAGCGTTTTAATCGCGACACAATACAATAAATAATTCTGATCAGTGTTGTTAAAACAGTGTGATGCGTAACTATGTTTCAAACGTTGCTTAGGCTGACCATCTGCTTGGCTTTTCAGAGGATAGTGCTAGTTTTTTTTTCATTTTTGAAATATAAAACAGTTTTGTTTTGTTTTAATTCGTCCAGTAAACGAATAAAATTGGCAGACATGTGGGATGTCCTCTATGTTACTTTTAGGTCCTCTTTTTTTTCAAAAATCTGGTGACCCTAACTATGCTCCACAGAACCATCTTATTCCTGAATGTGTCAGCAGCTGTGAAAAAATAAATTGCTAGCAGAAGAGTTTCTGAAGCATTGCACCATCATGTTAGTCATGGCTTCCCCCTAAGGTGTGCCATGGTTCAAAAAGTTTGGGCAACACTGGCGGCAATCATAAAAGTTAAATTAATATGTGTGCAACTTAAATTTATAAACAATTCTTATTACACATTTGAGGCACACATGCTTAAATTAATCATAAGAACAATAATTTCTCTTTATACTGAATTCGTGCAATTTGAAACTCCTTAAAAACTGTTGCTTTTGTCTGTCAATAAATGTTTATGTCTGTATGTTTGAAACTGTGTATAGCTGCGGATTTTTGACATTAATAAGTAATGAGGAGGGTTAAGGTGGCTAGCTTTTGATGTATCATATAATCGAGTCTAAATGGTGAACACAATAAAATGTACAGCCTACGTAATCCATTCAGATGAACAAAATTTTAAGTCAATATTAATCAAATTAATATCAATTTCAATTTGACCTCAAATATTTACATTAGAGTTCCCAATTTTTTAGGCAATTTCTATTTATTTTCATTTGATTTCAACGTCAATTTCAGTCCAGTCAGTCATCATGAATTCTTCTAATATATTTTCATCTTTATCGCCATTTCATACAATCTTAAAGTACACCGGAGCCTTGATATTCACAATAGACTCAAGAAATTCTACAGTTGTTGTCACAAAATGGAATTACTTTGCGATTCTGCTGATTATCCTGTCAAATGCACTCTTGGGTTGTAGCTATTGGACAATGGACTTTTTCTTCAGTTTCACAATTCAAGTTGCTGACAAAAGTGAACCGTTTCTTATTTTTATGGACCACTTTATTTGCATCTTCACAATTTACTGGATATTCCGTCATCGACATGGAGTTTTGAGGATTTTAAACATCCTGAATGAAGTTGATGAAATTTATAAAGACAACGGAATTGACATTTATCATGAAAGTTTCAGGAAGAAGACTTTCATTGCTACAGCATTTTGCTGCCTTTATGCTGGATCATCATCGACATTTGTGGCTTATATAATGGGACTTTATAGCACATTGAGTGGAATTACTTTAGCATTATTCACAATTTGGATTTATTGGCTGTCTTTGAGTTTCCAACTTCATTATGGATTTATGGTTTATGCTATATCAATAAGATGCAGGACGATGGTCATTTGGATCCAAAAACATCCATTCAGCCTTAAAAATATTTCGAGAATTCATCTTCGACTTGTTGAAGTCATGAAACTTTTTAATTCAATTTTTAGTCAAATTATCATGCTTTTTATTGGAACTTTATTCAGTTGGAACTGCTTTTGTGCTTTTGCATTGACAATTGCGAGAAAATCGACATTAAATGAATTCATTACGTCAGTTGCTTTATTGTCAAATTTGGTATTTTCAACAATTTTATTAGTTTGTGTTGTTCGATACTGTGAACGAATTTTGGAATCAAAAGAAATGATGATCGAGAGTTTGTATTTTGTGAAGAACAAAGCATCGAAAGTTGGATGCAAAAATGATGAAGAAATTTCTGGACTTATTAATCAAATTTTACATACAAATATTCGAGTTCGGTGTAATTTCTTTGACATCAATTGGAAGTTTCTTTTTCATGTAAGTTCTAAATGAAATTTGAGTTTGTTTGGTGGTGTTTGACTTTACCAATACCTTGATAATATACAATTACATCTTAAATTAGTCAATAATTTTTTCAACTTTATTAAAGTTTCTTGCAGCAAACATCATGTACCTGTTCATATTAATACAATATGAAGATTACTTAAATACAAGAAACGGTGCAAGATCTAGTGAAAGTCCATTCCAATGAGATGAACTAGGGTACGAGCATGAGAATCCTTTATGGCATCGATTCTTAAGGATTAACTGATTGGTGTATTAAACTTTAATTATTCAAATAATTGAATATTAATTAGATAAAGCTTACCCGAAAGGCACACGTTTTAAAATTGGTATCAATCTGGCATGTAGGATGGATGAACCGGATTTGATGAAATTTGGCTAGGTGCCTTGTTCATGCCTGGATGCTGGATTGAAAACTATTTTTATGACGTATTCTTTTTCGGGGTTCCAAGATCTTTAATTTTTTTTTGCTTTTAAAATACCTCAATCTAAAATTCCCTTAAATGCAGCTAGTACTGCCAAGATGCAGATGGTACTGCTAAAGTGCAGATGAAGATATTTTCTCTAAAATGCAGATGAAATGCTGTTGCTTTAAAAAAGGTATAATGCAGATGATTTTTCTCGCATGAAGTGCAGTTTTGGTTCCATTTTTAAACATTTTTTGTGTGCCTTAAATTCCTGGGAATATTCCAGTTCCCGACCCTTATTCCCGTTATTCATATTATTCAGAAACCCTAAGTAAGTGGTTTTGACCCTTCGAGCAACTATCTTGGCATGTCTACAATCATTTAAACTTCCTTTTATCGAATGCAAAATTTCTTAAATTAATTGTTGATAAATATTTGACACTTTGTAAACATTTGATTAAGCAACAAAGTTAGTCAATACATAAAGGCTTAATAATCTCAAATTACTTTCATTGTTTTAATTTTTTTTGCTTTCTGCTTCCGATAATTTCGATAATATCCTCAAAAACATTTAACTTCTAAAGTGATTCGTAGTAAATTTTGCAATTTATAAAAAAATGCTTTCGGACATCCTTGAATCAATAAAGCCGATGCTTATTGCTTCATATCTAACTGGAGTGTTTAGTTTCAAAATAGATGTGAATTCATCATCAATAAAGACTCAAAAATGGCACAAGTTGACAAACATAGCAGTCATCTCTATTCACATGATTTCTGCTCATTTCTACTCAAATTCTGATTTAATGGAAAAAATGTTTTTTACAAAGACCTCAAAAATTACAACAATTTTAGTCTATGTCGGTCATTTTCTTGGTGTTACGTCTATGGTTTGGATATTCCTCAATCGAGCAAACTTCTTGAAGATTTTGATAAAATTAAGTGAAATTGATGAAAAGTTGAAAGAATTTGGAGTAAAAATTAACTACAAGCAGCAGTGCAAAGAGCAACTTAAAGGATATTTTTGGTTCGTGTTGACTTTTACGATTGCCTGGAACTCCAGCATTGTTTATCAAATTTATTATCAGTTGCGAATAGAATTTTCTGTTTTCTTATTTGACATGACAAGTTTGATCAACGCTGTAGCTTTAATTTCACATTTTGTGATCTTAATGTCTAACATTAGTTTAAGATTTGAGCTGTTGACTTCATGTGCTGTTCACTCAATTCAGGAATTATCGAAAATTCATCTGAAAATTGCAGAATGTGTGAAAATTTACAACTTAATTTATGGAACTCCAATGATGTTGATATTTGGGAATCTTTTCATTTGGAGCTGCATTTCTGCATCTTTAATTGTCCTCATTCCAAAATCTGATTTTGTAACAGCAACTGGATTTATTGTGTGCCTGATTTATACAGCAATACTTCTCTCAGGCATTACAAGAGCTGCTGAAAAATTAACAAAAGCTAAGCAGCAGATGATTCATATTTTATACACAAAAATGTCAAAAGAACCTGAAACATCTGAAAACATTTTTCGATTCATCATGCAGGTCCGACACACAAAACCTGGATTTTCCTGTAACTTTTTTGTTTTCAATTGGAAATTAATTTTTAACTTTACAACAGCATTTGTCATGTATTTTATTATTATCATTCAATTTGAGGAATCTTTTAGACATAAAACCTGTAATAATGGCACCTTTGTTGATTAAATTTCAAGCTTATTGTCTGTGGATATTATGCTTAAAGGAGGTAAAACTCTGGTGTTAGATTTGGAACAATTATTCTAAAATTTAATTTGCCACAATTCTAATTTTTGAGGTCTAAAAAGTGTATCCTCAAGTTTATCTGCAGAAACCCGATACTCGAAATTATTGTATATGATAAATAAAGCTTGCTGGTGAATTCATGATGTAAACAAAACACAAGTGTCTTATTTACAGAGTATTTAATTTTAATTTGTTTTATTTATTGTAGCTATAGGGGCCGTTCATTTATGACGTCCATCAAAAAACCTAATTTTTAGACCTCTTTGTCACAAAACTGTCACAGATCCGTTGTCACAATGTGCCAAAAATTTGTTGACCCCCCATCCCCCCCGAAATGTATGACGTCATAAGTAAACGACCCTTAAGGAGTGTCGGTTTAGAAAAAATGGTTCTTAAAATCATTGTAGCTTATCAGTAATTTTTAAGAAGCAAGAAATGACTTACTTTGTCAATTGACGTCAATTAAGGTCTCCGATACTCAAAACAAAATTTATAAAAATCTAAACTCAAATTTACTAAGTCATTCAGCATTGTGTCAAATCACATTAAAGTTGTCATCAATTAGAATCTTCAAAATGACTCAACAAAAAATGTTAACGGAAGTTTATACATCTTTAAAGCCACTTCTCATCATATCACACCTTACTGGAGTGTTCATCTTCAGAATCGACACAAAATCTAGCAAAATTGTTACATCAATCTGGAATAAACTAGCTGTCTTGACATTCTACATGATTTATATTATTGGAATCTACCCGTACTCAAAATCAAACTTAATCAGCCAAATGTTTTTCACAAAGACATCTAAAGCAAGTTCATTTGCATTGATTTATATTGATCACTTAGTGACTGTGTCGTCAACTGTCTGGATATTTTTTAAACGTGAAAATTTTTTTGAAATTGAGTGAATTTGATGAAATTTTGATAGATTTTGGAGTGAAAATTGACTACAAAAAGGAACAAAGGAAGATTAATTTTTTAATGATTTCTACAATGATCGTCCAACTGTGCCTGACTGTCTTTACTATTGTAGATAAAATATTCAACGATACAAGATTGGATCTTTTTCCAATATTTTACAGTTTGATGATTTTTATAAATGCAGTCGCTCTTGTCTCACATTTTGGAGTTCTTATGTTCAATATTGGAATTAGATTTCAAATGATGAGTTTGTGCATCAAACAGTCGCCACAAAATTGTCTAAAAATGCATCTGAAAATTGTCGAATGCGTCAAAATTTTCAACTCAATTTACGGATTTCCAATGATGATATTTTTTGCCAATTTGTTCTTATGGTGCTGCATTTTAGCTTCACTTATCCTTTATGTTGAGAATTCTGACATTCGAATGATTCTTGGAACTTATGTAAGCCTAATTATGGCAGTTCTTGCACTTTTTATGATAATGTACATAGCAGAAATGACTTTGAATGCAAAAACAGAACTTGTTCAGCTTTTATACGATAAAAAGTCAAATGAACCTGAAAATTTAATGACGATTTTGCCATTCATCTTACAAATTCGACATGTAAATGTTGGATTTTCTTGTAAATTTATAGATTTTAATTGGCATTTTGTTTTCAAATTCATCACTGCTTGTGTCATGTACTTGACAATTATAATTCAGCTAGAAAAATCTATGGATAAAGTTTAATATTCCTTTATTTGACCTTTTCTAGATCTTTAGAGTACATATAATAAATATAACTAGCTTGCAAATAATGTAACAAAAACTGACGTCTTATTTACAAATTATTGCTTTTTAATTCCTCTAATTGCAGCTAAGGAGTGCCAATCTTCAAAAAATAATTATTTTTGAACCTTTTGTAGATTTTCAGTACTTTTTAAGCAGTTTCAACTGCCACACTTAGACATTTGGTGTCAATCTTATTTCCAGACACAAAGAAAAAGTAAATTACTAAGCATAACAGTTAAGTCCTCAAAATGACTCAACAAAACATGTTGTCGGAAGTTTATTCATCATTGAAGCCACTCTTCATCGTTTCACACCTGACTGGAGTATTTATCTTCAGAATCGACACAAAATCTAGCAAAATTGTTACATCAATCTGGAATAAAATAGCAGTTTTGACATTTTACATGATTTACATCATTGGAATCTACCCATACTCAAAATCAGAACTGATTCAACAACTGTTTTTCACAAATACATCAAAAGCAAGCTCATTTGCATTAATTCATTTGGATCACATGATGACTGTGTCGTCAGTATTTTGGATATTTTTAAAAAGAGAAAAATTCTTCAAGATTTTGCTAAAATTGAGCGAAATTGATGAACATTTGATGAATTTGGGAGTCAAAATTGACTACAGAGATGGTAAACGGAAGTTAAACTTTGCGCTGATTTTTATTTTATTTATTCAATTTTTCCTGACAATTTTAAGTTTTTTACATCAAATTTTTAATCATGAAAAGTTGGAAATTTTTCCAGTCATTTATAGCTTTATGGTCTTCATTAATGGTGTGACAATGGTGACACATTTTGTAGTTATGATGTTCAATATTGCCAGTCGATTCCAAAATATGAATTTGTGCATTAAAAATTCAACTGAAAATCTTCTCAAAATTCATTCAAACATTATGGAATGCGTTGAAAATTTTAATTCAGTTTATGGAACATTAATGATGATATTTTTTGGTAATTTGTTTATTTGGTGCTGCATATCAGCATCACTTAGCATTTATGTATCAAAATCAGACATTCAAATGACACTTGGTATTTTTGGAAGCTTAATCATGGCTTGTTTTGCTTTAGTTTTGATAATCTATGCAGCTGAAAAGATATTAAATGCTAGGCAAAAAGCACTGAAGTTACTTTACATAAAGTTAGATGCTGAGCCTGAAAATGCTGTTGAGATTTTTAAAATCATCATGCAAATTAAACACACAAGTGTTGGATTTTCATGTAAATTTTTCGAATTTAATTGGAATTTGATATTTAAGTTTGTAACAGGCTGTGTTATGTACCTGATAATTATAATTCAATTTGAAGGATCTATGGAAAAATTGTAAACGACTACAGCAAAATTATTACTTTAGGGTCAAGGAAGTAATGCAATTAACAATGCCATAAACTGTGTCAGTATGTTAAATTATCTACTAAGACGCAAATAATCATAATGTTTTATTGTCAATCCTACCACAAAACTTCACATGTCTTCACATACCCCCTCAAATGCGGACTCACCTTATTTCACACCTGACACCCACCCCCCACTTGAGACGAACCCCCCACTTGAGACGAACCCCCACTTGAGACCGAACTCCCACTTGAGACCGAACCCTTACTTTATCAGCACTCTCCAAATTATTGGCTTCACACGACTTCACAAATGGCTTCACATGGCTTCCATTCTAGAGTCAGTGAGTCAGTAAACTGGGCTTTTATAATGTAGATTAATTCCTAGAATCCATTAGGGTCTAAAAATGCATCCTGTCTTTTTGAAGTTAAGAATAGTTTTATGATTTTTTCTTTTATTGGATTAAAACTCAGCTGGTGGCAAAAACTTAAAAAAATAGAGGCTCTGAAAGTAAAATAGGACGAATTAGAAGCCAAGCAGATGGTCAGCCTACGAACAGCTCACAAAATTGTACTCTTCATCGCGGATTTCTAGATAGTTTTCCTTAAATTCCCTTTTCTTCAAGGCTTGAAAACTATCCCAAATATTCTAAAAACATCCAAAACAATCCCTGAGCATGCATGCATTTAATTTGAGATATCCGTTCGAATGCTAAAATTATATGTCCAATATACCAACGATTTTTTGGTATAAATTTATTATCGTACAGGCTCAGGGATTATTTTGGATATTTTTGGGATATTTGGAAAAGTTTTCTTGCCTTGCTACTTCTGCTTCATCTCTGATCAAACTACGTATTTGTCTTATGTCAAGCTTCCTCTTGTTTGATGATTAAATAAAGGAGTGTCATTTGAAGAAAAAAAAATATTGTTTATGTGAAATTAAATGACATTTAGTGTATCAAGTAATTCAGTTTGATGGACATCCTCTAGGAATAATCAAAAGCACAAATTTCAAATTTATCAAATATTTAAAAAAATCTTTAATTCAACAAAATGCTGTCAAAAATAGTTTCAACGATTATGCCGCTGATGTATCTGTCGTACATAACAGGCTTATTCATCTTCAATATCAACACAAAGTCCTCTAAAATAGTGACAACAAAATGAAATAAGTTGACAATTTTTGTAATAATTTTAATCCATATGATGGCTTGCATCTATTATCTTAATTCAGACTTGTTTAGCAAAATGTTTTTCACCAAAACTTCAAAAATCAGCTCTCCAATTTTAATAACCATTGATCACATCCTGTATGTATCGTCAATGGTCTGGGTGTTCATCAATCGAGAAAAGTTTTTGTTAATTTTGATAAAACTAAGCGAAATTGATGAGGAATTTATGAAATTGGATAGACTTCAAGTGAATTACAGGAAGCAAAAGTTGTGGCTCATAATAAGTTTTGTGATTTTAATTTTATTTATTATTGGCACAACAGCTAGCAGCACTTACTATCAGTCGAAAAGTGGAGTTGAAATTGAATTTTTTATTCCAATTTTTAATTTTCTCATCTTCATCATTGGATTAGCATTGTCGGCGCACTTCATTGTTTTTATGTCTGCCATTGGAACTAGACTTGAGATGATCAATTCATGCATTGACAAATTTACACCAGAACTTCCAAAAATTCATCTTAAAATTGTAGATTGTGTCAATATTTACAACTCAATTTATGCGTTTCCGATGCTGGTGACTTTTGGGAATCTCTTCATTTGGACATGCATTTCTACATCCTTAATCATTCTTATACCAAAATCAGCTTTGAACTTTCTTATTGGATTTATCATCAGCTTAACATTTACTGCATCTTCAATTTTAGTCATCATAAAAGTAGCAGTAAGATCAATAAATGCTAAGAAAAAAGCAGTTCAGTTACTTTACACAAAAATGTCACTAGAACCTGAAAACAATGATAAAATCTTCTACTTTATCATGCAAATTCGACACACTAATGTTGCATTTTCGTGTGAATTTTTTGAATTTAATTGGCAGTTGGTCTTTAAATTCATTTCAGCTTGTCTCATGTACTTGATTATTATCATTCAGTTTGAAGGGTCGATGCATTAAATTTAGATTGAAGACTCGAATTTTAAAATCATTATTGACGGTTAAAACTTAAATTTTAAGAGCAAATATCAAAAAAATTTAAAAAAACAGAAATTCACACAATCGTTCATTCCAAGCGGGATTCGAACTTCATACCTCTTGATTGCCGGTCAAGTGCTCAGACCACTAAGCTATTGAGCTTTACCATTGGAACTGGCAATTTGCCAATATATGTAATTCACTCTTTTTCAACTTTCTGTACTAGAGCTTGTAACTTTAGTGCCTAATCTATTTGTCTCATAATTGCAGTGGCAAAGCCAACTTGCTAAGTTTGAGTCAACTAATTACCAGTTTTAACGGCAAAGCCTAATAACTAAGTGGTCTGAGCACTTGGCCGGCAATTGAGAGGTGCGAGGTTCGAATCCTGCTTTGGATAAACCATTTGGTGAATTTCTTTTTTTCAACATTTTTTATATTTGCATGTAACAAGCAAAAATCTTGTTGAACATTAAAGTTTGAACTTTAAATTGAAAACTATCCCAAATATCCCAAAAACTTCCAAAAAAAAGTTTGAACTTTAAAGTTTAAATTGAATAAAAATAAATTTTATAAAAAACATTTGATTTTGGTAGCAATGTTATTGTTTGGCTTTTAAGAGTCACATATGGACAAACGAGTTTTATGTTTACATGATTTGTTTTGGGGTTTTTCTTTCTTTTTTATTTTGTGTTGTGTCATCTGAATATTTTTTTTTTCAGTATTTCTGTAGCCGTTGATTTAGGAAGATCATTTACAGTTTTTAGTGAATAAATTAGAGAAATTATTATTAAAAGTAATAAAATATGAAAAAGTTCTTTAGAAGTAATTTGCCAAAAACTTTCAGTAACTCACGTTATTTAAATCAAGGCAATCCAGCTAATCATCTGCCATGTGAGTGTTGTACAAAGAAATTTGACATAATTCGTCATCGGTCAATAGTTGATCTTTAATAAAAATAAAGTGGGCATTGAGATTGTTGATGTATTAGTCATGAATTTTATGTGGCAAAGCACAGTTAAATGTTGAGTTAAATCGTCACATTTGATGTTAATAGCTAAGTATTTATTATGGATAACGTCGAGGTTAATAAAGGCAGATCTGATGTTCATTAAAATGGGTTTAAAAATTAAAATTAACCCAGAAATCTATCAGAAGCTATGACAGAAAAATACTTCTTTTAAAGCTCCTAATTACGCACAACAGAAATAACTGATTTGGACAACATTTCTGTTCCTTATCAGCTGTTTGCTTCTTCAATTTTAATTTTTTAAAGTTTTTGACTCTCTTTCTCCAAATCAATTTTTAAATACATTCAAAAAATCAATTCCTCTCTTGCATATGCTGTCTCTAGAGCAGTGTTGTCCAAACTTTTTTTAACCACCGCACATTTTAACTTTAGTTTTTTTTTTCACGGCACACCTAAACATGTGTAGATATGGCTCGAAGAGCAACTTCTGATAGCCGAAGTGATACAAGGACCTCGGTGACCAAGTGGCAGGGATTTCTGATTGAGTCGTCAAAGATAGCCTCTTTTGAGGTCATGGGTTCGATTCTCATCGAACCAGACTTGTTTTACATTAATATACACATATGGAATTTATAGGGAGATCTACAGGGTGTCCCACGGCACACAGTTTGGACAACACTGCTCTAGAGTAACAATCTTAAATAAATTAAGTCTAGTAGACTATGCGTCATTATAAGCAATTAACATTAATTATCTTGAAACCAGACATGAATGGAATTTTGTGTCTTAAAAACATCCATCGATCTAAATGAATCGTTTTCAATAAATTAACAATTTTTTTTTATTTGACTATCATTTTTTCAGCATTCGACTTGCTTACGTTACCACAGATAAATGACATGAAAGTTGAAAGGTCCCAAATCTATGAAATTGAGGAAATAAAAGACATCAATCATACTGATCAAGAGACCTTAGAAGAATTAAACTTATCAATAATTATAGATAAACTTAAAACAAGTGACAACATAATATCAATAAAACTTCAAATTAATGATAATTTTAATGGATTTAATTCAGTAGAATTAAAGAGTTTATCAGAAAAGTGTGCAAATAGGTCCATAGTGATTCTTTTATCGTCGAAGATTTCTGACAAAATTTATATTTATTGGAAATCTAAAGACATTGACTACGTTCTTAGTTTAAAGCATTATGGCGAAAATTATTCGCAAGACGATAAGAAAATTTATGAATTTATTGCTGACTTTTTGATAAAATCACTTAGTAGAGGTGAATTAGGTGAGTTGGCTAAGATACTTAACTATTTTTTAAAACTAAGATGTAAAATTTTTATATTTAGGAATTCACAAAGACTACCCAATAAACCCAAATTCTGCCGAAATCGAGCCACACGCCTTTTCAGATTCGCGAGGATTCAGCTTACTTCTCATTGCTGCTGAATTAGGAAACTCTGAAATTGTTAAAATTCTTTTGTCTTTTGGAGCAGACACAGAGTCACCAATTGAAGGCATAAATGCTCAATCATTGGCATCGACTGGTCGACATTCTGATGTGTTGCTGGTCATGGCACAAGCTAATTTAACATATCCAACTGGAATTGATATTGGTCAGCTATCGGATGAGTTTAAAGAATTTTATAAAGAAACTGAGCAGCTGCATGAAGCAATAATCGCAAATAATGAAGAAAAAATTAAAATAATTTTGAGAAGGAATAAAAATCTGCAATTTTACTTCAATTTATCAAATCAATCAGCAGCTAAGGTTGCACTAGACCTCAAAGCATACAATATTTATGAAATTCTTCTAATCCACGAGATTTTCTTTGCTCCACACGAATATCAGCAAGGAGTTTTCGATGGCCTCGACTATGAAGATCAAAGGCATATTCGTGAACTTCACAATAAACATTCCAAAGACTTAGCAGATAAACACATAAATATCTTAATGGCACATTCATTTGTTGCTCATGATGTCTCAGATGGTCAAGATAAGCTAAAGCATGTATACAAAGCTTACAAATCTCTAAGTCAAGACCCAAGAACATGCACAATCCTTAAAGTTGTTGCTGCAAAGAAAAAATTTAAAATTATTTACGATTTTAATCGCGATGCTGTTAACATCGCTGATCCAACAACATCTGACAATACTGAAGGTGTATTCTATCCTATGGGGAGGATTTACATTGGTGCACAGCAGTTGCTTGATGAATCTACCAAAAATCAAGCAATTGCTACTGTTGTTCATGAGTTGTGTCACTTTGCTGTTGATTTGACCTACAACAACAATGCAAATCCTTACAAAAGCAACGACAACCAAACTATGCAGGAATTTGAAAAAATTAATGAAAAATGCCATAAAAATTGTCATAAGGAGCAAGTTGTCAATTATGTGTATGACTTATATCCAACAAATATGCACCATGCTGAATTGATTGTCAGAGTTCCACATTTAATCGCTCTGTACTGGGATCAACCTGAAAAATTAAAGGAAGTTGAACAAATATTCCCAGAACTTTTTGAATTTCACAAAAAATTTGTGATGCCTGATATGCAGGAAGCAATAGCCGAGCTGGAAGGTGAAGATGAGAAAAAAATTATCAACAAAGACAAGAAAATTTCAAAGTTGAGGAAAAATTTAGCATTAACTGCAGTATTTTCAGTCATTGGAGTCATTATCGTTGGATTTATTGTAGCTTTCATTTTTCATAAGCCTTTTTATAGATTTAATGAGCTGTCAGACAGCAACAAGTTGAAAATCAGGAACGGGTTGGTGAAGTTTAAAGGAATTGAAGTTAGCTTTCAGGAGTTATTTGCTGACAATTCAAGAGCATATGAAGTTCTTACTTCTGAACATATATCTGATATCTTTGATGGTGGGACTGTTGACCTTAGTGACTCTCATTATTTCTATTTGAATAAATTGGTGTACCTTAGTTGGGGGAATTTGACAGGAAAATTGAAAAATCAATTTTTAAATTCAAGAATTTTGTTTCAAAATCAGAGTTTGAGGTTTGAAGATTTATTTCCTGAATTTACTAGGGTCGACAGTTTAAGTTCTAGGAACTTAATGGTTAGAAATTCTGGTCTTGGTTCCTCTTTACATAACCGATTGGCATTAAAATCCTTGAAATTTGACAAATCGGCACCAAATATTCCTAGCATTACAAAAAATTCTATTAATCATAAAGCCATAGATCAAAAAGTCTTTAATCTCCTCAAATCCAACCAAATATCAGACGTCCTTGATGGAAAAACCTTAAAAATAAGCTCAATGATTCCAAACAATACGGATTTTGTAGTTGATAGGAACTTTGTATTCGAATCACAGGGCAAGAATCTTGAGATAGGCACAGTGTCCAACACATATGATACTATTGATGACATTATTGAGAGAACCACCAAGAAGAGATTGTTTATTTTATCATCAGAAGCTGGTGCTGGTAAGACTGTAGCTTTTCAACAGCTAACAATGAGGATTAAAGAGAAATATCCAACAAAGTGGGTATCTTATATAGACTTAAAGGAGCATACAATGTTCTATAATGCTAGTGGGGATTTTGAGGATCTTGGAGGGCTTTTAAATAATATTTTAGGTCTGAGTACAAAGAATGAATTTGAAATGAAAATTTTTGAGGAACTTTATAGGTCTGGGAATGTAGTTTTGTTGTGGAATGGATTTGATGAAATTTCTCCAACATTTAATGGATTTATTCTGGATGTTTTAGGAAATATCCATGAAAACTCGACAAATGTCCAATATGTATGTACAAGACCTTTGTATTCTGGTCAATTAAAGTTTGTGTCTAAGTACTATCCATATCAATTGATTCCATTTAACAATGACGAACAAATTGAATTTTTGACAAAATTTTTCCAAACTCAAAAAGTCAGTTCCGATAAAATTGAAGGTTATATTAAAAAAGTTCAAAGTATATCCGAAAGATTAAAATTTAACACACCCTTAATGCTTAAATTAATTGCTGAAATTCATGAATATTCAGATTTGTTTGAGTCTGAAAACTTTTACAAAATTTATGAAAAATTCGTAAGCAAAAAAGTTGGAATTTGGCAGGAAAAAAGTGAATTTGCTAAAAATTTGACAAATGTGCTTCTTTCAGGTGCTCCAACTTTTGATATTAAGAAGATTTACCAAAAATACGCAATTTTCAGTGAATTTTCAGCTTACTTAAAAACAAAAAAATTGAAAATTTTCCAAACAAAAATTCCATCAAGTTTGCCATTTGAGGAAATATCAAGGATGGGAATTTTGTACATAAACAATGAAAATCAATTCGAATTTGCTCACAAAACATTTGCTGAATTTTTTGTCGCTCAATTTTTCATTGAAAATTTCTATTCTATTGAGGATGGAATAAACTTTGAAGAAATTATTATTGACTTCTTTTATGCTGTACGGCTGATGCCAAATACTTGTAAATTCATATCAAATTTTTTGGATGCTCAAACTGAAAATGAAAGGTTTAGTCATGAAATTTCACAACTTTTAATGACTAAGCTCAGTCGGTTCCTGTTGGAATCATTAAATGGTGGTTCTGCTGAATTTTATGAAATGGTCTTTAAGTTTTTGAACAAAGACCACAAAATTTTAGTTGAATTACTGCAAGTTGACAAAGACGAAACACTTTACACAGCAATTTTTAACCCAATTTATGCATCACAAAATTTAAATCCTGTTCATTTGAAAACTTTAGGTCAGAAATATTTGACAACAGATGAATACTCAAGTTTTATATCAGGAAGGCACCAAAAAGGAGTAATTTTATTCGGAATTATCTTCTACAAGCTTTACGCAGCTAATAAGATTCATGATAAATATTCTATTGGCAATGCCACGGTCACTGAAGATGACGCATTAAATTTCTTAGAAAAATATGAAAGCAACTTAACAGAACCTGAACATAGAGCAGTAGTCTTCACAATCATATCCCATACTGATGTATTCCTCAAACTTTATTCATTTGAATTTCCATATTACCAAAAAATCTTTGAAAAAATCCAAAACAATTTAACTAAATCAGAACTTATAACACTAATTGGAACTGCACTTTATTCATTTTCTGATGTTGGACTTTACTCATCGATCAATAAAAATTCAGAACTAATTTACTTCCTTCTCAACAAAGCTGAAATGCTCTTGACTGACCACGAAATTTTTGAAATGTTTGTCAGTCACAAAATTTTGCATCGCGTAACGCTTTTCAGCTTTTTATTTGAAAACTTTTGGAACTTTTTTGAAAAACACACGACGGCTAAGCAACAGATTGAGATTTTAATGAAAAGTGATTGCTTTGGGAAAATTCAGACAGCAAATAGTAACGGAAATGTTTATTTTGTGTACGAAACTTATGAATTTAAAATTTTTCATCTTTGCTTGTTTAATTCAATCCAACTTGGAGGTTCATCTAACTTCGTCACTCAACTGTATGCTAGGAAATTTAATAGTTCTGAATTACAGAGTCTTGTACTTGAATCGAATGATTTTATGCTGAATCTTTTGGGTCAAACGGATTTGGACACTTGCAGACAATTTTCGGTATTTTTGGAAAAGATCTTTGAGGGAAATGAGAAAAAGTTGAAGGAATTCTTGAATCGAAGCATTAAAACAACTAATTTTACAATTTTTAATTATTTTCCTGGCTTAAAATTCAATGTTGATTCAAAAATTTCACATCTTCGGTGGCTCAATAATAAAATTTAGCATATCATGTTAATTTGTGAATATGGACCTGATAAATGTTGATTTCCCTATAACTGTCATATGTGTATATACTAATGTAAAACAAGTCGGGTTCAATGGTAATTGAACCCACGACCTCAAAAGAGGTGATCTCTGGCCACTCGATCAGAGATCCCTGCCACTCGGCAACCGAGGTACTTATCTCACTTCTGATATCCGTCATACACATTTAACAACCCTATGTTCAGGTTTATCTTCAATAGATATGCTCTTCGAGCCATATCCACAATACACTAGTTAAAATTATTAAAATTAATTAACAAATCTTTTTAAAAAAAACATTAAAACTTTGATGTTGTGAATTTTGTAAGCACCCAACAATGACAAATAAAAGAGTTTCAACTCAATCTATTAAAAATTTTATTCAGCTACAAAATTTGAACTATTCAGCACCTAAACTTAGCAATTTGAAGACTAGAATCGGAATCGAATATTACTGCAACCTTTGCAATAATTATTGAACTTTCATTCAGCTACAAAATTTGAACAATTCAGCACCAAAACTTAGGAATCTGAAGCCTAGATTCGAAACCTTTGCAATAATTATTGAACTTTCATTCAGCCACATAATTTGAACTATTCAGCACCTAAACTTAGCAATTTGAAGCCTAGAATCGGAATCGAATATTACTGCAACCTTTGCAATAATTATTGAACTTTCATTCAGCTACAAAATTTGAACAATTCAGCACCAAAACTTAGGAATCTGAAGCCTAGATTCGAAACCTTTGCAATAATTATTGAACTTTCATTCAGCCACATAATTTGAACAATTCAGCACCAAAACTTAGGAATTTGAAGCCTAGATTCGAAACCTTTGCAATAATTATTGAACTTTTATTCAGCTACAAAATTTGATCTATTCAGCGCCAAAACTTAACCAATTGAAACCTGGAATCAAAATCGAATATTACTGCAACCTTTGCAATAATTATTGAACTTTTATTCAGCTACAAAATTTGATCTATTCAGCTCCAACACTTAACCAATTGAAACCTGGAATCAAAATCGAATATTACTGCAACCTTTGCAATAATTATTGAACTTTCATTCAGCACAAAATTTGAACTATTCAGCTCCAAAACTTAACCAATTAAAATCTGGAATCAAAATCGAATATTACTGCAAACTTTGCAATAATTATTGAACTTTTATTCAGCTACAAAATTTGATCTATTCAGTGCCAAAACTTAACCAATTAAAATCTGGAATCAAAATCGAATATTACTGCAACCTTTGCAATAATTATTGAACTTTCATTCAGCACAAAATTTGAACTATTCAGCTCCAAGATTTAACCAATTGAAACCTGGAATCAAAATCGAATATTACTGCAACCTTTGCAATAATTATTGAACTTTCATTCAGCACAAAATTTGAACTATTCAGCTCCAAAACTTAACCAATTGAAACCTGGAACCAAAATCGAATATTACTGCAACCATTGCAATAATTATTGAACTTTCATTCAGCTACAAAATTTGATCTATTCAGCTCCAACACTTAACCAATTGAAACCTGGAATCAAAATCGAATATTACTGCAACCTTTGCAATAATTATTGAACTTTTATTCAGCCACAAAATTTGATCTATTCAGCTCCAAAACTTAACCAATTGAAACCTGGAATCAAAATCGAATATTACTGCAACCTTTGCAATAATTATTGAACTTTCATTCAGCTACAAAATTTGATCTATTCAGCTCCAACACTTAACCAATTGAAACCTGGAATCAAAATCGAATATTACTGCAACCTTTGCAATAATTATTGAACTTTCATTCAGCTACAAAATTTGATCTATTCAGCTCCAACACTTAACCAATTGAAACCTGGAATCAAAATCGAATATTACTGCAACCTTTGCAATAATTATTGAACTTTTATTCAGCCACAAAATTTGATCTATTCAGCTCCAAAACTTAACCAATTGAAACCTGGAATCAAAATCGAATATTACTGCAACCTTTGCAATAATTATTGAACTTTCATTCAGCCACAAAATTTGAATTATTCAACGCCAAAAGTTTGCCAATTGAAGCCTAGAAACTAAATCGAATATTACTGCAACCTTTGCAATAGTTATTGAACTTTCATTCAGCCACAAAATTTGAACTATTCAGCACCAAAACTTAGCCAATTGAAGCCTAGATTCGATACCTTTGCAATAATTATTGAACTTTCATTCAAAACAAAATTTGAACTATTCAGCTCCAAAATTTAACCAATTGAAATCTGGAATCAAAATCGAATATTACTGCAACCTTTGCAATAATTATTGAACTTTCATTCAGCACAAAATTTGAACAATTCAGCACCAAAACTTAGGAACTTGAAGCCTAGATTCGAAACCTTTGCAATAATTATTGAACTTTCGTTCAGCACAAAATTTGAACTATTCAGCTCCAAAATTTAACCAATTAAAATCTGGAATCAAAATCGAATATTACTGCAACCTTTGCAATAATTATTGAACTTTCATTCAAAACAAAATTTGAACTATTCAGCTCCAAAATTTAACCAATTGAAATCTGGAATCAAAATCGAATATTACTGCAACCTTTACAATAATTATTGAACTTTCATTCAGCCACAAAATTTGAACTATTCAGCACCAAAACTTAGGAACTTGAAGCCTAGATTCGATACCTTTGCAATAATTATTGAACTTTCATTCAAAACAAAATTTGAACTATTCAGCTCCAAAACTTAACCAATTGAAACCTGGAATCAAAATCGAATACTACTGCAACCTTTGCAATAATTATTGAACTTTCATTCAGCACAAAATTCGAACTATTCAGCTCCAAAACTTAACCAATTAAAATCTGGAATCAAAATCGAATATTACTGAAACCATTGCAATAATTATTGAACTTTCATTCAGCTACAAAATTTGATCTATTCAGCTCCAAAACTTAACCAATTGAAACCTGGAATCAAAATCGAATATTACTGCAACCTTTGCAATAATTATTGAACTTTCATTCAGCACAAAATTTGAACTATTCAGCTCCAAGATTTAACCAATTGAAATTTGGAATCAAAATCGAATACTACTGCAACCTTTGCAATAATTATTGAACTTTTATTCAGCCACAAAATTTGATCTATTCAGCGCCAAAACTTAACCAATTGAAACCTGGAATCAAAATCGAATACTACTGCAACCATTGCAATAATTATTGAACTTTCATTTAGCTACAAAATTTGAACTATTCAGCGCCAAAACTTTGCCAACTGAAGCCTAGAAACTAAATCGAATCTTACTGCAACCTTTGCAATAATTATTGAACTTTCATTCAGCCACAAAATTTGAACTCTTCAGCACCAAAACTCAGCAATTTGAAGCCTAGATTCGAAACCTTTGCAATAATTATTGAACTTTCATTCAGCCACAAAATTTGATCTATTCAGCGCCAAAACTTAACCAATTGAAACCTGGAATCAAAATCGAATACTACTGCAACCATTGCAATAATTATTGAACTTTCATTTAGCTACAAAATTTGAACTATTCAGCGCCAAAACTTTGCCAACTGAAGCCTAGAAACTAAATCGAATCTTACTGCAACCTTTGCAATAATTATTGAACTTTCATTCAGCCACAAAATTTGAACTCTTCAGCACCAAAACTCAGCAATTTGAAGCCTAGATTCGAAACCTTTGCAATAATTATTGAACTTTCATTCAGCACAAATTTCGAACTATTCAGCTCCAAAACTTAACCAATTAAAATCTGGAATCAAAATCGAATATTACTGAAACCATTGCAATAATTATTGAACTTTCATTCAGCTACAAAATTTGATATATTCAGCTCCAAAACTTAACCAATTGAAACCTGGAATCAAAATCGAATATTACTGCAACCTTTGCAATAATTATTGAACTTTCATTCAGCACAAAATTTGAACTATTCAGCTCCAAAACTTAACCAATTAAAATCTGGAATCAAAATCGAATATTACTGCAACCTTTGCAATAATTATTGAACTTTCATTCAGCACAAAATTTGAACTATTCAGCTCCAAAACTTAACCAATTAAAATCTGGAATCAAAATCGAATATTACTGCAACCTTTGCAATAATTATTGAACTTTCATTCAGCACAAAATTTGAACTATTCAGCTCCAAGATTTAACCAATTGAAACCTGTAATCAAAATCGAATATTACTGCAACCTTTGCAATAATTATTGAACTTTTATTCAGCCACAAAATTTGATCTATTCAGCTCCAAAACTTAACCAATTGAAACCTGGAATCAAAATCGAATATTACTGCAACCATTGCAATAATTATTGAACTTTCATTCAGCACAAAATTTGAACTATTCAGCTCCAAGATTTAACCAATTGAAACCTGTAATCAAAATCGAATATTACTGCAACCTTTGCAATAATTATTGAACTTTTATTCAGCCACAAAATTTGATCTATTCAGCTCCAAAACTTAACCAATTGAAACCTGGAATCAAAATCGAATATTACTGCAACCTTTGCAATAATTATTGAACTTTCATTCAGCACAAAATTTGAACTATTCAGCTCCAAGATTTAACCAATTGAAACCTGTAATCAAAATCGAATATTACTGCAACCTTTGCAATAATTATTGAACTTTTATTCAGCCACAAAATTTGATCTATTCAGCTCCAAAACTTAACCAATTGAAACCTGGAATCAAAATCGAATATTACTGCAACCATTGCAATAATTATTGAACTTTTATTCAGCCACAAAATTTGATCTATTCAGCGCCAAAACTTAACCAATTGAAACCTGGAATCAAAATCGAATATTACTGCAACCTTTGCAATAATTATTGAACTTTCATTCTGCACAAAATTTGAACTATTCAGCTCCAAGATTTAACCAATTGAAATTTGGAATCAAAATCGAATACTACTGCAACCTTAGCAATAATTATTGAACTTTCATTCAGCACAAAATTTGAACTATTCAGCTCCAAAACTTAACCAATTGAAATCTGGAATCAAAATCGAATATTACTGCAACCTTTGCAATAATTATTGAACATTCATTCAGCTCCAAAACTTAACCGATTGAAACCTGGAATCAAAATCGAATACTACTGCAACATTTGCAATAGTTATTGAACTTTTATTCAGCTACAAAATTTGAACTATTCAGCACCAACACTTAGCTAATAGAAATCTGGAATCAAAATCGAATATTACTGCAACCTTTGCAATAATTATTGAACTTTTATTCAGCACAAAATTTGATCTATTCAGCGCCAAAACTTAACCAATTGAAACCTGGAATCAAAATCGAATATTACTGCAACCTTTGCAATAATTATTGAACTTTCATTCAGCTTAAAATTTGAACTATTCAGCTCCAAGATTTAACCAATTGAAATTTGAAATCAAAATCGAATACTACTGCAACCTTTGCAATAATTATTGAACTTTCATTCAGCACAAAATTTGAACTATTCAGCTCCAAAACTTATCCAATTAAAACCTGTAATCGAAATCGAATATTACTGCAACCTTTGCAATAATTATTGAACTTTTATTCAGCTACAAAATTTGATCTATTCAGCTCCAAAACTTAACCAATTGAAACCTGGAATCAAAATCGAATATTACTGCAACCTTTGCAATAATTATTGAACTTTCATTCAGCGACAAAATGTGAACTACTCAGCGCCAAAACTTTGCCAATTGAAGCCTAGATTCGAAACCTTTGCAATAATTATTGAACTTTCATTCAGCCACAAAATTTGAACTATTCAGCACCAAAACTTAGCTAATAGAAATCTGGAATCAAAATCGAACATTACTGCAACTTTTGCAATAATTATTGAACTTTTACTCAGCACAAAATTTGAACTATTCAGCTCCAAAACTTAACCGATTGAAACCTGGAATCAAAATCGAATATAATGTATCCTTTGCAATAATTGTTGAACTTTCCTTCAGCCACAAAATTTGAACAATTCAGCACCAAAACTTAGGAATTTGAAGCCTAGATTCGAAACCTTTGCAATAATTATTGAACTTTTATTCAGCACAAAATTTGAACTATTCAGCTCCAAAACTTAAACAATTGAAACCTGGAATCAAAATCGAATATAATGTATCCTTTGCAATAATTGTTGAACTTTCCTTCAGCCACAAAATTTGAACAATTCAGCACCAAAACTTAGGAATTTGAAGCCAAGATTCGAAACCTTTGCAATAATTATTGAACTTTCATTCAGCCACAAAATTTGAACTATTTAGCACCAAAACTTAGGAATTTGAAGCCTAGATTCGAAACCTTTGCAATAATTATTGAACTTTTATTCAGCACAAAATTTGAACTATTCAGCTCCAAAACTTATCCAATTGAAATCTAGAATCAAAATCGAATATTACTGCAACCTTTGCAATAATTATTGAACTTTCATTCAGCCACAAAATTTGAACAATTCAGCACCATAACTTTGCCAATTGAAGCCTAGAAACTAAATCGAATATTACTGCAACCTTTGCAATAATTATTGAACTTTCATTCAGCATAAAATTTGAACTATTCAGCACCAAAACTTTGCAATTTGAAGCCTAGATTCGGAACCTTTGCAATGATTATTGAACTTTCATTTAGCTACATAATTTGAACTATTCAGCTCCAAGATTCAACCAATTGAAATCTGGAATCAAAATCGAATATTACGTAACCTTTGCAATAATTATTGAACTTTCATTTAGCCACATAATTTGAATTTTTCAGCTCCAAAACTTATCCAATTGAAATCTGGAATCAAAATCGAATATTACTGCAACCTTTGCAATAATTATTGAACTTTCATTTAGCCACATAATTTGAACTTTTCAGCTCCAAGATTCAACCAATTGAAATCTGGAATCAAAATCGAATATTACTGCAACCTTTGCAATAATTATTGAACTTTCATTCAGCCACAAAATTTAAACTATTCAGCACCAAAACTTTGTCAATTGAAGCCTAGAATCAAAATCGAATTTTACGTAACCTTTGCAATAGTTATTAAACTTTCATTAAGCCACAAAATTTGAACTATTCAGCTCCAAAACTTATCCAATTGAAATCTGGAATCAAAATCAAATATTACTGCAATCTTTGCAATAGTTATTGAACTTTTATTCAGATACAATATTTGAACTATTCAGCGCCAAAACTTAACGAATTGAAACCTGGAATCAAAATCGAATATTACTGCAACCTTTGCAATAATTATTGAACTTTCATTCTGCACAAAATTTGAACTATTCAGCTCCAAGATTTAACCAATTGAAATTTGGAATCAAAATCGAATACTACTGCAACCTTAGCAATAATTATTGAACTTTCATTCAGCTCCAAAACTTAACCGATTGAAACCTGGAATCAAAATCGAATACTACTGCAACATTTGCAATAGTTATTGAACTTTTATTCAGCTACAAAATTTGAACTATTCAGCACCAACACTTAGCTAATAGAAATCTGGAATCAAAATCGAATATTACTGCAACCTTTGCAATAATTATTGAACTTTTATTCAGCACAAAATTTGATCTATTCAGAGCCAAAACTTAACCAATTGAAACCTGGAATCAAAATCGAATATTACTGCAACCTTTGCAATAATTATTGAACTTTCATTCAGCTTAAAATTTGAACTATTCAGCTCCAAGATTTAACCAATTGAAATTTGAAATCAAAATCGAATACTACTGCAACCTTTGCAATAATTATTGAACTTTCATTCAGCTACAAAATTTGAACTATTCAGCACCAACACTTAGCTAATAGAAATCTGGAATCAAAATCGAATATTACTGCAACCTTTGCAATAATTATTGAACTTTTATTCAGCACAAAATTTGATCTATTCAGCGCCAAAACTTAACCAATTAAAACCTGTAATCGAAATCGAATATTACTGCAACCTTTGCAATAATTATTGAACTTTTATTCAGCTACAAAATTTGATCTATTCAGCTCCAAAACTTAACCAATTGAAACCTGGAATCAAAATCGAATATTACTGCAACCTTTGCAATAATTATTGAACTTTCATTCAGCGACAAAATGTGAACTACTCAGCGCCAAAACTTTGCCAATTGAAGCCTAGATTCGAAACCTTTGCAATAATTATTGAACTTTCATTCAGCCACAAAATTTGAACTATTCAGCACCAAAACTTAGCTAATAGAAATCTGGAATCAAAATCGAACATTACTGCAACTTTTGCAATAATTATTGAACTTTTACTCAGCACAAAATTTGAACTATTCAGCTCCAAAACTTAACCGATTGAAACCTGGAATCAAAATCGAATATAATGTATCCTTTGCAATAATTGTTGAACTTTCCTTCAGCCACAAAATTTGAACAATTCAGCACCAAAACTTAGGAATTTGAAGCCTAGATTCGAAACCTTTGCAATAATTATTGAACTTTTATTCAGCACAAAATTTGAACTATTCAGCTCCAAAACTTAAACAATTGAAACCTGGAATCAAAATCGAATATAATGTATCCTTTGCAATAATTGTTGAACTTTCCTTCAGCCACAAAATTTGAACAATTCAGCACCAAAACTTAGGAATTTGAAGCCTAGATTCGAAACCTTTGCAATAATTATTGAACTTTCATTCAGCCACAAAATTTAAACTATTCAGCACCAAAACTTAGGAATTTGAAGCCTAGATTCGAAACCTTTGCAATAATTATTGAACTTTTATTCAGCCACAAAATTTGAACTATTTAGCACCAAAACTTAGGAATTTGAAGCCTAGATTCGAAACCTTTGCAATAATTATTGAACTTTTATTCAGCACAAAATTTGAACTATTCAGCTCCAAAACTTATCCAATTGAAATCTAGAATCAAAATCGAATATTACTGCAACCTTTGCAATAATTATTGAACTTTCATTCAGCATAAAATTTGAACTATTCAGCACCAAAACTTTGCAATTTGAAGCCTAGATTCGGAACCTTTGCAATGATTATTGAACTTTCATTTAGCTACAAAATTTGAACAATTCAGCTCCAAAATTTAACCAATTGAAATTTGGAATCAAAATCGAATATTACGTAACCTTTGCAATAATTATTGAACTTTCATTCAGCTACAAAATTTGAACAATTCAGCTCCAAAATTTAACCAATTGAAATCTGGAATCAAAATCGAATATTACGTAACCTTTGCAATAATTATTGAACTTTCATTCAGCCACAAAATTTGAGCTATTCAGCTCCAGAAGTTAACCAATTGAAACCTGGAATCAAAATCGAATATTACGCAACCTTTGCAATAATTATTGAACTTTCATTCAGCCACAAAATTTGAACTATGTAGCACCAAAACTTAGGAATTTGATGCCTAGATTCGAAACCTTTGCAATAATTGTTGAACTTTCCTTCAGCCACAAAATTTGAACAATTCAGCACCAAAACTTAGGAATTTGAAGCCTAGATTCGAAACCTTTGCAATAATTATTGAACTTTCATTCAGCCACAAAATTTGAACTATTCAGCTCCAAGATTCAACCAATTGAAATCTGGAATCAAAATCGAATATTACGTAACCTTTGCAATAATTGTTGAACTTTCCTTCAGCCACAAAATTTGAACAATTCAGCACCAAAACTTAGGAATTTGAAGCCTAGATTCGAAACCTTTGCAATAATTGTTGAACTTTCCTTCAGCCACAAAATTTGAACAATTCAGCACCAAAACTTAGGAATTTGAAGCCTAGATTCGAAACCTTTGCAATAATTATTGAACTTTCATTCAGCCACAAAATTTGAACTATTCAGCTCCAAGATTCAACCAATTGAAACCTGGAATCAAAATCGAATATAATTTAACCTTTGCAATAGTTATTGAACTTTCATTAAGCCACAAAATTTGAACTATTCAGCTCCAAACTTATCCAATTGAAATCTGGAATCAAAATCGAATATTACTGCAACCTTTGCAATAATTATTGAACTTTCATTCAGCCACAAAATTTGAACTACAGTGGGGGAAATAATTATAAACGAGTTGGTATTTTCAAAATTCTCGAAAATATAAACAGTTTCAAAAAATATGTTCTATGTGAAAGTTATGCAGTTTTTAATGAGAAATAAAACGGTAAAAAAATTTTTTAATTATATTAACCAGGAAAAAAATAACGGTCATTTTTTGAAAAATATGCCTTTCGCAAGAGGAAATAATTATAAACGAATTTGGAAAAAATTAAAAAAAATAATTTTAGACTTGAAATTCACAAGAGTTTTCAATTGATTTAGGTATTTTAAGATTATATGGATTTAATTTGACATAATACGCACAATAATTAATGGTTTAAATACATAAAATTTATTCACAAAATTGGCAAGGAATGAGATGGAAAAAATCAATGTTTTATGATAATCTAGACATAATAACTCCTCAATTGCATATGAAAACGATAGATTTTATTGCAATTAACGGAAAACAACACAGAATTTGTAAAAATATAGCCAGAATAAGTAAAAATGAAGAAAAATTTGAATGACTCAGCCAATATAAAATGAAAAATTTTTAAAAAATTCTATCAAACAGAAGTTAAGACCACAAATTAAGGACGATTCCTTCTTTATTTTATCATATTTACGATTTAAATAAGATATTAGAATGATTAAACAAGAAATATTTGCAAAAAATTGTAAAAACTTTAATCAAAAGCAACACATGAAGTTGCAAAACTATACTTTGTTAAAAAAGTTATAGGAACCAGAAGTAAACGCTACAAACAGACATGCAATGAATACAATAAGATAAATTGTGAAAGAACTGATAGTTTTGGGTAGTAATAGGATCATTTTAGCAAAAATTTAAAACTTGCATTGGTTGAATATTTCAAAGTCACGCGCTTATTATTTATTCACATTTTTTTTGCAAATATTTCTTGATTAATCATTCTAATATCTTATTTAAATCGTAAATATGATAAAATAAAGAAGGAATCGTCCTTAATTTGTGGTCTTAACTTCTGTTTGATAGAATTTTTTAAAAATTTTTCATTTTATATTGGCTGAGTCATTCAAATTTTTCTTCATTTTTACTTATTCTGGCTATATTTTTACAAATTCTGTGTTGTTTTCCGTTAATTGCAATAAAATCTATCGTTTTCATATGCAATTGAGGAGTTATTATGTCTAGATTATCATAAAACATTGATTTTTTCCATCTCATTCCTTGCCAATTTTGTGAATAAATTTTATGTATTTAAACCATTAATTATTGTGCGTATTATGTCAAATTAAATCCATATAATCTTAAAATACCTAAATCAATTGAAAACTCTTGTGAATTTCAAGTCTAAAATTATTTTTTTTAATTTTTTCCAAATTCGTTT